CCCTAAACCCTAAACCCTAAACCCTAAACCCTAAACCCTAAACCCTAAACCCTAAACCCTAAACCCTAAACCCTAAACCCTAAACCCTAAACCCTAAACCCTAAACCCTAAACCCTAAACCCTAAACCCTAAACCCTAAACCCTAAACCCTAAACCCTAAACCCTAAACCCTAAACCCTAAACCCTAAACCCTAAACCCTAAACCCTAAACCCTAAACCCTAAACCCTAAAACCCTAAACCCTAGCGCGAACACTCGTTTCTTTCGTCTTTCGTTGTCTTCGCAAATGAGCAAATCATTTTCTATGTTTCTACGCTTTCGTTCAAGAAGCCCTGCGCCACGTGCGATTGATTAGCGCGGGGACGACGAGTCGCGTATTAATTACGTGTGTGTTTTACACCATGTCGCGCAGCGGCACGGGTTCTACCCGTCTACTTCTACGTCCGTAGCGACCTTTCACCGTGTACTTTTCGTACAACATCGGGAGTAATAGACAAATCGCGGGAATGCTAAAGACGGCCGCGAGGACGACGAACGCGATGCCTGCGGCGTTCAGTCTTGACTGCGCCGCGGCGAAAGCGGCCGTGCCGTCGGTGGCGTTTAACAGCCACAAGTGCGGGTCATCCGACGCGCGCAATAATATGGCGGTTTCCGCGTCGCGCGTCAACGCAAGCGTCTTTCGTACGACAGAAAGTGCGGGATACGCACCCGTCACTGGCGCTACGATGCGATGACGAATGATCGGATCGTATGCGTCGGCGCCGTCTTCGCTCGAGCGCGCCTCGCAACCAGCGCCGCCACCGCTCGTGTCTAAATCCCACTCCCCGCCAGAAGTCGCCTGAAGCTTGAGGCATATTCTATCGATGACGCTGTAAGTGTCACAGCCACCGTGGTTGGGGTATCCAGCGTGTTGGTACTTGCAAGTCTTCCAATTCGTGATTGGGAGAAACTCCTTGGTGAAAAGTTCAACGTTACGCACATCCAGAGCTTGCGCGCCGTCGTTTATGCGAAGTCTCAACGCACGCGTGCCCATTAATGCGCCCATGACCGCGGTATTGTTATACCCACTCGTGTACGAATGTATGTCAGCATCGGGATGAAGAATGTCGTGGATATCTGGCGCGTCTCTCGCGTCGAGCACGCCGTCTCGTATGAGCGAAGGAATGCCAAACGCCTCGAGCAAATCACCCCCCTCCAACGCGTATCGCAACGGTTCATACGTCGCGACGCCGAAATTCACACCCTCCTTCGTGCGCGTCGTCACCGCTCGCGTCGACACCCACGTCGGCTGCTCGGCGTCGGCGACGAGCGCCCACTCAAATTTAACGCGAGCAAACTTTTCGCGTTCACCGTCGTCCCAAGCCTCCACCACTCGCGCGTACGCTTCTCGCTGTCTAGCGAGCACGTTTGAATACGATGCTCTCCCGATAGAACTCACTCCTAATACCAATAAACACGCCGCCACCGCTCCCGAAGCGCACCCGCACCTCTCCGAGTCGCCGCCTCGCCGCCTCGCCGCTCGCGCGCGCCGCTCGCTCGACGCAGCGCTCGAACGGAACGTCGTAGACGCGAGAAAGCTCACTCGATCGACCTCGTCGTCGTAATCCATCCACTCACCGTCGGAATCGGCGTCGTCGGCGTCGTCGTACGTCCCATCATCATCGTCTTCTCGTTCGTACGCGCCTTCGAACGCGTCTCTGCGCCCCGACGTCGACGCGCGACGCTGACTCGTCGTCGTTCGAGTCATCCCACGACGCATGTGCGAGCGCCGCGCAACTCGCGACGATCGCCGTCGCCGTGTGACGCGCGCTCGCGAGTATCGCGCGTTCGGGCACAGTCCAATCACACACCTGGTGATTTTCAAAATTCCGACGACCGACAGCTGCTGCGCGCGACGGACGTCATCGCGCGACGCCGAGACACGATGAGCTCGAACGATAAGGAGAACGACGAAGAACGAACGACGACGACGACGACGAGTCCGTCGAAGACGTTCTCGAAGAGCGCTTCCGTGGGGACGAGCGTGCTGAAGCAAAAATACGCCGCGCTCATGGAGTCGAGAAACAAGGTGGGTGTGACGACGACGCGATTTGAATGAACGACGACCGTCTGAGGACGACGAACGAACGCGATGGTGCGAATCAAATCCGAGACTGACGCAACGAGTCTTCGCGTCCCTCGTCGTCGCGCAGTACAAGGAAGAGTCTGAAGAGGCTAAGCGCAACGTCAAGGCGCTCGAGAAGCGCGTGGTGCAGCTCGAAGCCGAACTCGCTTCACCGACGAATCCGGACTCGCTCGCGGTGGAGCTGGCGGAAGTCCGCGCGCAGTTAGAAGTCGCGAGCGCGGCGCTGAGAGCGGAAAAGAATCGCTCGATGAAGAGCGAAGGTCGCGCCGAACGCGTCGCGAAACTCGAACGCGATTTGGACGAAATGGTCGCGGCGCGCGCGCGGCACACGGCGACGACGCTCGCGTTGGGCGCGTGCGCTGGGGCCATCATCGCGTGCGGGGCGCTCGCGGTATACGCCAAGTATCGTCGATCAATGTAATGACGAAAGCTACGAGGGCTACATATTTATCTATTCGTCTACTCTACGTTCTACGCGTCGTCGCGACGCCTCTCCGTCGACTCGCTCGCCACCGCTACGGCGGCGTTTCGCCCAGGAATTTTCGGCGGATTTCCAACGCCTTTCCGTACGCGCGCATGTCCAACCCATCCATCGCGCGCACGACGCGCGCGCGTATCTCAAACAGTGCTTCGTCGCCGACGCGTCTCGCCTCGCCAATGACGCACACGCGCGATCCGGTGCGAACGGCGCCATCGAACGCGCTGTCCTCGTCTCGTCGCACGGCGCTGAAGTCAACGTCGATGTGTACGTCGTCAGCACCAGACGCACTCTTCGACGTCGCTCGCAGCGTCCCGCGCTCGGTGTCAGTATCGAAACGCTCGAGCACTCCCAACGTGCGAATCGAAACTTCGTGCCCGTCCGCCTCCTTGGCGCGGCGTGCGCACTCGTCCAGGGTACATATCACCCCGTGCCCGATCGTAGCGTCCATGCTTCGCACCGCGCGCACCGTCGTCGCCTCCCGTTGCGCGTCGCCGAATGATGCGCGCGCGTCCCGATTGGGCGGCGACGCGCCGCACACGGCGGCGCGTCTTCGCGCGCATGGACGATCGTAAACGAGACGCGCGCGCGCGTTTCGAACAGCGCAAACGACTCGACAAGCGATGGCAGCGCACACCGACGATGACGACGACGACGATGACACAAAGGCGAAGCGAAGGCGACGCAACGTCGACGACGCAAAGGCGAAGCAAAGACGAACGGCGACGCGGTGATGATGTGAGGGAGGACGAGGAGACGCGCGATGACGACGAAGACGACCGCGCGATGTCGCGCGGGGCGGATTTAGACGAACTCTTGCGCGATGCCGCGACGCAGTGTTTGCCTCGACCGCGCGCGGCGGCGGCGCACTTCGACGCGAGTTGGAGCGTGGACGCGCTTCAAGACGCGGAAAGATTATTACTGCACGGCGCGAACGCGCGAGCGTCGACGTCAACGGTTGCGAAGGATATCGCCGAGGCGATGACGCTCGATCGCGACGATATACGCGCACATTTGAACTCGCTCGGATTGGCGCGTTTGCTCGGTTTGAGCGACGAGTACGACGAATTCGTAGACGGCGACGGTCGGGGTGCACAGAGCGAGGCGTCCGAGGTCGTCGAAGAGCGGCATAAACACGAAATGAGACCAATCGTCGAGCCGACGGCACCACCGAAACCCGTCGTCGCGAACGACGATGATTGGCTTGACGAACTCTTGGACGGCGAATAAAAGTTGGTTGCGAATGAATATGTAGATAGATAGTAAGTTGTAGCACTCTAGCGCACGCGTTCAAACGCGACGACGACGACAGGTGTGTTGTCGCCGCGTCTTCCGCGCCGCCGCCGTCGTCCTTGTCACGAGTAGTTCGCAGCAGCACCCAGCACAGGCATCGCACTATCGCACTGGTTGAACTGAAAAAAGCACAACCCTAGGCACGAGGTCGTGCGGGCGTTCGGGCGGGCGGTCATAAAGCGTCGCGCCATGGGCGGGGCGTCGCGCGCGCTACGCGATGCGTCGGCGGGCGAAGCGTTCGGATTAGCGCTCATCGCGGGGACGTTACACGCGCTCACGGGACCCGATCACTTGGCGGGCGTGTTCGCGGTGGCGACGAGCGCGCGACGCGTCGAACGGGCGCGACGGTTGGCGGACGGCGACGACGACGACGACGAAGACGACGCGCGTCGTCGACGCGACCTCGCGTGGGCGTGCGCGAGACAAGGCGCGCGATGGGGCTCGGGACACGCCCTAGGGCTCGCGCTCGTGGGTGGAATCGTGTTGGCGTGCGAAGACCGAGTGGACGAAGACGCGCTGGGGGCGGCGAGCGACTTCGTCGTCGGGTTCGCGATGATTTGGTTAGGATTGGCGACGTTAAGGAGCGCGTGGCGATGGGACCGAAAACAAAGGCACGCCAAGGCGCACGTCGAAGATGAAGCGGCGCGCGATGACGATCTGGCGCACGCCGAGGATGGCGCGACGGCGGGCGCGCGGAACGCCGTCGCCGTCGTCGTCGTGGCGGGGAGCGCCGCACACGCCGAGGCGCACGCATTGGGAGTCTCCCACGAGCACGCGCACAAGAACGACGTTCACGGTACGCGCGAAATCCACGGCGAAGCGATTTCCGAGCGTCGTTCGCTTTGGAATCGCATGCGAGACATGGTCGGCGAGGAGTCGACGCGCGAAGGTAAATTCGCGGCGTTCGGCGTCGGAGTCGCGCACGGCGTTTCGGGCGTTTCGGGCGTGGTTTACGTTCTCCCAGCCGCGTTTCTCGCAGATTCCACGCGCGTGGCGTTGTATATTTTCGGTTTCGTCGTCTCTAGCGTCGCAGCGATGACTGCGTTGGCGTTTCTTCTCGGTTTGCTTCCCAGGAGCGCCGCCGTGGCGTTTCGCTTCTCCGTCGTGAGCGGCATCTCGGCGCTCGTCGTCGGCGTGATCTGGGTCGCGCTCGTCGCGACCGGTAAGCTCGATTTATGATCGACGTGTCAAGTTCGCGTCGTTAGCGTTGAGTTTAGATGGTTTAGATTTAGATTTTAGATTTACAGTAGAGAATTACTCTCCGCTTCGCCACGAGCGCGCGACATCGCGATCCGTAGGATCGAGCGGTGTCTCGATACCATCGCGAGCGGCGACGTCGATGATCTCTTCTTCTTCCGTCGTGTCGTAAGCGTCGTATCGAGCGTGAAAAATCCACGGCATCGTCTCCGCCATTCGCGACGCAGGGTCGACGAGGGGCGCGCAAAATGTCGTCACGGCTCTGGTCAAGCACACTTGAGACACTAGTAGGGGTAACATGAAGACGCCCATGGTGATTTGGAACGCGACATCGATGTCATCATCGTCCCAAAACTTGGTCGTGATGTCGGTGTAAGTCGTGAGGAACACGCGATGAAGCAAATAGGCTGTGAGCGTCCGCGATCCCAATTCCGTGAAGAAGTACTCCTCCGTCGGCACGACGCTCATGAACGCCACTGAGGCCAAAGCGACGACGAGATAAAGCACGACGCGCCAAAGGGCCTCGATGATCGGATGGTACCACTTGGTTACCCCATAAGGAGAGACGACGAGCAGCCACTCTTGCACTTCGCCGAAAGGCTCGCCGAGAACATCCGACAGCATAAACGCGCCAAAAACGACGCCGAGAACGCCATATCCCGCGGCGAAGCGCATCCAAGGCCTGCTAAGATGCATGAATCGCCTCAAAATCTCGTCCACGTGCTCACGCTTTACTAAAACTAACCCAGCGTAGAAGTATATGGCGTATGCGCACACGCGTTGCCAATCCAAAAACGCCAATCCATTCTTCGTCGACGGCGTATCAGTGAAACCGACGGCGATGGCTAATACGCACACGATTGCGTAGATTGTGCTATCTCTCAGCGCCCCAAGGAGTAATACGCTGTTTCGCCACACCCACAGTGCGATCAGGAACCACGTGACGCCGACGGGTGACCACCATTGCAGCGGTGATACGTCTGAATACGACACCGCGACGTACAACGCTTGCCAAAACACCCACCCTCCTATCAGCGTGGACGTCGACTTTTGCACGCGCGCGAGCATCACCGAGGCGTTGGCGTCGTATCCTCTCGCGATTTCCAACCACGACTTGCTCTGGAATCCCGCCAGAGCGGTAAAAAGAGGCATGCTAAACGTCGCCAGCGTGAGATAGAGCGCTCGAATCCACGGCAACGCCGGCTCCATCACGTCGAGTTTAGTTCGCCGCACGCTCGCGCTCTCGGCATTCACGATCGTGGCTGTCGCTAAAAAGTCATCCAAAGCGTGCACCCACACCACGCACGTGATCAACAAGTATTTCGCGTTCTCAATGTACGTCGACCGTCGCTCGTCTTCTTCGCTCAGCGTCGGTTTCGGCGCCGCCGGTCGCGCTCGCCGCCGCGTCTTCGCTCCATCGCTCCCGTCGCTCCCGTCGCTCCCGTACGTATTCACCGGCCGCGTGGTGATCGGATCCGTCGTCTCTTGCCCTCGACCAAGTCCACGATCGAGCAGGGATGACAAAAAGCCCAACGCCCCGTCCATCGCGCTCGACGGGGGTGTTACGTCGCGCGCGCGCGCGGAGGGCGACACAGACGGCGCTCGAGCACGCACGCACTCGCGTTCAAGTCGAGCGCGTTCGGACGAACGACTTTTCGCCTCGCGCGCGAACTCGCGGGCGTCGAGCACTGAGGACAGGGTGCTCGCTCGCGCGGCTTGCGGCGAACGCGGCGGCGATTGACGTTGACTACGACTACAACGCGCTACGATGGCTAATAAATCAATACGCTCGAGAGAACGGAACTAGTGCCAGGGGAAATCGTCCGCACGTCGCGCACGCTCGAGCGACGGCGACGGCCACCGCGCCAAGCCAAGCGCCCGCTTGGCGAGCGAACGGTTGCAAGACGTCGCCGAAGGATCGACAGGTGGGGACGATTGTGGCGAATTCGACGCCGTGCAAGGCTCGAGTGCGCAAGTCAACGCTCTGCGGAAACGCGTAGGGGGTCCACAGACGCACGAGGACGTCGTCGGTCGGGAACGCGAGAAGCGTCGACGCAGCGAATACCATGACCAAGCGCACGAGCACGGTGCCCGCGTGGAGAACCAAGTACGACATGTAATAGAAGAATACCGTGGGAAAGAGCAGCAAGAGCGGTGGTAACGTGAGTGTGCCCACGACGACTTCTTCGACCGTGCGCGGTCGGGCATCCGCGAGCGGGGCCTTGAAACCTTTCGGTGGTAGCTTCGGGTTGATGAAGCGTCGATAGAGAAATCGCACGCATCGCAGCTGGGCGGTGATGAAGAGCGAGCTGTACACGTGCAGGGCGCTGATGTGCGAGGTAAATATCGTCATCGTGTCCGCGGCGATGGCGAACACCATGGAAGCTCCGAATATACCGCCGTGTCGAAGCGAAAACGACACGAAACCGAGGTACGCTTTGACCGCGCTGCTGGATTCATAGGCGCCGGAGAGCGTGCTCGCGAAGCCGACGCCGAGCGATCCCAGAGCCCGAGCCAACGGCACGTGCAACTTGACGCCGAGCGGATCGCCGTGGGAGATCCATCGCGCGTTAGTCTCTATGACTCGTGTGCCGAGAAGATCTCGCGATCCCGGTCGAGTGCCCCAGCCACCGACGGCGACACGCTCGAGCGCGAACGACACATCACGCGAGTCGCGCACGCGTGCGACGCAAACGCCCGCGAAGATGTCGACGGCAACTTGCACCGCGCGCGCCACGAGACGGCGCTTATCAAGTCTACTAGATCGTCGCCAATCCATACCATCACGGACGAGAAGCGAGCGAGCGAGCACTAAACGCGCGCGCAAGACGCACGCGCTGGCGGACACCTCGCACACGCTTCGCGTCGTCACGCCGCCGCCCCATCGCGCCTCGGTGCCGAGACTTTTGATGCACTTGTAATCCAAGCCTCGCAACGCCGCATCGATCACGGCGACGATCGCGCGCGACACGATCGACAATGATGAGGGCGCAGACGAGCTGGACCCAACGTCGTGCTCCACGAATCCGTTCGCCGCTCGGCCAGCGTCGTTCAAATCCGCCAACGCGAGCTCGAACGCGCACGCCGCGCCGTCCTCGGAGACATAATCCCCTCCCAATGTCATCACCATCAACGGTGGGTCCGGCATTGGACACAATATCACTACCGCGTTATCCGCGCGCACCCACCGTCCGTCCGGTCGCCGAACGCGCGCAGACGCGCGAGGCGCCTCATCCCACGCGCGTCCCACGCGCATCGTCACGAAGCACGCGCACTCGTCGTCGTCGTCACCCATTTCGTCATCGTCGTCGTCGTCGTCCCCGAACACGATTTCCATGACACGAACGAGCTTTTTCACACGCCCGCCTTCTTCCTGCGCTCCATGCGCGCCTCGATCGCGTCGTCTCCGACGCGGTCGTTCCGTCGCCCGCCACGCCACGACATCCGCGCCTCGACCATCTCCCCTCGCCCGTCGCGTCCCGTACACGTCCAGCGGCACCGGCGCCGCGGTATCACCCGTTCGCGACTGTCGCATCCACGTCCGTCGCAGATGATCGTGCGGCACGAAGACGCGCACGACGACGCGCGACGACGACGACGCAACGACCTCGGTGTCGGCGCGCATTTTGTCGCTCGAGCGCGCGCGACGACGACGACGACGCGCGACGACGCGGGCCGAGTCATCGCCGTCGACGCGCATGAAAGCGTTGTCGCTATCGCCGCGCGACGGCGCGCACGCGCGGTCGAATGGCGCGCGCGCGTGCGACGCGATGGGTTGGGCTGGTTCGCGATGGGCTTGGTTCGCGCGACGTCGCCCGTGATATCGCGACGCCATGTCCACGCCCTCGCACCGCGCGTCGACGAGTTACGCCCCCGAGCGCGGGGTGTTCCCGCTCGACCACTTCCACGAGTGCGACGCGAGCAAGACGCGATACTTGGAGTGTTTGGCGCGACGCGAGCGCGACGCGACGGCGTGCGCGACGCTGTCCAAGGCGTACTTAGAGTGTAGAATGGCGCGAGAGCTCATGGCGCGAGAGGATTTGACGCAATTGGGGTTTCGAAGCGAGCACGCGCGTTCGAGCGCGGCGCGCGCGCGCGAGACGACGGCGAAGGAGGCGAACGAGGCAAAAACGGACGACGAGGCGCCGCGCATCGCCGGGTTGCGAGGAGGGAAATAGCGACGCGAAACGAAGCGTCGGCGTAGCGGGATGAATTAGCGTGTAGTGATGATGCGAGAAGCGCATATCGTCGGCGTCGTCGTCGTTGCGTTTGAACGCGTGCGCTACTATGATTTGGATTTGCTACGTTTCCGCTGCCGCCATCACGGCGAGCGGCTGGCCGACGAACCAAAAGCTCGCCGCGATGCGACGCGAAGCGTCGCGCGCGCGCGGTTCCACGGCGTGTGGCACGCGTGCCGACGCGAACAGAACTAAACGATCGCGAGTCGGCGTTAAACGAACCTCTTTCGTTTCGTGACCTGGGAACAGGACCATCGCGCCTCCTTCTTCGGGCGTCGACGATATCGGATAGTACACGACGGACAACGCTCGCGGGTCGATATCGGGTCCGCAATTGTCAACGTGTGATACAAAACCACGCGCACCAGGGGCGTACACGCTCAGCATGGCATTACTCACGTACGAATCCACCGGCGCAAGCGGTGGCGCCGACGATAATCCATGCGATGTCGTCGCGAAGGCGCTGAAGAGCGGACGCAACACGGTCACGCGTAAAAATTGCGCGAACGCTCCAACCATATCTCGCTCATCTCCTTTGAGCCAAGCGATGGTGTCATCGCGTATTTTATCTACCGTTGCATCGCCTAGGATGCGCCTTTCGCTCTGATCGAGCTCTCCTTTGCTGAAAGTCCTCGCGTCCTCGTCCTCGTCGACGAAATTCGCGAGCGCGTGCCGAATCGCGCTCGCCATCGGCTCGCCGACGAGTCCATCCACGATAGCGTATCCAGTACGTCTGACCTCAATCGCCGCCGCTACGAGCTTGGCGTCGAGCGCGGGCGTGTTATGAGTCAGTGTCCACGGCGTCGCACTTTTTGCGTCTTCGATGCGGTTGGCGGAGAAATCGAGGTGTCGAAGCTCGATGGATCCGTCCAATAACTCTCTCACTCGCGCATAGCTCTCGCGCGCGCTGTGATACGGCACTAAACCTTTTTCGGCGGCGCGTACTTTCACGTTTGTGATCGCCGCGAGGTGCTCCGCGCTCCGCGCGCGTTCGAGCTCGTACCCAAACGCCGTCGCAAGCGCGCCAGCAGACATGAACGCGCCTGAGCGATACTTCACGGGCAGCGTCGCTTTCAGTCGCTCGCACGCGCGAACTAACGACTCCCTCTCGCGTGCGATCGTCGCTCCGTCGTCGTCGCACGCGCGCAACGCTTCTCGTAGTCCCTTGCAGTAGTGCACAAGCGCGCGCTCCTGGCCACGTTCCGTCGTCCCGTCGTCGTCGCCTTCGACGTCGATCGCGGCGCGCGCGCCCGAAGTAGACGCCGACGTCGTCGATGCGCACCGCGCGGTGCGCGCCGCGGTCGCGCGCGCGATGACGCGAGGCGCGATGGCGCGCACCACCATGTCGCAGTGTGACGGTTGGTTCGCGCGCGCCCATCGCGCCCAGCACGACGCGACGCATTCCGCATTCGGCGACGACGGTGCGGTCGCGCGCGCGATGACGACGCGCGCGATGACGACGACCGGGACGGCGATGACGATGACCGGGACGACGGCGCTTCGACATCGACATCGACGTCGACGTCGACATCGACATCGTCGCGGTGTCGGTGCTGTTCGCGTCGCGACGCACGCGCGAGAGACGTGGGCGTCGGAGACACCGTCGACGAGCGGACGAGACGAGCGCGAGCGCGATCGTCGTCATCACGCGATGTCCGCGCGCGGACGGCGTCGACGCGACGCACCGCGAGCTCGAGCGACGGGGACGGGGACGGAGACGGGGACGGAGACGGAGCGGGACGACGAAGGCGGCGAGGACCGAGGCAAAGGCGAGGACGAAGGTGCGATCGATCCCGCGACGGCGAGATTGCTTTTATTTTGTGTGCCATTGTTGTGGGCCACGTACGCGCCCGCGCTGCGCTACGTGTTCGTTTCGGAGACACCGCCTGGTTCGGCGGCGCTTTCGCTCGCGCGCATCGGCTTGGCGCAGTTGCCGTTCGTTCCGGCGCTGCTCTCGACGATGGAGCGATCGAAATCGGCGCGCCCAGGGGAAAAAGTCGAGGCCGATCGCGCGATTAGCGCCGCAGTCGAGCTCGGGTTGTTCAACGCCCTCGGAACGTCGTTACAGGCGTGGGGATTAGAGCATACGTCGTCGACGCACAGCGGCTTCATCATGGGCTCGGTCAACGTCCTCGTTCCGGCGCTCGCCGTGCTTCAGGGCGATAGAGTGAGTCGAGAGACGTGGGCGGCGTGCTTGATGACATTCGTCGGCGTACTCGTGATCGGCTTGGATTCAGTCTCGAGCGGTGACGGTACGACGGCGTCGGAGTTGGCCGTGCAAGGTGACGGCGCGGCGTTTGCGTCGGCGGCGTGTTACGCGGCGCTGACGCTGCGCGCGGGCAAGTACGCCAAGGAGTTCAGTGCTTCGGAGTTGATGGGTACGAAGACGTTGGTCATGCTGATGTTCATGGGTACGTGGTATGCACGCACTGTTTTCGGCGGTGGATCCGCCGAAGACGCGTCGTTTGCGTTTTTAGCTTCGCCCATCGTCGCCGCCGCCGTCGTGTACAGCGCCTTCATCCCGGGCGCGTTGGCGAATTACATTCAGTTGAAAGGACAGGCGGGCGTGTCGGCGTCTGAGGCACAAGTCATTTATGCGAGCACCCCCGCGTTCAACGCTCTGGTGTCCGTGTTGGCGCTCGGTGAGACGCTCACAAAGTCAACGATAATCGGAGGCGCAGTGATTCTCGTCGCGTCGCTCGCCTCATTCTTCGTCGACGAAGAGGCCGACGAAGAGGTGGACAAGGGGTCGTAGTGTTTCGAAGTTAGTTGGCCACGCGCTCGCTAGAAGTGTTGCTGTAATCTACAATGTCGTTGTATGCTGCATCTAGGTTTTGCCGTCCTCGTCGCTCGCCGGTGCTTTGTCCTTGCTAGACTTTTGTCGCGTCGGTTTGGTTTGATTCGTCGCAAACGCTGAGTTTGGCGAGACGCTGAACTGACTCGCGCTCGCAAAATTCGGTGCGCTCCCGACGGAAAACGCGGCGGCTACGCTGGAGAGTGAGTTGACGACAGGTGGTATCGCTTGACGCGTGGGCATCGCTATCGTCGTCGTCGAGTTCGCCTGTTTCTTCGTCGGCGCGTCTTCCATCTCTAAATCGTCCATCTCGCCGAACGTTGGATCCCAATCCGCGCCCTCTGCGTGATCGTCGTCGATCGGACTCGGCGATGCAACCGGTGGCGAGATCATGGACTCGTGTACTGTTTGAAGCGTTTTCAAACTATCGCGCGACGCCGACGCCGACGCTGAAGCGCTCCACATCCCGCCGCCCACGCCGTGGAAGGACGTCCCCGGCTTGGCGTGACGAGCGTCCATACCGCGCGCGAAAGCCACGCCGCGCGGGCCGAGTGGACTTGCAGGCGGGAGCTGCACCGCTGCCGCTGCCTGTGCCGCGCGTGCCGCGTGTGATGTCGACAAACCCATACTCGACAATTGGTGTGTCGGCGGCGAGACGCCAAAGTGAAGCGGGTGCATCGCCGCGCTGTTCGTGGCGTGCGGCGAACCAATGAAGGAGCCGGACAGCAAGGACGAGGGCGAATTGAACGACCCTCCGGATGAACCGACGACGAAAGGTGGATAACCACCGCCAAGTCCACCGCCCGGCGACATCGGGATGCTTCCGGGAGACATCGCCGCGATGGCCGCGGCGGCGTGCGCGTGCGCCGCCGCTTGCGCTTGCAGCATCGCTCCGTTGAACGCTTCGGCGACAACGGGATTGACAACATTCGGCGTGATTGGTTGTATCGGCGGTGCTGATCCAGACGCAGAACTTGCGGCGAAAGCGGCGGCCAAACCACCGACTGGAATCGCCGGCGGCGTCGGCGGCACGACGTCGGCCATCGGCGGAACGTCGCGCGGGATGGGCTTCTTCTTCTTCTTGACTGGCTCGCCCGAAGAAATCTTGGCCGCTTCCTTCGCCGCCACGCGCTGCAACTCTTCGCGCTCTTCTGGTGTCGTGCGCTCAGGAATTGGCTTCGGCGCAAACGGCTCGTCGAATGGCTCGCCCGTTATGAACGGATGTTTCAACGCCTGCGCCGGCGTCCAGCGCACCGCGGGATCGATCTCCATCATGCCGGTGAGTAAATCGTAGAACGCCGAACGCTCGACCATTCGAGCTTTCTTCTCCGCGTCTACGGCGGCGTGGTCGTTAGGATCCACTTTGGATGACTGGTACGGTATACTCGCTATGATGTCCGAAAACTCAGTGTACTTGAAATACTTTTTCCCCATCGCCGCGCGCCTGCCAGAGCGCGCCTCGAATTCTCGTAGCGAGAGAAGCTTGTATCGCGACGTACCACCGCCGGAAGAAGACGCCAACGAAGACGAGCTCTCGTCGAACCCGATATCTACTCGCGTGAAAAACTTGTTGGTGTTCGGCGCCTTGGCGAGCATGTCCGCCGGGGGCGTTCCTATCGTTTCGCAAATGCGGCTCAGCAAGTCATACTCGCTCGAACCCGGAAAGATCGGTAAGCCTAAAAACAATTCCGCGGCGACGCACCCTAGAGACCACATATCGATGGGCATTCCATACGACATCCCCAAAAACACTTCCGGCGAGCGGTAGAAACGACTTTGGATGTACTGATACACCGTCCTGTTTTGAAAACACGCGCTGCCGAAATCAACTAGTTTGACTTGAAACGAGTCGTCGCGGCACAACAAAATGTTCTCGGGCTTGATGTCGCAGTGGACCACGTGGGCGTCTCTGAGCAAATCCAAAGCGCCGAGCAATTGTTTCATCATCCCACGAATCGCCCCGAGATGTAATCCTTTAAACTTGTTCTTCCTCAGCAGCTCGTAGAGGTTCATTCCCAACAGCTCAAAAACCAGACAGAGGTGGTTGTGGCAGACAAAGTAATCCATCAAGTCCACGATCACCGACCCCGACGGTCGATCGCCGCACTTTGTGTTCAACGTTCGTAAGATGCCGATTTCGACGTGCGCTTGGTGAAAATACGCGGGGTGATTCTTAATCACCTTGAGAGCTCTCGTCTGACCGTCGGCGCTAGACGCCGCGGCGACGACTTGCCCGAACGTACCGGATCCGAGAGAGTCGAGCACAGTGTACGTCGTACTCTCATCCGACATGTCTTCGTCATCCCTCGGATGGTGCCCTTTGTGATGGTGCCCAGTCGTCGTGGCGTTCGCCGCCGACCCGACGCGCTCGCCGAGCTCTTCGCCGGTGCGAATGATTAAGTCGTCGTTCGCGTTGTCTCTTCCATCGTTCGATCGCGGCGACGACGGTTTGCTCAACACGCGGCTTTGTCCCTTCGCTAACGCGGTTTCAGTCGCCATCGCACGCTCGCGACGCCGCGAGACGCGAGGGAATCACGCGCGCGATGTCCGCGGAATAAGATTTGTCCTTTTGGCGGGAAAGCTTTCGCGTCGCGACGCGCGTCGACGGCTCGATCGTGCGTCGCGCGACGCGCGAATCCGACGCGTATTCGTGATCGGCGCGCTTCGATCGCGCGCGTTCGTTCGTCGCGCGCGTCCTCGTTCGTTCGTCGACCGGACAGCGTCGTCGTGTGTCGACGAGCGGCGTCCTTTCGGTCGGTCGGGGCGTTCGAACGGGCGGCGATCTCCCGGGTGTTTCGCGTCCCTCCTGTCATGTCTCGCGGTCTCCCACGCCGCGCGCGTCGTCCGACACAGCGCGACGCGTCGACGACGGCCGTCGACGGCGATCGCGCGCGCGAACGAGCGCGAACGAGCGCCGCGCGCGAGATGCGCGACGCGGACGACGGCGCCGCGCGCGAGCGGCTGCCGCGACGTTCGATGGACCGAGGTCTCGTGCGCGCGAGTCCGCGCGAGGACCTCGACGCGGCGTACGAGGCGTACGTCCTCTCGCGGGGAGGCGTGCGATCGATACGGAAGGTTTTAATCGCGAATAATGGATGTGCGTGATGCGCGACGCGCGCGCGACGCGCGCGGCGCCGACGAAGGCGCGACGGGGACGTCGTTATCCGAGTCGTCGTAACGCTCGTCCCGACGAGGGTCCGACGCGTTCGAGACGAATTTCGTCGCCGACGACGCGGTCGTGGGAGATGGCGCGCGCGAAATCGTAAAAGTGAAGCGCGCGCGCGATAATGACTGACGCGAGTGCGAATTTTTCGACACGCAGTGGGCGCGGTGAAGGCGATTCGGTCGATGCGTCTGTGGGCGTACGAGACGTTCAAGTCGCACGAAGTTTTGCATTTGGTGTGCATGGCGACGCCAGACGATTTAGCGGCGAATGCAGAGTGCGTGCGATGCGAACGTCGCGTGATTGGCGCTCATCTCGCGATCGTCGGCGGCGAATTCGCGCTCGAAGCGTTTTCGCGTTTCGACGAGACTGACAGGCTCGGATGATAACGACGTCCCATTCTAAACATAGATACATCCGGTTAGCCGATGAATTCATCACCGTGGAGGGGGGGAGCAATAGAAACAATTACGCAAACGTGGATTTGATCGTCAAAGTGGCGCGAACGTGCGGCGCAGACGCGGTGTGGCCGGGTTGGGGACACGCGAGCGAAAATCCGCAGCTGCCGTCGCAGTTGGCGTATCACGATATTGCATTTTTGGGTCCACCAGCATCTGCCATGGACGCCGTTGGAGACAAGATTTGTGCGAACATCCTCGCGCAATCGTGTGACGTGAATGTCATCCCTTGGTCTGGTAGCGGTCTCACGGTACCCGGCACGAGCATTCCGGAGGACGTCTTGAAGCAAGCGACGCTCACAGACGTCGCCGACGCGGTGCAGCGAGTGGGAAAGATTGGTTTTCCGGTCATGATCAAGGCTTCGGAAGGGGGTGGTGGGAAAGGTATTCGCAAGGTGAACTCGATCGAGGAACTCAAAACTGGTTTCGCCCAGGTCCAGGCCGAAGTCCCGGGTTCGCCGATTTTCATCCAAAAGCTTAGCGTGGATTCAAGACATTTAGAAGTTCAAATGGTTGCCGACGCGCACGGTCAAGCGATCGCGCTGTATGGTCGTGACTGTTCCGTTCAGCGCCGACATCAAAAGATCATTGAAGAAGGTCCAATCACCGTGGCGCCGAGGGCATTGTGTGAAGAGCTCGAGCGCGGCGCCGTGCGACTGGCGAAAAAGGTTGGCTACTGTGGCGTCGGTACCGTGGAGTACTTGTACAACATCAAGACTGGCGAATACTCGTTTCTCGAAGTCAATCCTCGTCTACAAGTGGAACATCCAGTGACAGAGCAGATAACTGGGGTGAACTTGCCCGCAGTACAGCTGCAGCTCGCGATGGGGATACCGTTGAACAAGATTCCGGACGTCCGTCGATTCTTCCAGCAAAGCGACGTACGCGGGGTTTCTTCTATCGATTTCGATAACACTACGCCGATTCCGCCGCTCGGTCATTGCGTGGCGGGAAGAATCACCGCTGAAGATCCCGACAGCGGTTTCAAGCCTACGTCTGGTGCCATTCACGAGCTTCATTTCCGTTCGCTCCCGGGCGTGAATGGATCATTTTCCGTCGGCACCTCGGGCGGAGTTCATCAATTCGCCGACTCGCAGTTTGGACACATCTTCGCTTTCAAGCCAAGTCGGGCGGAAGCCATCACTTTACTCACGCACGCGCTGAGCGAGTTAAGCGTCCGCGGGGAGATTCACTGCAACAAAAAGTACTTGGGGAAGTTGTTGGAGAAGCCAGAATTCTTAGCCGACGAACACGACACCGCTTGGCTGGATGGTCTTATCGCGGCGAGCGACAGAGCAGAGACGTTGCACGAGCACATCGTAGTCGCGTGTGGGGCTGTGCTTAGATCATCGACGAGGCATCAAAAACTCGAGGCCGAAGTCGCCTCGTATCTGAATCGAGGCGTCCCGCCTGAGACGTGGATGACGAATCTCAGCGAACACAACTTTGAGCTGATTTACAACGACATCAAGTATAACTTGCGCGTAACCATGGGGAGTGAGAAGCTGTTTTATCTTCACATAAACGGAGGTCTCATCGAAGCCGAAGTTCTTGTGTTGCAAGACGGCGCTTTGAAGGTGCTCTTGGACGGTCGCGCGTACTTGGTCCACCCCGAGGAAACGAAAGTTGGAATGAAGATTCACGTCAACGGGTTGCCGTGTTTCTTCCCCGATGATTTTGACGCCACCAAGCTCATCGCCCAAGGTCCTGGAAAACTGCTCAAGTACTTGATTTGCGACGGCGAGCGCGTGGAATCCAATCAACCTTACTGCGAGATCGAGGTTATGAAGACGGTGATGCCTCTGATTGCGACGAGCACGGGGACGATTCGGCACGTGGCGCGTGTAGGCGCGATTTTAGAAGCAGGCGATGTTTTGTGTGATGTTGCCGTCGAAGACGCTACCGGTGTGCGTAGGTGTGCGCCGTTCACGGGAGAGTTTACGAAAATGCACACGCGTTCGTTAACAGGCATGTTACCGGATGACTCTCCGCTGGTTCGATTCTCGCGCACAAGCACTGGTGTCGACCAAATTTTGGCTGGTTACGATTACAATGGTGATCCGACCGAAGTGTTATTTGACGTGCTCGGCACGCTACCACTCGTCGTGGATGATTTTATGGAGTCGCGAGAAGCCGTGATTTCGCGTGCTCGTCCGTCGGCGCGACTCGAGCTGCGCGAGATCGCCGAAGCGATGTCGGCGTCCATCGTCGGCGAGGCGAATGGAGAAAACACGACAGACGCCGTATCTGCTGCGGTCATGCGCGTTAGAGCCTTGATCAACGAGTACGGCGCTGACTTTGCACCGCTAGCGGCATTTTGCGAACGTCATGACGGCGGATTGGCGCAGAGTAGGGCGCGCGTGTTGACGCGATACTTGGAATCGTTCTTGGACACGGAAGAGCCCTTCTCGAGCTGCGCGTCGACCGAGGACGCCATCATGTTCTTACGCGATCGCTACCGCAACGATGTTTCAGTCGTCGCAAAGTATGCACATGCAAACGCCAAACTCAAGCGTAGATCGGATTTGGTTTTGAAGATCCTCGAACAAATTTCGTTGCACGATATGATCGACATACCGTCGTGCAACGCCGCCGTGGTGCGTTGTATGAATCTTTCTGGGCGCGACTACGAATTGGTTTCCCAGACAGCGCGCGAAATCATCGTGCGTAAGCAAGAGATGACACGTAAGTCGAGACGCGAACGCATGGCTGCGGCTTCTCGGGCCAACCGCATGTCTCGCGACGAGTCCTTTTCTGCCTTCGCGCAAATTTCCCTTGACGACGCCAAGCGCAAGAAGCGCTCGGCGTCTCTGTCAAAGACGAGTGCCGGTAGCGAGTCAGATCTCATGAGTAACGCTGCGAGTGACAACGAGGCGTCGGACAGCAATCCTTCGTTCAAGAGATACGTCGGTAACATTTACCTCGATCGGCACAACTCCATCACACGGTATCAGTCGTACAGCAACATCGACGAAGCCACGGATGAGATTTTGGACGCGCACACTTGGGAGAGCTTGTTCGACAGTACGTCCGAAACGTCGCGAACTACAGCGATTGAGACTCTATTCGGCGCGACTGGCGTAGATACGTACATGATTCCGAACGCTCAGCCCGAACCGTGCGCATGCGAACCAGAAGTCATGCGAGTCTGGCTCGACGACACCATTCATCTCTTTGCCCCATCTCTTGGACACGCGGTGGCGGCGCTTCCCGATGCGACGGCGAACAAACCGAAGAAGTTGCACTTCATCATCTCGTATCATAGACTTGTGGGTAGGAACGACACCGATATTCGAGCCGCCGCGGAGGCTTTTGTGACTGGACAGTACCTGGCTGGTGCCCTCAAGTGCGAAGGCCTCGAATACGTCGTGGTCACGTTGCTGGCGCTCGACGCCAAGCCGCATCATTTCGCGTTTAAGCGTACTTCTGAAGATTCCACAGTCGAAGGTTTTTGTGAAATGTCGAGCGCACGTGGGTTTTGGCCTCACATTGCCGATCAGATGGAGGTCGAACGGCTCGCACTCTTCCGGGTCGAGTGCGTAGGCGTTTTGAGCTCTCGTTCCCATCATCGTCACACGAATTTTGTGACACCGTCTGAGTACACTGTCGGTGTATTTCTCGCTGAGGAACCGAATGTCAAGCCTGGGCACAAGCAACCCCAGCGCGATCGTCGCGTGTTTTTGCGAGCAGCGGTTTACAACAAGGACTTGCTGTTTGAAAACAGCCCGTCTGAAGGAACGCCGCGCCGCACAGCTTTGGGAAGTGTGACCATGGACTCAGAGTTGGCTCGAACGACGATAGGTGGTAGTTCGAGCGGCGTGCACGATGATAGCGTGTTCGCTGATGTTCTCGGCTCTCTTGAGCTTGCGGTGGGTCGTCATCGCACTGCCGCGAACCACGTCTTCATTAATCTCGTCGGCGCCGACGCCGAGGACGATTTGCCGAGCGTTGAAGCGGCGATAGCTTCGTTCATTCACACTGCGTTCAACGATTTGAAGCGGTTGAAGGTTGCATGTGTCGAAGTGCGCGTCGGCACGGGTTCAGTCATCGCGATGAACACCAGTGGCTTACGATTTAAAATCACGAAGACGCTGGATTGCGCCGCGCGTGACGTGCACCCTCGGTTGAACAAGATTCAGCGCAAGCGAATGGCGTGCCAAAACTTGTCCTCGACGTACGTATACGACATTCCAGAAATATTTGCGAATGTCCTTGCCGAAATCAACCCTGGCGTAGGCGACATCATCGATCTCATGGAGCTCATCTTTGACCCAAGGACGCGAGCGCTCGTTTGCAGCGATCGTGCGCCAGGGCTGAACGAAGTTGGCATGGTTTGCTGGCGCGTCAAGTTGGCGACAACAGAGTATCCGAAAGGACGTGAAATCATTCTCGTTGCGAATGATATCACGCACATGTCCGGTTCTTTGTCTCCGCCGGAAGACAGTGTCTACCGCGCCGCGTTTGATCTCGCTGTGGCTGAAGGTTTGCCGTGCGTTTACATCAGCTCCAATAGTGGCGCGCGCATCGGTCTCGACGAAGCCGTCAAGGCGGCGTTCAGAGTGAAGTGGGTCGACGATGATGACGTCTCTAAAGGTTTCAAGTACATTTACCTCAGCGAAGATGACTACGAGATCTTGTCCGCGAAGGGTCGGGTCAAGGCGAAGCGAATCGTTTACCGCGACGAGATTCATTACGCGCTGACGGATGTGTGCGGAGGACAGAGCGTCGAGTGCTTACAAGGATCCGGTGAGATTGCCGCGGCGACGAGTCGTGCGTACAAACACACAGTGACGATGGCCTACGTCACCGGTAGGAGCGTCGGTATCGGTGCGTATTGCTCTCGTCTATGCCAACGTGTGGTTCAGCACGTCGACGCGCCGTTGATTTTAACCGGCGCGAGCGCATTGAATAAGGTGCTCGGTCGCGAAGTTTACACGAGCAACTCGCAAATAGGCGGTCCTAAAGTCATGGGCGCCAACGGGGTATCTCATCTTACCGTACCCGATGACGTGCACGGTGTGAAGAATATTCTTCAATGGTTGTCATACGTACCCAGCCGGCGCGGCGCGCCGCTCCCCTGCGTCCCGTGCGTCGATCCGGTGCGACGTTACGTGACGTTCAATCCTCCTTCCTCTCCGCACGATCCACGTGAGCTACTGCACTCATTCTTCGACACTGATTCGTTCATGGAAGTCATGCCCGACTGGGGACGAACTGTCATCACAGGTCGCGCGCGTCTCGGCGGCGTGCCCATCGGCGCCGTCGCCGTGGAGACGCGAACCGTGGACAAGACGATTCCCGCAGATCCGGCGTTTGCGAGCGCACAAATCGCGGAAGAGTCTCAAGCTGGTCAAGTCTGGTTCCCCGACAGCGCGTTCAAAACCGCGCAAGCGATCGGCGACATGAATCGCGAAGGACTACCTCTCATAATCTTTGCCAACTGGCGCGGTTTCGCCGGCGGTTTGCGAGATATGTACGGCGAAGTTTTAAAGTACGGCGCCTACATCGTCGACGCGCTTCGCGAGTACAAACAGCCGGTGTTTGTGTACATTCCTCAAGGCGGAGAACTTCGCGGAGGCGCTTGGGTGGTCATCGATAGCTCCATCAATCCGGAGCAAATGGAATTCTACGCCGCCGAAGGCGCCAAGGGCGGCGTCCTCGAGCCCGAGGGCATCGTCGATATCAAATTCAGGCGTCAAGATTTGCTGTCGACGATGAAGCGCACGATTCCCGGAGGCATCGGTGACTCGCACGAAGACGAGGCGAAGAAAAAAGCACTCATGCCGACATTCAAACAGCTCGCCGTGCACTTTGCCGCTTTGCACGACACTCCGGGCGTGATGCTGCACAAGAAGGCGATCAAGGCTGTCATCCCCTGGGAGACGTCGCGAGAATTTTTCGCCCTGCGTCTTCGCGCGCGTTTGGCGGAGGAAAGAATCAAGTCAGCCATCATCGCACGCGGTGGTTCCAGCGCCGACTTTCCACGACTCCTGGCTTCTGTATCGAACGTGATAGAACAAGTCGTCGCCGAGGAATTCGGCGTCGTCGTTCCGGAGACACACGCCGACGTCGAGGCGATGCTCGCGACGATCAATCGCGACGATTAGATCGAGCGAATGTAATTTTATTTTAGCAGCATTGACAACGTATGCACGCGCGCGCGCATAGATAATTAAAGTGACGCGTCGATTTAAAGTTCGGCGTCCATCGGTAAGACGCCCGAGTCGGCAATCAGCACCGGCTTTTGCGGCGGCGTCCCCTCGAGGTTTTCGATCGCCGTCACGACGTCCATGCCCTCGAGCACGCGCCCGAAGACGGTGTGTCGGCCGTCCAGCCAGCTCGTCTTGACGGTGCAGATGAAAAACTGCGACCCGTTCGTGTCCGGCCCGGCGTTGGCCATGGACAGCGTCCCCGGCCCCTCGTGCTTGAGCTTGAAGTTTTCATCCGGGAATCGCGCGCCGTAGATCGACTTCCCCCCGGTGCCGTCGTGATTGGTGAAATCACCACCCTGAATCATAAAGTTCTTGATCACTCGATGGAATCCCGAGCCTTTGTACCCGAATCCGTTCTCCCCCGTCGCGAGTTGCTTGAAGTTTTCCGCCGTCTTCGGCACCGTCTTCCCGTACAGCCCCATGACGATTCGCCCCGCGGGTTCACCGTCGATCGTCACGTCGAAGAACACCTTATCGGTGACTTTCGGCGCGCGCTTTTCCGCGAGCACCGGCGTCGCGACGAACGCGCACGCCAGCGCGCCCAGCGCGACGACGAGCATCATCTTGATCGTCGTCGTCGTCGTCGTTCGTCGTCCGTTTCGCGCGCGTTCGACTCGCGTCATCGCCTTCGTCGGGACCGTGGAAACGCGACACGCGCGCCCGAGCTCCTCGCGCGATCGTCGCGCGTCGGCGCGTCGTCGTGTGCGGCGAATCGCGTCGCGCCGGCCAATCGCGTCCCCGCGCGCGCCAATTCGATTCGCCGCACGCGCGCGCGCGCGGTGCATGTCGACTCGAGCGCGCGTCGCGCGCGTCGCGGGCCGTCGCGCCGTCATGACGCTCGCGAGCGCTGACCGGGGCAAGCGCAAGGGCGCGACCGGCGCGCGCGCGAAGACGACCGAGACGACGACGACCGAGACGGCAAAGGCAAAGGCGAAGAGGACGAAGGCGAAGACCAAGGCGAAGGCGAAGGCGAAGCCGTACCCCGACGCGCGCTCGGTGACGGTGAACGGGGAAAAATACCGAAGGTGCGCCGCCGCGCTCGTGTTCAACGATCGAGGCGAGATTCTGTGCGGCGAGAGGAGCGATCGAGCGGGGTCGTGGAACGCGCCGCAGGGCGGCGTCGAGGCGGGCGAACGCGTCGAGGACGCGGCGGCGCGAGAACTGTTCGAGGAGACGGGCGTGCGCGCGATGGACGCGACGACGCCGAGCTCGAGCGGTGTCGTGCGATTGATCGGGGCGCTGCCGGAGAGCGATGGGTACTGCTATCGCGTGGAAGAAAACACGTGGCTCGCCGAGCGCGGACTCGCGGGACAGAGACTCGAGTTCGCGCTCTTTCACTGGCCGGGCGTGGACTGCGACGCCGACCCCACGACGCACCCGGCGGTGAATTTAGCGGGCGAAAACGGCGAAAGTCGCGAGTTCGATCGCTTGCGCTGGATAGATTTCGACGAGATGGTTCGCGACGTGTGGCCGAGCAAGCGGGCGCCGTACGCGCTCGCGCGCGACGTCGCCTCGCCGTTGATTCGCGACGCCCTCCGCGCCGCGCGCGGCGATTCCGAGTAGATTTTTTCGTGATAGACACACACACCACGCTCGCGAGTCGCGCGCGCGTCCTCGTCCTCGTCCGATCTCGCGTTTGACGTCGTCTCGCGTCCGTCGAGCAAACAGTTGGATGAAAAAAAACCCGAACGGACGCGGCGTCGACTGCGCTCGACGTCACAACTCGCGCGAGATCACGCGACGATGAGCGCGATGACTTTCGCGTGCGCGCGACCGATGGTGCTCAACACCGCGAGCGCGACGAAGCGAACGAACGCGCGCACCACCGCGCGAGGTGCGAGCACCGGGCGACGGCGACGCGCGCGCGACCGAGGCGCGCGACGCCGACGTCGGCCCGATGCGCTTTTCGGACGACGCGAACGTCGACTGACCGATGACGCCCGACGCCGACGAGCAGGCGCGACGAACGGTGCGGCGCTGAGCGCCCGTCGTGGATCCTTCGGAGGTGCGCGACGAAAGCGAAGACGCGCGACGCGCGACGCGAAAGCCCGCGACGCGATGGACCGTGGACTGGATAAAGATGGTTTATTCCTCGAGGACGCGAGCGCGCGACGGCGGAGGGGCGACTGGGCGCGCGCGAAGGCGCGATCGAAGGCAAAGAATCGTGAAAAATCGCGAATGAAACCTTTGGCGATCGCGCGCGAAGAGCGGGCGCGCCCGTGCGCCGAAGACGTGGCGCCGTCTCGCGCGACGCGAAACGGACGACTGACGAAGGGTATATTCACTTTCGCGAGCGCAGCCAACGCGTTGAGCAAGAGCGCGAACGGCGCGACTTTCGCGAACGCGCGCGCGGCGCGCGTGCGTGGTGCAGTCACCATCACGGCGGCGCACCGCCCGGACGCGGACGCTGAAGATGCGGGCAAGGGTCAACGCATTATGATCATCGGCGGCGACGGCTACTGCGGCTGGGCGACGGCGTTGCACTTGTCCAAGCGCGGCTACGCGGTCTCCATCGTCGACAACTTGTGCCGTCGTTCTATGGACGACCAGCTCGGTTTCAACTCTCTGTCTCCGATTAAGGGTATCCACGAGCGCGTGCGCAAGTGGAAGGAAGTCAGCGGCCGCGACATCGACCTCTTCGTCGGCGACGTCTGCGACTACGAATTCTTGGGCGCCGCGTTCAAAAAGTTTGCGCCGACGGCGTGCGTTCACTTCGGTGAGCAGCGCTCCGCGCCGTACTCCATGATGGACCGCACCCGCGCCGTGTTCACGCAAACGAACAACGTCATGGGTACCATCAACGTGTTGTACGCCATCAAGGAATTCGCCCCGGAATGCCACTGCATCAAGCTCGGCACGATGGGCGAATACGGCACCCCGAATATCGACATCGAAGAAGGTTACATCACCATCACCCACAACGGCCGCACCGACACGTTGCCGTACCCGAAGCAAGGTGGTTCTTTCTATCACTTGTCCAAGTGCCACGACTCCGCGAACATGTTGTTCTGCACCAAGGCGTGGGGCATTCGCACCACCGACTTGAACCAAGGCGTCGTCTACGGTCTCTCCACGGATGAAACCGACATGCACCCGGACTTGGTGAACCGCCTCGACTACGACGCCGTCTTCGGTACCGCGCTCAACCGCTTCTGCATCCAAGCGGCCGTCGGTCACCCGATGACCGTGTACGGTAAGGGTGGCCAAACCCGCGGTTTCTTGAACATCAGAGACACCGTGCGCTGCATTCAAATCGCGTGCGACAACCCCGCGCCGCCGGGCGAGATGAAGATTTATAACCAATTCACGGAGCAATTCTCCGTGAACGAACTCGCTGCTATGATCACGGAAGCCGGTAAGAAGGTTGGACTGAATCCAGAGGTCATCACCGTGCCCAACCCGCGCACGGAGATGGAGGAGCACTACTACAACGCCAAGAACTCCAAGCTTCAAGATCTCGGCCTCGAGCCAATCGCGATGCGCGGCGAATTCTTGGAGGGCTTGTTGAAGCAAATCATCACCTACAAGGATCGTGTCGACCAGCGACTCATTCTTCCGGGAGTGAACTGGAAGGAATCCGCTTCCGTCGCGGAAGTCATTGCTAAGTAAGCATTTAGGAGGCCTATAGCGAGTCTCGCGAACCAGAAAAAGTTGTTCAATCAAGCCGTTGTCAATATGACCCAACATCATTCATCGAGCGCGCGGTTCGAGCGACGGTTCGAGCGTGCACGAGGACAAGATCGATAAAAGTGTTTCACTGTAGTGTATTACTGATACGAATGAGCGGCCAAACGCGGAAATTCTCCGCGACTAAACCACGACGAGAGCGTCGCGCGGCGCGACGCGGCGATCGCGTTCTTCTCAACGGGAACGAACAGAACTGATCATTCCCAGTTTGCTGCGCATAATTCCGCCAAGTCCACTACGCGTTGCGAATAGCCCCACTCGTTGTCATACCACGCGACAACCTTCAACATGTCGTCACCCATGACCATGGTGAGCGCGGCGTCGATGGACGTGGAGACGTCGGAGCACTTGAAATCGCAAGACACGAGCGGCTCGTCGGCGACGGCGAGGATACCCTTGAGCTTGCCGGCGGCTTCTTCACGGAACGCGGCGTTGACTTCGTCGGCGGTGACCTTCTTGGAGGTTTGGATGACGAGATCGACGACGGACACGTTCGGCGTCGGGACGCGGAGCGCGATGCCGTTGAGCTTGCCCTTGAGTTGCGGCAAGACGAGCGCGACAGCCTTGGCGGCGCCGGTGGAGGTCGGCACGATGTTCAAGGCGGCGGCGCGAGCGCGGCGCAAGTCACGGTGAGACGCATCCAAAATGCGCTGGTCACCGGTGTAGGAGTGCGTGGTGGTCATCAAACCCTTGACGATGCCGAATCGGTCGTCGAGAACCTTGACGAACGGCGCGAGGCCGTTGGTCGTGCACGACGCGTTGGAGACGATCTTGTCGGTGTTCTTGTACTGGTCGGCGTTGACACCGAGGACGTAGGTCGGGATGTCGTCACCCTTGGCCGGGGCCGTGATGACAACCTTCTTGGCGCCCGCGGTCAAGTGCTTGGAGGCGCCCGGGGTGTCGATGAAGACGCCGGTACCTTCAATGACGATGTCGACGCCGAGAGCCTTCCACGGCAACTGGAGCGGGTCACGGGAAGACACAATCTCGATGGACTTGCCGTCGATGGAGATGTGCGTGTCGTCGATGATCTTGACATCCGCCTCGAACGTGCCGAGGACGGAGTCGTACTTGACCAAGTGGCTCGCTTGCTTCACTCCGCCCGAGTCGTTGATGGCGACGATGTCGAGCATGGTGTTGGCGCGTCCGTGCCAGCATCGCAAGAAGTTGCGGCCGATGCGGCCGAAACCGTTGATGGCAACCTTGCATTGCTTACCCTTCATCGCCGCGACGGTCTTCGCGCCAGTCGCCTTGGTGGCGGTTTGGCGCGCGACGCGACCGGTGAAGGTTTGCTCCGCCTTGGTGGGGAGCGCGGTAGAGGTGAGGCCAGTGAACGACTGTAAACAACACGAAAAACACGCGCGCGCGTTCGGTCAGTCTCGGCGCTTCTCGCGGTCGATTCAACACTATTCGTCGTGGACGAGGAGTCGCGACCCAGCCCCGACCCCCTCGACGCGCGCGCGGGTGGTTTATCCACCCCGCGCGCGCGCGATCGGCGGCGCCCGCGCGTCGTCGCCCACGCCGCGCGGCCGTTCGACGCTCCGAGAGCGCGAGACGAGCCCCGTTCGTCGCGCCGCGCGTCCGCGTCGCGTCGCCCCCGCGCCGTCTTTCGTTCGCGCGGCGTCGGACGCCGACGGCGCGCTCGATCGCGATGTCCCCGTGGCGGTGTCCCCGACGCCCCATCGCGCGCGCGTCCTCGCGTCCTCGCGCCCGCGTTCGCCCTCGACGCGGCGTCACTCGACGCGCGAATTTTTTCCCCATCATTCGCGCGCATCGCGACCCCCACGGCGTCGCGCGCGACGCCATCGCGCGTCCCGATCGTCGCGCTCGATCGCCCACGTCGGATAACGCGACATCCTCGTCCCGCGTCGTCCCGTCCCGAACCCCGCCGCGGCGCCCCGCGCGCGGTCTCGCGCGCGCGCCCTCGATCGTCCTCGTCCTCGCGCGCGCGTCGCGTCGCGTCGCGTCGCGTCGCATCGCATCGCGCGCACCATTGGCTTCGTCGATGCGTGAAGTGACGACGCGATCGCGTCGCGCGGCCGACGCGCGCGCGACGGCCGACGCGCGGGCGTGGCGATCGCGCGATCGCGGTTTTGGTGGCGTGCGCGTCGTCCACGATGCGTATTCGGGTCGTTCTGAGTCCCATGCGCACGGGACGCTCGCGCGTAAATGTGAAATCCACGATCGCCCCGTGACGTGGCCGCGCGGCCGGGTGTCGGGGCGTCGGCGCCGACGCCACACGACGACGCGCGCGCGTCACCGCGCGCGCGCTCGATCGCGACGACGCGCGATCGTCGCCCGCGCGTCCTCGACGGCTCGGCGCGGACGGCGTCGCGACGACGACGCGCGCGGGGCGGCAGCGCTGGAGACGGCGTGACGTCGACGCGAGGGCGCGCACCGATGGCGGCGACGTCGTCGAGGGACGCGGAGGCGTCGACGCGCGCGGCGACGCGGACGACGAGCGTGGATACCTCGCGACGACGCGCGCAGTCGATGACGGAGATGAACGAGCGAAGACGACACGGGACGATGGAGACGCGGACGCGGCGAACGAGCGCGACGAGCGGCGGCGACGGACCGACGGCGACTTCGGACGTGCACGTGCTCGTCGTGGACGACGAGAGGATATGCCGGACGGTAACGTCGTCGTTATTGCGAAAGTGTGGGTATCGCGTGACGACGGCGGAATCGGGAGAAGAGGCGCTGGAGCTGTTGAGACGAGGGACGGAGTTTCACTTGTTGCTCACCGACGTCATGATGCCGGGCATCGACGGACCGGCGCTGTTGCAAATAGTGCGCAACGACGAGCGATTGCGAGACATGCCGGTTATCATGATGAGTGCGAACGAGCACAGCGATACGGTGTTTAGGTGCATTCAATACGGGGCGGAAGACTATTTGCTTAAACCCGTGAGTAGAAAAGCCGTCAAGCACATGTGGCAGCACGTGTGGAGAAAGTCGCAGATACAGTCGTCGCGCGCGGTGCCGCGGTTTGAAAACGGGGAAGAGATTTTAGAAGACGAAGACGAAGATAGAGGGGAGTTAGTGCACGGCGTGCCGGCGGTGCCCGAGCACGTGCCGGAGGGGATGGGTAGCGAAGACGCCAACGCCACGGCCAAGTCGCCGTCGCCGACGCCGTCGCCGACTTTGCCTAGAAACAACTCCACGCTGAGTTTCGCCGCGACTGGAGCGAGTGTCAAGGCGGATGTCGCCGCGTATCCGTTTGCGGCGCCTACTGCGGCGCAGCAGATGGATAATGTGTCGCAAGGGAGCGTGGTGAAAATGGTCATCGACGCCGCCGACGCCGGCAAAGGCGACGAGGCGCGAAGTCGCGTCGTCCCCGAGTCCATCGTGCGGCCGTTGCCCGCGCCGTTGTCGGGATTAGAAAACGGCTCCCGACGACTGAGGGAATGGCTTGACGACGAATCCGCGGGGGCGCAAGCGACGCAAAAAGAGGAGCGTTGGCACGTCGCCGGCCAGATTCTCGCCTTCGTCGACGCCGTCAACGGTTGCGGGTACGCGTCTTACGAGCTATTCGACGCCAACTGCCTCGACATCAGTCCTCAAGGTGCGATCTCATTCGCAGCGCGTTCTCAAGTGGCAGCGGACCAAGACGAGTACACATTCGTGGAGCTCGCGCAAGAGCTCGGCGATCAAGACCCTCTGTTTGTTGTCGGCTTGGTGATTCTCAACATGTTCTGGCCCGACGTCTTCGTCACGATGTACGAAGCTGACTACCCGGCCAAGGCGCTGGAGAAAGTCATCACCATGAGTGGATTCGCAAAGCGCGCGATGACGGGCGAGCTCGCCGCCGCCAAGGTTGTCGTCTCCCTCCTTAGACAAAAAGATCGCGCCACCGCGAGAGACGCGAGCGAGCGGTTGCGAACGGTGGCGGGTGATGCGCGCGCGCACGGCGTGGAGACTGAGCGACGCTTGGAGACTTTGAAGCGTCTTGAGACAGTGTTGGAGACTTTACGAACGGCCAGAGATTCTCAACTGCGCGAGTTGACGCAATCTCACGGAATGCTCGACGTTTTGCTCGCCGAAGCAGGAGTCGCCAAAGGGAGCGCTTCAGAGCACTCTGATTCGCCTGATCGCAAACGCGCGAGAGTCGTCGAACACGCGATGGAGTGCTACGACGACGAGACTCTGACGCTCAAGGATCTTGATTCAGTCGTACACACGGCGTTCAAGTCGCCCAAATCGCTCGAACCGGCCGTGTTCGCGGATTTAGAGCGCGGTCTCTTCGACAAGTGCGCCGTGGCGATAAAGGAGGGCGGCACTAAGGGCGATTCGGACGCCGCTTGGTTGAAACGCGTTCGAGCGGATGGCGTCGATACTACGGCCGTTCGTGACGCTCTGGAAGAGTTTGAGAACGAAATATGTTTGGTGACTCGCGCGGTTTCCATCAAGCGGTGCGCCTCGATAGGCGGCGACTTCGCCGATTTCGCGGCAAATAATTCCATGGTGTGTTGCGCGAGCTGGGATCGGGATGGCGAGCTGTTCGCTACGGCGGGTACGAGCAAGTCCATTTGCGTATACGAGACGAGTGCGGTGATGACTTTAGGAGCGCGCGTGCACTGCCCAGCGGTGGAGTTTGAAGCGCACTCCAAGGTTTCGGCGTTGTGCTACAACCCGTACGTGAAGCAATCCATCGCGTCTGGTGATTATCAAGGCGTCGTACAACTTTGGGATGTGCAGAAAGAAACGTCCACCTGGGAGAACACCACCCACAGAAGACGAGTGTGGAGTATCGACTTTAGCCACATCGACCCGACTAAGCTTGCCAGCGCGTCTGACGACGGTACGGTTCGCATCTTTTCCACGACGACGAAGGAAGGCGTGTGCACGCTTCAAAACCGCGCCAACGTGTGCTCGGTGAAATTCCACCCGACGTCGGCACATATGCTCGCCATCGGAAGCGCCGATCACAGGATCCATGTGTACGACCTTCGCCAGCCGAGCACGCCTTTGATGACGCTGCAAGGCCATCGTAAGGCCGTTTCTTACGTGCACTGGGTCGGCGATGAGTTGGTTTCGGCGTCGACGGATAACACGCTCAAGCTTTGGGACATCAAGAGAAACGATCCCAGAACGGCGTGCGTGCGAACGTACGTGGGCCACACCAACGAGAAGAACTTCGTCGGGTTGAGCACCAACGCTGATGGGTACATCGCGTGCGGTTCGGAAGACAACATCGTGCACGTGTACGCGAAACATGCATCCTCTCCCGTTGCGCACTACGGCTTCGCCGACAAGCCGACGCCGATGTCGCACAACAGACGCGACAAGGGTGGATTTATCTCATCTGTCGTGTGGTCTCCGAACTCCAAACACCTTCTCGCCGCCAATTCCCGCGGCCATCTGAAGATTCTCTCCCTCAACAAGGCTTCGTAGAGTTGCCAAAGATTTTTTCCCGAGCCATTACTCGATTGATTACATTTATGTTCGAGCGTCCGAACACTCCTAACTTTAGTAGCAAAATATATTGCTTTAGAAGCGATTTTATTACATTGTAGAACACAGACACCAAAAACGTCGATTATTATCAAAACTCGCTAAAAAGTTAGTACGGCCGCGAGCGATATCCACCTCTATCGTCGCGATATCCGCCTCGATCGTCGCGTCGGTCACCCCCGTACGAGCGTCCACCGCCGCCGTAGCCACGTCCACCGCCGCCGCCGTAGCCGCCGCCGCCGTAGCCGCCACCGCCGCCACCACCACCACCACCCGAAGACGGTGGTGGCGCAGATTTCGGCTTACTTTGCGCGATGGATACGTGGAGCTTCTTCCCGTTCAACTCGTACCCGTCGTAAAAGCTCGGCGCCGACTGCGCGGCGTGCGGGTCGTCGTACGTAATCACCGCCTCGTCCTTCTTTTGTCCTCGTTCATCCAGGTATATGCGCACCGCATACGGCCATTGATCTGGGAATCCCGTGCGCTGCCGCACCCTGGAGATGATCCCGATCCCCGAGAACACCTCTCGCAAATCGTCCTCGCTCGTGCTCGCGGCGTCGAAACCTTTAATAAAGATTCGATTCGTCGTGTCCTCCAACCCATCCAACAACCACCCAGCCTGCGCCGCGCGCTCGCGCTCTTTCAATTCCTTCGATTTCCCAGCCCCGCATCGCTTACAGCTCTTCCGCCACGAAAAATTCGAATTATTACACTCCGCGCACCTCCAATCCGCGTCCGGGTCGAAGCGTTCCCCTCCCCCCCGTCCGCCTCCCCCGCCTCGATCGCGCTCGCGCTCGTCCCGTCGCCCGAACCTATCGCCATCCCGTCGTTCGCCTCGTCCTCGTTCGTCCTCATCGCGCGCGCGTCGTTCGTCCCGTCGCTCGCCGTCGCCGCCGTTCGATCCGAATCGCGCGCCGTCGCCGCCGTCCCGTCGTCGTCCGTCGTCTCGATCGCGTTCGCGCGACGTCGCGCGTTCGCGCGCGTCGCGTCGATCGCGATCGTCGTCGTCGCGTCGCGACATCGTCGCGCGTTCGCGCGTTCGCGCGTTCGCGCGTCGCGTCGTCGCGTCGTCGCGTCGTCGCGTCGTCGCGTCGTCGCGCGATCGATGCGGTCCGTGTTTTTGATCCGTGTTTTTGATCCGTGTTTTTGATCCGTGTTTTTGATCCGTGTTTTTGATCCGTCCGCCGCCGCATCGCGTCGACGATCGATCGCCGTCGCGCGATCGCGTCGCGAGTCGACCCGACCCGCGCGCACACCGGGACGCGTCGCGACGATGGCGCCGCACGCGAATTTGCGCCTGCTCGGCATGGGGAACCCGCTGCTGGACATCTCCGTCGCGTGCGAGGACGACGCGCTGCTGAAAAAGTACGACTTGAAGCTGAATGACGCGATCTTGGCGGAGGCGAAGCACGCGCCGCTGTACGAGGAGATGGCGACGCACGGAGACGTGGAGTACATCGCGGGAGGCGCGACGCAAAATACCATCCGCGTCGCGCAGTGGATGATGCAGCGAGAGGGCGCGACGGCGTACATGGGGTGCGTGGGAGAGGATAAGTTTGCGACGCAGATGCGGGCGTCGTGCGAGAACGACGGGGTGCTCGCGAATTACATGGTGGACGCGTCCACGCCGACGGGGACGTGCGCGGTGATCGTGAAGGATGGCGAGCGATCGCTGTGCGCGGCGCTGAACGCGGCGAATAATTACAAGGCGGAACACTTGGACGCGAGCGAAAATTTCGCCCTCGTGGAACGCGCCGATTTTTATTACATGGCTGGTTTCTTCATGACGGTGAGCCCGGAGAGCATCATGCGCGTCGCCAAGCACGCGTGCGAGAATAAGAAGACGTTCATGATGAACCTCAGCGCGCCGTTCTTGATGCAAGTGCCGCCGTTCCTGGCGACGCTCATGGAGGCGCTCCCGTACGTGAACATCTTGTTCGGTAACGAATCCGAAGCCGTCACGTTTGCCGAATCTCAATCCTGGGACACCAAGGACATCAAGGAAATCGCTCTCAAGATTTCCGCCATGCCCGTGGCGGAAGGCAAGCCGTCTCGCACGGTTGTCATCACGCAAGGTTGCGACCCGACCGTCGTCGCGCGCGACGGCGCCGTCGAAGAGTACGCCGTCATCCCGCTCGCCAAGGAAGACTTGGTGGATACCAACGGCGCGGGTGATGCTTTTGTCGGTGGCTACATCTCGCAACTCGTGCAAGGCGCGGACGTCGCCAAGTGCTGCGCCGCGGGTAACTACGCCGCGAACAAGATCATCCAAGAGTCTGGCTGCAAGTGCCCCGGAGTGCCGTCTTTCACCGCGTAATCCGCCTCGACGAGATTTGATTAGACAGTTGCACTTTTGTTATTTATCATTCTTCTTACAATCTAAATCTACATCTTCTCACAATATAGTTGCTACCGAAACTCAATTGCGCCCGAGGGAATATGTTTCGCTCTCATGTTCGGCGCCGTACATACATCTATATTTCGCTACTTTTTCACGCCACGGGAGCCGGCGACGCCGTCGCCATGGGAGGATAAGCCTGAGGCGCGCGCATCATCGCCGCAATCGGTGGCGGGCTTCCATCAACCGTGTTCCAAGCGTGTACCATCTCATCCCACCCACACGACGCCACTAATCCCTCCACCAAACACGACGTGTCTAGCCCGACGGCGAACTCGGTGTGATGCCCCCAACGATTCAGCAGCGGCGCGGGTGACTTCCAATCCCACATTCCCACCGTCATGTCGTACGAACACGTGTACACGACGTTTTCCGCGTGCGGCGAGCACTTCACCCGACGCACGGCGTAATCGTGCCCGACCAAAGTGTGCAACTCTCGCGACGGGTTCCGAATATCCCACAACCGCACCGTCTTGTCCACGCTCCCCGTGGCGATCACGCAGTCGTTCCACTTGTTCCAATCGCAACACAACGTCTCATAATCGTGCACAGGTACGCTCAGCGTCGCGTGCGGCTGTCGAAGATCCCAAATCTTCAGCAAACAATCCCCCGACGCGCTCGCGAAAATATCCGCGTGGTGCGGGCTCCACTCCGCCGCGTACACGCAATACGCGTGTTCCGCGAACGTCCGCATGCTCTCACCGCGCTCTAAATTCCACAACTTAATCGTATCATCCCATGACGCCGTCAAGAACGTGTCTCTTCCGCCCGCCAAATTCCAAGACGCCGCGTACACCTCGTGCGTGTGTTCGTGCAGGCTTCGCAGCGGGTTCGCCTGCGGCCCGTTCGCGATGTCCCAAACCTTCACGCTCCCGTCTCCGCACGCGCTGATGATGACATTTTCGTGTCCTTCGCTCCACGCGCAGTCGTACACCCCATCGCGCGTGTGAAACCGGCACAATTCGATGAAATTTCCCGTCAGCGGGTCGACATCGCCGATGATTTGCGCGCCGTTACCGATGATTCCAAAGTTTTGCGACGCCGATATCGCGATTCTGTGCGGCACGAACGGGGAAAACTTCACAGCGTAGCCGTTGAACCCGACGGTGCGGTACGACGACGGCGGCATGGCGCGCGCGCGTCCGAGTGTGAGGATCTTTCAAATCTTCAGCGCGACGCGCTCGGCATTTGCGAACATCTAAGGCTATGACTACAACGCGCGTTTGGCGAGACAAATGAATCGTGAACTAAATCGTGATGGTTTTCAACGCGCGCGCGCACGCGTCGGGAGCGCCGTCTTCGCCTCGGTTTCGTCGGTCCCAGCCGTCCTCGCGCGGCGAGACGTAAAACGTCTGATCTCCCTCGGGCTTCACGTCGACGAGAGGCTTGTCCAAGACGGCGGCGTCCATGACGTCGACGCAACACTCCATGAGGTTGACGCTGAATGGACGGTCATCCGATGGGTCGGGTGGAATGGCGTCGTAGCGCGCGGCGAGCATGGCGTCGCCGGCGCGATGGAACATTTTCGACCCCGTCGACGTGCCAAAGGTGACGCCGGAGACGGCTTTGAAGAGCTTACGCGCGACGGCTTTGCGAGATTTTACGTCGATGTCCGCGCCTCTGGCGGCGTACACACCGTCGCCGAATTCACCGTAACGCTGAATCACCGACCGGCGCGTCAGCGCTGGCTCGCACGCGGCGTCACCGAAGATGACTCGATCGACGTCGGCGAGCATGCACGGATGCTTGTAAAACGCCCGACCCATCATCACGCCCGCCAACTTGCCGTCTTCGCGATCGAGAAGCTCTTTCGCCTGCGCCAGCGAGTTTACGCCACCGTTTAGCGTGAAATCACATCTTCCGAACTCGTCGCACAGCGCGAACACTTCGTCGTATCGCAAAGGCGGAATCTTTCGATTGGCGTCGGGATTCAATCCGCCCATCACCGCGCTTCGCGCGTGCACGATGAAATGCTCCACTCCCGCCGCCTCGTGTATGGCCTCGACAAAGTTCACGACGTAATCGTAACAGTCCGTCTCTTCGTGTTTCATCATCGTCTTATCGTACCGCACCCCGAGTCTGTGTTTAATCGTAATCTTCGCTCGATCCGACGCCTCCGCCATGCGTCTCGCGCACTCCGCCGCGCGTTCGACGTCCAGCATCATCGACGCCCCGAACCGTTTTTCCGTCTCCCCCTTCCCGCACACTCGATCGCTCGGGCACCCACAATTTAAATTCACCTCATCGTATCCGTACTCACCCTCGCACACCTCCACCGCGCGCGCCAATCCGCTCGGATCCGCCCCTCCCAGCTGCGCCGTCGCCAGCGTTTCGCCGCGCGTCAGCGTGTTTGACTTTAAGCGTTCCACCGCGTCGTGATGCGCCATCTCCGTCCACACCCGCGCCCGTTTCGTCATCGCTCGCGCGAGCGCGCGATAATACGGCGTCGTCACGTCCAATCCGGGCGCGATCGCCAGCGTCGATCCCTCGCTCGCGCGCGATTTCCCTCGCGACGCGCGCGCCATCGGTGCCGTCGCGCCTCTTCCGGCGGCGGCGTCGTCGAGGCGGCGTCGTCGCTCGCGCCGAGGTCGCTCGCGCCGAGGTCGCTCGAACCGAGGCGCTCACGACGCGTCGCGTTCGAACGTCGTCGTCATCGCGCGTCGCGTCGCGTCGCGTCGCGGTGTCTCGACCGAGACGCGCGCGAATGAGTGAGTGAGTGAGTGAGTGAATGAATGAGTGAAGTGCGCGGCACGCGACGACGCGCGAACGGCGCGCGGACGACGACGATGCGCGCGACGACGCTCGCGACGGCGAACGTCGCGGTGCGCGCGCGAGGACGCGCGCGCGAGGACGCGCGCGGTGCGAGGACGCGCGCGCGCGCGAGGATCTCGTCGAAAGACCCCTGGTGGGAGAAGGGCGGCGGAGAAAACATGATCGAGTGCGACGACACGATGGCGTTCCTGGGCGTGCTGAACGAACACAGCGATAAACTGGTCGTCGTGGACGTGTACGCGCGATGGTGCGGGGCGTGCCGAGCGCTGTATCCAAAGCTGTGTAAAATCGCGGCCGAGTACCCGGACGTCGTCTTCGTGAAGGTGAACTTCGACGCGAATAAGGATCTGTGCAAATCGCTGGGGGTGAAGGTGCTGCCGTATTTTAAGTTTTATCGCGGCACCGAAGGGTGCGTGGCGCAGTTCTCGGCGTCGATCGCGAAGATTAAGATTTTACGCGCGGCGCTCAACGAACACTCCGCGGAGCGGTGCGCCGTCGTGGAGGGCGCGCGCGTGGAGTACGACGACGTGGACGATTTGCGAGAGTTAGAGGAGATGACCGAGCAGGAGCGTCGAGACGCCGAACCGAGTCCCGTGGCGTCGTGATCTCGCGCCGCGTTCTCATCTCGCGTCGCGTTTTATTCCCGCCAGCCGCAGACGCGGCGCTTCCCGCACCCACGCCTCGCGCTTCGCGAAATCGACATCACCCCGCCGCCAGCCTGCCTTTGCAACGCCACAAAATATGCGCATCTGCGTTTCTCGAACTCGCGCACCGCTCGATCCTCGAACGACCGAATGCCCTCGCGAAGCGCGCGCCGCGGCCGCGTCTCGCCGTCGCCGCCCAATCCAAGCTGCCAATCCGCACTCGGCGACGCGCGAAGACCTCGACGCGATGACGAACGAGGACGCGCGCGAGAGCGGTTCAGGCGCGCGGTGTCAGCACAATTACGTCGTCACGGTGCGCGCGCGCGCGTACGACGCGAAGCGACGCGACGCTCGATCGTTGACGACCGAGCGAACGACCGACTGCGCGACGCTCTGCGCGATGACGAGCGATCGACTGACGACGACGACGACGACGACGCGTGGTTTCCGCAGGCGCACAAACCCACCGTGGTCACGCACTCGGCCGTGGGAAAGTTTACGTCGAGCGAGGCGACTGATTTAATCGTCGCGAAGAGCACGCGACTGGAGGTGTATCGCTTGCACGCGGAGGGGCTGAAACCGGTGCTGGATGTGCCGATAAATGGTCGAATCGCGACGATGTCGCTGTGCCAAACGGGATCGGGCGATGGGAAGGCGCGGTTGTACCTGACGACGGAGAGGTATGGGTTTACGGTGCTGTCGTACGACGAGGCGAACGAAGAGTTGAAGACGGAGGCGTTCGGGGACGTGCAGGATAATATCGGTCGACCGGCGGATGATGGACAGATTGGGATCGTGGATGACACGTGTCGAGCGATCGGGTTGCGGCTGTACGACGGATTATTCAAGGTGATTCCGTGCGACGAAAAGGGCGGGGTGAAGGAGGCGTTTAACATTCGCCTCGAGGAGTTGCGCGTGGAGGACATCAAGTTCTTGCACGGCACGCCCAAGCCGACGATCGCGGTGCTTTACCGAGACACTAAAGATGCGGTACACATTAAGACGTACGAGATCGGCATTCGCGAGAAGGAATTCGTGTCGTCGCCTTGGGCGCAGAACGATTTAGAGGGTGGCTCGAATAAAATAATTCCGGTCCCCGCGCCCATCGGCGGTGTCGTCGTCTTGGGGCAGGAAATTATCGTGTACTTGAACAAGTTCGAAGACGACGCAGATGTGTTTCTCAAAGCGATCAACATCCCCAACATCCCCGATCGGACGAACATCACGTGCTACGGCGCTATTGATCCGGACGGCTCGCGCTACCTGCTGGGCGACGCGGACGGCATGCTCTACTTGCTCGTCATCTTACACGACGGCAAGCGCGTTCGAGAGCTTAAAATTGAGAGACTTGGCGACACGTCAATCGCGAGTACGCTTAGCTATCTCGATAACGGCGTGGTATTCGTCGGTAGCACGTACGGCGACTCGCAACTCATCAAGCTGCACGCGGAGAAGACGAGCATCGATAAAGACGGCAACCCGACGTACGTGCAAATTTTAGAAGAGTTCACCAATCTCGGTCCCATTGTAGACTTTGCATTCGTTGACTTAGAGCGGCACGGTCAAGGGCAAGTGGTTACGTGTAGCGGGGCGTTAAAAGATGGGAGTTTACGCGTAGTGCGCAACGGCATAGGCATTGACGAGCAAGCGGTGATTCAGCTTCCCGGTGTCAAAGGCTTGTTTTCACTTCGCGATAGCGACGATAGCCAAATGGATAAGTACTTGGTCGTCACATTCATAAACGAAACTCGCATCTTGGGCTTTGTCGGGGACGAAGGGGACACGTTGGACGAGACAGAAATTGCGGGTTTCGACGCTGAAGCGCAAACTTTGTGCTGTGGCAACATGCAAGGCAATGTTTTCCTTCAAGTGACGCACAGGGGCGTCCGCCTCGTCTCAAGAGGTGGCGACTTACTCGATGAATGGAAGCCAAAGGACGGTGCGGAGATTCTTTCGGCGAAGTGCAACCCGACTCAAATTCTTGTTGCAGCGGCGGGCGGGCAGTTACACTGCTTGAACGTGGCGAAGGGCAAAATCGTCCTCTTGGCGAGTAAGACATTCGAGAACGAAATAGCTTGCTTAGATTGCACGCCCATGGGCGATGGGATGAGCTCGCCGGTGTGCGCGGTTGGTTTGTGGTCCATGGATATCGTGCTCGCGTCAATGAGTGACTTGAGCGTCATCACGAAAGAAAGTACAGATGAAGACATCATCCCTCGATCGACGTTGCTGTGTTCGTTCGAAGACATTCCATACTTGTTCGTAGGCTTAGGTGACGGTCAGTTGATCACGTACGTTTTAGATCAGAACACTGGGGCTTTGAGCGGGCGCAAAAAATTGAGCCTCGGTACCAAGCCGATTACGTTGCAAACGTTTAAGAGCCATGCGACGAATGTGAGTAGTGTGTTCGCGGCGTCGGATAGGCCGACGGTGATCTTCAGCAACAACAAAAAGCTAATCTACTCCAACGTCAACGTGCAAGAGGTGTTGCATGTCTGTCCGTTCAGCAGCGAAGCGTTCCCGGACGCTCTCGCGTTGGCGGGCGACGAAGATTTAACCATCGGCGGGATTGACGACATTCAAAAGCTGCACATTCGCACGATCCCACTCGGTGGTCACCCGCGTAGGATCGCGCATCAGGTCGACACGAACACATTCGCGGTCGCGGTCGAGCATTTGATGTCGAAGGGTGATCAAGAACTCTTCATCAGACTCATCGACGACGGTTCGTTTGACACGCTCCACCAGTTTCGATTAGAAGAGCACGAATTGGCGAGTTCCTTGATGTCGTGCTCGTTCGCGGGCGATTCGAGAGAGTACTACGTCGTCGGTACGGGGTTTGCTTACGAGCAAGAAGATGAACCGTCGCGCGGGCGCATTCTCGTCTTACGCGTTGAGGCGGACGCCCTTGAACTCGTATCCGAGAAAGAAGTTCGAGGCGCCGTGTACAACTTGAACGCATTCAAGGGTAAACTTCTCGCGGGGATCAATTCTAAGCTAGAGCTATTCAAATGGACACCGCGCGAAGACGACGCGCACGAGCTGGTGAGCGAGTGCTCGCACCACGGCCAAATCATCACGTTCTCCGTCAAGACGAGAGGCGATTGGATTCTCGTCGGCGATTTGCTTAAGTCCATGTCGCTGTTACAGTACAAGCCCGAAGAAGGCGCGATCGACGAGATCGCGAGAGACTTTAACGCAAATTGGATGACTGCGGTGGCGATGTTAGACGATGACGAAACCTATCTCGGCGCCGAGAACAGCTTGAACCTGTTTACCGTCGCTCGCAACATGAACGCTATGACGGACGAAGAGCGTAGTCGTTTGGAAATCACGGGCGAGTATCACCTAGGTGAGTTCGTCAACGTGTTCTCTCCTGGTTCACTCGTCATGAGCCTCAAAGATGGCGACAGTTTAGAAGTCCCCACTTTGCTCTTCGGCACTGGTAACGGCGTCATCGGCGTCTTGGCCAGTCTGCCGAAGGACGCCTACGATTTCGCCGAGCGCCTTCAAACCTCCATGAACAAGCACATCCAAGGCGTCGGTGGCTTGAAACACGCGGAGTGGCGTTCATTCCGCCACACGCTTCGCCGCAAGAGCGATCCTTCGAGGAATTTCGTCGACGGCGACCTCGTCGAATCGTTTCTCGACTTAAAAGTCGAGCAAGCCGACGTCGTCGCCGCTGACATGAAGTGCGATCGCGCCGAAATCATTCGTCGCGTCGAAGAGCTTCAGCGCTTGACGCATTAACGATGAACGTACACGTAGCGTAGCGTAGCACTGAATCGAACCGAACCGAACCGAACCAAACTGAATCGAAACGCGTCCCGACCTTTTTCAGTGGATAACGACGTCACATCTGACGTCACATATACTCACGCCGACTCGCGACGCGATGGCGACGACGATGGCGACGGCGACGCGAACGACGACGCGAATGACGACGCGAACGACGACGACGCGGCGCGCGGCGAAGAACGAGCGTCGCGTCGCGTGCGTTCGCCGCGCCGCGAACGATGATGCCGCGAACGATGGCGCCGCGCCATCGCCGTTCGTCGCGCCGAGCGAGGCGCCGGCGTTGACGAAACGAGGCAAACCGATGCCGAAACCGCAAAAGCCTCAAAGGCGTAAGGCGAAGACCGGTGGGAAGCAAGGGGAGCAGATGAAGGCGAAACCGCCGAGCGCGGAGGAAGTCGCGGCGGCGGAACGCTTCGACGCCATCGTCGCGAAGGGTGGAGCGATCTTCGAAGTGTTCGTGCGCGCCGCTGGGCCTAATCAATGGTTCCCCGTGGGACCTCTCGCGAGCGAGAGCCCGCGTAATATCAAGAAGGAAATTTGGGCGGCGGAGAAGCCTTTGAAGGAGGCGGCGTTTAAGATGTATCCCGCGTTGGCGAAACCGCCGGCGTTCGGAAGAGTTGAGTACGGTTATCGCGAGCGTGACGAAAGCTCTAAGATCACCGAGGAACAAATTCGTGAAAAGCAAGGTCAGAAGAATCCGTTCGACGACGTCATTTTACTCACCAAGGATGACGATTCGACGACGGCGGGCGCGGAAGAGAATGACTTGTTGTCCAAGTTCAAAAAGATGCTGAACCCGTACGATAACTAATTGGCTTAGTCAGCGTTGCGATATCGAATTCTATTAAATGTAGGCACTCACCGCCGAGCGAACGGCGAAAGGCTCGCAGCGTTAAATGTAGCCGGATAACCGTTTCCTTCCCTGTCGAGCGAGGAGCGCCGCGCCGTACGCGGCTTCGTCGCACGCCGATCGTTCGACAGGGATATCTCCCATGGCTTTCGAGCGCATGCCACTCCACACGCCGTTCTTCGCCCCACCTCCCGCGGTGTACACTTTGCGCGCGCCGTGCGACGCCCCGAGCGTTCGCATGCGCTCGTAGCATCTCGCCTCGACGTTGGCGATGGAACTGAGAATGTTCACCACGAATTGCGCGTCGTCCGCCGGTCGTGACTTTTCCACGATCGCCGACGCCTCGTCGACGCTCAGACCGAAACCTAGCATCACCCCGTCGAAATAATCCTCCGTCGCGACGTAACCTTCGTTTGCTATTTTCTCGCTCAGCGACTCGAGGGCGTCGTTGGAAAAGAATCTGCGTAAAATCCATCCTCCCAGATTCGACGCCCCGCCCACGAGCCACCGACCGTTGAGACGGTGCGAGTACACGCCCGAGCTCAGGTCGTCGACGCGCGTGTCGGAGATGAGTTTCAACGCGAGCGTGCTCCCGAGACTCGTCGCGCACTCTCCCGATTCGGCCGCCTTCGACGCCACGAACGCGGCGACGCTATCCGTCGTCCCTGCGATGACTTCACACGTCGACGGAAATCCTAACCGCTTCGCCACATCGGCGTCCATGACGCCGAACGACGTTCCCGGCGCGCGAACGTCCGTCGGCAACATGTACCCAAACGGCGCGTCTCGCAACCATCCCGGAAACGCCTCCACCCCCGGCGCTGGATCGAACCCAAGCTTCAACGCGTTATTGAAATCACTCATGCCCATCTTCTTGTGCAGCAGATACGCCAACCAATCCGCGTGATGCAACAGCGCCGCGTGCTCTCTGTCTCCCTCCGCGTCCACGCGAAACCATCTCGAAAGTTTACACGCCGCGCTCGACGCGCTCTCCGTCGAATCCTTCCCCGGCCCGTTCCTCAGCGCTCGCACGCGTTCTACTTCGTCTGGAAACGTTTCGTTATACATGTACGGTTCTCGCAGCGCTCGCCCGTCGCGCGCGTCGACGATGACCACCGTCCCGCTCGTGCCGTCCACCGCCACGCCTTGGCACCGCTCGCGCTCCTCCGCGTCCATCGCGTCCTCGAGCAGCTCGAACAGCGCGCGCTCCCACGCCCGCGCGACGCTCGCGTTCGCGTCGTCGTACGCCCTCGTTCGCACGCCGACGAGCGCGCCTCGATCGTCCACGAGCGCCAGGCGCGCGCTCGACGTCCCAAAGTCCAAGCCGCAGTACAACCACCCATCGCTCGCGCTCGCGCGCGCGCGCCGCATCGCGCGCGCGTCGCGCGCCGTTCCGCGCCTCGAGACGCGCGCGCTCTCGCGCGTCGCGTCGCGTCGCGCGCCGCGCGTCGCGTTCGTCGACCGCGTCGACGTCGAGCGCATGCGCGAGGCGCGGCACAGACTGACGCGTCGTCGCCGATGGCGCTCGCGCGCGTCGCGGCGCGCGGTCGCGCGACGCGCGGCGCGGTCGCCGATCGCGCGACGCGCGCGTGGATCGCGCGCGCGCGCCCCGCGCGCCCCGCGCGCCGCGCGCGCGCGCGCGAGGCGGTCTCGATGCTGACGTGGCGCTCGAGACCCGCGCGCGCGCGTTCGTCGCGCGCGCGAACGACGCGCGCGCTGGACGACGACGCGGACGACGCGCGCGACGACGACGCGCGCCCGCGAGAGGACGCGCGCGACCGAGGACGCGCGCTCGAGGACGGGCTGCTCGTCCTCGGCGACGTGACGGTGCTGTGGCTGTTTCTGTTGTATAAAAAAGTCTCCGCGGTGAGCGCGGCGGCGGATTTCCCAGGATGGTTGGCCCCGATCGAGGTCACGGCGCGGAGCGCGGCGGCGTTTTCGATCGACGCGGCGTGGTCGCTGATCTTGTGGGTGGTGGTGAGCGCGGTTTTGACGAAGAGTTACGAAATCGACTGGGACGAGACGCCGTCGGTGCGGCGCGCGACGAGCGAAGTCGTCCAAACGTGGGCGGTGTGGGCGCCGTTGCAAGCGGTCGGGGTCGTGTTCGCGACGAAAGGCGGATTAGCGCAAGAGGCATCTCACGGGCTGCTGGTGTCGACGCTCACCGCGCTGGGGGTGATGCTCGGGTGGCGGTGTTACGCCAAGGTGTTTTCGTTGTTGGCGCCGAGTCGATCGAGCGACAACGCGGCGAGCGACGACGTGGAGTGGGGGGAGTTTTATCGCGTGTTCGGCGGCGTGGCTGCGTTGTGCGTGGCGTGCGCGATGGCAGAGATGATTCATTACGGTGGCGGCGACGCTTCGCTCGAGTTTTAGTTTGTTGTATCATTACGTTGTATCATTACGTATACAGTCTTCAGTCAGTCAGCACGCAGTCGATGAAGTGTACGGCGCCGTCGCGCGCGAAAATTTGTTCACCGATGACGGCGCATCCGTTTACGAAGACTTCGCCTCGTCGTCGCGTCTCCACGTACACGCGACTTTGATCGTCGTCGCCGGCGACGGTGGTGAGCGATTTCAAGGCGCGCCCGGTGGCAAGTTCAGAGATTTCGTGGAATCCGAGCGCGACGTGGCGAGACAGCATGTCTCGAAAGACGCCGTCGTCGTAAAATGTCGCCCCGACGCGTGGATCTCCCAAGAATCGCACGAACGCATCGTTCGTCGGCGCGAAGACGGTGAACCTACGGGATTCGTTCCAGAGCTCGGACATCAACGTCGAGCCCGCCAACGCGTTGGCGAACATCGACACGCTCGGCTCTGACGAAATATATTGCGCCAGCGTGCGCGACGTGGGTAATGGGTGCCGCGGTGGTAGTAAAACACAATCGATATAGTGTACGACGCCGTGGTCGCCGACTCTGACGTCGCGGCGATTCGCCGCGGGATGAACAAAGCATCCGTTGACGCGAACGGGAACGTTCGAACGCCTGCTATCGGTATACTTCTCCACATGCAACTCTTCGTCGTCGAGATCAGTCATAAGCGAAGTTCCGAAACCCATGTTTGAGGTGTGCGCGATGTCGCGGACGATGTGGTATCGAAGCGCGTCGGCCAGCCAAATCGTGTCGGCGAACAGTTCCTCCTTCGTGACGCCGAGACGAAAGAGCAGGGCGTACCACGCCTCGTTTGTCGGTACGAAAACCGTTGAAGTTTGATTGGAATCCAAGTCGTTCCGAACGCCGGTGAGCGTGAGAGCGTCCGCCGTAAATCCAATCTCCGCGTCGCGTCTGGGATCGAGTATGAAATTTGCGATGGTTTCTCGTTCCGGAGGCGCTCGCGTTGGGAACAGCGGCGTCGGCCGACGATCGGGTGGTGGCGAACCTCGCACGTCTTGCGTGTAATACTCAATCTCGGATAACTCCAAATCGCGATGTGTGTGTGTGTGGTCCATCGGCGGCGGCGGCGCGATGACGCCGTCCCACTCGGATCCGTCGTCGCCGGCGACGTCGTCGCACGCCTCACCCTCCGTGAGTTCTCCAGAGCACGAACCAATCGCGAAGTCTCGAAAAAACTGGATGCCGTTTTCTCCAATCACTAACTGAATCGTCGTCATAAGTTGATTGTCGCAAAAACAGCGTTTTGCGTTCGCTTTGTCGAGCGCTCGACAACACGCGTCCTCGCTCGAGCTCTGTCCGCCGTTCAAGTTGCACGACGTGGAAAGCCCGGAGAACACGAGCGTTTGGCACGATGACTCCGCGGCGTCGCCGACGTGGAACGACGAAAAGGCGATGCATACGACCACGCAAAACACGGGGCGACGCATCGCGCCGGCGTGTGACGTGAAGTCCCTCGCGAGCGCGAACAATTTCTCGGCTTTCGATGACACGGCTATTTAGACAAGTAGTAGAGCAGGACGAACGTCGTGCACGCGGCGACGACGGCGGCTAAAATCATCGCATCTTTATTCTTTTTCCGCTTGATCGCCAGCACCAAGTTATTCAACACCGGAAACTTGCTCGTCATGGTTAAAATTTTCGCCCCGGCGTTTTGTAAAATTCCGCGTTGCGCGAAGAGCTCTCGCGCCGTGTTCTGCGCCACGCTGATGATATCGTCCATCGCGCTCGCGCTCCCCGCTATGCGCGCGCGCTCACGAATCAACCTCGCCTCCGCGCTCTCGTCGGGTCCGCCCGAAGCGCTCGACCCCGCGCGTCCTCCCAACAAACTCTCCCGCTCCGCCGCGTCCTCGGCGTCTCTTCTCAACCGCCGCAGCTCGTCCGCGTATTCCTGCAGCACGTCTCGATGTCTCTGCAGCGTGTGTCTCCGCGAGTCTCGATACCCCGCGCTCGTCGCGCCCTCCCCCTCCCGTCCGCTCGCGCTTCTCGCCCGTTCGTCATCCGCCTCCAGCGCGCGCGCCATGTCCTCGTCGATCGCTCGCAGTCGCGCGATCTCTCGCTCCACCCTTTCCATCGTCTCGACCGCGTCCCGCGTCGCCGCGCGCGCGTCCGCGCCGCCGTACCGCGCTTTCGCTCCTATCGTCCGTCACCGTCGCCGCTCGTCAATCGCCCGCTCGCGCCATCGCGTCGCGTCGCGTCGCGTCGCGTCGTCGGATGGTCGCGTCGCGCGCGAATCGCCCGCGTCGTCGGATGGTCGCGTCGCGTCGCGTCGCGCGCGCACCGAGCGCGCTCAGCTCCCCGAGCTCGCGCTCTATCGCGCTCTCCGTCCGTCGCGCATCCTTGCGCAGATCCTCCCACGCCCGCGTCGTCGCCGTCGTCGCCATCCGCGCGTCGCGTCCTCGCGCCCGCGCGCCGCGCGCGCGATCGATCGATCGCGAAACCATCGCGCGATCGACCGCGCGACGATCGCGCGATCGATCGATCGACCGCGCGATCGATCGACGCGGGCGTCGGACGCGTCGATCGCGCCGCTCGAGGCGCTTTTTCGCGAAAAAGCGATCGCGCGCGCGACGATCCGACGCGGCGTTCGCGCGTCACAGAAGCGCGACGCGACCGCGACGCGCTCGGCGCGCGACTTCGGGCGTCGGTGCGGCTCTTCATCGCGCGCGCGCTTCGTCGCGAACGCCGGATTCGGTCGATCGCGACGAACGACGACGGCGTCGATTCATCCATCGATCGCGCGATTGGATTGATCGCTTTTTCGCGATCAGCGATCTGATTCGCGATGGCGACGCGTGCGATGCGTTCGGGCGACGCGCGGGCGTCGCGGGCGGTGACGCGGACGCGGGATCGTCGCGGGGGCGCGCGCGCGCGGCGCGCGGCGCGGTGCGCGGCGCGCGCGGGCGGCGCGGGGGAGGACGGGAACACGAAACGGTTGAGGACGACGGCGGAGGCGTTCACGGATCCCGCGCTCAGGAGACGAGCGATGCGGCTGGACGAGAGGTTGGCGGACGCGATCGCGTGTGAGAATTTTGCGGCGGCGGCGAACGTGCGGGACGAGCTGCGCGCGCTGCGACGACGCGATCCGCTGGCGCGGGCGGAGGACGACTTGGCGGAGCTGATTTTGCGCGAAGACTACGAAAAGGCGGCGAGCGTGAAGATGTTGATCGAGGAACTCGAGCGAGACGCCGTCGTGGACGGGCTGTCGCCGTGCGAGAGCGATCGCACGACGCGCGGCGTGCGCGTGCGGGTGAAATCGCGATGCGTGATCGATCGAAGCTCGCCAAAGGAATCTATGTGGTTTTTCCAGTACGTCGTGACGATTACAAACGTCTCCGACTCCAGCGTCAAGTTGTTGAGTCGAAGCTGGTTGATCACGGACGACGAGGGACGAACGGAAGCCGTGCGCGGAGCCGGGGTCGTGGGCAAGCAACCGACGATCAAACCGGGCGCGAGCTTCGAGTACGCGTCGTCGACGCCTTTGAAGACCAAGCGCGGTACGATGGAAGGCTTTTACAGATTCGTCGCCGTCGACGCCGAGGAGGCGTCGCGCGCGGAATCCGTGACGATGGACCTCGCGCGCGAGGACGATCCCAGCGCCTTCAACGTCGAGATCGGCGTTTTCGGCTTGTCCGAATCCGCGACGTCTTGATCGCGACGCGTTCTCGCGCCGCCGCCGAAACGCGCGCGGCGCGCGTCCCGCGTCTCGTCGGCGCCGCCGCTCCCGGTCAAATTTTCTCCCCCGTCGTTATCCCTCGCGCGAGGTTTCCCTCACGCGCGTTGTTGTTGTGTTTTAAATCTCGCGAGCGCCGGCTTCGCGAGCCGCGCCGTCCCGCGCGCGTCGTCCGCGCCCGGACGCTCTTGTAACGCCAGTCGTCGTCGCGCATCCTCACACCCCGCCGCGCGATGACCTCCGCCGCGACCGCGCCCTCGCGCGCGCGCGCGACGCGCGTCGGCGTCGTCGCCCTCGCGCGTCGCGCGTCCTCGCGCGTCTCGCGCGCGTCCCTCGCGCGCGCGCGCGCGCCCCGTCGCGCCGCCGCCGCCGCGTTTCGCGACGACGACGACGCGCGCGCGTCTCGCGCGCGAGGGACGCATCGGCGCGACGACGCCGACGAGCGCGCGCACCAGCGCGACGCGCGCGAGCGCGACGCCGAGCGGCGAGGCGGGTTTCGAATCATCGAGCGCGGCGACGGCTCGCGGCCGGGCGACGCGGACGCGAGGCGCGGCGACGACGGCGACGACGGCGACGACGCGCGGCGAGCGCGGAGAGAAAGAGACGACGGATTCGCGCGGAGAGAAAGAGACGACGCGCGGTTCGGGTCGAGGTTCGAGGCGGACGGCGGTGGACGCGCGCGCGAGGGAGGACGGCGGGGTCGCGGCGGTCGCGGCGGCGCGCGCGAGGGAGGACGAGGACGAGGACGAGGACGAGGACGAGGACGAGGACGGTTCGACGGCGCCGAGCGGGACGGCGAACGCGGGCGGGGACGATTTGGACGCGGAGCGGTCGGTGACGACGGCGCGCGCGGACGCGAGGGCGGCGCGCGAGGGTTTCGAGGCGATGGCGACGACGCGTACGAGCGGCGGGATCGGTATTACGACGCGAGGAGCGAGTACGAGGGAGGTGACGACGTGATGGACGAAGACGATCGCGCGTTCGATGACGACGATGACGATTGGTTGTTGCGAGGGCTGGAGGACGAACTCGAGGACGGACGTCGATGGGGCGAGGAGAGAAAACAGTACCTCCCCGAACTCTTGAGCAAGTACGTCGAGGACGACTTCGAACCCATGGTGTACACGCGCGAGCCGGATGATTTGGACGAGTACTCGTTCTTTTCCGGCGCGCGGTTCAACCAGCTCGGCGCGAGCGACGAGGTGCGCGCGGCGTTGAAGGAGAGTTTCAAAATAGATCGTCCGTCGCACATTCAAGCGCAATCGTACCGCGTGCTCAGCGGCGACGTCGCGGGCGCGTCCGCGCCGCGCTACGACGGCCACGTTTTGTTGGCCGATCAAGCGGGAAGTGGAAAGACGTTGGCGTACTTGTTGCCGCTGCTGCAGCGCGTGCAAAAGATCGAAGTCGAGCAAGGGCGAAGCAAATCGAAAAAGCCGCGGCTTTTGGTTTTGACGCCGACGAGCGAGCTCGCGACGCAAGTGCGAGACGTCGTAAAGCAACTCTCTTTCGGCGGCCTTCGCTCGCGCTCGCTCCTGGCAAACAACGTCAGTAAGTCGCGAACGCAAATTGAAGCTCTCGTAGACGGCGTAGACATCGTCGTCGGCACTCCCGGGCGCGTGGCGAGGCTCATCGAGGAAGGCAAAATGTTCACGGACGACGTCGACGCGGTGGTTTTGGACGAGTGCGACGTCTTGCTCGGTGAAAGCTTTGAGTTCGCCGAACAAGTCGCGCCGATTCGAAACGCGGTGAAATCAGACACGCAGTTCGTGCTCGTCACCGCCACGATCCCGGACGAAGTGTTGAAGCAACTGAAAAAGTTTTTCGAGCGCGATATTCGCGTCGTGCAAGGCCCGGGTCTTCATCGTCCTTCGGCTGGTATGCTCGAGCGTCTCATCGATTGTAGCGGTGGTGACGTCTTCGATGACCAATCGGGATTTTATCGCAAGTTCAAAGCCTTGCTCGATTTGCTCGAGGTCGACAAAGCCGACCGGGCGTTGCTGTTTTGCAACAAAATCGAGACGTGCAGAAAGCTCGAAAACATGCTCACGCGCGCCGATCGCGACGGCGACAAGTACAAGATACTACCGTACCACGCCGCGCTGTCGCGCGAGCAGCAGCAGAGAAACCTGAAAGAGTTCATCACGTCGCCGTCGAAGATGCCGCACATTCTCGTGTGCACGGACCGCGCGTCTCGAGGTTTGGACGCTTCGCGAGTCAAGCACGTCATCTTGTTTGATTTCCCGCGCGACCCGAGCGAGTACGTTCGACGAGTCGGGCGCACCGCGCGCGGCGCGTTGGGCGAAGGGCGCGTGTCTGTTCTCGTGCTCGGTCGACAAGTGCGTCTGGCGCGCGAGATCATGCGAAGAAACGATCGCGGCGACCCCGTCGAGGCGACGCCGACGAATTTTTAGCGTCGAGCGCTCGAGTGTTGTAAATGTATTTATTTCATTTCATACAGCAATAACGTCGTTCACTTCTTCTTCGTCCACATGAAATAAGGATTTCTGCACTCCTCCCCCGCGCACACCGGCATGCAGTTACACACAGGTACGTACGCCAAGTTTCGAGCCACCGAGTCGCCGCGCCCGTCGTTCATATTCTTGCGCATGTGATACTCCCAATGGTTTTCCGGAATTTCTTCGTCCGCCGCGGCTTCCCACACCGTCGGTCCGGTGACGAACTCCCCGTTCACGATTTCCTCCTCGCTCTCGCTCTCGCCGTCGTCGTCCTCGTCCTCGTCGTCCCCCGAACCATCGCGCGCGTCCTCGGTGATTTCATCCGCCAGCGCTTGCAATTCCTTCATCTCTTCGTGCCTCGTGCGCGCCTTTCCCAGCGTCGCGTCCCCATCGCGCCCGTCGTCGACTTCGGTGATCTTCGCCATGTCGTTCGACGCCTCGCGCGTCGCGTCGCGCGTCGCTCTGTCGCGCCTCGGTCCCGCGTCGTCGTCGTTCCCGACGAAAAACGCTCAAAAAACGCTCCATCGACGGTTCAGGACTCGAGCGAGGGGACTCGAGCGCGCGCGCGTCGACGCGCGCCCCTCGACATTCACGACCGCCCGCCCGCGCGTCACGACGCCGCGCGCCGCGACGCCGCGCCGGTTCGTCCCGACGCTCGAACGCGCGCCGACCGCGACGCTCGACGCGCGACGCGCTCGCGACGCGCGCGCGACGCGCGCGCGACGCGCGCGCGTTCGCACTCGTAACACCCTCCGGAATGTCGCGCGCCGCGGCGGGACGTCTCGCGTCGTTCGACGCGCGCGCGCGCGCGAACGATGACTCGGGCGACGCGCACGCGTGGTTGAGCGAGGACGAGGGCGACGCGAGCGACGACGGTCGACGGGGACGGTCGACGAAGCGATTGAACCGACGCGACGCGCTCGGCGCGGTGTACGCGGGACGGTCGGCGTCGCGACACAGCGAATACGAAGCCGAGAACGAGGCGATCGAGATCACGCGGGCGGAGCTGGAGAAATTGCGGGAGAAGATCGATCAGGCGAGGAGCGAGGCTGGGTACTCGAGCTCGAGCGCGCGGTCGAGTCGACGGGGGTCGCGCGCGAGCTCGAGGCACTCGAGTCGAGGGCCGCGCGGAGGGTCGATGCTCGCGAGCACGGAGAGCGTGGATCCGGATTTCGCGGACGAGCGAAGCACGCAAGATGGGAGCTCCGTGAACGTGGGCGTGAACGGTTTATTAAACGCGTTGGGAGGGGAAACCCCAAAGATTTGGGACGACGAGGACTTGGACGACGAAGCTACGAAGAAGCGACAAGGCGCCCATCACATCGGCTCCGCCGTGGTGCCGCAGAAAGTTGTGGAGAAATACGACAAGGCGCGGAAAGATTACGAGGCCGCACTCAAGGCGAAGAAGGATAAGAAGGATAGACTGCGACGCGAAGCCGCCGAGGCGGCGGCGGCGGCGAAGAAGGAAAACGCGTCGTCGTCGGTGGATGCTCTCGCCAAGGAATTCCAAAGGGCGATATCGTTCTCGCACGAGGACGATCAGCGCAAGGTGCGCCAGAGGATGGACTACAAGAACACCGCGGTGTATCGGAAAAAGGCGGCGCGTCTGGCGAACGCGAAAAAACCGCCGGCGACGTTTTTTGAGCGCCTCTCCGGCGCCCTCTTTGGCTGCTGTATGCATCGTTGAAGGCACGATTAGCGTTTTGTATTGCATATATCTTTTAGTTTGTAGCGAACGCACTCATTCGTCGTCGTCGACGTCGTCCGCCGCGTGATCTTCGTCTTCGTCGTCTTCGTCGTCGAAATCGAGTTGAATGAAGCCGCCGAGAAACATGTACGAAATCACCGACGCCGCGGCGAAACCGACCGAGTACCACGCCTTCCTGCGCATATCCTTATCTTTCTCGCTCATTTTCTTCGCCTTGGTCGTGCGCGGTTTCCATCCCGTTCGACGCTCGGCGTGATTCGAGTCGTACCTGTCGCCCCACGCGCTCGGATCCACCGTCGGCGCCGTTCCTCGCGAGGGCTCGACGTCGTCCGCGTTCTGCACCAGCGTCTTCTCCATCTCCACCAATCGTTCCGTGACATCGTTCACGTACTGTATCAACCGCGGATACCGCTTCATCTCCGCTCGCAGCGGCCCGCACGAGGGCGACCGCGCGTGATAACTCAACTGCGCGTACGCCGCCGCGTCGCAGCTCCTCGGTTTCGCCCCGCACAACCAATACCCATCTCCGTGCCTCGCGTTCGAGTTCACCAATCGATTATTCAACGCCCCATACGCCTCCACCGCCATCGCGCACGCCCGTTCGCCGTCCACGCCCGCCCTATCGAGCTCTCGCTTCGCCTCCTTCGCCGCGCTTCGCGCCGTCCACGCGCTCAGCGGCCACGGCAGCGTCTTCGCCAATTCCTCCTTTCGCGCCTCGTATCCCACCGCGTCGACGTACGCAAAGTATTCGCTCGCCAGTCTCAAATTTTCTCGCGCCAGCGCGTGCAATCCCGCGATCATCGCGCGTTCATCCGCGCTCGCGTCGCCGTCGCAGTCTCGCGTCCGCGTCCGCGTCGCCGTCGCGCATCTGTGCGCCGCCTCTCGCGCGCTCCGCGGCGCCGGTCCCGCCCCCGAGGCGTCCCCGTCGACGTCACCATCGATCTCCACGCACGGCAGCGCGCCCGAGGGCGAGCTCGCCGCCGTCGCGCACCGCTCGACGCGATGTTCGACGCTCGACGTCAGCAGCAGCGCCGCGACGTGCGCGCTCTCCACGCCGTCGTGCGTCGGCGCGTCCCCGATCGAGCGCTGGCGCGCGTACAGCGTCACCGCGGGCATCGCGTCGCGTCGCGTCGCGCGATCGGCGCGCGCTGCGGGTCGGAGTGCGGCGACACTTCGCGTCGCGATGCCGCGCGTCGGCGATGCCGACGCCCCGCGGCGACGCATCGCGCGTCTCTCGACGCACGTCGCGCCGACGGCGCGCGCCGACGTCGCCGTGCGCGTCTCGGACGAGGTGCGCGCGACGCTGGCGCGCGGCGGCGCCGTCGTCGCGCTCGAGAGCACCATCGTCGCGCACGGGATGCCGCATCCAGAAAATCTCGAAACGGCGCGCGCGGTCGAGCGCGCGGTGCGCGCGCGAGGCGCGACGCCGGCGACGGTGGCGATCGTGGACGGCGTCTGCGTCGTCGGCGCGACGGACGGTGAACTCGAGCGCGTGGCGCGCATGGGGACGGCGTGCGCGAAGGCGTCGAGACGAGACCTGAGCGCGGCGTGCGGGACGGGAAAGACGGCGGCGACGACGGTGAGCGGGACGATGGTGCTGGCGCGCGCGGCGGGCGTGGACGTGTTCGTCACGGGAGGGATCGGTGGCGTGCACGTGGGGGGGCAGGACACGATGGACGTGAGCGCGGATCTGATGGAGCTCGGAAGAACGCCGGTGGCGGTGGTGTGCGCGGGGGCGAAGTCGATTCTGGACATTCCGAGGACGCTGGAGGTGCTGGAGACGAACGGGGTGACGGTGTGCGCGTACGGCGTCGACGAATTTCCAGCTTTTTTCACGAGATCGAGCGGATGCGAGGCGCCGGCGCGCGTGGACACGCCTCTGGAGGCGGCGAAGGTCATCGACGCGGGACTGCGGCTGAATCTAAACAGCGGAAGCGTTTTCGCGGTGCCGATACCGCTCGAGCACGAGGCGCTGGGGGCGAGCATCGAGAGCGCGACGGCGCGCGCGTTGCGCGAAACCGAAGAACGAGGCGTCGCGGGCCGCGACGTCACGCCGTACGTCCTGAAACGCGTCGCCGAGCTCACGGGCGGGGCGAGTTTGAAGGCGAACATCGCGTTGGTGATGAACAACGCTAAAATCGGCGCGGACATCGCGTGCGAGTTGGCCAGGCTGCGGTCGTCGTGAAGGAAACGTCGTGTTGGTACTGTATTCGTAATGTGAAAGATAGCTAGTCATAGTGTGTCCGTCGTACATCGTCGCTCCTCGTCGCTCCTCGTCCTCGGGCGTAAACTACTTGGGCGAATCGTCCTCGTCCTTGAGCTGAATGACGATGATCGTCGTTTCGTCCTCCTCCGCCGCGTCTTCGCTCGGTTTTTCCGCCTTGGCCTCGGGCGCCTTGGGCTTCGGCGCCTTGGGCTTGGCGCGCGATACGACGGCCACCGGTTCTTTCGCCGGAGGCATCCCGATGAGCGCGCGGATTTCGTTCCCCGTGAGCGTTTCCTTCTCCATCAACGCCTTGGCGATGGTGTGCAAATCGCTCAGGTTGGATTTTAACAGCTTTTGCACGCGCGTTTGCGAATCCTTCAAGAGCTTGATGACTTCGCCGTCGACGGCGGACTCCGTGGACCCAGAAGCACCGCGTCCGGCGTTTCCACCGCGAATGCTCGAAAGATGCACCGGACCTAAGTTGGTGTTCATGCCGACGTCGCTAATCATGTAAAACGCCAAACGTGTGGCTTGCTGCAGATCCCCGCTCGCCCCCGTGGTGACTTCGTCCGAGCCAAAGATGAGCTCCTCGGCCAAGCGACCGCCCATGCACACGTCCAAACGCGCCATGAGTTGCTTGCGATTCACGCTTGTCTCGTCCTTGTCGGGAAGTTGCATCACCATCCCCAGCGCCGACCCTCGAGGCATGATGGTGGCTTTATGAATCGGAAGCGCCGCGTCGGATTTCAACGCCACGAGCGCGTGTCCGGCTTCGTGGTACGCCGTCAACTTTCGGTTTTCTTCGCTCAATACCGCGGATTTGCGCTCGGCACCCATCAACACGCGATCGCGCGCCCAATCAAGATCCGCGGCGGTGATCGCCGGCGCGTCTGCCATCGCCGCTTGCACCGCCGCCATGTTCACCAGGTTGAACAACTCGGCGCCGCTAAATCCGGCGGTGCCGCGCGCGATTTTGTCGACGTCCACGTCGCTCGTCGTCGGCTTGTCGTCCAAGTAATGCTCGAGGATCTCGCGGCGGCCACCGATATCGGGATTAGGCACGTGCACCATGCGATCGAATCGCCCCGGACGCGTGAGCGCGGGGTCGAGCGACTCCGGGATGTTCGTCGCCGCCAGGACGATGATGCCGTCGTTTTGCTCGAACCCATCCATCTCCGTCAACAACTGGTTCAGCGTCTTTCGGTGCTGGTTCTCGATGGACTTGCGCGACGTACCGATGGAATCGATTTCGTCGATGAAGACGATGCACGGCGTCTTCTTCTTCGCCGCGGCGAAGAGCTGGCGAACGCGCTTGGACCCCACGCCCACGAACATTTCTTCGAACTCGCTCCCGCTTCGATAAAAGAATGGCACGTCCGCCTCGCCCGCGACCGCGCGCGCGAGCAAGGTCTTACCCGTTCCCGGTGGACCCGTGAGTAAGACGCCCTTCGGCAACTTGCCACCGAGTCGCGTAAACTTTTCCGGATTTCTCAAATACTCGACGATTTCCGCGAGCTCGTCCTTGGCCTCGTCGCACCCTTTGACGTCGTCGAACGTCTTCAAACTCTTCTCCGGCATCGTGTCTTTGTTGAACTGCTTCGGGTCAAAGTTCGGTCCACCACCGTTCGAACCCGGCCCCAAGCTCGAAGACGCAGACGAGCCCGATTCGTCTCGCGGCGCCGGCAACGAGTGACTCGAACTGTGACTCGGCCCGCTCTCGATGACGCGAACCGCGATGTGACGCAACGCCAGCGTGCTCAAGAAGCTTAAACTCGCGATGAAGAGCATGAAACCTAAAAACGCATTCAACAATCGCCGCCCCGCGCTTTGCGGCGGCGCCAATCCACCGACACCACCGACAAAGGCGACGTGCAACGGCGCCTGCGCGCTCTTCCCCGTCTCCAAAGGCACGAGCGCGTCCGCGCCTTTCGAGCGTTCGGAGAGATCGCCCAACAAATCCGGAAGCTTGCGATACGCCGTGGACTCGTCGAAGCTCGGCAACGGCTTCCCGAATCCCGCATCGCCGCCCGCGACGAAGTGTTCCAATCTATTCGTCCGCACGAGCGCCGTGACGTACGCGAGCACCGACACCGGCCCGCTCGCGTACCGTCTCGTCTCGAACCGCTTCATCAAATCATCGTTCCTATCGTACGCCAACAGCTCTCGCATCAACACGTCCTGCTTCGCCGCGTCCAGCGGACTCGCGTCGGCGTCGGCGAAGAGCGCGTCCCACTTCTTTTTATTCGCCGCGAAGGGTAAACCGTCCGCGAACGCCTTCGCCTTCGCCCTTATCCACGACGCTTTCCCCCCCTCGCGTCCCGTCGCCGTCGCCGCCGTCTCGGACGTCGACGTTTCCGAGCCTCCCGTCGTCGTTTCGCTCGATCCCTCCGCGCTCGCGCCTCGCGCCTCGTCCTCGCCCGTCTCGTCCTCGTCCTCGCGCCCTCGCGCCTCCCTTCGCGTCCGTCCCGAGCGCGCGCCCTCGCGTCCCTCGCGCGCGCGCGCGCGCCCACCGACGACGACGACCGTCCCGCGCGTCGCGCGCGTCGTCGTCGTCGTCATCGCGCGCGCCATCGCGCGCGTCGTCGTCGTCGTCGTCGTCGTCATCGTCATCTTCGAACGCTTCGTCGTCCTCGTCCTCGTCCTCGTCGCGTCGCGTCGCGCGTCGCGCGCGGGCGCGCGCACCGCGACGCGCGCGAGCATGCCGCGCGCTTCAATGTACGATCGATCGACGCGACGGGCGTCGACGAAGCCCGACGCGCGTCGACGCGCGCCGACGAGTGACGAATGACGCGCGACGCGCGACGCGCGACGGCGCGAAAAACCCGTAAGTCGCGCGCGCGCGTCGCGAGGGCGACCGCGCGGTCGCGCCTCGAGGCGTCGCGCGCGGTCGCCGTCGCGCGCGGTGCGAACGCGCGTTCGCTCTTTCGCGAATCGACGCGCGCGCGTCGAGGCGTCGCCCCTCGCGTCGTCGTCGTCGCGTCGTCGTCGACGTCCGTCGTCGTCGCGACCGCGCGTCGCGACGCGTCGGACGCGACGTCGTCGCGACGGTGAAAACGGAAAAAAAAACGCTCGCCGAGACGCGCGACGACGACGCGAGATGGCGACGCGCGACGACGACGACGCGAAGGGCGCGACGCGCGCGGGCGTCGCGCGACGAAACGTGCGCGCGCGCGCGGACACGGGCGCGAGTCGCGGCGCGGCGGTGTACGGCGAAGCGCGGGTCGACGACGGGCGCGACGCGCTGCGAGACGCGCTGCGCGCGTTCGAGGCGAAGTGCGATCGCGACGACGCCGCGCAGATGGCGGCGCTGGAGCGCGTGCGCGAGCACACGCGGGCGCTGGAACGCGGGCGAAAGGTGTGGGATCGTCGAGGGATGCCGGGCGTCGAGCGGGATTGGGGCGAGGCGCGAGAGGCGACGACGACGCGCGCGCCGCGCGAGGACGCCTTTTACGCAGAGTATTGCGAGTACGTCGAGCGACGGGACGGCGGGTCGAGAGAGCGGCGGCGCGCGGTTGACGCGCGCGCGGACGAGGACGCGCGCGCGCGCGTCGAGGACGACGATGACGAGGCGCGCGCGCGCGGTGTCGAGGCGACGTCGGCGTGACGACGGGACGACTCGACGCGAAGCGCGTCCGCCGCACATTCGGTCGCGCGACGCGCGTCGCGATGTCCGCGGCTTTCGCGTCGACGTCTACATCGACGTCGACGTCGACGTCGCGCGCGCGGTTGGACGCGGCGGCGCGGCGGCGCGGTGGACGACGCGCGAGCGCGCGCGCCGCGCCTCGGGCCTCGCGCCGTCGCGAGGCTTCGCGCGTCGCCGCCGCCGCGCTCGACGGCGGCGGGCTCGGTGGGTTCGGTGGGAACGACGACGACGGCGCGCGGCGTTGGCGCGACGACGACGACGATCCCGACCACGACGGGGCGTCGAGGAAGTTTAACGCGTGGATGAGGTTGTTCGCGGGGGCGGTGGCGCTCAACTGGACGACGCACGAGGTCATCGCGTGGAACGATCGACCGGCGCACGACGCGCCCGATGACGACGCGTGGGAGCAAAAACGCGTCTCGATCGTGGTCCCGGCTCGGAACGAAAGCAAGGCGATCGGGCGGTTGTTGAAGCAACTGCGACGCGCGCTCGAGCCCGAGGCGGCGGAGGTTATAGTCAGCGTCGGCGACTCGGTGGATGACACGGCGGCGATCGCCGCCGCGCACGGCGCGATCGTGGTTTCGGGAGCAAAGGGACGAGGGAATCAGATGAACGCGGGCGCGCGAATCGCGACTGGGGATTACGTATTGTTTTTGCACGCGGATACGACGCCGCCGGCGGACGTCGTGGACGTCATTCGTCGACAGCTTCGCGATCAAAAGACCGTCGTGGGCGGGTTCGTGTCGCTCATAGAGACCAAGTCGCGCACGTTTTGGGCGATGTCGTATCACAACGTCGTCAAGACGACGTATTGCGCTGTGATTAGTCGCCCTTTTGGCTACCTTCGAGGCTTTCGCATCCTGTTCGGCGACCAAGCCATGTTTTGTCGCCTCGACGATTTTAACGCCGTCGGCGGCTTCGACGGTTCGCTGTCCATCATGGAAGACGCGGATTTATGCGTGCGCATGCACGTCAAAGGTCGCGGGCGGTACCGCGGACGAGTGAAGCTCTTGGACCGCGTCGTCACCACCTCGGGCCGACGTATAGAGCAACTCGGCAACTTCAAGGCGACGTGCATACACGTCTTGATCGCGTGCAGCTGGAACTTTGGCGTCGGTCCGGAGAAATTGCGTAAACTGTACGACTGGTGTTACCGCGACGTGCGGTGACGCGCGCGGCGTCGGCGCCCTTTGGAAAATTATTAGCTCGCGTGTAAATCGACCGCCGCGTTCGCCTCACTTTGACGCTCGGTGATGATTCCACCGGCGTCCTCGTCCCCGTCTTCGTCCTCGTTTCGTGAAAACTACATCGGAGCGACGATACGCACCACCACGCGCGACGGGCGCTGCTTCGTCGGCACCCTTCGGTGCGTCGACAAGCAGAGGAACATCGTCGTCTCCGACGCGCGCGAGTACGCCTCGCTCGACGCCGCGATCGCGGACGACGGTTCCGAGGCCACCGCGCCGCAGCGCACGATCAACATGATTCTCCTGTCCGAGATCCAGCGCGCGTCGTGCGAGGTCTCGAGCGACGGCGCCGTCGCGGAGGCGCTCGCGGACCTCGCGCTGTGAGCGCGGCCGCCCGCGCGGCGCGCGGAAAACCCATAACTTTGGCGCCGCCAACTTTACGGGGGCGACGGCGACATCGTTTGGCATGTGGAGTAGTTAAGGCGACGTGAAGCCCATCAGTTTCCGTCACGGTCTTATAGTGTAGTTGGTTATCACTCTGGACTTTGAATTCACACGCAAAGTGTCCATACGCGAGCGCCGGTCGAACGGCGCGCTCTCGCCCTCGGATTGCGCACGCAGTAATCCAGCGACTCTGGTTCGAATCCAGGTAGGACCTCGTTTCTTTTTGTCGTGTCGCGCTCTTTTTGCCCGCGCCTGTCGCCCATCGTTCGCGCGCGTCGAATCGCCGAATCGCCGATCCGTGCGCGCGCCACACCGCGCCGCGCGTCGCGCCGATCGCGAGTTCGCGTCGACGCGCGCGATGTTCGCCGAGACCGCGAACGGCGCCGCCGCGAACGGCGCGCGCGACGACGCCGACGACGCGCGCGCGACGCGCGTCGACGCGCCCGCGACGACCGGTGACGACGAAAAGACCGGTGACGACGACGACGACGCGCGACGGCGCGCGCGCGAGGCGTCGAGCGAAACGGACGACGACGCGTCGAGGTACGTGTACGACCCGAACCGGGACGACGCGTCGATGACGACGTCGACGTCGGGCGCGAGGACGATTCAGGTGTGCCAGTACAACGCGCTCGCCGACGCGTTGGCGCTGAACGACGCGTTCGCGAGCGCGTACTACGGCGAGGACGACGCCGAGGCGAACGAGGAAATGTATGATTTGAATTGGACGAAACGGTCGAAGGATTTGCTTCGAGCGATCACGTCGAATGATTCGACGACGGCGCCGGACGTCATTTGCATGCAAGAGTGCGATCACTACTACGATTTCTTCGAGCCCGAGCTGAAGAAACTCGGGTACGCGGGGTTGTACAAGGAAGATCAGTGGTCGCCTTGTCGTAAATTCGGCGCGCCGTGCGATGGCGTGTGCATCTTTTACAAAACTGACAAACTCGAGCTGTTGTCGTCGCACGCGCCGGGGACGCCGCGCGCGCGCAAGGACGACCCGGCGCTCAACGCCGGGAAGACGTTAATGGCGAGGTTTCGGTTGAAGAAGGATCCTCGAAGCGAGTCTGGAATCCGCAACGCGATCGGTACGCTCATTCGCGGCAACGCCAAGCCCGTGTTCTCGGGAGAGGATCTCCAAGAAATCGTCGTCGTCACCACCCATCTCGAGTCGGCGAAAACCGTCGACGGCATCATCACTCGACTGGAGCAAACGAAAGAGTTGTGCCGACACTTGAACGCGTTCGCCACGAGTTTGTGCGCGGACGTGGATAAAGTCCAAATCATCATCGCCGGAGATTTGAACGCGACGCCCAACGAGGCGTGCGTGGTGCACTTGCGCGGACGCGGCATGCGCAACGCGTACGAGGACATGAGCGCGGCCCTCGGCGATAAAAACTCAAACAGATTTTCGACGTGGAAGACGCGCACCGGGTTGTTCAAGACCGGAGAAGTCAAACACACGATCGATTACATCCTCTACTCGGCCCATCGAGGAAGCAAAGTGGTGAGCGTGGCCAAGCTACCGGACGAGAGCGAAATCCCGAGCGACGTCGGATTGCCGACGTTTGGATTTCCGAGCGACCACCTTCCGTTACAAGCGCGCATCGCGATCCCGCCGTGACGTGATGGAATAATATGCTGCTAAACTATTCATTGATTTTACACCGCGTCTAACTTTTGCTTCAGCGCGCCGACGACGGCTTTCATCTCGTCGTGCGCCGACGCGCGGACAGTCAACCGCCTCGACGCGTCGTCTCGCCACAACAGCGCGCCTCGTTTTTCCGCCTCGCTCACGACGGCGCCGTAAAAAGTACCGGCCTGCGGGAAATCGCAGTACAGCACGCATTCCTCTGCTTCCATGCGTTCCATGTCGCGCGCCCAAAGACGAATTTGGTCGCACACCGTGCTCGGTACACTCGGCTTTTTTCGGCGAACTTGCTTGTGCGCGTGCGCGCGAATGTACCCCACGATCTGTTCTGCGTCCACACCCGCGCGAAGTGCGTTTTGCACGCTCTCGCGCGTCAACATACCGACGTACAAGTTGGGCAAGCGATAATCCGCGCGCGTGAACAGCCGCAAAATCTCCATCTCCACGGCGCTGGACGTGTACGCGTACACGCGATAATTCGTCTCGACTATGATGTGTCCTTCCGCCGCCGCCGCCGCCGCCTTGGTATCGCCGTCATCCCCGGTGAATCCGCCGGACAAGCCACTGGCGAGGAGCGTGGGGACGTAGTAGAACTTTTTCTTCACCTCAAACGTGTACAGCAACCCGAGATGCGTCAAATCGAGCACGACGTCTTGCTCCGTGTCGCTCAGCACCCCCGTCATCGCGTACGCGCGCCCCGGTTCCTGAAACGTCAGCCTGAGCAAGAAACTGATCGCGCTCGTCGCCGACGTCTTCTGCGAATCGCGTATGTACTGCGTCAACAGCACCCATATTTGCTCTTGCGCCGTCTGCAACAAAAACGCGAATCCCTCCGCGGTGACGCCCGCGTTCTTCAACCGCTTCTGTCCGCCCTTCTTCAGCGCCGCCGTCGTCGCCGTCGTCAGCCCCGCGGCTCGAAACAGCGCCTGCGCGTCCAATCGTCCCTTCACCTTGGCCCCCGGCCTCGAGAACGCGTTCGACGCCCCCGTGAGCGTGAGCAGCAAGTCTTCCCACTTCGCCTTCGCGTACGCGTTCAGCGTCGCTCGATCCGGCACCTTGGCCGCCACGCCCGCGTCCTCCCGCGCGTCTGCCCCGTCGCCATCGTCCAAATTCACGAATCCTCGCTCGAGCGCGCGTCGCAGATTATTCGCGAACGCCTCGTTCGCGACGACGCGCGCGTCTTCGCCCTCGCCCAGCGCCGTCGTCACCCTCAACCGCGCCAACCGCGCCATCGCGCGCTCCAGCGCGCGCGCATCGCTCGCGCCGTCGCCGCACCACTTCGCGCACTCGCGCGCGTCCGCGCCGTCGTCGACGTACGCCAGGCGCAGGATGATTTGTTTCGCGATCGAATCGCACGCGCGCAGCACCGCGAGCGCGCTCCACGGCGACGACGCGTACAGCGCGTCCAGCTCGCGCGGCGCGAGCGCGCACAGAAACGCGACGAACGCGCCGTCGGCCGCGCTCGTCGACGCCGTCGCCGCGTCGCGCGCCGGCGCCATGCCGCGGCGCGTCGATGAGTGACGACCGCAGTTCGCGTCGCGCTCGCCGTCGCGCTCGCGCGTCCAGCTCGCGCGGCGTCGCGACGCGGCGCGCGTCGATGCCCGCGCGCGTCGCCGCGGCGTTTCGCGACGCGCGATGCGCGTGGTGCGGCGAGACGACGCCGTGCGCGGAGCAAGGCTTGTGCCTGGACCCGACGAAGATTTGCGCGACGAGCGTCGAGCGCGTCGACGGCGGCGCGGCGAGCGGCGCGAGCGACGGAAGCGCGCCTCTCGATGCGTTCCTGATCGAGGGCGCGCTCGTGGTGGCGCGAGAGGATGGGTCGTGGGCGGCGGCGCGGGCGACGAGCGCGACGACGACGACGACGACGACGGGACGCGGGGCGAAGGCGGAGGGCGCGGCGCGCGAGGAACGCGAGAGGATGGTGGAGCTGTTCGGCGCGATCGGGTGCCCGCCGGACGTGGAAGAGGCGCGGGCGCGGTTGGTGGCGAGGAAGTGCGAGACGGTGCCGCACGACGACCACGTCGATTTTCTCGTGGGCGAGCGGTTGGTGCATTTTTCAAACGCGGACTGTTGCGGCGACGGGTGCGCGTTAAAGACGAAGACGCACGTGGAAGATCACGGGTGGGTGAAGGTGTTGCGACATCGACGCGGTGGGGTGGATGGGGGGGATTACAAGCCGTTTCCGTCGACGCGGGAGGGCGCGAACGACGCGGACGATTCCGACGCCGTCGTCGCGAGATGGGCGCTGGAATCAAAGGGCGGGACGGAACAGAGCACGCACACGCGCTTGCTCGTGAACGGAATATGCTGTCCGAGTGAGGTACCGCTGATTCATAGGGTTTTAGATAAGATGGAGGGCGTGCGAGACGTCAAAGTCGTCGTGCCCACGAAGACGGTGCTCGTCGAGCACGCGGCGTCGGCGGTGAGCGCGGAGACCATCGTGGACGCTTTGAACGCGGTGCGTTTGCAGGCGCACGTGAGCGATACGAAAGGTCCGAGCGACGGTACCTCAGCTCGCGATGACGCGCAATCGAGCGATGCGTTCGCGAGGCCACCGTTTCGAATCACGTTGGCGTGCTTCTTCTTCGTCGTGTCGCTGTTTCACTACTTGGGCGGAGACGCGCGACATTTACGCTACGTCGCTCTGGCGTCCGTTGCGGTTGGTATTCCCGAAATCGCCCTGAAAGCGTTCGGGAGCTTACGAAATGGTATCGTCGATATTAACACGCTGATGGGGATCGCCATCGTCGGCGCTTGTGCGCTTCAAGATTTCGGCGAAGCCGCCGCGGTGGTGGCGCTCTTTGCGCTCTCAGAATGGCTCGAGGCGCGCGCTATGGCGAAAACGTCGCGCGCGATAGGCGCAGTGCTGGCGCTTCGACCGGAAACGGCGCGGCGTCGAGGCGATACGGCACTCGTGGCGGTGGAAGAGGTTAAAGTGCGTGAAGTCGTCCTCGTCAAGCCTGGAGAGAAGGTGCCACTCGACGGCGAAATCGTCGCCGGCGCGAGCGCGATTGACGAAAGCGCGCTCACGGGCGAGTCCATGCCCGTGCCTAAACGTGTCGGTGACGTCGTGTACGGCGGCACACTGAATCAAGGTGGGATCTTAGAGATTCGTGTCTCGTGCGTCGCCGCGGATTCAGCAGTCTCGCGGCTCGTCCGTCTCATCGAAGAAGCGCAAGCGTCGCGGAGCTCGAGCGAGCTCGCCATTGAGAGATTCGCGAGGGTCTACACGCCGGTCGTCATCATCGCCGCCGCGCTCGTCATGATCGTACAGTACAGTTCTGGGGTCAAAGGGAACGAGCCGGCGTATTTGGCGTGCGTCTTACTTGTCATCGCGTGTCCATGTGCGCTCGTATTGAGCACTCCCGTCGTTGCCGTGAGCGCACTCACGGTGTGCGCGCAACGCGGCGTCTTGGTCAAGGGCTCTGCGCACCTCGAAAGACTCGGCCGCATCGAGCGCGTGTTCATGGATAAAACGGGCACGCTCACGCGCGGTTCTTTCACGCTCACTGCGGTGCGTTTGGTGCGTCCGGCGAGAAACGGCGACGAGAACCAACGTCCGGCGCTCGGCGTCGGCGCCCTCCTTCGATGGCTTTGCGCCCTGGAATCGCGTTCGTCACATCCGCTCGCGCACGCTGTCTTGCGTGGCGCCGGTGCGGCAGTCCGCGTAGCTTCGGAACAATGTGTCGTAGAAGACTTTGAAACTATCGACGGGCAAGGCGCGAAAGCTATCGTCGACGGCAGGCGCGTCGAAGTCGGCAACGGCGAGCTCGCGTTGGAGAACGCGTGGGACGCGAACGATGTCGAGCTGACGAACATGGCGAATACGTGGGAAAGCGAAGGAGGTACCGTGGTATGGGTCGGGGTCGACGGTCGTCTCGCGGGCATCATTCGATGTGATGACGTCGTTCGCCCTACGGCGGCGAAAGCGGTGGATGACTTGAGAAAAATAGGCGCAGAGGTGGAGATGATCACTGGAGACAATCCTGGGTCGGCCGAGTACTTGCGAGCGCGAGTAGGCGTCAATCCAACGCACGTACGTGCTTCACTCAAACCGCAAGACAAACTCCGTATCATCGGCGAAGCGATCGAGGCGTTAGAGAATAAGTCGTCCAAAATCGCCTTGAAGCTCTTCGGCCGAGGCACGGTGGCGATGGTGGGCGACGGAATCAACGACGCTCCAGCGTTGACTGCGGCGGACGTTGGCGTCGCTATGGGCGTCGCCGGTACGGCTGCGGCGATGGAAACCGCCGACGTGGCGTTGATGACAAACGATCTGAGTTTACTGGTGGACACCATCGTGCTCGGTCGCGAGTGTGTGCGCAAGATTCGACAAAACGTCATCTTCTCCGTCACTACCAAGCTCGTGGTCCTCGTTCTCTCCATCCTCGGCTACACGGGCTTGTGGCAAGCGATCGCGGTAGACGTTGGAACAGCTCTTTTGGTTATTTTCAACGGTATGAGCATCTTGCGCGAGCGAAACAATCGCGAGGAGTTGAAACAGATTCACTGCGTGGGCGAATTCGAAAGACTCGAAGAAGAACGCGAGTCCGCAATCGCGGTCGCCATGACGACGAAACAACCGGTGGCGATGGCGAACACATCGTTTCCCGCGAAAATACCGTTCACGCTCCCGGCGGCGAAACGAACGGCGACGGTGACGGCGCGAGACAACAGCGAAAATGTCTAACAGTAATGGGCGGCGAGCTTTGTTGTAAAATCAAGCGGTTCATTCTTTCATCTAAGCTATGCTATACCTGCTAGTTCATCATCCGAATGCTCGTCTACTTCGTCGCTATCTTCGTAAGCGAGTAAATTCCGTTCAATGTCGACTAAATTCATGATGGTCATCCCCGCTCGCCCGCTCCGCTCGCACCACTCGGCTTGCTCGTCCGCGAATCGACGCACGCCGCGGCTGGAGCCCAAGTTCACGCCGATGCTTTCGAGTAAACCGGGCAAATCACCCAACGTGGTAACGCTCACGAGCTGGCCGCGAAGCGCTAGACCTACCATGGACTTCAATGGTTCGCAACACTCGCGCGGCAAGGCTGCTTCGTCGCTCAGCCGACAGTGTTCGCGAGCGTCGAGCTTCTTCTGAACGTCGGCGTCGTCGACGGGAACCCATCGATTCGTCGTCGAGCACCGCAGCTCGCTCGGCGCGTAGTCCGCTTTATATTTCATCTTTTGACAATCGTGAATGTAATACCCCATGTAGTAGAACTCAAACTCTCGCGTCGCCTCTGGCCGTCGACGTCGCTCGTCCGCGACGAACTCAATTTCTTTCAGCGCGCTGACTTTGCCCAGACTCAACTTCGCGTACTCGGGGTCCCAGAAAAAGTACTTCGAACTCAAACCTTTCGGCAAAATGTCGACCACACCCACGGCGACGAGCTTCCCATCGATCCTGTACTGCTGATGAAACGCGCCGAGTCCGATGCTCGGCGCAGACGTCTCGTTCGGCGTCTCGTCCTCGACGAATGGCGAGTCCACTAAAAATCTTCTAAAACTCGCTTCCTTGAGTTCCGACGCCTCGTCTCCGTGCACGGCGGCTTGATACCTTTTCCACAATTCAAATTCCTCGCGCACGAACGTCGAACGCGCCGTCGTTATCTCCAACTTTCGCGCCGCTCGCGCGCCGTCCTCGTCGCCGCCGTCGCTTCCCTCATCTCTCTCGCGCCGCAGATACGCGTCCAATCTGCGCAGCACCTGCCGCTGCTTTTTGGACGGCCTGAACGCGTCCACGCTGACGCGAATCGTGTGCTGCGCGCAGCACGAGACGTCGATCGCGGGCTTGTAAATCCACGTTCCGCTGCGTCTCCAGCCGTCGTCAATCAATTCGCCGTACCTCTTCGTCGACAGCCCGTGCGCGACGGCGCCGTCGCTCACGGACGCGTCGGGCGACGCGCAGTACCCGCAGTCGCTGACGTTTCGCCCGACGTAGGACACGGCGTCGGGAACGCGAGGCATTCCCGCGCGTCGCCGCGTGAAGTCGCGCCGCGGGTGGACAAAAGTCTTCTTTGTGCGTTACATACAAAAATCAAGGCGTCGCGATTAGACGTCGTTCGAGGACGACTTTCCATAAATCCTTGGTCCGCAGACTTTGAGTAGAACAATTTGCGTTACAAAACAAAACTGTACTCGGCTGATGCTATGTTTACTTTTGTCAACAAAGGTCAAAACGGCCACGTCCTCGCGGCGCGCGTCGTGTTGAACAAGAGGGACGTCGACGTACGATGTTCAGAGTCTGTTTTCCCGGGAGAAAACAGACGAGCTCCCGCCGCCTAGCTTAGGGTAGAGTTCCCAACGCGAAAGTCGTTGTGTACTCGCCAGATCGTCTCTCCCAGAAGGTTACCGACGCTCAAAACCGTGAGCTGCGGGAAATCGCGCTCCGGCGTGTGCGGAATGGAATTCGTGACGATGACTTCGGTGAACGCACTGTTGGAAAGTCGATCAACAGCGGGTGGGGAAAACACCGCGTGCGTCGCGCACGCGTAGACCTCACGCGCGCCACGTTCGCGCAACAGCTCGGCGCCCGCGAGCAAGGTACCTCCGGTGTCAATCATGTCGTCGAGGAGCACGGCGATTTTGCCATCGACTTCGCCAATCAAGTTCATCACTTGTGCCTTGTTATGACCGGTGCGTCGCTTATCGATGATGGCCAACGGCGCATCGTTGAGCTTTTTCGCGAACGCGCGAGCGCGCGGGACGCCACCGACATCCGGAGAGACGATGACGATGTCGTCTGGATGAAAGTCCTTCGACGTGAGATAGTCCAAGATGACCGACTCGCCGTAAATGTGATCGACGGGAATGTCGTAGTACCCGATCGTTTGCAACGAGTGAATATCCATCAACACGCATCGCGTCGCGCCCGCCTCGGTGAGCAAGTTGGCGACGAGCTTAGCGGCGATGGATTCGCGTCCAGACGTCCTTCGGTCGGCGCGCGCGTAACCAAAGTACGGAATCACAGTCGTGATCGATCGGCAAGACGCGCGTCTGCACGCATCAATCATCACCAACAACTCCATCAAGCTGTCGTTCGTCGGCGGACACGTGGGCTGGACGATGAAGACGTCGCAACCGCGAATCGACTCTTTTATTTGAACGTAAATCTCCCCGTCGGCGAAACGCTTAATCGTCGACTTCCCGAGCTCTATCCCTAAATAATTCGCAATCTCCTCACTCAGCGACGTGTGCGCCGTTCCCGAAAACACCTTCAACCGACGGCGCAGCACCGCCTCACCGCCTTGATCTTCGTGCTCGTCGTCGCGCGCGCCGAACCTCGAGTTCGCCATCTCGTTAAACACCCCCGACGTCGCTCCCGGTCGGAAGTTTCCTCGCGAGAACACGTCTTCGCCCGCCGCGGCGCGCACCACCGTCCGCACCTGTTCGATTCCGCGCGTCGTCAGTCTCCGCGATCTCTTTTTCGTCGACGCGTCCCGTCCCGCGCGTTCAAACGCCTCGCGCGTCGTCCGCGATCGCCGTTTCCGCGCCGCCGCGTCCGCGCGCGCCGTCCTCGGCGTCCGCGTTCGAGCGCGTCGATCGTTCGCGCGTCTTTTTCCCTCCTCCCTCGCGCGCGTCCGCGCGCGTCGTCGACGCGCGCGTCCTCGAAGCGTCTCGCGCGTTCAAACGCACCGCTCGCGCGCCGCCGCGTCGCGTCGTCGTCGTCGTCGCGCGCGTCGCCGACGCCGCGCGCGTCGCGCGCGCGCGCGGCGCGACGCCGCGGATCGCGCGCGCCATCGGCGCCGTCGTCGCCATCGCGCGACGGCGTGTGCGGCGCCGCGCCATCGCGCGCGACGCATTGGCTCCGGGACATTGCCGTCTCACTGTTTGCCCATACAAAAGTGCCGAGAAAGTGACGAGAGGGTTTGCGCGCGCGCGCGACGCGAGAGCTCGACGCGCGCGACGCGACGGCGGCGCGCGCGCGCGGAACGACGTCGATGACGGTCGCGTCCCCGGTCGCGTCGCGCGCGGCGCGATCGCGCGCGGCGAGCGCGTCGACGACGCGACGACGAGGACGACGCCCGGGGACGGGGACGCGCGAGGGCGCGCGACGCGAGGGCGCGCGACGCGCGCGCGCGGCGAGCGTGCGCGTGGAGAACGACGAGGGAAAGGCGGACATCGAGATCACGCCGGAGACGAGGTTCGAGGCGGTGATCGGGATCGAGACGCACGTGCAGCTGAACTCGAGGACGAAGGCGTTTTGTCGGTGCGCGTACGAGTACGGCGCGGAACCGAACACGAGGGTGTGTCCGACGTGCATGGGACATCCGGGGACGCTTCCGGTGCTGAACTCGGCGGTGGTGAAGAAGGGGATCGCGATCGGGACCGCGCTCGGGGCGAAGATACGAAGGACGAGCAAGTTCGATCGTAAGCAGTACTTTTACCCGGATTTGCCGAAAGGGTATCAGATTTCGCAGTTTGACGAGCCGCTGTGTTACGACGGATCCATCGACGTGGTTTTACCAGTGGAAGACGGCGGAGAGGTGAAGCGGGTGGGGATCACGCGCGCGCACTTGGAGGAAGATGCGGGAAAATTGACGCACGCGAAGGGCGAGGATGGGAAAAAGTACTCGTACGCCGACTTTAATCGAGCGGGCGTGGCGCTGCTGGAGATCGTCACCGAGCCCGATTTGCGCACAGGACGCGAGGTCGCGGCGTACGGTTCGGAATTGCGACGAATAGTGCGGTTTTTGGATGCGTGCGACGGGGACATGTCCCGAGGGTCAATGCGAAACGACGTCAACGTGAGCATCCGACCGGTGGGTCGCGAGCGATTCGGCACCAAAGTCGAGGTGAAGAACATGAACTCGTTCAACGCGATGGCGCGCGCGATCGACTACGAGATCGCGCGCCAAGAGGAGCTCATTCGATCAGGGCGAGGCGATGAAATCGTGCAAGAGACGCGCACGTGGGACGAGGCCGCGCAGAAAACCGTCGCCATGCGCAAGAAGGAAGGCTTGGCGGATTATCGCTACTTCCCAGAACCGGACATCCCCAAGCTGAGGCTATCGGAAGAGTTCATCTCGAACGTCGTGGCGTCCATGCCCGAGCTGCCGTCGATGGTTCGCGCGCGATACGCCGCGCTCGGCTTGCCGCCCGCCGACGTGCAAGTGCTCGTCGAGGACAAAGAGCTCGTGACGTATTTCGACGCCGCGCTGAGCTCGAGCGCGAAACCATCGGCGAAACAAGTCGCCAACTGGCTCACGGGAGACATCATGGCCCACCTGAAGAACTCAAAGATGGAAAATGTTTCCCAGCTCCCGCTCTCGCCCGAGGCGCTCGGCGAGTTTTGCGCCATGATCGACGCCGGAGAAATCAGCGGTAAAATCGGCAAAGATCTCCTCCCCGAGCTCTTAGAAAAAGGCGGAAGCGCGAAAAAACTCGTCGCCGACCGCGGCTTGTCCCAAGTTTCCGACCCGCGCGAGATCGAAGCCTTGGTTGACGGCGTCCTCGAAGCCAACGCCGGGCAGCTCGAGCAGTATCGCGCCGGCAAAACCAAGCTCAAGGGTTTCTTCGTCGGCGCGTGTCTCAAGGCCAGCGGCGGTCGCGCCAATCCATCTCTCGTCGATCGCATCTTACAAGCCAAGCTCGACGGCGTTCCGATCGACGTCGCGTGACGCGCTTTAGCCTCTTTTGATTAGAACGGCGCCGAAACGCGGAGCAGCGCCAAAACGCGTCCAGACCCGGTCGCCAACCGTCGGGGATCGGATCGCTTTCTTGAGTCACGAACCGTCGCGAGTCACCCCTCGAGTCACCCCTGGAAAAAGATTATCCACTCGTCGCGACGCGCGTCGCGCGGCATTCGCGCGCGCCCGTCGCCGCGACGCACGCTCGAGCGCCTCGCACGCGCCGACCGCTTCGCCCGCGCTCTCGCGCGCTCAAGACCGCCCGCGCGCGATGTTTCGTCGTCGCGCGAGCGATGCGTTGACGCGCATCGCGCGCCTCCAGGGGGGATCGGCGCCCGTCGCCGCGTCGCCGTCCGTCACGAGCGCGATCGGCGCGCCCGCGGGCGCTCGAGCGCTCGCGAACGGTCGCGCGTACGCCCACGGCGCGCGCGCGGCGATCGCGCGACGCAGCGCGGGCGTCGCCGCGACGACGGCGCGCGCGAGAGGGGGGATGACGTCGCTCATCGCATCCGGCGCGCGGGCGGTCTCGACCGAAGCGCTGAAGCCGCTGGACACGTTCGAGCGACGACATAACTCCGGAACGACGCAAGAAGTGGCGGAGATGTGCGCGGTGATCGGGTTCAAGGACATCGACGCGCTGATCGACGCGACGGTGCCGGAAAATATTCGCCTGAAGAAGACGATGGACATGGGCGAGTACACGCAGCCGCTCACGGAGAGCGAATTCTTGACGATGATGAAGAACATGGCGAGCAAGAATAAGGTTTTTAAGAACTACATCGGGACCGGGTATCACGGCACGCACGTGCCGACGGTGATTTTGCGTAACATTTTGGAAAATCCGGGGTGGTACACGCAGTACACGCCGTACCAGGCGGAGGCGTCGCAAGGACGCCTGGAATCGTTGTTGAACTTTCAAACGATGATTACCGACTTGACCGGCATGCCGCTGTCTAACTCGTCGTTGTTGGACGAAGGCACGGCTGCGGCGGAGGCGATGACGATGTGCTCTGCGTTGAACCGCGGTAAGAAGCCGAAGTTCTACGTGTCGAACAAGTGCCACCCGCAAACCATCGCGGTGGTGCAGACGCGCGCCGAAGGTTTGGGTCTCGAAGCCGTCGTGGGCGATGAGAACTCTTTCGATTACACCGCGAAGGATGTCTGCGGCGTTCTCGTGCAATACCCGGCCACGGATGGTTCGATCATCGACTACAAGCCCATCGTGTCCCAGGCGCAAGCCAACGGCATTCGCGTCGTCGCCGCCGCCGACTTGTTGTCGCTCACCATGTTACAACCTCCGGGTGAATGGGGTGCTGACATCGTCATCGGTTCATCTCAGCGATTCGGCGTGCCCATGGGCTACGGTGGTCCGCACGCTGCCTTCTTGGCGACGACGCACGACTGCAAGCGTTTGATGCCGGGCCGCATCATCGGCGAGTCCATCGACGCCGAAGGCAAGCCGGCGCTTCGCATGGCGATGCAAACGCGCGAGCAACACATCCGTCGTGACAAGGCGACTTCGAACATTTGCACCGCGCAAGCGTTGTTGGCCAACATAGCTGCCATGTACGGTGTTTACCACGGTCCGGAGGGCTTGAAGCAAATCGCCAAGCGCTCGCACGACTTTGCCGCCGTCTTCGCCGCCGGTGCCGAAAAGCTTGGCTTCAAGAACACCACCCCGGAGTTCTTCGACACCGTCACGCTGAAGTGCCCGAGTGGCGCGGATGCCATCGTCAAGGCGTGCGCGTCCGCTGGCATCAACATTCGCAAGATGGACGCCGACCACGTCTCTTTGGCGTTTGACGAAACCACAGAAATCGCCGACGTCGACGCTCTCTTCAAGGTGTTCGCTGGTGGCGCTGCCGCGCCCACCGTCGCGCAAGTTGCGCCGTCTGTGAACACGACCATGCCGATGGCGCGTAAGTCTGAATTCATGACCCACCCGGTGTTCAACCAGTACCACAGTGAACACGAGATGGTGCGCTACCTCAAGCGCTTGGAAGAGAAGGATCTCTCCTTGGTTCACTCCATGATCGCTCTCGGCTCTTGCACGATGAAGCTCAACGCAACGACTGAAATGATTCCGATCACGTGGCCGGAGCTTGCGAACATTCACCCGTTCGCGCCGAAAGATCAAACGCTTGGTTACCAAGAGATGTTCCGCGGTCTCGAAAAGCAACTCTGCGAGATCACCGGCTTCGACGCCATGTCCCTCCAGCCGAACTCTGGTGCGTCTGGTGAGTACGCTGGTTTGATGGGTATCCGTGCCTACCACCAATCTCGCGGTGACCACCACCGTGACGTGTGCATCATCCCGGTTTCCGCGCACGGTACCAACCCGGCGTCCGCCGCGATGTGCGGCATGAAGATCGTCGTCATTGGCACCGACGCCAAGGGTAACATCAACGTCGCCGAGCTCAAGGCTGCGGCCGAAAAGCACTCCGCGAACTTGGCGGCTCTCATGGTTACGTACCCGTCGACGCACGGTGTCTACGAGGAAGACATCAAGGAAATTTGCGAAGTCATTCACCAACACGGCGGTCAAGTGTACATGGACGGCGCCAACATGAACGCCCAAGTCGGTTTGACTTCTCCGGGTTTCATTGGTGCGGATGTGTGCCACTTGAACTTGCACAAGACTTTCTGCATTCCGCACGGTGGTGGTGGCCCGGGTATGGGCCCGATCGGTGTCAAGGCGCACTTGGCGCCCTTCATGCCGGATCACCCGTCCATGAAGGATGGTGCCGTCGCCGTCGGCGGGGACAAGCCCTTCGGTGTCGTCGCGGCTGCCCCGTACGGATCCGCGCTCATTTTACCGATTTCCTTCTCTTACATCGCTATGATGGGTTCCGAAGGTTTGGCGAACGCGTCTAAGCGCGCCATCTTGAACGCCAACTACATGTCCAAGCGCTTGGAGGATTACTACCCGGTGCTCTTCAGCGGCAAGAACGACACGTGCGCGCACGAGTTCATCCTCGACATGCGCCCGATCAAGGATGCCACCGGCGTCGAAGTCGCGGACATCGCGAAGCGCTTGATGGATTACGGTTTCCACTCGCCGACGATGTCTTGGCCGGTCGCCGGTACGTTGATGATTGAGCCGACCGAGTCCGAGTCCAAGGCGGAGCTCGATCGATTCTGCGACGCTCTCATCGCGATTCGTGGTGAAATCCGCGACATTGAGGACGGTAAGGTGGACCGCGAGAACAACGTTCTCAAGAACGCCCCGCACACCGCGGAGGTCGTCACCGCGAAGGAGTGGAACCGCCCGTACCCGCGCGATCTCGGTGCGTTCCCGGTTGAATGGACTCGCTCTCACAAGTTCTGGCCGCAAACCTCTCGCATCGACGACGTCTACGGCGACAGAAACCTCGTCGCGAGCCGCGCGGCTGTGGAAGTCGCCGTCGCTCAAACCGCTTAAAAATCACATTTTGCACTCGTTAGGAGAAATGTAATTCATCACGCCTTAATTCACTATTCTGACAAGCTAAAAATTCTAAATCAACCGCAAGTGTTCTTGTGCGTCGTCCCGGCGCCCATCCGTCGGTGCGTAAAACGTCCCCGCGGCTAACGCCGAGGCCCACACCACCACACACACGCACGCCGCTAGTTGTAAGTACATCGTGGACGAGCTATTCTCATCCACTGATGTGTCCTCTACGTCAGAGTATTCCTCCAGACCGGCGCGACCGCCCTTGGTCCACGACTCGCCCTCGCCGTCTAAACCTTGTGAGTCGTACGTCGATCGTCCCCACTCTTCGCGCTCCTCACCATCATCGACTGCGTCTTCGTACTCGTATTCGTCCTGCCCTTGCGCGACCGCCGGTACGACCGGAAGATCTGGACAACACGAGTGCCTTCGACCGCCGTCCGCGGGACAGCACCCCGCGCTCGCGCCGCAACACGCCAAATCATCCCCATCGGCGTTCGGACAGCACCCATCGTACGACGGCCCGGAGTACCACACCCTTGATCGCGCTCTATTGTGCTCCTCGCTCCCTTGTTTACTCTCGCAGCACGCTAAATGTTTCCCGAACCCGCCGCCGGGCTCGGTGCTCGGACAACACCCTCCGCTCGAGCAGCACGCGAGCATCTCCTCGCCGCCTTCGACCTCGTTCTTCCCGGCGAGCGGGCAGCACCCGTCGTACGCCGGACCCTCGTACACGATGACGTCCACCGCGCGCGCGGAGTCCTCCAGCGCGAAGTCCGCGCGGAGTTTGGCGTCGTCGACGGACGCTTCGGACGATGGTGTTGACGACATCGCGCGCCGCGCGTGCGTCGCCGAAGCGTCCACGCGCGCGGCGCGCGCGATCGCGAACGCGCAAACGACGAACAGTATCGTCCGCGCCGACGCGAGACCGCGCGCGCGCGGTCGATCGGGGATCGACATGTTCGCGGCGGCGACGTGTGAAGACGCGACGCGCCCCACAGCGCCGCGCGCGGATCGAGCGCGCGCGTCCTTCGACGCGCCTCGACGCCCATGCCCGACGAGGACGCCGACCTTTTCGATCGCGCCCACGGCGCGTGGTCGCCCACCGCGGGCGGCGACGGCTCGGACGCGTACTGGTGCGTCAGCGTCCTCAACGAACCGCTCGACCTCGATCGCGCGATGGCGTGTCGGTGCGCGCCGTCGGCGCGGGACGACGACGGAAGTCGGCGGAAACTCGATCACGCGCGCGCGTGCGCGCTTTCGGTCGCGCCGAAGAGCGCTGAGATCGAGATTTTGTCAGCCGTGGCGTCGCGCGTCGACCCGGCGCCCGACGAGCGAGGACTGAGCTTCGCGTACGCGTCGGGAGAATGCAGCTCGACGATCGAGACGTTCGTGGTGGAACACACGTGGACGCCGGAAGCGCTTCGAGGACGCGGATTGGGGAAGAAGGCGGTGCGAGGGTGCGTGGAGTTCGTCGTCGCGCGCAAGATTTTCGGCGAGCTTCCGGGCCGGACGCGCGAGGATCGCTACAAGGTGGCGCTCGCGCGACACGTGGACGCGACGTGCTCGTACGCCAAGCGAGCCCTCGAGGAACTGCGACGCGAGGCGGGCCTGTGATGTGTGTAGTCTGTGATGCGTAGTCTGTGTGTAATCTATGTACGAAGGAAGCGCGCGCGCGGAGACTCAACGATACGGTAACTTTGGCCAATGGTTGGCGACGAATTCGCAGTACTTCGAGAGCCATTCGCTCGGATACTCGACGCCGAGAACTTCGCTCGCGCGTTTCACGCACTTGTCGTAGAATGCATCGTTGATGTCCCGGTCCGATTTGTTGTCTTCGCACAGACTCGCGCTCTGCGTGCCGCGAACGGCGTCGAAACCGAGTTTGATGTCGGCGCCGAGATAGCCCAGCTGGTCCACGGCGTCGCGGTGCGGTTGTCGCACTTTGTAGGATGTGAAAAGCAATTCGTATCTGTTATGGCGCGGCGACACGCGTTGAATGCTCGTCGGGGTAAGGTAGAAATCGTCGCCGGGCGCCAGCGTTTCTCTGTCATCCGCGTCGTGTTTCGCTATGAGTCGATGAATCAGTTCAATCTTCGCGAGCGCGTTGATGAACTCATCGATCGTTTCGAACGGGACCGTCGCCGCCATTGTCGGCCGAGCGCGGTGGTTTGCGGTTAGAAGTTGGGTTCGCGTCGGGACCTCGGAAATCTCGTTGTTACACCGCGGCGGCTAAGCGCCTTGGACGGCGAGATCGTTTCGCACGAAACTCACGATGTTACGCTGGTGTCGTAGCGTGACGAGTGTTATGGAGGAAGCACCAAACGCCTCATCGCGGACGACGGCGAAAGAGCCGTCGCCCGGGGCCGTCGATTTCGTCGTCGTCGATCCCGCGAAAGGCTGCGCCGCGTCGTCGTCGATCGATTCGTCGATCGATAGCGACGCGCTAACTTCGTTCGCGAGCTCGTCGCGATCCATCGCCATCCAACCTTCGACAGCCTTTCGCAAACCTCGCGCGCGGGCGCGTCTCGTGTCTTCGTCTGTCGGTCGCTGGAACTCGGCGTCTTCGTCCGATGCGCGCGGATGCGAGGCGTAGGCGAATAAATCTTCATCCCCTTTCGCAGCGGCAGGCAGAGGCAAGCCTTCGGCCTCGAACGCCACGTACGCTGTCGTGACTAAGCCGGCGAAGATCTTTGGCGCGTCTGCGGCGCGACCGAACATCCCTCGCTGCGTGCCCTCGACGTCGAATTCCGGGGCGTCGAGCGCGCCCGTGATTTCATCCGCAGAGATCCCAGCCTCGTACGCGCTTCGCGCCGCGCGAACGAACTCGCGGTACCCCACTGGATGGTTCGTCAAGACGCTGAAAAACGCGACGAGCATGTCCGCCGCGAGCTCTCGCGCGGGCGTGCGCTCTCTCGTGCACCACGCCAACGCCAACTGCTGTTGCGCCTCGATTTCAATAATTTCAGTCTCGTCCACCGTCGCGTCGACGTCCTCCATCGCCTCCAGCCCTCTTCTCGCGTGCGTGATCCCGCGTTCGAGTTCTATCATCTCCCTCGTCAACAGCGTGAGCTTGCAATTCATCCGCATGATGGACTCGCCCGGGGTCGGCGTTCGCTTTTCGCCCCCGCTCGCGAATCGTCGCTCGAGCTCCATCCTGCGAAGCGTGTACCCCTCATCCGCGTTCTTATTCGTCATCTCGATGTACTTCAACATCCCCATCGCCTCCTTATCCTCTTCCACGCGCTTTCTCGCCTCCTCCAACGTCCGCGCGCTCAACCTTCCCTCTCCCTCTCCCTCTCCCTCTCCCTCTCCCTCTCCCTCTCCCTCCCCGCCCTCGGCTTCGATTCGATCGAACCGATACAGCGTCAGCGTCACCATCGCCACCGCGCTCGCGAACGCGTCCTGTTCGCTCGTCCCGAACTTCATCGCGCTCGACAGCCCCATCATCGCGCTCTCCAGCCTCGCGTCCGTCACCGAGACGCCGCGCTCGCGATGCGCCCTCGCGCACCGCGCGCAGAACTCTTGGTGCGCGAATCTCGACCCGCGCCGCATGGCTAAAAAGCTCGCCAGCAGCCCCCCCGTCGCGCCCGCCGTCCCGCTCTTCATCGCGCCGTCGTCCGAATCGATCCCCGACGTCTCCGGCGTCGCCTCGGCGCGCGCTCGCGCGTCGCGCGCGCCCGCGCGTCCATCGAGACGTCCGCGACGCGCGCGCCGACGACGCGATCGATGATTACGAATTCGCGCGCTCGAATCGCGCGTCACGAATTCGCGCGCTCGAATCGCGCGTCGCGCGTCGTGCGCGCGCGTCGCGAGCGTCTCGCCGCACCGCATCGCGTGTCGTGCGTCGCGTCGCGATGCGCGGCGTCGCGATTCGCGCGCGCGTCGTCACTTTATGGCGCGTCTGCGAATCTTCGAATTCGCAGACGCGCCCGCGGACGAGACGAGACGCGCGCGGATTCGCGTTCAAGTCGTCACTTAATGACGCGTCGTCGCGCGTTCGAATTCGCGCGCGCGCCCGCGGACGAGACGCCGCTGGACTGGCGCACGATCGCCGTCGTGCAGATGTTCTCGATGCTCTCCATCGCCGGGACGACGGCGCTGTTCAGCACGGCGTACTTCGCGGCGCGCGCGCTGCGGCCCGAGGCGAGCGAGGCTTCGCGCGCGCTCGTCGCCGGCGCGCTCACGGCGACGAAACCGCTCGCGAGCGGGGCGTCGTCGCTGGCGTGGGGACGGCTGGGCGACGCGCGAGGGTTCGAACGCGCGATATGCGCGAGCGGCGTGGCGCACGCGATCGCGACGGCGGCGTTCGCGATGGCGAGGACGACGAGCGGCGCGTTCGCGGCGCGCGCGTGCCAGGGGCTGGCGGACGGGATGGTGGTGATGCAGAAACCGGCGTTGGCGCTGGTGAGCGACGAGACGAACGTGGCGAGGGCGTTCGCGACGACGGGGGTGGCGTACGGGGTGGCGAGCGCGCTGGCGCCGGCGTTGGCGGCGGCGTTGAGCGAGCCGTGCGAAAATTGGAAGGCGTTCGAGGGCGAGCGAGGCGCGCGGTGCCCGACGTTTTTGAGGCGACGTCCGTTCTTTTTGAGCAACATATGGATCGCGGCGCTCGCGGCGCCGACGTTGATGGCGTACGCGAGGGGGTGGATGCAGATCGATAAGCATCGAAACAGAGACGACGTCGAGGTCGTCGTGGAATTGGAGCTGCTTCCGGATGCGAGCGAAGACGACGCCGCGGCGGAGACGACGGCGGTGGACGCGGACGCGGCGGCGGCGACGAAGAAGGCTGTGGAAAGTATAGAGGACGAGGTCGTGTGGTGGCGCGACGTGAACGTGCGCGCGGCGATCGCGTCGCAGGTGGGGTGCACCGCCGTCGTCTTGTGCGGGGCGGAGATGACGCCGCTTTGGATGGCGACGTCCGTCGCGAACGGCGGTTTGGGTTGGACTTCGCTGGAAATCGGTGCGTTCGGCACCGTGATGGGGTGCGTTATTTTACTGTTTCAAGTGTTTCTGTTCACCAGACTCTGTCGCGCGTACGGCATCGTGACGCTGTTGACGTACGCGTTGCTGGTGAACGCCGTGGCGTTTCCGCTGCATCCGATCGCGCACGTCGCGGCGAAAAAGTCCAAGGCGTGGACATGGGTCGCCGTCGTTTGCCTCGGTCTCGCGCGTGGGATGAGCGGTCCGATCATCATGGGCGGGAGTTCGCTGATTTTGAACAACGCCTCACCCAGGGACACGCTGGGCGCGGTGAATGGCTTTAGCGGAACCTTTGGCAACGCCGCTCGAGGCGTGGCGCCTCTCATCGGCGGTTCCTTGGTGGCGATGATGGTGGCGATGAAACCGGGCACGCCCGGGCGAGATGTTTGGCCTTTCGTGGTCATAGGTTTAGGATTCGTGTCGCTGACGGTATTAAGTCGTCGACTTTCGCTCGATCTGAACAAACCGCGACGGCCTCGGCGAACGTCGAGTCGAAGCGATTTCAGCGCCCAGCCGTGAGCGCGGAGCGATTCATTCTTTATATTCTTTGATTTGATTCTGTTGTATTGAAAGATTTGTATCGGTAGTCATCATGGTCTTGATTGACGACGCTTTCGCCGTCCCGCGGGCGAGAACTCACGCCGCCGCACTCAACGCTTTGTGCAACGCGAAGTGCTTCGACTTTTCGCGATAGTGCTCGACGACGGACATGAACGCCGTCGCGCCGGCGACGACGCAAATGATCGAGTGCGAAGGCTTTTTGAGATCGATCTCGTATCCTTCCGGCAGACAGTCCCCGATCGCCGCGTTCACGATGCTCGGAAACAAGTGCACGGATGGATGCAACTCCTCGTAAATCACCTCGTACGTCGCCGATCGCAAACCGCGACGACGGATGGCGTCGAAATGTTTCGGCAAGACGTTTGCGGCGAGCGCGACGAGATCCAGCTCACCCGAAATGCCCTCGACGGGAATCATGCGGCTGATGTGCGTTGGACGTTGCAAGAATTTCGCGCCTTCGCCCAATTGTTCGACGATCCACGTCGCCAACGCGCCGACATCCGTCGAACAATCGCTCGGTTCCAAAGCGACGTACGCCGCGTTGTCGACGTCGGGCAACGAAACAATCTTCGCGCTCTCGTACGGCTTCGCGTCGTCCTTGCCGTGTCCTTTCTTCCACTCCGGCGCCGCGCTTTCGATGATTTTCTGCGCTTCATCGCTCGCGAGCGCGATTTCGCTCGCGCCTTGTCGCGTGATGAAGAACCCGCGCTGACTCGCGCCCGCGGAGTTCAACCACTCTGGCGCGGCGTATTCGGGAAGGGTGACGGCGCCTTGCGACGGCGTCGGTTGCGAATCCATCGGTTGGCTCTCTTCGGGTTGCGACATGATTTCGGTGCGAGCGCGCGTTCGTCGTTTTTCGTTCGCGCGCTGTCGTCAGAGCGTGCGTCTTGAAGTGGCGCGCCGCGTCGGCGCGCGCGTTTGCGTCGTCCATTACATCGCGATCGTCGTCGCGTCAAAGTTACACTACGGTACTGTACAGAGAAACACCCATTCGTCGTCAAAGTCGACGACGTCATCGAGCGTCGTCGTCAATCGATTTCAAATTCCACCCGTCCCGTCGGCGCCTCCGCGCGCGTTCGACACATCGGACAACAATCCCGTCGCGCGAGCCACGCGTCGATGCACGCGTCGTGAAACTCGTGCGAACACGTCGACGACGCCCGCTTCACCACTTCCCCGTCCACGAACGTCTCCAGACACACCGCGCACACCCGCGTCGTCATCGTCGTCCCTCTGTACTCTCGTCTCGGCAATCGCGCGAGAACGTTCGCGCTCGCGCCTCGCGTCTCCGCGCCCGCGCCCGCCTCCAGCGCCTCGTACGTCGACTCCAGCTCCAGCATCGCGCGCACGACGTCGCCGAACCGCATCGCTCGCGGTATCGACGTCTCCACAACCCTCAATCGTCCTCGTTCGTCCGTGAACACGCGATAGTGCGCGTCGCGCGCGTCGTCGAGCGTCTCGAGCAGCGCGCGCGCGCCCGCGAGCGCGCCTCGCGCCGCGCCCGCGAGCGCGCCTCGCCGCGCGCGCGCGCCGAGCACCGCGCCCGCGATCGCGCCGAGGCCCGCGCCCGCGCCGACGCACGCCGTCTTCGCGCACGCGCGCGCGGCGACGCGCGCGAGCGCGCCGACGCGCGTCGAGGGCGTCGCGCGCGCCATCGAGTCGCGTCATCGCGCGACGGTCGGTGATCGCAGTCGCGCGTCCGCGTCGGCGCGCGCTCGGGCGATACATCGCGATGCGAGCGACGTCCTCGCGCGTCGCCGAAGCGCGCGGCGTCGCGACGGCGCGACGACCGCGACGAATGAGACGCGGATGCGCGGTGCGCGCGAACGACGCGGACGGAAACGGCGACGCGCGCGGAGCGCTCGAGGCGGAGAACGACGCGACGCGGCGACGCGGACGCGCGATCGCGCTGGCGGGATTCGCGGTCGGCGCGGCGTCGTTCGCGCTGACGGCGACGACGACGGTGGGAGATTCGGGAAACGGCGGCGCGGCGAACGCGGCGACGGCGAATTTGGCCAAGTTGGAGCGAGCGTCGACGCCGCTGGACGACGCGCTGAGGAATGGGAGGCCGACGGTGTTGGAGTTTTACGCGGATTGGTGCGAGGTGTGCAAGGAATCGGCGCCGACGGTGTACGCGGTGGAGACGGCGCACGGGAAGGCGGTGAACTTTGTGATGTTGAACATCGACAACGCGAAGTGGAGCGACGAGATGGACGCGTACGGGGTGGATGGGATACCGCATTTGGAGTTTTTGGACGCCGCGGGTGAGAGCGAGGGATTCATCGTCGGTAAGTTTCCGCGCGAGGTGTTGGAGAGCAACGTCGCGGCGTTGGAGGCTGGCGAGCGAGAGCTGCCGTACGCCAAGCGATACGGCGCGGCGAGCAAGGCGACGACGCAAGACATCGCGCAGGCGCCCGCGCAATCGGCCGATCCGCGCGCGCCCGTGTCGAGCTCCGATCCGAGGTTTCACGGGTGAAACATCGAGTAAGCAATGCGCGCTACTGTATGTATTACACGAACGATGATCAAATTTAGTCCTCGTCCTCGTCCGCGCGGCGCTCGACGCGCGCCAACGCGCTCGTCGTCGTCGTCGCCGCGTCGGTCGTTTCCTTCGCCTCCTTCGCCGATTCTCCTTCGTCGTCCTTGACGTGCACGAACACGCTCCCCTTATTCCCGACGCTAATTCGCACTTCCTCATCCAAGAACCGCTGTTCCACCCAGCCGCGACCCGCGCCCGGTTTCGGATTCAGCTCAAACGTCTTCAATCTTCGACCGCCGAAACTCACGTCCACCGTGCGAATCTCGATGTTCGTCCGCACCGCTCCCGCGTTCTCGCTCGTCGCGAACGCCTCGATCCTGAGCATTCCCAACTCCACCGCGTTCCGCACGCCGTCGTCCTCGTCGAACGTTTGATAGTTTTTCGCCGCGCCTTGAAACAAAATCTGAAACGGATTCGCGTTCGCCGCTTGCTTCGAGTGCACCAGGCGCCATCGCCCGCGCAGCGCCCGCGACGTCGCGGGCGAGCGTCGTTCGCCGTCGTACAGCGCACCGCACTCGTCGATCGCCGCGTCGATCCTCTGGGCGTCGTTTCTTTCGATCGCATCCAACAGATTTTCCTTCGCGCCGAGCAGCTTCAGATCCTTCGCCCGCGTCGGGTCGAACGCGCGCGTGCGCGCCGGCTCCGCGCTCGCGTTCAAGCGCGTCCGCGCGCGTCCGCGCCCGCGCGTCGCGAACCGCGCGTCGACGCGCCAACGCGTCGACCGCATCGCGCGCGCGGCGATCTGCCGCGGATTCGCCGCACTGCGCGACGCCACGCGCCGAGCGTCGACGAGCGACGCGTCGCGCGATTCGCGGGTCGCGCGAACGCGTCGTCGCGCGCGCCGCGCGCCGGTTCCCGACGACGCGCGTTCGCGACGCGCGACGACGAACGATCGAGGTCGTCGAGCCGGCGCGCGATCGAATCTGAACGAAACCGCCGCGCGACGGCGGTGAGGGCGGCGCGAGGCGCGCGCGATGAGCGGGATCGGCTCGGGATACGACCTGAGCACGACGACGTACTCGCCCGACGGACGCGTGTTCCAGGTGGAGTACGCGGGGAAGGCGGTGGACAACGGCGGGTTGACCGTGGGGGTGCGGTGCGCGGACGGATGCGTCATCGCGTGCGAGAAGCTCGTGCCGAGTAAATTGCACACGCCGGGGACGAATCGACGCGTGTGCGCGGTGGCGCGACACGCGGGAATGGGCGGGAGTGGGTATAACCCGGATTTGAAGGCGGTGCGAGACCGCGCGCGAGCGGAGTGCGCGCAGTACAAGTCGTTTTACGGCGACGCGATCCCGGCGAAAGTTCTGGCCGATCGCATGGCGCATTATTATCATCTGTTCACGCTGTACTGGAGCGTGCGCCCGTTCGGGTGCTCGAGCGTGCTGGCGGTGAAGGATTTCGACGGCTATCACTTGTATCTCCTCGAGCAAAACGGCGAGTGCGCGAAGATGAAGGGCGCGTGCGTCGGTAAGGGGAAAAGCGCGGCGAAGACGGAGGTTGAAAAGTTAAATTTTAGTGAAATCACGTGCGCGGAGGCGGTGAAAGAGTTGGCGCGCATCGTGTACGCCACGCACGACGTGAAAGACAAGGAGTTTGAGTGCGAGTTGAGCTGGATTTGCGACGCGAGCGACGGCGAGTTCGTCCGCGTGCCCGAGGACATCGCCGAGCCCGCGCGCGCGGCCGCCAAGCGACTCGCCGACGGTGAAGTCGACGCCATGGACGCTACCTGATCGCGCTCGCCTTCTAGTTCGACTTTCGAGTGATCACGACATTTTCAGAGTTCGTCGGTTGTAACCGAAGAAGTTAGTTTACGCGACAGTTTACGCCGCGCCGCGCGCCTTCGCCGCAGATCTCCCCTCGCGAGTCTCCCCTCGTCGCGCGTCGCCGCGAAAAGATATGCGTCTGCGCGCGTTCGTCCTCGCGCTCGCGGCTCTCGCGTCCCGTTCGCACGGCGCGGTCGCCGCGAAGACGTTTTCTGTGCACGGGTACCTTCCAGATTACCGACCCGCGACCGCCGCCGCGCGAGCGTGCGCGCGCGGTGCGCGCGTGCTGGCGTTCTCCGCCGCGCCGTCGTCGTCTGGTCGCGCGCTGGACGGCCTGGATGGGGTGTGGAAGAAGACGGACGAGGACGGTGACTGCGCGAGCGATTTGGTGGTCGGCGGCGGCGGCCGAAGCGACGGATTCGGAGCGGCGGCGGAGTCTCCCACCGCCCTCGTGGCGGCGGTGAAGCGCGCGGTGGAGACGCACGCGTTCGATGGAGTGTCGTACGATTGGGAGTACCCGGCGCGCGAGAGCGATTGGATGGCGTTCGGGGAGCTGCTGCGCGCGACGCGCGACGCGCTCGACGAGATGGAAGGCGAGCGCAAGCGCTTGAGTTTCGCGATTCATCCGACGGTGGCGACGTTCGAGGCGATGGTGAAGTTTGATTTGATGAAATACGTGGACTACGTGCACATCATGGCGTACGACTCGCGCGATCCGCGCGGACACGCCGCGATGAGTTTCGTGGAGAGTTTGATGGAGTACGTCAAGCGCGAGTTCGACGACGTCAGTAAATTCACGGTCGGGATACCGTTTTACGCTCGCTCAATGCGAACGGGCGAAGCGAAAACGTACGAGGAGATTCGTCGCGAGTTTGCGAGTTCAGAGAATCTCGACAAAGATCAAAATGTAGTCGGAGATTGGGCGTTCGACTCCGTCGGCGTCGTTCGAAAAAAAGTCCGCGTGGCTCGACGAATGGGATTCGGCGGGGTGATGATATGGGAACTCGGGCAGGACGTGCAGGACAGTTCTTCGTTGTTCCTCGCCATCGTCGACGAGATCGCGTCGCTCGACGCTCACACCGAACTGTGAGTGAGTTGCATTACACGAGCGAAGCGCCGCTCTGCCTATTTTTTAGTCTACCCTATTCTTCTTGGCGAACAGAGACGCGACCATCCCCAACGCCCGCCCGCCGTACACCATGACCCATATCCACACCCGTTCACCACCGATGTAGTATCGATCCGTGATCCACGCCAATACGTTCCACACTCGCGCGGACGTCCCCGGCTTCCATCGCTCATCGTAGCGCCATCGACCGCGAGCGTGACACCCCAAGTTTTCCCAAAACCCATTCTCGTACGACGTCTTGAGCTCGATTCGAGATAAATACTTCGCGCTCTTCCAGCCGTACAACGCGGGAAACACGAGCCTGGGTCCACCGTGGTCGCGCGAAAGCATCGCGCCGTCGGCGTCCGTAACGGCGAGAAACGCGCCTTCGCAGTCGCGCGCGTCCACGCCAACCGTGTACCCATCCGCACTCGTCTGGTACAAACACCGCCAACCACCGACGTCGCGTTCGCCGAACGCGCACTCCAACGCGACTTCCAGCGCCACGCCTCGAAAATCCAAGCCCAGTCGACTCCACCCGGTGACGCAGTGCCAACTCGTCCCGAACGCGCTCCAGCAACCACCGTTCGCCGCTTTCAGCGCGCCCACGCTGACCGACGTCGCGCCGCCCGATTCGCACGAAAACGTCAGTTCGAACGCGTCGCCCTCGGCCCACGGGTCGTGCGTCGCCGGGACGGGGCGCCCCAAGTCGAGTTTTATCCAGCGTTGAACCTCGCGCTGTCCCGAAGCGCCGCCGGCGCTGCGCGAGGACGACGCGCGCGACGACGCGCGGGCGGCGCGCTCGCGCAGGCGCGCTTTCTCTTCGACGTGTTTGCGCACGACGGGGTCGTCGACGTCGATCATGGACGCTGGAATGTGCGGACGCGCGGGCGTTGTACAGTTGGATTTTACAGTTGGGCGTCGTCGCAAAACGCCGACGCGCCTCGAACGCTTTCTATGTCGAGCGGAAAAAGAAATGGCGAGTACAGTTCGAATGCGGCGCCTTGTGGACCTTTGCCTCGCAGCGAGCATCCAGGGCAGAGGGTGAATCCTGGATTGAATCGAATTTGGAATCCCGACGATTCCTTGAGTACGTAAGCGACGTCGCACAGCGTCGTGCCTTGCCCGTGGCATCGCGCGAAGAAATCATCCGGCGTTTGCTGAATTTTGCCCGAGCTCTCGCTCGGAGAGATTTTCCAATCAAAGGGGACGACGATGACGACTGAAGACATGTCGTAATCGAAAGATTGTCGATTGCGCACGTCTAAGAAGACGCGTAAGAACGCGTCGAAGCCCGCCGTGCCCAACGGCACGACGGCGTCGTCTGAGGACGCCGACTCGTCATCCGCCGCGAAACGGCTCGGGTAGCTTGACACTTTAAATGAAAAATCAACTTCGCGAGGGAAACACACCCGCCTGCCTCGAGGCGGCGGCGGTGGCGGTGCGTCGAAAAACGTTCGCATGCCCATCGATTTGAGCATGTCGCCATTTTCAAAGATGGGGAAATACGCACGATGCTTAAGAACGAAGGACGTGTACGACGAGTCCCCCCTCAGCGTGCATCCTGGACATAAAATCAAGGTGTTCACGAATCGTACCTCCACCACATTCGACGAAACGACGAAATCGATCGAGGGACACACGTTCGTCCCGTTGTATCGCCCTTCGACGTAAGACCAGAAACACTCGAAGATCCAGTCGCGCGGGAGCGCTCTCGTCAACGTCGACTGTGCTGGATCATCGTCGTTCTTCACGCGAACATATCCTGGGAATCGCAACATCAGGGCTTGCCCGGCGAGGTTCACGTCATTCGCGCCGTCGTTTCTAATGGTGTACTTTCCCACCAGTTCGAAAGTCCCTTCAGTTCCGTCTCTCTCGACGCGCTCAAACGTGCTCTCAGTTGTCAAATCGGCGCGCGCGCGCGTGACGCAGCACATGAGCAAAAAGAGAAAGAACCGCCGTGATGTCTGCATCGTTGCCATCACGCGCGTCGTTATGTCTCAGCTCCAGCACGGCTGCGCCGAACTCTTCGCCGCGTACACATGCTCGTAATCCGCCATTGTATCTCGTGATGTACACCAGCCCGACTTTACCGAATCCGTCTCCGCGCACCCTCCGATCTTCGACCGAGCAGTGGCCTAGTCGCCGACCCGCTTCTTCGAAACGAACCACGCCACGAAACAGTTCACTCACAGAAACAACTCACTCACGAAACGAAACGAACCACGCCACTATGGGCTCTCCGCGACGGAGCTGCGGCTCAAAAAAATCTTCCAACGTCTTCGTTGGATCTAAAACGGAATCTTTGTCCGACCCGTGCGCGCGCGACCACCGATAACGACCGTGTTCGTCGCAAAGCGCGTACTTCCCTCTGCCCTGCTCTTCGACGAACCTCCGCAGCGCCTCCACCTTCGCCGTCTTCGGCGCCGACGCGAACTCCACGGGTAACCGAGCCCGCGTCTCATCCGGCTCACCCGACGTCTGCCGCGCCGCCGCGACGTCCCTAAACTCTATCTCGTACGCCCCATCGTCCTCGTCCACCGTCTCCGTTCGCGTCGCCGCGTCTTTGTCTTCGTCTTCGTCTTCGTCGCCGTCGCCGTCGCGCGCCGCGAACGCCGTCGACGTCTCGTACCCAAAACATTCCTTCAGCGTCCGCAGCGCCCGCCGATCCTCCTCCGCGTCGTACGCCTCGCGCGCGTCGCCGTACACCCGCTCGCACTCCGCGTCGCGCGCCGCGTCGCGCGCGAACGCACCCGGCGCGCCGCGCGCGAGATATTTCTCTCCGCACACGGCGCAGCTCGCGTCGGGTTCTCTCGCCTTGAAGCACGCCTCGCACGTCGCGTGCGCGCACGTCGACGGCAGACACGCGCGGTGAAGCGTCCCCCAGCACATCGCGCACCGCGTGCGCGCGCGCGTGGCGTCGTCGACGATCGGGAGGCGACGCATCGTCGCGAAGTGTGGACGCGAAGGCGCCGACGCGGCACTTCGAGCCGCGATGGCGTCGCGCGCGAGCGACGACGAGCGCGCGCGAGCGAACGCGACGCTCGAGGAAGAGCGCGCGCGCGTGGCGGAGCTGCGGGAGAAGCTCAGGGGGGCGGTGAAGAAGGGGAAAACGATCGAGAAGGAGCGCGAGGCGTTGGCGAAATTGTTGGAGGACGCGCGTCGAGCGAGCGGTGCGAACGCGCGCGAGGACGCGGAGGCGACGGGAGGGAACGAGAAGGCGCTGGAGACGAAAGTCGCGGTGTTGCGGGCGGAGTTGGAGAGTTTTAAGGCGGAGAACGAGGCGCTGAGGGAGAAGTTGGACGCGGCGGAGGCGTCGAGCGACGAGAGCGACGACGAGAGCGACGACGGGAGCGATGGAAGCGATCGAGAGGACAGCGGTGGGTCCATCGGGCGCGGGGGGAAGTCGAGAAAGACGTCGAAGGCGGCTCGGATGCGGTTGCGCATCGCCAAGGCGGTGGAGGAGAATGAAAAATTGACGCTCGCGTTGAACGATTTGCGAAGCGAGACGGCGAACGCGACGGCGGCGGCGAATGCGGAGAAACTCGCGGCGGAGGCGGCGAAGAGGGCAGCTGTTGAAGAGAGAGAGCTCGCGGCGAGTGCTCGGGCGCAAGCGGAGAGTGAGCACGTAGCGAGCGTACACGCGCGAGCGGAGGCGGAGGCGCGAGTGACGACGCTCGAAGCCGAGCTGGAAAAGTTGAGCGAAGAGAACCGCGCAGCGAACGGACGCTTGGCGCATCTCACGGAAGCGTTCGCAGCGAAACAGGAAGAGTACGAAGGTAAAATTGCAGCCGTGACGCAGAGCGCGCAGGGTGAGTCAACCGTCGATCGCGCCGACGTCAAGAGAATCGAGACGGAGCTCGCGCAAGCGAGACACGCGCTTCGCGAGGCGCAAGACGAAATCGATCGGCTGAAATCGAGCGATGCCACCGAAAGTGCGCTCGCAGCGCGCGCGTCAGAGAGCGTGTGGAAAGAACGCGCGCAAGCCGCCATGGCGCAGGCGTCTGCGGCGAGGGAGGCGTACGAGACGCAGATGAACAACTTGCGCGCGGATGGCGGCGCTTCGAGCGAAACCAGCACGGCTGCGGATGTCCTAGCCGCGGAACAGCGCGCGAAAGAAGCCGAGAGCGCTCTCGAAGAGACGCGCCGTGAACTCGCCGCCTTGGCGGCCGAACGCGCCCGCGATAGCTCCGCGTCGTCGCCCGCGAACGCGTCCTTGGCTTCGCTCTCTCGCCGACTCGCCGAGAGCGAAGCGCTCGTGCTGAAGAAGAACGAAGAGATCGATTCTCTCACTCGACGATTCACCGACCTCGCGTGGCGTTCGACGATGGAAAAACGCGGTGCCGTCACCGGTGTCGCCACCCCGACCGTCGCCAACGCCGTCGTCGGCGCCGAAACTTTGACGCCGCTCGCGTACAAGCGTCCGCTCAACCGCAGGCTCGAGAGCGTTCTGCGTCACAGGCGATTTATCATCGGTTCCTACCTCGTGCTCTTGCATCTCATCGCGTACGAGTACTTATTCGTCGGCAACTAACGCCCACATTCGCGCCTAGCGCTCGCGCGATGAATACGAACAGTCAGTCCCCCTCCCGTCGCGGTTCCGCAAACCCCGCCCCGATCTTCCGATGCGTCCGATCTTCGACGGCGTCAGCGCCTACGTCGACGTCACGCTCACCGGTAACGTCGACGCCAGCGCGCCGTTTCGCGCGAAACTCGTCGCGAAGGGCGCGAAAGTCACGGTGAACATTTGTCCAACGACCACGCACGTCATCTTTCGCGCCGCGGACGCCGCGCGAGGCGTCGCGCTGCACCGCAAACTGGCCGAGATGAAGCTCGCGTCCAAGGTCAAGGTCGTGTCACCGCTCTGGATCACGAACTCCGAGCGCCGAGGGGAGATGGTGGACGCGAAGGACTTCGCGACGACGCCGCGCGGCGTCCCGTCCAAATATTCGACGACGCCGAAGCGGAACGTCACGCCGAAGAACGCATCGCGAAGCGGAACGAAAAAGCGCGATCGCGAGTGCTTGGAATCTGTGGATTTAATGAAGTACGACTCAGACGTGCGACGGATGGCGGAGATCGCGGCGGAGTTGGACGCGGAGCGCGCGCGCGCGGCGGCGCTCGACGACGGCGACGCGACGACGAAGAAGACGTTCGCGGAGGCGGTGCGAGCGACGTCCGCGAAGAAGAAAAGACGCAAGGTCGAGTTTAGTGAGTGCGATGAAAACGTCGCGCCGACGGAGGATTCGAACGGCGCGTGAGGTGACTTGAGCGTTCCGCTCGGCGACTCGCCGCACTCTTCGCATGGCGTCGTGCGCGACGTGCGGGACGGCGTTCGCGTCGAGAAACGCGCTGTTCCGTCATCTCAGGCGCGACGGACCGTGTCGCGCGATCGACGATGCCGACGATGCGTCGACGTCGTCGATGGGCGCGCGCGCGGGCGTCCACAAGACGTCGGTGGCGAGGGCGTTCGACGCCAGGGCGCGCGGGGAGGACGGTCCGACGCTCGCGTACGCGAGCAGCGGAAGGAGCCACAAGAAGGAAAGGGACATGACGAAGGAAGAGGTGCGGGCGCTGAACGAAAGGCGCAGGAAGCGCGCGGCGATACGGAAGGAACTGAGAGCGCGAGGCGGCGACTCGAGCGGGACGGCGGCGGGCGACCCGGCGGCTGATTTATGGCTCGGTGGACTGTCCGGGAGCGCGGGCACGATGAAAGGGGTGCGCCAGGTCATCTGGCACGCGATGCCGCATAACTCAGACTTGCCACAGCCGCAGGTGAAGTTCATAAAGCGTAGGGGTTATAAAGTCAATGGAGAGTGGAAAGCGTTTGCGTTTTTACAGTGCAGAGACGCGGATGAGGCGCGCGTGCTCCAGGCGGCTATGAATGAAGTGAGTGTGACGTTGAAAGATGGAGTCACGAGCGTACTGAAGGCGAGGCCCGCGGCGTATAAGAACAAGACGAATGATGCGAAAGCTGCGCCGGCGGCAGTTGCTCCTCCCGCTCGCGCGTTGCCTCCCGGAGAGCACCCGCCCGCGAGAGAGATTTTCATGGCGTGGACGGCAAAAGACTTGGAACAGCGCGCGCTGGCGCGCGGCATGACACACGCAGCTCTCATCGATGAAGCGGTGGCGTCGAACGAGGCGGCGTCGTACGTCAACCTTCGAGGCGTCGCGGTGGACAGCGCCGCGACGCAGCGCTTGAAGGATGAACTCCTTCGATCGAAGTGGCCGGCGCGTTCGCATCGCCGCGGCGTGAAAAGTGATGGCTACATAGTTTTGAAGCGTGAATTGTCGCCGAATGATCCGTACGCCAAACTCAAGGATGCGTGCGAGAGATTGATGCGAACCGTCGACGAGACGTTCCCCTACGATAGCCTAGCGATAACGAAAAATTTCATCTCCTCGGCGCACTTGGACAAGGATGACAAATCTCATCAGTACTCGATGTCTTTCGGCACTTTTACCGGTGGTGGTGAGTTATGCGTAGAAAGCAAGGACGGAAAGACGCGCTGGATGATTGATACGCGCGAGCGTTTGGCGAGATTCGACGGCAGATCCGTGCACTGGGTTCGCGGATACAGTGGCGATCGTTTCTCGGTGGTGTGGTACGTGAATCGCGAATCGTATTTCACCCCTCAACGATACGATGTGGATGAAACTTTTGTTGGCGTGGACTCTTCGTCGTCGCGTTGCGTCGTGCAGTAGACTTAGAAGTATTGAGAATAGAATTACAACATCATTTTAGTCGCTTTCGTCCCAGTCACGCATAGATTTGCCAGACTTTGACTTACTCGCGCTTTTTTCACCCTTTTTCTCTTTCTTTTCCTTTTTTGCCTTTTTTTCCTTCTTCTTCTTCTTACCCTCGCTACCCGAGAGCATCTCGCTCGAGCTCATCGTCGCCGAGCGCGCGAGCGCCAATCCGAGCGGATCTTCAACTTTTTCGTACTCATCCGCGCTCGGCGTCGCGTCGAACGCAGCGGCGAGACGCTCGGGATCGAGATCGACTGCGGACGGCGACGTCGGCGGTTTTGATTTCCCGTTTCCGTTCTTCGGTTTCTCGTCCGACTTCCCGAAAAAAGGATCGTCTTTGCTAATCTGACGAATAAAGTGTGCGGGCGATTCCGCGTCGACTTCGCCGTCGCTGTCGTCGTCGTCTTCGTCATCCCATCCGTCCATCTTCATCGCGACGTCGCGTCCCGCGTCCTCGTCGTCCTCGTACCCATCGTTCTCATCATCACCACCCTCCTCGTCGTCGTCGAGCCAATGGTCATCGCCGCCACCCTTCTTTTGCACCATGGCCTCGATCGCGGCTTTGTCCTCGTCGGCGATGTCTCGGCCGCCGAACGCCGAGCGCTCGACGCCGCCCGGTCCTAGATGGCTAAACTGCGGGGGGAGTTGTGGCTCGTCCGGGTTCTTTCCGTCCGATTCGGCGGACTTGCCGCCGAGTGTGGCAAAAGTTTTCAAATTGTTGGCTAAATCTTCCGATAGCTCGGCGGGCGTCTTTCGCGCGATGTTGGACACCGCCGAAGCCGTGGAAGAGAGCGCGGCGCCGGCGACGACGAGAGGAATTTCCCCGACCGTCATGTTGCTCAGCTTGCTCCAACTAAATGAACTCTCTTCGGGTGCTTTCACCGCACCCCCCTCACCGTTCTCTGCCTTTTCCTTCGCCTCCTGCTCCTCGGGCGTTGGCTGATGAATCCCGAGCTTGCGAGTGTACGCGTCGTACGAAGATTCTTTAATCTTTTCCAAAGCCTCTTGCGCCTGCACCGTCGCCGTCGTGTTCAGCGTCAACGCCTGTTCCAACGTCATGCGTTTCAGACATAGAAACGGCACGTGCAAAAACGTCGACACCGCGCTCAAACCGTAACAATTCAACAACGACGTCTCGATCACCACTGGCGTAAACGGCCTATCGCCGAACGCGTCCTCCAACGCCGCCTCCACCTCACCCACGCTCAAACCTCGCTTCTCATCCGGATAATCCCTAAAGTTCATGATCAACGCGCTCGGAATGTGTTTCGGTAACTTCTCAAGCTCTCGCATCGCGTACTCAAACGTCCATCGCTTGCTCGGATCGACCAACACGCAACACGCGTGCGCGCCTCGATACACATCCATCACCGTCGCATCCAACGGAAATGTGTGCGCTCCGCTCCCCGCCGCGCTCGCCTTCTTCGCCAGCGTCAAATTATCGCTCACGTCTCGCTTCGGTGCCTTATCCACGACGTCCCAAACCTCCAACGCCACGACGTCCTCCGGGCACGATTTCGCTCGCCAGCTCACGTGCGCCGTTTTTATCTCCTTCGTCGTCTCATACGCCGCCACGAACGTCCCTCCGCGCAGGCGTCGAAGAAGCGTCGACTTTCCCGTCGCCACGTCGCCGCGCAGGACGAGTTTGAAGTTATACGTCGCGCCTTGGCCGTATTTCGTGCGCATGGATGAGTCCATCTTCGTAATCATGCGCCTGCGATAATCCTCGTCGCTGAGCGTCGTCGTGGACGCGCTCGCGGTGCCGGACGCGCTCGCGGTGCCGAAGGCTGGCGCGTACGACGCGACGGTCTCCTGGAGCGACGTCCACCAATCCGTGGACGCCGCATTCGTCGTCATGGCGATCGCGAGGCGAATTATGGCGAGGGACTGGCGAGCTACACGGCGGCGGCGTCTAATTCGGTTTCTAAGCGCCTGGTTTGCGCGCGAGACGCCGCGAGCGCCCTGCGAAGGGCTGATATTTCGCGTTCGCGATCGGACTCGCGCTCGCGACAGCGCGCGACGAGAGCGACGCCGTCGGTGAGCTCGCGCTCCATGTCGGCGATGCGTTCCGCGTGCGCTCGCGTCTCGTCGGATTTGTCGGCGAGCGCCTTTTCAGCCGCCGCGACGTTGTCCTTGACGCGGGACACGTCGAGATCGACGAGCTCGATGACTTTTTCGAGACGGCGATGCGCCGCGCGAAACGTTTCGCACTCGCGTTTGACGTGCACGAGCTCGTTGGCGGCGCGCAGGAGTCCCTCGTCGACGCGTTCGCGGAGCGTCTCGGCGTCCGCGTCCGAGTCCACGCGGATCAACGCGTCGACTTCGCCGACGCGCGCGTCGAGCGCGCGCGCGTATTCATCTTTCAGCTCCACGGAAGCCTTGAGTTCGGCCTGGAGTTCCCGAATGCGCTGCTCGAGCGCGCGTATCGTGGCGTCGCGCTCGACGACGCGCCGTTCCGCGCGCTCCGCGGCGCGCGCGCGCTTCGCCGCGTCGCTCGCGGCGTCCTCGAGTTCCGCTTTCAGCCTCGCGTTCTCCGCCTCCACGCGTAACTTTTCCGCCTCGAGCGTGAGCGCCGCGCGCGTCGTCGTCGTCGCGTTCGTCTCGTCGTTCTCGTTCTTCGTCGTCGCGCGCGCGCGTTTCATCGTTCCGCGCGTCTCGTTGTGGCGTTGGCGTTACACTCGCGCCGACATAAAAAATCCACGCATCCGCGCGTCCCTCTCGTCCCCGATCGATCATCCCTTTTCGCCGCCTTCTTCACCGCGCCCATCATCGATCCACGCCGTCTCGCTCGCGCCGTCCGTCTCCCTCGCGCTCGCCCTCGCGCGTCACCCTCGCTTCTTCGCCAACAACGGATTCGCCGCCGCCAATTTATTTTCCCTCTGTTTCGCCCGCATCGCCGCCTTCTTCGCCTCCTCCGCCTTCACCGCCGCCGCGCCCGCCTCTCCGCTCGCCGCGAGCGCCGCGCGCGCCGCCTCCTTCCTCGCCGTCTTCTCGCGCAGCGTCTTCGCGTCTCGCTCCGCGCGCCGCGCCGGCGTCAAATCCTCCTTGTTGCCCTTGGACGCGTTTTTCCCTTGCTTTTTTTGCGCCTTCTCCTTCGCCAGCTCGCGGCTCAGTCCGCGCGCCATGCTGTCTGCGCGTTCGTGCCTTGGCGCGCGCGCGCGTTCGCGCGCGCCGTCGCGTCGTCGATTCGCGTCGCGTCGCGTCGCGATGTGAAGCCTCGGCGCCATTCGCGCGCGCGTCGCGTCGCATGGCGTCGCGTCGCGTCGCGAGACCGCTCGCGCGGTCGGTGGCGATGGTCGGCGACGCGCTCGAGCGCGGCGCGCGATGCGGCGGCGCGCGCGACGCGCGACGGCGCGGCGAAGACGTCGGACGAAATCATCGCGCGCGCGAGCCGCATCGCGTCGAGCGGCGATGGCGGACGCAGGGCGCGACGGCGCGCGAGGACGAGCGCGCGGTGGTGCGGGCGCTGCGAGCGATGGCGCCGGAGGCGCGCGCGCGGGCGGTGGGGACGGTGGCGGCGGAGGACGCGGCGACGCGGGACGCGGTGATGGCGACGCTCGCGAGCGCGGGGACGCTCGATCGCGCGTTCGAGGACGCGGACGCGAACGGGGACGGGGTTTTGGATAAGAAGGAATTTTTGATGGCGCTGAGTCGCGACGAACGGCGGGACGCGGCGTCGGTGGGGCGGGAGGAGGCGAGCGCGACGGCGAGCGCGACGGCGGCGCAGTTGCGAGCGGTGGCGCTGAGTCAGGCGGTGCCGTTCGTGGGGTTCGGGCTGTGCGATAACGCGGTGATGATCATGGCGGGGGAGTCTATCGAGACGGCGCTCGGGGTGGGGTTGGGGCTGAGCACGATGGCGGCGGCGGGGTTCGGGAACACGGTGAGCGACGTCGTGGGGATCGGGTTGTCGAGCAAGATCGAAACCTTCGCCGAGCGGTTGGGGTTCCAGGCGCCGCAGAATTTGACCCAGGCGCAGCGAATGACGGCGGCGGTGCGATGGGCCAAAGTCGCGGGCGCCACGGGGGGGGTCACCGTGGGATGTCTGCTAGGGATGTTTCCGCTTTTGCTCGGTTGGTGAGCGACGTTGCAATATCGACTTCGTAGCGATTATTATTTCTATTTAGCGCGCGTCAAGCTAATCGCCGCGACGGTGGGCGTGATCGCGCGACTCGCAAGCGGTGCGAAGCTCATCGTCGCTGTGTCGAATTTGAGCGACGCCAAAACGGACGAGCCGGCGACGTATTCTGGTCCAGAGCCGTGGATGCGTTTCAGCGTATCCTCGTCGACGACGGCGTACACGCCTCGCAACTTTCGCGGCGCGACTTCGGCCGATCCTTTCAGCAACAAAACCACCGATGGGAACTCGCATTTGTCAATCGCACGCACGGCGGCGACGTAATCATCGCGATCGGGCGGCCCGACGAGCACGCGAAGCGCGTTGCGAATGAGGCGCTTGTTCGAAGGCGCGCGCGCGGGAACGTAGCACGCGGCGACGCCGATATCGCTTCTACGGCGTTCGGGAGACGAAGCCCCGCGACGCGCGACGGGCGACAGCGACGACGCCAAACGTCCGCGTCTTTGCGCCGCGCGTTGCAGACTCGCCGCGTCGTCGCCGTCGTCGTCGCGTTCGCCGAACCACGACACCGCGATGGGCTTCGACGGCGGCGACGTCTCACTCGACGACGTCGACGCCATCAGCCGCGCATTGCGACCGGGAAACCAGGTCGGCACGCGCCCCGATGGTTTCGGTTCGTCGAACACGACGTCCCACTTCACCGGTTTCGCGGACGGGGACGGAATCAAGCGAAGCGCTTTCGGCACCGGCGGCGGCGTTCTCGTCAGCGTCTTCGTCTCCCGCGACGCCGCGCGCGTGCCGCGACAGTACGCATCGCTACCGAAATCATCACACACATCTTCATCGAGCGCGTTTAAACTCAACTCCTGCAACATATCCGAAGCCTTGACGAACCCGGCGTCGACTCGCGCCTTCGTCGATTTCGCCGCGGGCGATTCCAACGCCCGCCAATCCTCCGTTAAATCCAACTCATCCACGTCCTCGTCGAACGCACCCGCGTCAACGTCATCACCTTCGATCTCAAACGCGCCGAGCAAATCTCGTCCTTCCTCCTCTTTGTCTTCGTCTTCGTCTTCGTCTTCGTCTTCGTCGCGTCGTCTCGACGGCGACGGCGTCGCGTCCCCGAATCTCGCCCCCTCGTCCCTCGCCGCGTCCACCGCGAACGCCGCCACTCGTCGCCGCAGACTCTCCGCATATATTTCTCGCACCACCCGCATCGTTCCTCGCGCGTCGCGCGCGCGCAGCGCGTCCGAGCCATCGAACACGCCCGCGCGGCGCAGCTGTCGCCCCAAGATTTGAATCGAATCCTCGTCCGCGCGCGCCGCGCGCGCCTCCTCCGCGCCCGTCGCGCGCGCGAGCGCGTCGAGCAGTACCTTTCCGTCGTACAGATCGCTCGCGTCGGCGACGTCCGCGCCCGCGGTGCGTCGCAGCCAATCGAACAGGGCGTCGTTCGGCATCACTTCGCGTCGCGATGTGCCGCGCGCTGGGCGCGCGCGTCCCGCCTCGCGCGTCGCGCGCGTCGCGTCGCGTCGACCGCGGTCCGGCGCCGCGGCGCGCGGTCGAGCGCGTGGACGTCGCGCTGAAGGAGTGGGCGTTCGTCGTCGACGCGCTGCGACGCGGCGAACAAATCGCGCTCGCGCGCAAGGGAGGCCTCCGCGACGCGCGCGGGTTCGAGCTGCGCGCGGACGCGTTCTGGTTGTTTCCGACGGCGTTTCACGCGGATCTATCGGCGTACGCGCGCGCGGCGGGGACGGCGAGCGCGCCGAAGGCGCTGGACGCGCTCGCGGCGGCGACGGGAACGTTTGAGGTGCGCGCGGAGGACGCGCCGAAGGCGCTGAGGGTCCTCAGCGCGCGATCGGGCTGGCCGGAAGATTTGTTCGCGCGGCGGGCGAATTGGAAACCGGACGCGCCGTTGGTGATTTTGGAGGTTCGATGCTACGAGGCGCGGGAGGGGCTGACGATCGATCCCGACGACGAGCGGTACGGGGGGTGCAAGTCGTGGGTCGACACCGACGCGTGGGTCGTCGACGACGCGTCCGCGCTGCGCGCGTGCGTTTCGGACGAGGAGTTTGAGGCGATGTCGAGGTCGTTGCGCGAGGATTTGTTCGCGATAGGCGCGACGCAGACGTCGTGACGGATTTCGTCGCGCGGGCGATCGATCGTCTTCTAATGTAGTGTTACTGTATCAATCCTGGTTCTAATGTAATTATCATCGATCATCGGAACTCGTCCTCGAGCGCGCGGAAGGCGGACACGATGTCGTCTTCGAGCTCGGCGAAGCGAGCGCGAATCGCGTCTTCGCCGTCCACAGGATCTTCAAACTTCATGCTCGCGATGCGATAGATGAGCTCGCTCATGCGCGCTCGAATGACGTTAAACGTAATCTTCGGCCCATCGCTCGTCGTTGCCGCGCGCTCGACGGCGGCCGTGGCGAGCGCGTGGAAACGAATCATGTTTCGCAACATGCCGATGGATTTGTAAAAGGGGCAATACTTGTCGTACGCCGTGAAGGAGTTTTGCTGCAAGAAGTCCTCCTTTAAGAATTTTGCCGTCTCCAAGACAACCTTATCCGTCTCCGCCAACGAATCCTTACCGACCAACTGCACGATTTCGTTCAGTTCGTCCTCCTTTTGCAACACCTCGCGCGCGACGACGCGCAATTGCACAAACTCTGGATCCGTCTTTTCGTAAAACGGCTCCAACGCGTTGGTGTACTTGGAGTACGAAATCAACCAGTTCACCGAAGGAAAGTGCTTGCGCTGCGCGAGTTTTTTATCCAAACCCCAGAATACCTGCACGATACCGAGCGTGGCCGAGGTGACGGGGTCGGAGAAGTCTCCACCAGGGGGGGACACGGCGCCGACGACGGTGACGGAGCCCTCGCGATTCGGGCTGCCGAGGCATCGCACGCGACCGGCGCGCTCGTAGAAGGACGCCAGTCGAGCGCCGAGGTAAGCGGGATATCCGCTATCCGCGGGCATTTCCGCGAGACGACCGGAGATTTCACGCAACGCCTCGGCCCAGCGCGAAGTAGAGTCAGCCATCATGGAAAAGTTGTACCCTTGATCGCGAAAGTATTCGGCGAGCGTGATGCCCGTGTAAATACTCGCTTCGCGCGCGGCGACGGGCATGTTTGACGTGTTCGCCACCAGAGTCGTACGCTTCATGATTGATTCCTCGCGTCCGTCCGGCATAGTCATCGTGAGCTCGGGGAAATCGTACAAAACTTCCGCCATTTCGTTCCCGCGTTCGCCGCATCCGACGTAAATAATCCCGTCAGAGTTGGAATACTTCGACAACGCCTGAGAAATAACAGTCTTCCCGCACCCGAACGCGCCGGGAATCGCACAAGTCCCCCCTCGCACGCTCGGAAACATCACATCGAGCACGCGCTGTCCCGTCAACAACGGATGATCCGCCATCAACTTCTCCGCCACCGGCCTCGGCGCTCGCACCGGCCACTGTTGCTTCATCGAAAACTCCTTCACCACTCCCCCGAACTCGATCTCGATCACCTTCTCATCGATGCTATATTCTCCATCCGGCGCGATCCACGTCACCTTTCCCTTCGCGTTCGGCGGCACCATCAACCGATGTTCGATCAACGCGTTCTCTTGCACCGTCGCGTATATATCGCCGCCGCTCACGTGATCGCCCGCCTTCACCCCGCTCCTCCCGCTCACGAACTCCCACGTCTTCGACGCGTCCAGCGCCGGCACGTTCACTCCTCGCGGTATGAAGCAATCGCCGCACATCGCCGCGATCGCGTTCAGCGGTCGCTGAATCCCGTCGAAGATGTTTTCCAGCGCCCCCGGTCCCAAATCCACGCTCAGCGGCTGTCTCGTGCGCTCCACCGGGTCACCGACCGCGAGCCCGCTCGTCTCTTCGTAGCACTGGATCGTGGCCGTGTCGCGCTCGAGCCGGATGATCTCACCGACCAGCGCGTCGCCGCCGACGCGGACGAGTTCGTACATCGCCGCGCCGTACATGTTATCGGCGACGACGACGGGGCCGGAGACCTTGCGCACGCGACCGAGCGCGCGCTCGGGCTCGGCATCGTCGTCGCGCATGACCGCTTCGTCCGGTCTTCGATCGAGGCGTCGAGCGACTCGACGCGGGTCGACGAGGAGGCGCGGTGTGACGAGACGCGAGGGACGATCGATCGCGGCGAGACGCGGCGACGAGGCGCGAACGCGCGAGACGGCGAGGGTGAATTACAAAGACCGCGACGGCGTCGCGCGCGAAGGATGCGCGAAGCAAGGGTTGAGATTTGAATCGTCGACGTCGACGTCGACGTCGACGTCGTCGTCGGACGAGGCGATGATGACGAAGGGATGGGATCGAGCGACGACGCGCGAGGTCGTCGTCGGGAGAAGGTCGCCGGCGTCTTCGACGACGCAATCGCTGTCGGAAGAATCGGGCAGGGCGGTGACGGAGGGAAGGAAGCGTCGGATAGATGCGGCGTCGGCGACGCGCTTGCGTTTGGCCGCGCGTTGCTTGGCTTGCGCCTTGGTTTTCTTGGCGTGGCAAATCACGCAGAGCGTCTGCGCGTTTTCCACGGCGCACGTGCCGCCGCCCTCGAAGACGGCGATTTTGTGATCGCACTCCCACGCGCGTCCGCCGGAGGGCTTCTCGGCGAGTCTGTTGAGATAACTCTTGCTTCCTCGCTCGCCGAACGCGGGCGCGAATCGCAAGATTTCAGCCACGCGTTTGCTTCGCTTTCTGTGCACGCGTACCTTCTTCACGAGCGCATCGCAATCGAGTTTACACTCGACGCACACGCCTCGCTCGAGGGCGAAGAGCGCGCGACGAAGCGCCGATGCGCGCGAACCTTGATCGTACACGCGCATGCACTCTTCGCCGCAAAACAAGTCAACGCGTCTCGCGACATCCGTCGTGATTCGATCTATGTCGCTCACGCAGTGCAAGCACAGCAACGTACGCCGGGACGTTCCCTCGGCGAATCGACATGGCACGCGCATCTCGTACTTCCTACCCGCCTTCGCGATGTCGGTTACGACAATCGTGCGCCAATCGGCCTCCTTCGGTAACGGCACTAATCGCCCATGTCGAGTCGTGGATCCGGTGGCGGACGTGGCGGCGGCGGTTTTGGAGTTGAGCGCCTCGGCGAGCTCGTTGAGTTCGTGCGCGCGCGCTGGCTGTTGCCTGGCGAGTATCGAGTTACGATCACGCGCAGTCATCGCGTTCCAGGTATTGGAGAAATCCACGGCGGCGGCAAAGGCGATGGGATCGCTCGCGAGCGGCTCGGGAAGCTCCTTCGCGTACTTGGCCGACAAGCGAGCGCGTGTGAGCTGAGACCGACTCACGCTCGCACCGAGCGGAGCGCTCCCATCCGCTTTCCCGTGCAAATGCAGTCGTCCACTCGTAGCGCTGACTTCAAACCACATCGGACATTCCTCCGTCTTCATTTCGGGCGCGGATTCGAGCGCATCCGCGACGACCTCCGTCGCGACGGATTTGGACGTCGTGGCGACGGAAAACGCACTCTTTCTCGTCGCCTCGAGTTCTATTTGCGTCCCGTACGCCTCGACGTTCAAACCCACGCGTTCTCCATCCCCGTCCAAAGCTTCTCTGCACAGATCCAATTGACTTTCTAGACGCGCCCATCTGTCTTCGTCGTGCGCGCACGCGCCGCCTCGCGCGCAAAGAAAGTAAACGTTGACGCCGCTGTCGTTCCCTCGCCTATGCGCGCGATCCTCGGCTTGTTCCAGCAAAGACGCGTCGTCCGGCAATTCGGCAAAAATCACACACGATGCGGTGGAGAAATCTAATCCGGTCCCAGCTGCTTTAACGGAGAGCAACGCGACGCGTACGCCGACGACGCCGTCTTCGCGCGTCTGCGCGCCTTCGCGAAACTTGTCCACCAACACCTTGCGCTCGTCCGAAGGTGTCGAACCGTCGATGCGAACGTATGAGCCACGATTCTGGTTTTGGATTCTGACGCAAACTTCGCGCTCGAGCGCGTCGAGAACGGCTTGATGATGGGCGAAGATGACGAATTGCATCGAGTCATCCTTGAGCACGCCGCTCTCCAACCACTCGACGATCGGCTCGACTTTGAGCATGCCGACGATTTGCGACACACTCACGCGCTTGCCCCGCTCGAGCTCGCCTATTTTCTGATTCAGTACGTACTCTATGTCGTCCTGTTCGTCGTCCTCTTCTAAAATATTCCCCGCATCGTCGTCCTCGCCGTCGTCGTAGCGCAAGTCGTCTCGCGGCGCGCGCGCCACCTTTGCGATTTTCGACCAAATTTTCGGCCCGCCCACGCGGGCGATCGATTGCGTGATGTCGATCGGCACCACTTGCCGACGTTTCGGCGGCAAGTCGCGCATGACGTCGCGTTTCAATCGACGGACCATCGTCGTGTGCGTGAGCAACGTGCGGAGCTCGAGTAAACGCGAACCGCCTGAGACGTCCGATCGTCCTTTTTGATCGAATTGAATGTCGCAGTAGTGCTCGGCGAAGTCCCACTTTTTGCCCAATATCCCCGGCCGCAGCGCGTCGATTTGGTAAAACATGTCAAAGGGTTTCGTGAGGGACGGCGTCCCGGTGGTGAGCACGGCGTACTTGGCGCGCTTAATCAATCGCCACGCCGCGTCCGTGAGCTTCGTCTCGTCGCCGCCGTACTTTTTGCTCACGTGCATCGTGTGGCTCTCGTCCGCGATCACGCATCCCCACTTTACGGCTAAGAATTCTTCTAAGAGCGGCGCGAGCATGTGATACGACGTGACGACGACCCGTCGCCCTCCCGTCCACGTCTTCGCCGTCTTGCTCTCCGCCGCGAGCTTGTCGAGCATAAACTTGTCCGAACTGCCGAAGATGACGCTCAACTGTCGCGGCGTCATATCCGTCAACCACCGCTCGAGTTCGTCCGCCCACACGAATCGCATCGCCGCCGGAACGACGCACAGTAACGGTCCAGCGTCCCTGTACGCGTCCGCGATCGCGATCGCCTGAAGCGTCTTCCCCACGCCCATTTGATCCGCGATGAGCGCCCTGCCTCGCCGGCGCAACGCGAACCGCACGCCCTCCTCTTGAAACGAATACAGCGCCTCGCGAATCCTCGGCGCGATTTTTTCGTACACCGCGTCCACATCGTTCTCCTCATCGATCTCATCCCCACCCCGATCGCGTCCGCGATACCCCGGTCCACGACTCAAATACTCCACCGTCTGCGGCGGCGGCGTTCCGATCGGCGCCGTTCGCCGCGTTCCCTGCCTATACCCTCGCTCGAACGCGTCCATCGCGCACAGCCCGTCGTACACGCGCTTCAGCGCCGTCATTTTCACCCTCCACGCCGCCCCCGCGTCGTCGCTCGTCGGCGTCGTCGGCGCGACGTCTCCGATCCCCGCGCCCGCCGCCTCCGCCAGCGTCCCCGCGAAGCCGTGTCGCAGCCGTTCGCGCGAGCACGACACGATCGCCCCCTCGTCGCCGACGACGTCGATCCACACGTGCGGTCGCGCGCGCGCGCGCGTCGGCGCGACGCACCGCGCGTCCGTCGTCGTCGTCGTCGTCGCCGTCGCCGTCGCGCGTCGTCGCGCGTCGTCGTCGGCGTCGCGCGCGGCGCGGATCGCCGCGTTCACGTCGAGCGCGGCGAGCGCGTCGTCGTCCGCGTCGAGCGCGACGTCGCTCGGCATCGTCGTCGTCGCGATCACGCGCGCGCGGTCGTCGCGAGCGGCATGGCGATTCGCGACGCGTCGCGAAGTGAGCGCGATTGAATGATGATGCTCGTTACAACGCGTCGCGCGGAATCTAGGCACCCGCGGCGAAGGCGGCGAAGCGCGCGAAACGCGCGAAGGCGTCGTCGCGCTCGGCGACGGCGGGAAGGGCGTCGATGCGAGCGGCGAGACGGGAGGCGCGACGACGCAAATCGTCGTCGATTTCGTCCTCGGTGGGGGCGACGTCTCGCGTCTCCACGCGCCAGTCGTCGGCGATGTCGGCGAGAAGGCGACGGTTGGCGCGCGCCGCGAGCGCGACGGCGTCGCGAACGTCGTCGAAATCGACGAGCGCGAAAGAGGCGTCGGATTCGTCGTCGAGCTCGCGCGGTAGGACTTCTCGACAGATCGGGCACGTCATGGAGACTCGAAGCCAACGCGCGTGGCACTCGTCGCAAAACGCGTGTCCGCAATTGACGACGACTTGAAGCTTGTTGTCCATGCATATCGAACACTCCGCGTCCTCGCCTTCGCCCGCGGCGTCGACGCCGTCGGACGAAGACGCCGTCGCCGCGCGATTCGCCGCGCGGCGCTCGGCGTCCAAATCAATCGCCAGCTGTTGAATAGTCGGCTTTAACGAACCATAAAACTCCTCGAACGTCGCCCGACGAATGACGTGCACGATCTCGAACCCGTCCTCGTCGCTCGTCTCGCCGTTTTCGCCGTCGACGCCGCCCTCGTCCGCGACGATTTCCCCCTCGCCGCTCGTCCCGTCTTCGCCTCGTCGCCGCGGCTCGGCGACGTACCCGTACGCCGCGCGTCGCCATCGCCCTCCCGACCCACCCTCGCGCGCGTCCGTCTCGCGATCGACGCCGACCGCCTCAAAGTCCACCCCGCACTCCGCCAACGCCTTCCTCGCGAACGTCGGCGCCCACCGCGGGCACTTTCCCTCGTCGTACGAGAGCGCCGCCCGAAACCGCGCGCGGCCTCCATCCGTCCCCAATCCCAGCGCCGTCGCCAACCGCGCCAGCGCCGCGTTCACGTCCCCCAGATCTCGCAGCGCGCTCTCCACGTCGCGCGCGCCCGCGGCCTTCGCCACCGCGCCGTTCGCCGCGCGCGCGACGCGTCGCGAAAATCGTCGCAACCGTCGCCGCAGCACGTCGTACTCGCTCGCGATGCGCGCGCCGTAGCGATCGCACACCGCGCGCGCGACGACGACGCCGTACACCACGAGCACCGGGTCGACGCTCATCGCGACGCGGCCGCGCGCGCCGCGTCGCGCACTGCCGCGCGTCGAGCATCGATCCGAACGATTCGCGCCGGCATCGCGCGACGCGCCATGTCGCGCCGCGCGACGCCGCGCGCGATCGTCGCTCGGCGCGCGCCGTCGCGACGCGGCGCGCGCGGTCGTCGCGCGGCGCGCGCGACGCGCCGCGACGGCGACGCGCGCGCGGCGTGGGAGTCGCTCGACGCGATTCATCTGCTCGTGTTCGACCTCGACGACCCCGAGCGCGAGGCCGTGTACACGACGTCGCGACGCACGGCGACGCGCGCGACGAACGCGTTCGTGTGCTTCGAGAGCGCGGAGGACGCGCTGCGGGCGGCGATGGCGGTGAGCGAGGTGGCGCGGGACATGCCGGCGGTGGCCGCGGCGCCGCCGGCGGCGCTGGCGCTGCTCGCGACGAGCGCGGGGTACGACGTCGAGTTCGTCGAGCGGGGAGGAAAGTTTGAGGTGCCGACGACGATCGTGGACGAGGGCGCGACGGTCGGGGGCGAGGATTTCGCGGTGAGCGCCGCGGCGTTGGCGGCGTATTTGTCGGGACGCGAAGACGAAGACGAAGACGAAGACGAAGACGAAGACGAGACGCGCGCGGTGAGGGACGCGCGCGCGCGCGCGGCGTCGACCATGCGCGACGCGCTGCGCGCGCCGGCGAAGCGCGTGCGCGACGCCGCGGCGTCGAGCGCGTCGCTGCCGGTCGCGGGCGGTCGCACGTTTATATTCGGCGCCAGGGCGGCGCTGAGCGCCGTCGCGCGCGCGGCGCGCGTCAGAGCCGCGCGCGACGCGCGAGAGTGACGCCGTCGTTGTAACATACAGTAGTGACGCTCGTCGCGCGCGCGACATGCCGCGCGGTCGATCGCGCGCGCGCGAACGCGCCGCGCGCGCGTCGATTGCGATCACGATGATCTGCGTCTCGGTCGCCTTGCTCGCGCGCGCGACGACGACGCGCGCGCGCGCGCTCCCGCGCGAACGCTCGGAAACGACCGCGCGCGTCTCTCCCGCGGCGCCGCGCGGCGACGTGCGCGCGCTGACGATGGCGACGCTCGGGACGCTGGGAACGGCGCGAGGCGGCGGCGACGCGCGCGCCGACGACGACGCGGCGGTGGTCGAGTTTTACATGCCGTGGTGCGGAGCCTGTCAACACTTCGCGCCGGAGTTCGCGGAAGCGGCGAATGCGATAAAGGATCGCGTCGCGGCGTACGCGGTGGATTGCACGAAGGAGGGAGCGATGTGTAAGACGTTCGGCGCGACGTCGTATCCGACGGTGTTGCTGGGCGAACCGGGCGCGTTCGCGCGGCGGGAGATGGATAAGTTAAAGAAGTTTACGCGGACGAACGTCGCGGCGGAAGTGGTGAAGTGGGTGGATGAGGAATTGGGGACGACGTACGCGACGCGAGGCGCGGGTGCGAGGGCGGTGGAGAACGCGCGGAGGAGCGACGAGGAACGTCTCATCACGCGCCGGGGGCGAGAAGAGGCGACGAGTAGAGATGGGAGCAAGGTGACGTGGACGAAATTCGCGAACGTAGCGGATTTAGAACGCGCGACGATCGAGATGTACGCGCAGATGACGTCGGAAGCCGTATTCGTGTCCTCGCCCGAGGCACGACAGGCGTTCGAGAGCTTTCTCGCGTTCGCGAGCGAGACGCATCCCATCGAGACTTGCCACCGCGGTTTGACGAATTTGCTGACCACGCTCGATGACAAGTGGCCAAAGGATGGACGTGCCACGACGGGAATGATTCGCGCGGCGCTCACGCTGGATGTTCGAGTTTGCGGCAAGCCGCGAGGCGAAGACGTCACCATCGTCCCGCAATGGGTCGAGTGCGCCGGCAGCGTTGCGGGCTTGCGGGGATACACGTGCGGAGTATGGATGCTCTTGCACTCCCTGGCGGTTCGTGTTCCGGGATCGTCGATCACAAACATGGAATTCATTCACGCCATCGAGGGATGGGTGCGGCATTTTTTTCCGTGCGAAGAGTGTCGGACGCACTTTTTATCGCTCATCGAGAGCCCGGCGACTGGGTTCGGTGATTTCATCCAACGCACGGATGGTGCGTCGATGTGGTTATGGAAGGCGCACAACATCGTGAACGCGCGCTTGGCGGCGGAGGACGCGAAGGAGATCCCCAACGAAGTCAATATTCGAACGGGGGACGTTTTGGCCAAGAGCGACCCGTCGCATCCCAAGGTGCAATTCCCGCCAAAGTCGCTGTGTCCATCTTGCTACGAGCGCACCGCAGGCGGTGAAGACTCGTGGGACGAAGTTCACGTGTCAGAATTCTTGTCGTCGTATTATTTGGCGAGTGACGAGCGGCGACAACCGGACTTGAACGCCGCTACGAAGAAGGCGGAATTTCTCGCCAGCGTCTTAGACGCGTCCAGCATGCGCGACGAAGCCTCGTCGCGATTGCGCAAGGCGCTGAATTCGGGTGAAGACGTGTTTACCGTTTACGATGTGTTCTGGATGAGCGCGCGGACTTTCTCCATGTTTGCGTTCATCCTCTTCATGGCTGTCAAATCGGGGGCGCTGAGTCTGTTTCACAGACGAGCGCGCGGCGGGAATACGTCCCCGCGCATCACGACGTACGCGCGCGGGAAATACGCGTAACGTACGCTACTGTAGAACACTAGTCACAATTAATTAGAAATACAGCTACTTCGGAAAACCTCCATCCCTTTGCACGTCGATCGCCTTACTCGCCTCCGCGATGACAATCTGTTTGTTGGTCTCCACGACGTTCCCGCACATCACCATCTCCTCCAGCATGCAATACACCTTATCCAAATGCATCATGATATCTAATTCGCACACGTTTCCAAAGTGCCTGTCCAACGTCTCCACCACGCCGTGCACGAACTCCAACATCGCGAGCTCGTTTTCCTCTCCCTCGCACCCGACGACGAAGTACAGGCTCGCGTACCGTCTATAAATCACCGTGTACTCTCGATGCTCCACGAACGCGCACTCATCCGCGCCGCGCGCGATGCACCTTCGAACGATCGTTCCCTCCAGCTGTCGCCGCTCGTCCGCGGTGAGATTCGAGTCAAAGTATTGCGCCAATCGCGTCTGTCCCTGCTTGTTCACCATCAGCAAGAATCTACGTCGCGCAAAGAATTCCCCATCGTTCGTCGTCGTCAGTCGTTCGTCGTCGCGTCGAGCGTTCGCGTCGCGCGAGACCTTTCGCGCCGGACGCCGTCGCGCGCGCACCGTATCGTCATGGCGCCGCGACGCCGCGCGCGCGTCGCGCACTGACGCGCGCGGCGGGCCCGTCCGCGTCACATCGCGACGCCGCGCGCGCTCGACATGCGCGACGACGACGCGTCGACGGCGTCTCGATTCACCGAGGCGTCGACGACGACCGTGCGCGTGCACGTGTACGATCTAAACGCGAATTACAACGACCTCGCGTATCCAATCGGACTCGGGATCCATCACTCGGCGGTGGAAATCTACGACCGGGAGTACGCGTTCGGGTACCACGACGACGCGAACGTCACCGGCGTGTTCGACATCGCGCCCAAGAGCGCGCCGCACCCGGCGAAGTATCGGGAGACGATCGAGATCGGGACGAGCCTGCTGACGGAGGATCAGTTCGCGGACGCGTTGGAGGCGCTGCGGCGCGACTTTCCGGGACCGAGCTACGATTTGTTGAAACGGAATTGCAATACGTTTACGGAAACGATGGTCAAAGTTTTGACGGGGAAGAGCGTTCCGGGATACGTGAATCGATTGGCGAATTTAGGGGCGGTGGCGCACGATTTCGCGCCGTGTCTGTTACCGACGAGCATCGTCGGCGATTTGCAGACGCTTCCGGCGACGACGGGACAGAACGAAGAGACGGAGGACGTCGACGGAGGGGAAGAGGTGCAGTTGTTGGCGGTGCCGACGGAGGAAATGCACGCGAGTTGATCGCTGTAGTCTGTAGAGAAGTGTTTGTGTAACGTCGCGATATCACAAGTAGCTCACGCATGTCGCACGACCTAAAGGACGTCATCCTCCGTAACTACGGGCTCGTATTCGTCGTCGTCGTCGTCGTCGTCATAGTCGCGTTCTTCTTCGTCGTCTGTCTCGACGTTGTCGCCGCTCGCGTTGGGATCCTCAAAGTCTGTGTACGGAATGTACGTCGTTTGCGACACCGCGCAATCGTACACAGATCCGATGTCGTAGGCGTATGAGTGCATTAGCGTCCCCAACACGCGGATGAGCGCCTTTCCCACGCACGCGCTCGCCTTCTGGTACGAAGTCTTTGTCTTGAACACGATCTCCACGGTGTCGTTCGTGGCGGTGTCGCTCGTGGCGATGAGTTGAAACTCTTGCACGGACGCACACATGCGACCGTCAAAATATTCATCAGATACTTCGCGTAAGTACTTGTGTGTGCGCTCGAGCATGACAGCCAAGCGGCTCGCCACGATGACATCCTCCTCGTGTGACACCAACGAACTCAAGCCAAGACGCACCGCGAGACGGTGATCTGGACGTTTCATGCGTTCGAAAAACTCCTGCACAGTGCTCATGAACGTGCGCACGCCGTCAGGGCGCCCCGTGAGCCCTTCGAGGCGCTGCGTTAAATTGTGCGGTCGCTCGGGCGCTGGCTTGAGTCCGATTTGCCAAAGTAGCGAGTGATACAAGCAAAACTTGTCCGGCGTACGCTTGTCCGGCTCGTCGTCGTCTCGCATATTTTTCATCACCATAGATCCGCCACGCACGATCGATCGCACGAGTGAGGCCGCAGTATTCTTCGCCGCCGTCGTCGTAATGGATGAAAACGTTCGAAACGGTCGACCGCGATTGTCTCTCGCTCCAATGCCCGGTTTGAGCGGTAAAATGTGCGCCTCTGTGGTGAACAAATATGGATACGGCCCGCCATCCACGATGTTCTCCCGATCTAAAGCCGCGTCGAAGAGTAAATATAAGTACTTCAACGTCTCCGATAAGAAGAAACTTTCCATTTTGTCCACGAGCTTTTGCGTCGAAACGTCCGCCATGTGAGCGTAACCGCAATTCGTCTTGAGCAAACGCAAACTCGCCAAAAAATCACGACCACAGGCGATGTACGTCACGTCGCCCGTGGCCTTGTACAATAAATACGTGCTTTCGATGAGCTCTGGGCGCAGAGGATACGGCTTTTGCCCTGGAATCGCCGCCCCCGTCCGCACGTCAAAGCCTTCAGGTGTGAAACCGTAATGTTTCCACACCTGGAAAAACGCGTCGTGCGTCGTCGTCGCGGTTTCGATGTCACCATACAGCGCCTGTAAGCCGGGCCAGAACGACATCAACGAGTCATATCGTGAGCTAATCAACTGTCCAGTCATCATACCGGCCTCGACGTACCACGGTGCTAACCGCACGTGTGCCTCTACCGCTGCGTACGCTTCTTCAAATATTTCCAAATGCCTTTCGTTACCAAACAAAATGTATGACTTCAACATGTACTCGTAAAATGAGTCGATTCCGGCCCCGACGCTCGCCTCGGCTTGCGTCCACTGTCCGGTTTCGATATCAATATGTGCACCTACTAAGCCTATGTCACTCCTGTGATCCCACAACGCTTCCAACGCGGCTTCGGCGACCCGCCTAAATCGCGGATCCCCCGTTAACGCGCTCAACGTCCCAAACTCTAAAATCAACGAGCCTCCCGCAGCAGTGCTCGTAATGGTCGTCTCATTCACTTCTACACCGTACTTCAAATTCACCGCACCATACGGTATGCCCGTCTTCGTCTCAAACGCTGGAAGAAACGCCTCACCCAAATCGTTCGCCAGCTCCAGCAACTCGTCCTCGTACCACTCAATCCCAAACCCCGTCGCCTCATCGCTCGCCAGCAAATGCGCGCTCAGTAGTCCGCCGAGGACTCTAATATTCATCTCAAACAAGCTCACGTGCGCGTCTACGTCGAATCTCGTGTTATCGATCACCGCTCGAACGCCGCGCTCGAACGCCGTCTTGTTCCCCATCACCACCATCGCGTCTAACGCGTCGATGAGCGTCACCGCGAACCCCGATTCGCTGCCGAACGTGTTTACACCCTCGCAAGACATCGGCTTCAGCTCATCCGCGGGGTAGGCGTGGACGTTGTACGACTCGAGCGTGTCGGTGAACATTTCTTTGACTTCGTCTCGGAGCGCTTCGATTTCCGACCGGGACAGGCTCGTGGACGCGCCGCGCGCCAGCCGCGGCGCGACGAAGAAGCAGACACCGATAACGCATAAAATGCGTTTTAGGCGCGCGCGCGCGGGCGCCATGACGGCCCGCGCGCGCGGGTGTGTCGAAACGAGTGTTTCTCTGGGGTTGGTTGCTACAAGACGTCGGGAAGGCTAAAGCCGAACGCGCGTTAAAGCCAATCCTTGAGACCTCCGCCGCCTTTCTTGGCGTCCGCGGAGAAATATCGATCGATGAGGTCGTCAGTGCGATCGCGCTTGTCCGCGCCGTGGGGCTTCTTCTTTGGCTTGACGGATTCGGGCTCGCGCTCGCGTTTGCGGCGCGCGTCGTTTCGGTCTTCGCGCTTAGCCTCGGCGGCGCGCTGAAGCATCTTCGGCGCACCTCCGCTGGGTTTCGAGGGCTGCTGTTTCGTACCGCGTTTGTCGCGCGGTTTAGCGTCACCGTCGGCGTCGGCGCGGGATGTGGGCTTTGGGGCCCGATTGGCGTCGTCGCGCGGCCGCTTTGGAGCGACGCCCGCGGCTTTCTCCTTCTTGGCCACGCGTTTGGCCGCTTGCTCCGCGCCTCGAGGCTTGTCCTCGTCTTTACTCGCGGCCCTTTTCTGTTGTCCCTCGCGCTGCTTCGCCTTGAGTTCGAGCTTACGCACGGCTCGCGCGTCTTCTATGGAGAACTCGACGATCGGGCGCCGAGCGCGAGAGAACGCGTTCGGATTATTGTTCAACGCTCGCAACGCCGTGAGCGCGTGCTCGTGCTCTGTGAACTCGATGAATCCCATACCTTTACTCCTAGGCTTGCCGTTTTCATCCATCTTCTCATTATCGTACAGAAGCTTGGCGTGCAACACCTTCGGTACGGCTTGCGTCGCGCGTTGTTGCACGGCTTCGATGAACATCTTTTTCAACGTCTTTGAGTCGATTTCCGGCGGAATATTCCGCACCGACAGACGCGTTCTCGAGATGAAAAAGTTTGGATTCTTCAACTTGAGCTGGCGCTCCTCGTTCGATCGTCGACGCTTGTCGATATCGCTCTTGCTCACGCCGTCAGCGGCTGCGGACGCTTCGTGAATGTCGCCCTCCTGCGCCAAGTACAGATTTCTATTATCACGGTGTTTGTTCGCGTTGCGATATTTCGCACCCTGTCGAGCCATCATGTCAGCGGCTTCTGCCTTGGAAAGCGCGAGGGCGACGGTGATCGGTCGTCCTGCGACGAAAATACCGGCGCTTTCGCTTTCGCCCGCCTCAACGGCGGCGTTTGCAGAATTCGCATTGGTGAAATCAACGAACGCGTTTCCAGTGTGCTTGCCCGTGGTCTTATCCTTCACGACTCTGCAGCTCGTTACTTTACCGAATTTCATCATCTTTTCCTTCAGCTGTTGCCACGTCGCCTCGAGAGGTAAATTCCGCACGAATACGGTGACGTTTTCTGGCGTCTCGCCTGAATCCGCATCGACGCCCTTGCGTCCTTGCCACGCGGGATCCTGACCGTCCTTGCTATTCGACGCTTTGACATCCGGTGCTACTTGTTTCTTTGCTGCGATCGGTTTTCGCTCAGGTCTCGCCGGCTCAGCTTCCGCGATGACCTTGCCGAGTAGTCGAGACATCATATTCTTCTCCTGAGTTTCTTCGTCCTCGTCGTCACTCGAAGATGAGCTAGATCTATCGTCGCCTCTATCATCGTCGTCCTGGCTAACATTTGTCTTCGGTTCATCCTCAGCAACCTCCGGCGCGGTCTTTGCCGCCGCGTTTTGCTCTGCTTGGTACTTGGACTTCCCCAACGCAATGTCCACGGCGACTTGCCTACCCGCGATTTCCACCCCATTGCAATCGCTCACCGCTTTGTCCGCGTCGGATTTACACGTATACGTCACGAATGCGAAGCCTTTGGGCTTGTCATGGAAATCTGTCGGCACGTTGATGTCCCAAACAAAGCCCGCGGCGCTCAGCGCTTCTCGAATCGATTCCTTCGTCGCTTTGAACGACAAGTTACGAACGATGACGCGCCATTGCTTCGGCTTCGAACCTTCACCTCCGAGCGCACGCGCCCAAATGTACTCTTTAGGCTCGTCTGCGTCTTTCGCGTCCGTGTCTTTACTCTTCCGTCTCCGATGCGACTTTGCCTTCGGCGATTTCCCGTGCAACGCCCGAACGGCTTCTCGCGCCGTTTCCTCATCCTTGTACACCACCAACATCGCCCCGCGCTTGCACCCATCCTCACGAATCTTCGCTAACTTCATCACGTCGTCCGGACACGGCTCCGTGATCGTCTCCACCTCCCCACACGCGCGCGCGAGTTCCTTTGCCGCCTCCGCGTCCACGCCTTCGATCTCGCCGCCGAGTCTCACCCCGCCCAGCACCACCGTGCGCACCGCCGCGTTCGTCGCCATCGCACCGCTCCCCGCGCTTCGTTTCACGCGTTCCCTCTTCACAGCGTCCGCGCTCTTCCGTTCCCGTTTCTTCTTCTCCGCCTCCGCCTCCGCCTCCGCCTCCGCGCGCTCGCCTCCGCTCGCCTCCGCCGGCGTCTTCGATCTCTTTCCCGACCCCCCCTCCTCTTTCCGCTTCGCCACGACGATGGCCAATTTACGTCCTCCCATCTCAACCTTTCCCGACTTCTCGCACGCCTCTCGCGCGTCGTCGGCGATGGCAAACTTGACGTATCCGAACCCGCGGTGCGTCGTCGAACCCTTCTCGCGCGCCACCCAGCACTCCTTGATCGGGCCGAAGTGCTCCCCGAACGTCGCCTCCAGCGCGTCGTCGTCGCAATCGTACGGCAAGTTCCGGACGAACACCATGACGTTCTCGCGCGGCGGCCTCGCGGCGTCGTCGCGTCGCGTCGCCATCGCGGTTCGTTCCGCGCGTTCGTTCCGGCGGCGGCGCGCGCGCGCGGTCGGTGCGCGCGACTCGGGGCGTCGCGCGGCGCGCGCGCGCGGCGGACGAACGAAGACGGTGGCGCGCGCGCGCGCGCCGCGCGTCGGCGCGCGAAGCGGTGCGAGCGCGGTGCGGTGCGCGTCGGAGTGCCGCGGCCGCACTGCGCGACGCATCGCGATGAGCGCGGCGGCGGTTCCCGCGCGCACGCGCGCCATACGGCTGTACAGGTGCGACGGCGCGCGCGCACGATCGATCGCGCGCGCGCGAGGGCTCGATCGCGCGCGACGGGCGACGCGACGACGCGCGACGACGCGGGTCGAGCGCGTGACCTAAGACGATCGCGCGACGAAGGCGCGGCGACGCGCGCGGGCGACGCGCGACGCGCGATGACTGACGAAGGCGCGGATTTCGTCGCGCGGCTCGAGCAGGCACACGCTGCGAACGGTGCTGTCGTGGTGCGTCGACCGACGAATCTTTTACGACGAACGGGATCGCGTGCGGTCGGCGTTCGCGGCGAACGCGTCGCTTCGCGATCTCGGCGAGATCGAGAAGGCGCTGCGCGATGGGGAGAAGACGCTGGAGTCGTACGCGCACCCGGATCCGTACATCATTCCGACCATGTACGGGGGGTCGAAGTACGCGAGAAATCCAGAGGTCCCGGCGAACGCGGCGATGGTTTTCGATTTCGGACGAGAGCCGTACGCGAAATAGACTGAGACAAACTTTGTAACCATAGCGAGAGAGATGTACGTGACGGGGACGCGATCGCGGTGGTGCGCGCGGCTAAAGTGCTACGACAATGCGCTAAGGCTATGATTCGGCGCGCCTACCGCACGCCGGCGTATTGCGAAAAAGCGGGCGACTGGAAATCGAGTTGGAGCGAGCGGCCGAGCGCGCGCGCCTGGTCGCGCCTCGGCCCGAAAATCTTAATCTGTCGCACGTGCGTGTCGCGACCGTTCTGATGATTCGCCAACACCGCGATTTGAATGAAATACGCGCGTAAATAGGAGGAATCGTCGACGCCGCGCAGGCGCACGCGCACCCAACCGTTCGGTTGCTCGAGCTCCACCAGTCGCACCTCGCGTAAATCGTGACACGACGCCCCCGCGCGTATGGAGATCAAACTCGGCGTGTAACTCTCGTCCATCTTATACTCGCACCAAAGCGCGATCTCACACAGCTCCGCCTTGTGTTGAAACTGCGCGTTGACGACGTGCGGCTGCGCGCCGTCGCTCTGCCAAAACGTCGCCAAATCGTCGTCTCGCAACAGCTCCACCCCATTCCCCGGTTTCGCGCTCGCCACGCTCCAAACCGCGAGATGTCCGACCTCTCGCTTCTTATCTCTCGTCGTCGCGCCCTCACCGCGCCTTTCGCCGCCTCGATCGCCTTCCTCGTCGTCGTCTTCCTCGTCGTCGCTCAGCGTCGCCGCCACTCGCGCGACGCCGTCGCCCTCGCGCCCGCCTCGCGCGCGCGCCGCGCCGCGCGCCCCGAGCCGCCTCCCCCCACCGTCGCCATCCTCGTCGCCGTCGTCCTCGTCGTCGTCGTCCTCGTCGTAGTCGTCGTTCAGCTCGCGCTCGCCGTCGTCGCGCGTCTCGCGCGCGCCCTCGCCGTCGTCTCTCCCTCCGCCGCGCGCGCGCGCCGCGCGCGTCCGCGCGTCCGCGCTCGCGACGATCGCGTCCACGGACGCGGCGTGCGCGGCCTCGTCCTCGCTGTCGCTGCGCAGCATCGCGCCGCGCCGCGCGCGCGCGTCTGCGGCGTCGCGCGTCCAGACCGACGCAGCAGACCGCGCCGCGCCGTCGCGGTCGCGCCGAGCGCCGCGCGCGCCGCCGCACCGCGCGCGCACCGCGCGCGCGCCGCGCGCGCGTCGCCTCGCGCGCGCCTCGCGCGCCGCGCGCGCGCCGAGACCGCCGAGCGATCGCGCGAGAGCGTCGCTCTCTCGACGCGAAAACGATCGCGAGATGCGACGCCGCGTCGCCGGACGCGCGATCGAGACGATCCCGACGGCGCCGAGCGGCGCGACGATCCCCGCGCGAGCGCTCGGCGAGCCGACGCGCGCGCCGACGGACGCCGCGGCGCGCGAGCGCGCGAACGAAGTGGTGAAGACGGCGAAGACGAGGTGGTTGCGAAACACCGAGGTGTGCGACGTGCTGCTGAATTACGCCGCGTACGGCTTCGAACCGAGCGTGGACGCGCCCGTGCGACCGCTGGGGGGGACGCTGTTCCTGATCAATCGAAAGGTAGTGCGGTTCTTTCGCAAGGATGGACACAACTGGCAGAAGAAGAAGGACGGGAAGACGATTCGTGAGACGCACGAAAAGTTAAAGGTGGGGACGGTGGAGCTGTTGAATTGTTATTACACGCACAGCGAGGAAGACGCGAAGTTTCAACGAAGGTGTTATTGGTTGCTGAACATGGACGAGGGGGCGGTGTTGGTGCATTACTTGACGGTGAAGAAGGAGCCGCAGCGGCCGTCGAGCGGGGTGGCGACGCCGGGGGGAGCGGCGAGGGGCGCGCTCGGTTCGATGGGGAGGGATGGGAAGAGGGCGATAGGGAGTAAGGCACCGTTGTCGTCCAAAATCGGGAACAGGGCGCTCTCGTCGAAGATTGGGAGCGTGGCATCGAAAATTAAGAGCGCGTCCACGGCGGGGCGACGAGGGGCGGGAAGGTCGAGGAAGGACGTCGAGCTCGAGTCGTTTCTCGATGGCGCCGCGGACGATTTCTCGCGGCAAAATGTGAGCGATATGTTGAATCGCGATGATGAGGATTTGGCGCTCATTTTTCAAGAAACGGGTCTCGACGACGCCGAGCAGGGAGCCAGCGAGTGGAAGTACGCTCTGGACTCTGAATATATTAGCGACGACGACGCGCCGGCGACGTCTCTTTCGCGACTGATGCGCGAGTTCAACGGATTAGATGACGAATATGATGACGATTGCGTTGACGGACGTGCGCGAGAAAACAGTGATCAGCAAACTCCGACGTTCTCGCGAAGTTTAGTTCATTCTGACTCACCGCGGACCGGCGGCGAGATGTCCATTGAAGAGTTTGAGAGACGCATTGAACGCATTCGATCGCAGTGGCAGAATCAAGTCACCGGCGACGGCGATTCGACATCGATGGAACGAATCGAACGTCAAATCAACACACTCGAACAAGACGTTGAGCGCGCGATGGCATCTTCGCTGCAACGCGCGAGCGACGATCCGGGCGGCGAGCCGAGTACTAGCGCCGGCGATGCGGATGCGGCTGATGAGTTAAGCGGACACCGCGCAAACGCTACGGAACGCGGTGATGCGGAGACCTCTATGCATACGAGGCGCACGTCGGGCATCGTACGACACGTGCCTGCGACGCCTTCCGGTGTGCACGTCTTATGGAGTATCGTCGACTTTACGCCGTCATGGGACGACGTATCGGGCGGCGCGAAGGTCATCATCACGGGTAACCCGCTCGTCGAATTGGAACCAGGAATCGGAATGTGTTGCGTGTTCGGTACCATCGCCGTGCCTGTGGAGCAACTCGCGCCGAATGTTTTAAAGTGCTACGCTCCTGCGCATGCCCCAGGTGTCGTTTCAATGTTTCTCGTCATGGAAAGCGGCAACGGACATCCGGTGAGCGAGATATCGTCGTTCGAGTTCATGGAAAGTCTTGATCCGTCGAGAGGCGTCGATGTAGATCGACGTGATATGATTGATCAGAGTGCGAACATGAGCGATCGCGACTTCCAGATGCGTTTGGTTCAGTTGCTGACGACGTTAGGCTCCGATTCTTCAAACTCGGTCGGTAACGACAGCGGCGAAAAGAGCGGCGACAGAACGACGCACAGCTCGGCCTTGGTGAACGATTCGGTGATGCACATGAATGCATTAAGCGCGCTTCGTGCTGCAAATCGGCTTGAACTAGATCCATACAACTTGGACGGCGTCAAGAATGAAGAATTGGTTGTTCTTCTTTCTGGCATGCTTCAAGCGAGACTCAAATCAGTCATCGTTCACGAAAATAGGCGCATGAAAGCTCGACGCGCGCTCCCTTCGAGTGCAGTTGCGATGCAAGAGGTGGAAGAAGTCGCGAAGACCGGCGTCATCAGCGATAAAATCGTGGAAACTGCCGTGGAGAAGACTCAACAGACGCACAAAGCGCTCTTGAAGGTAGCCTTCACACCGTCGGCGTATAAACGAAAGGATCAAACTGGACTCACATTGTTCCACTGTTGCGCTGCTCTCGGCATCGAATGGGCGGTGCGTGCGATGTGCGTCACCGGCGTCGATCTCAATCACACAGATGCGTACAACCGCTCGGCTCTGCATTGGGCAGTCGCGCGTGGTCACGAAATGGTCGTCGCGACGCTTTTAAATTACGGGGCAAAGTCGCGTTCGATGTGTCAATGGGAAGGCGAAAGTTTTACCCCGGCTGAGCTCGCGGTGCGTTGCGGCTATGAAGGCATATCGGCATATATTAGCGAAGCTAACTTAGCAAGCGCTTTGGAGAACATTAATCTTCGAAACAGTGGCATTCCAAGGCAAAGATGCCGGACCTCTCGTGGCGGCGGCGTGTTTCAGGCGCATCGCTTTCGTCGCACTATTTTGAGCGATACGGAAGGATCTGATAGCGAAGAACACTCGGTGAGGCGCTCGACGAGGGTAAACAGCGAGAAGAAGCGAGCGTACCATCGTCGGAAAACGTCGAGACTCACCGCATCAACGACTGCAGACGGCGATGATTCTGAGACAGAAGCTGCGTTTGTCGTCAAGCGCGCGGAAAATGCACGCAGGTCGTTGCTCGACACGCTTTACAATTTGAATGTCAAGCCGGAGTTTATCGACGCCGACATCCATGCGCGTCTTGGAAAGAGGCGTGGGCGTAGAGTACGACAAGTTGACGTGCAAAGCTTGATGAGTGAGCTTCTCACACCAGTCGGTGACAACCCGACTCATTCTGAAATGATGTCTCCTTCGCGACGACCCGTCTTGCGCGCGAGACGCGCTCCAAAGCCTGTTGTCGGTGTGTCAATCACAAATGATGTTAAAGGCAGAGAAGACAGTGAAGACAGCGAGTCACTGGACGACGACGAAGACGAAGAAGCTATACAAAAGAACTTTTCGAGAATCCAAACTTCGCTCCAATCGGCACATTCGCGTACTCAGTACCTGCGATTGAGAAGACTTACAAACCAGTTACGCGTCGAATTAAAGAAACTTAAAGACGACGGTCAATTTTCTGATGATGATGATGATCGTTAGTGGTACTATTCGTACGAGTGATAAATGTTGTCGTGCCCTTAGGAATACTCGTTCTGTATTGTTACATCTACTATGCTAAGACAAAACCGTGCGGCAGTTGGGACATGTTGCATGCGTGTGCAGCCACGTCGAGCAACATGGAAGATGAAAACTGTGCGAGCAATCGAGCGTAAGCACCTCCTCGCCGCGCTCGATTTCCAACAAACAGATCGAACACGTGTACGACTCGTCGCCCGCGATCGAGCATCTTTGTTTAATCGCATTGATGGGGAGCCGGGCGTCGCATTCGCGAAGCGCTTTGTCGACGTTATCGTACGCGATGATCATGCGTGCCTCTTCAACACGCAAAATTCCCACCATGTTTTTCACGAGCGCCTGTCGATCGTTTCTGGGCATATCACTTCCGTAGAAGAGACGCCAAAGTAAAAGATTCATGTTACTTAGAACGCGATTCATTTCATTGTGACATTCGGACCGCAACGTTTTAAACTCACTGAGATACTGTTGCTTTTCCTTGCTCGTCTGGAAGACACGAGCGCGCAACAAGCGAGTATACATTCGAAATTTGCATCCCAACAACTCGGCGTTCATTCTTTCTATCGTCCAAATATCGCACCAATCGATCTCAGCGGGCCCGAGTGCGATCGCTTCCAATCCGGGCGACGGAAATGTCGTCCAGAGCATTTGAGTTGGTCGACGCATCAAACGATTCATTTGATCTTGTAAGAGCTGCTCCGTAGATTCAGGCGCCATCTCATATGAATCAATTGCAGACTCACCAGTCGTTTGTCTTCCCGCCGCCACCGCTGCCGCTGCGAATGCGCGCGATTGTGCGTCATTCGTCTGCTCCAAACGCATGAGTTTCGTCTCGAACGTGATCTTTCGCAACATGTAATTCCACATGTGTTCGCTCCGCATCGTATCCTTGATGAATTGTATCACGCGATACGTCGCAGATAGAACGTTTGCACTACGACTCCACTGTGCGATAAGTTTGCGTCGCCGCATCACGCGAGAGATCTGTTCCCGACGCTCTGGTTCAAGCGATGCGTCCACTTCGTTGGTCGAGTCGTCGATGTCAACCGGTTTCAGCAAGAACGTGTTCCGCAACGAATCCGCTCGTTCAAAGAATCCCTCTTCTGCACGCAATAACTGTCCGACGGTTCCGGAAATCGTCCCCGTCGCCCCGTCAATCGTGCCAGAGCAATACGTCTCGTTATCCGCAAACGAAAGCGCCATCGTCCCGCTTTTACCGTCGTCGTGCAACGTCAAGTGGCACAACTGCTCGTCCCCTTGCGCGGTGTGTGAGACCAAGAACGCTCCCGCAGCAGCATCGAACCACAGCACTTGAAACGCGTAAGGCGACCCGGTCGCCTCTTCGTCCCCCGACCCGGGAATAGAAATCGTTCCTTCCCACACCCGTCCCGGCGAGCATAGATGCCGCACGCACTCTGACGGATCCCTATACAACTCTCCGAACGCCCTTCGCTTCTCGACGTTCCCCAGCGTCGCCAGCTCCATCCGCGAGTACCCCAACGCCGCGGTGAGACCGCCCGCGTGTAACCCTTGCACGCGTCTCGCGTGTCGCTCCGCGTGCTCTCGCGTATCGAAGCTCGTCCGCCTCGGCGGCGTCGTCCCCATCACCGTCGACCCCATCGACGTCGACGCGCCCTTGCCTCCACTACTCTCGTTCTCTCCGCCGTCGCCGCGCGTCGCGAGCGCGTACGTGAGTAACGGCCACGCCGGCGTCAACTCGCGTCCGTCCCGTCCCGTCCCGCTCGAGCCCGCGAGCGCGTACACGCCATCGATGTAGCTCTTCCCGATCGGCAACCGCGCGTCCGCGTCGTCATTCGTGAACGCATGCGCGGCGTCGGCGTCGTCGGCGTCGACGTCGCGGCGTCTGTACGCGCGCACGTCGTCGAGAAGGCTTCGGAATTCGTCCCAGCCTCGAGACTTTGTCTCGCGAAGGATGAAGGCGTCGACGCCGTCGTCGTCGTCGTCCGACGACGAACCATCGGCTCGACGATCTCGCGAACTCGCGTGAACGGCGCGTCGCGTCGGGCGCGCGTCGCGCATGACGTCGTGACGCGCGCGCGAGTGCGGCGAGGACGCCGGCGCGGCGCGGCGCGGCGGCGAGAAAACGCGACGCCGGCGGTGGATTACACGGAGGTGCTAAATAGTTCTAATAATGTACAGGGTGGATGAAAGCGCGCGCGTTACTTCTTCGCCGCGCTGCACGCGTCGGCGAGCCAGTCGAGACCTTCGAATAAGCCCTTGCCCTCGAGTGCGCTGCACTTGAAGATGGACCACGTGCGGTTTTTGATGGAACTCAAACCGAGCTGTTCCGTGACTTCAGCGTCGGAAAGCGCGCCCGGAAGATCCTGCTTATTCGCGAAGACGAGAAGGATCGCATCCTTCAACTCTTCTTCCTCTAGAAGGGCGTGGAACTCCTCTCGAGACGTCCCCACGCGCTCGACGTCAGAGCTATCGACGACGTAAATGATGGCTTGAGTATTCGGGTAGTAACACCGCCAATACGGCCGTATGGACGTCTGCCCGCCGAGATCCCACACCTGAAACTTGACGTTCTTGTGCGTCACGGTTTCGACGTTAAACCCGATCGTCGGAATCGTGCTCACCACCGTTCCCACTTGCAGCCGGTACAAAATCGTCGTCTTTCCGGCGTTGTCTAAACCCAACACCAATATTCGCGCCTCGCGATCACCAAAGTACGAGAATAACCGGCTAAAAAACACCCCCATCTCCCTGCGACGGCGCGCGCGCGCGCGCTCGAACACCGTCAGTCACCGCGCGCGCGTTCGAATCGTCCGACCCCGCCGCCCGACCGTCGACGCGTTTCTTCAGTTCAGGTCTCCAATGCTTTCTCGACACCACGCATCGTTTACGATCAGGTCTCCAAACATAGGTTTATCATCAACAGAAACGCGTCGACGCGTCTCGCGCGCGTCGTCCATGCCTCGCGCGGACGTCGTCCATCCCTCGCGTCGACGCGCGCGACGATCGCCGCGCGTTCGCGAACGTTTCCTCGGTTCTCCAAGGTGATGTTGTTCCCCAAAGCGCATGGGCTGTTCGGAAGAACGAAAGTATCATATCTTCCTCATCGGAAACGTTCGCGAGCGCGCGCCTTCGCGCGCGCGCCTTTGCTCGCGCGCGCGCCTTCGATTTCGTCGCTGCCCTAAACGCATCTCTTCCGCGTCTCTTCCGCGCCGCGCGACGTCGCCTTCGTCCGGCGTCGTCGCCGCGCGTCGCGCGCGCGTCGCCCGCGTCCGTTCGCGCGTCCGCGCGCGCGCGTCGCGTCGCGTCGCGTCGTCGCACCTGCCGATTCGCCGCGCCGAGGAGTGATGCGACGCCGCGCGACGCCCCGCGTCGCCGCACACGCGCGCGCGACCGCGCGCCGCGCGATGGCGGACATACGCGACGCGTTCGCGCGCGCGCGACGCGCGTCCGCGGCGTCGACGGGACGCGACGCGCGCGCGACGCGCGACGACGACGGACGGTCGGCGCGCGGTGAAGACGCGTCGAACGACGGCGACGCGACGCGCGACGCGCGACGCGCGCGCGCGACGCCGAACGACGACGACGACGACGACGATGACGCGCGCGGACGGACGCCGACGATGACGTACGCGCGACGGAGGAAACGAGGACGGGCGGAGACGGCGACGGAGACGCGGCGAGCGACGGCGTCGGCGACGAAATCGCGCGCGGCGACGATCGCGAGATCGACGACGAGAGCGGGAGAGGGAGGCGAGGGGAAAGCGCGGGCGGACGCGCGCGCGATCGGGGACGCGGAGAAGAGGCGGACGCAGATGTGTTTGGATTTGGGGCAGTCGTCGATGCGGCACGCGACGTGCGCTCGATGCGGGTTGGTGTACGCCAAGGGAGATCCGTCGGATGAGAAGACGCACGCGCAGTATCACGCGAAGTTTCTGGCGAATGCGAACGGGGGCGGCGCGGGAGCGATGACGCTGAAACCGGGGGAGGGTCAGAGCGCGGTTTGGGAGAGCGAAGACGGCGAAGCGCGATGCGTGGCGCTCGACGGAGGCAAGGCGACCAAGAGTGCGATCGAGCGCGTCGCGCGAGGTATCGAACGCGAACTGAATATGCCAGAGGATTGGATTTTACAGCAAGCGAAGGGCGCGGTGAAGGCGTACGTGTGCGTGTCGAAGAAGGGTCATCGAGTCGTCGGCGCGCTGTTTGCGGAAAAAATCGCGCGCGCCTATCGTACGCTTCCCGACGTAAAGAACGCTACCGACGCCACGGAAGGCACGATCGTGAGTCATGTGGGCGTCGCTGAAAATGCAGTGTGTGGTATCCGTGCGGTTTGGGTGCACTCGAGCGCGCGACGAGCGGGTTTAGCGCGCGCAATGCTTAACGCCGCTCGAGCGCGAGCGGTTCCCGGATACGTCGTCGCGGCGGCCGAGTGCGCGTTCACTCAGCCCACCGAATCTGGAACCGCCTTGGCCTTGGCGTATTGCGAGAGCGATACATTCTTAGTGTATTGAAGTTGATGATTGTTTGAATGATTTACGTAGATTGAGTGACAATCCGAAGTGGAAGCGAAGCGCGCTCGCACCCCTAGAAAACTAGTGTGTATAGTAGAAAAAATGACTCAGAAGCGTTTAGCGCGCGCGGACGCTCGCCGCCTCCTTAGAGCCCGTCCAACCGTCAAGCTTAGTCAACTGCTCAGCATCAAAATTCGCGAGTTCGGCTTCGTCGGCGTCCTCCATGACCTTGCCGCCGCCGAACGCGAATTCAGATTCGCCAACGACGCCGAGCGGTTCCTTCGCCGGACCGATGGAGTCGATGATACTCTTTTGAACCGCCTTCAAGCCTTGCGTCTTCATTCCCTTTGCGCGCGACGCGACAACTTCGGCGGCGAGCTTACCGCCCAACACCGCACCCTCCATGGAACCCAAGAACTTTTGCGACGTGTAGTCGCCCGCCAAGGTGAAGTTCTTGATCGGGGTTTCTTGAGACGGGCGGAACTTGTTGCGGCCCGGGATAGCGGCGTACACGGAGCGCGGCGTCTTCACGACAGCGTGCTTGAGCAGCTTGGCGCCGACGCCATCGGGGGATTTCGGGCCAATCTCCAGCGGGAACAAGCGTTCGAGCTCCAACATGGTGGCGTCGACGATTTCTTGGTTGCTCTTCGCGATCCAGTTCGTCTTGCCGCCCGCAATCGGCGAGCACGGCGCGAAAACGAGTTCAAGCATGGACTTCTCTTCGTCGTAGTACTCCTTGCACGTCGTGCTCATGTCGGCGTAGACGGAGAGCAACGGCGAGCGCGAGAAGCACAAGTGATCGACGTTTTTCAACTTGCGATCAAACCAAAGGTGAATGTTAATCACCGGGATACCCTCGAGCTCCTTGAGCTGCGCAAAGTGCGGCATTTCAGCCCATGGCTTGGGCATCATGCGCTTGATGACGTCCACGGGCATGGCGGAAATGTACTCGTCAGCTTCGATGATGTCGCCGTTGGCCATGGCCAGGTGCTTCACCGAACCGTCTTCGTTGAGCACGAACTCCTTGAGTCGCTGCTTCGTCTTGACGGAGCCACCATTCTTCTCGATAGAGTCCACCATGGGTGCGCACAGTCGATCGGGCTGGTTACCGTCCAAGAATGCCATTTGCAATCCGTCCGTTTCGTTCAAGAATCGGTTCATCGCCGTCAACACGACGGTCATCGAAAGCTTATCCGGGTCAATGAAATCCAAAGCCTTGGCCATGGAAATGAACACCTCCTCATTGATGCGCTCGGGCATACCATACTTGCGCATGAAGTCTTGCACGCTGAGTTCGTCTTGCTTGTCGATGAAGTCTTGCCCTTCAATCAACATGGGCAACAGCGGCGGCGCCGTCTGCAACTTTTCAGGCAAACTCAACATTTTTTGATTCATGAGAATCGCCAAACCAAAGTTGAACGGCGCAGGGATCCCCTTAATGAAATCGAACGACGTGAACTCTCCCGGAAGCTCTTGCATGGCGAAGATCATCTTGTGCACCTTCCACTGTAACCTATCCTCAATCTTCAACTCGTTGAACAAGTTCATCATGTTCGGGTACGCGCCGAAGAAGATGTGCAACCCAGTTTCGATCCAATCCCCATCCTTATCTTGCCACGCGCTCACCTTCCCGCCCAACACATCTCTCGCCTCCAACACGATCGGTTCGTGCCCAGCCTCAGCGAGATACTTCGCGCACGCCAACCCGCTCAACCCGCCGCCGACGATGGCGACTCGCTTCTTCTCCGTCCCATTCGCCTTCAGATCCGTCGCGAATCGCTTCGACAGCTCACTGGCGATGCGATAGTTATCCGTCTTATCGATGTTATCCGGTTTCGGGTAATCCTTCGCCTCGACGCGCATTCCAGACCGTCGCGTCGCGCGCGTTTTCGCTTTTGTCCCCGCGCGCGACGTCATCGCGCCCTTCGCGAACGTCCCATCGCGCGCGTTCAGCGCCAGCGCGCTCGTCGATCGCGCGGATGCGTACATTATATCCGTGCCTCGCTTTCTACGTCTCTATTTCGCGCTCCGTCGCGCGCGCGTCGACGTGGGCGTCGTCGAGTGCTGCGTCATCGCGCCGTCGTGACGTTTTGGATAACGTATCTACGGTAAATACTTTTCATGGCGTTAAAACGACGTTTTATGCGTGAAGTTGCGTTTTAACGAAGCACACCTGTCCCGACGGCGTCAAATCACGTCGACGACGCGAACGCCGCGCGCGCGCGCCGCACGCGCGCGTCGAGCGACGCGCTGATCTCGCATCGCGCGATCACCCTCGCGAACGCGGCGAACGACGGCGCGAAACCGCGCGAAACGCGTGGTCACCGAGACATCTTTCGAACGATCGCGCCGGCGACATGGTCACCAACACGGCGTTCGTGTTCGTGAAACCGCACGCGGTGACGCCGGAGACGCTGGAAGTGGTTCAAACTGAACTCACGCGCGCGGGGATGCGAATCACGAGCGAAGGTGAGGTGAGCGCGGAAACCATCGATGCGAATCAGTTGGTGGATCGACACTACTACGCGATTGCGAGCAAGGCGACGCTGCTGGACGCGGAACGATTAAACGTGCCCGAGGAAAAGTTTCGTAAGGCGTACGGAGTGTCGTGGAGTGATGTTCTTGAGCGAGGATTGGCGATGAACTCGAAGAAGGCGTGTGAGAAATGGAAAATGACGCCGACGCAGCTGGACGCGGCGTGGCAGCAAGCGAAGAGCGACGGGAAGATGACGAAGCTCGGTGGGGGGTTTTACTGCGCGAAGATGAGAGATTGTTACGTGTTTAACGGGTTTTACATGACGATGCGATCCAAGTTCGTGAAGCCGGGGACGTGCATTCATTATTACGTGGTGGAGTGGGAGAGCGAAAAGATGTCGTGGGCAAAGTTTCGGGGAGAGTTGTTGGGACCCACGGAGCCATCGACGGCGCCGGAGACGTCGCTTCGCGGGATTATTTATAACGATTGGGAAGCGCTCGGTTTGAAAGCACAGCCGACGACCGGAGAGAACGGGGTGCACGCGAGTGCGAGCCCGTTTGAGGCTTGCGCGGAGATGAACAATTGGTTGGGGACGCCGTTCGCGGAGACGGCGTTTGGGTCCGTGCTTTTAGACGCTGGGATCGCGGAAGATACCGTGAAGGCGTGGAGTGTCGACCCTCAAGTGACGTATGGCGCGCCGGCGATGCGCATCACCGGTTCGCTTTTCGACGCGCTCGAAGATACGGACGCGGATTACTGCGCCGCGCTGTGCGAGATGATCGGCGCCGACGGCGTTAGCGCAAAGGATGGTATTCGTATCGTCGCTGCGAGCGTCCTAGGCTTAGCGTTAGGCTTCCTGCTTCCCAAGAAGCGGTAGTGACATATGGGAACGCCGCAACCCCATCGCGTTTTAATCATCAATCCACTGAGTAATTACAACAGCATCAATCGTCTTCGTCTTCCACCCGAAAGGCGGTGATGCGCTCTCGCGGCGACGCACCACTGGCTCGAGCGAGCGGCGCGCCGAATTGCGGTGAAATGTTATCCGGTCCTACTTTTCGAAATCTGGCAGCCATCGCGGCGAAACCATTCGCCGATCCGGGCGAAGGCGATGGCCCACTCGCCCCGCCAGGCGAGTTCGGCGAACCATCCTGGTACGATCGGCCGAACAAAGGCCTAGGTTGACGTAAGCCTCGGAAAACCTTCTTTCTCGGGCGCGTGTTCAAAGATCCGACGCCAAAGCTACGAGCTTGATCGCTCACACTCGATCGACTCACCGACTCCATCGCGTCGTCGTCGTCATCGTCATCGTCGCCAGAATCGTCGGAATCGCTCGAAAGCTGCAGGTCCTCGTCGTCGCTATCGATGAGACGATCGACCTCGCTCCCGTGCCAGAACACGTACGTATCGGATAAATGAAGCAGTTCCGCACTGCGTCGAAGCAAATACGGATCGAATGGAAAGAACATGCGAAGCGGAAAACGATTTCTCGTCGTCGACGCGACTTGCGTGCTCGTAAACTCCATCGAGTTTTGCCGAGAGAGCGGCATGTTTGAGGACACGTCTGTCTCACGTCCGGTCGCTATGCGGTCCATGTGCTCCTTCAGTAAGACGTGCGTGAACCCATTCATACTCGCTCCGACCGCTCGGTGAAGAAACTCGGTCACGACCGAGGGTAAACACGTCGAAAGAGGTCGCAGATGCGAGTACAAAACCTCACACAACGGCAACGACCGCAACGTCATCGCCGACGAACCTTCGGCGCGCATAATGTCCTCAGCTCGATAGCACAAAACGTACATCGCCGCTTGGCACGCGCTGTCGAATACGGCGAGCGTCTGCTGCGGTACGGGTGGCGGCATGCCTACTTTCGTCTTCTCCGTCGCCCCGCTCAACGCAGCGCTTCCGGGCGTTGTCCGCTGCTTGACGTGTACGAGACACCAATCCACCAAACGTCTGAGTAATTCGCACACAAACTCTGGTTTGAGATGTTTCGCGCGAGCTAAGAAAGAAGCGAAATACGCCGCAGCGGCGAGTCGAATCGATCCCGCCACCGAAACGTCCGTGAGCTTCGTGAACAACAGCTCCGTCAGCTCTCGACAAGCCCTCTCGTCCCTCGAGCACAAATGAAATACTAAAAATTGCACAAACTTTGAGCGCGGCGCGGGAAGCAGCGTGACGGTAAACGCGTGTATCAGAGCTTGTCGAACAGCATCAGTCTCCCCGCCGTCACAACGCTTATCGATGTGCGCCACGGCGAGCTCCATTAATCCGTCCAAGGTATCCGCCGCCTCGTCCACCGCCAGCGGCGCCGACGTCGTGGGTCTCTGTTCCCACTCCGCTCGACACTGCTCCTCGATCGTCTTCTCGATATCATCCAACTCAAATATCGCGTCGTCTTCCTCTTCTTCCCTCGCCGCCCCGCGATCAGCGCTCGTTCTATCCGCGCCGCTCATGACGTCGTCCCACTTGATTTCGACGTCCACCTCCAACAAGTGCGCGACGACGACTTTTAGGAAATCATCTCGCAATCCGGCGCCGTCCTCGCTCTCGACCAGCGCAAACGCCGCGCGCATGAACCCGATCTGCACATCCTTCGGCGCCGTCTTATGCGGCACGCCCGCCCGCAACGCCTTACGCGCCGCCCGTTCGCTCTGCGGCACCAACCTCAAAATGTTCCCGAGCGCGCGCGTCAAATCACCCACGACCCTTCGCCCGATCGTCCCTTCGCCCTCGCGCATCGCCGTTCCATCACCATCGCCGTCATCGCGCCACCACGCCGAACCCGACGGATCGTTGAACGAATCCACCAACTTTCCCACCACGCCGCCGCTAAACGCCCCGCCCTGCGCGCACACCAACTGCGTCCCGAACCTCAGCGCCGCCTCTCGCATCTTTTCTCCGCACCGCCACAGATCCACCCCCACCAGCGCTCTATCCACCAACTGTTCGTGCGCTCGCGCGTCTATCAGCGTCACGCACGATCCCAGCGCGTCCATGAGCGCCACCGCGCCGTCGTCTTCTCCCTCGTCGCCGCCGCGCGTCGCGTCCAGCAGCTCGTAGTACCTCGATCGGTTCCCTCCCTCGCGGTGTTCGTCCAGCGCGCGCTTCACGAACAATCGCAGCGCGTCACGCGCCGTGGCGTCGTCGTACACGACGTCCGGGTCGTCGTAGTCGACGTCGTCCCGCGTCGGCGCGGCGCCATCGGGCGGCGGCGGCGACCGCGACATCGTCCGCCGTCGCGCGTCCCGTCGCGACGCCGCGTCGCGCGTCGCGCGGGTCGCGCGTTTCGCCCGCTCGCGGTGCGCGCGTCGTCGCGCGCGCGCGAGTGCCGCTCGAGCGATTCACCGATGACGGATGAATGAATGAATGAATGAATGAATGAATGAATGAATGAATGAACGCTACGCGGCGACTGCGACTGCGACTGCGACTGCGACGAAGAGGTCACACGGCGACGCGCCAGGAGGGCTCGTCGCCCCAATCGTCCCACGCGTGACCGTCCTGGGACGACAACGCGTCCGAGGCGCCGCCGCCGAGGAGCGCGAGCTCGGCGACGGCGGCGACGGCGTCGGCGACGGCGTCGGAGGCGCCGCGAGAGGGACGGACGTCGTCGTCGTCGAGAGACGACGGGAGGGCGAAATCGTGGCCGCCACCGGCGAAACGAGGAAGGTACTCGGCGCCGGCGCCGCGAAAGGCGTCGCGGCGAACGCATTCGCGCACGAGCTCGGCCCATAGGGGATTCTGAAGAAGCACGAGGGGATGTCCGACGATGACGTTTAACGCCATCGCTCTGGAGATTGCGACGTTGAAACGTTTGGGGTTGTTCAGGAAGCCAATCTCGGAATCCAACGCGTCGAGGGTCGTTGGACGCGTGACGACGGTGGAGATGAAGATGATTTTCTCCTCTTGCCCTTGGAAATCGTCGACGGTACCGACGCGAATGGCGCCGAGCGAGCGCGCGCGAAGCGCGATGCGAATGAGCACGACTTGTCGACGATACGTCGCCATCACGGCGACGTCGGCGGGTGTGAGGTTCGTGCTATCCAGTAAGGCTTCGAGTAAGTCGACCAGTTCGGCGCATTCGATCGGATTGGTCCAGCTGCTCGTGTTGCCTTCTCTGCGCTGTCGTCCCTTGACGCCGTAGAAGAGGAAACGACTCGCGCGTCCGTTGCCCGCGCCTCGAGAAAAGTTCTCCCAATTTGCTGGCAAATCCGTGTTTGCCGTCGGCGCGCAACTCTCCACGGTACCGTCGTAAAACATTCTCGATGGCAGCGCGACGATGTCGGGATGCGAGCGGTAGCACGCTCGGAGTTGCGTGCCGTTCCAGACGCCTCGAGCGACTTCTTCCTTTGAGTGATCCATCCACATTTCGAGCAGAGACTTTCGCAAACCAGCTTGCGCAGCCTCTTTCGAGTGCACGTTGGGACCGAGCTGCTTGGAATCGCCGGCGAGAACGATGCTAGTTTCCGAACTGGCGAGCGACAAAGGAATGAGTGTCTCCGGAACCAAAGCCTGCGCCGCCTCGTCGACAAAAATATGCGTCGGCGTCCAGTTCTCGACGACACTATCGACAGGCATCGGCAGCTTGCGCAACAAAGCAGCGCTCGTGCACGTGCACACGACGACGCGCGCATGTTTCAAATGTTTCAGAGGATCCGGTCGCTTGAAGAAGTGAAATGGCACGCTCGCGTACTGTTTCGCTTCCTCCGGGTCGTCTCGCCAAATTTCGAGCGAATGAAATCGCACGTCGGCTTTCACGGATTCAGGCGTGCGACGAACGTCGTTCACGCGTACGATCATTTTCTTTTTGAAAGGGGTGAGTCGCTTCGCCAAGCGCGAGCAAAGAATATCCGCGGCGAACGCCGAGGGCGCCGCGAGCAGTACTCTCGCGTGAGGGAACATCTCGAGCACGTGCGCGACGCATTCCACGATCGTGAGTGTCTTTCCGGTACCGGGCGGCCCCCAAACAATATATGGATACTGCTTCCCCGCACCTGACACGACGTCTTCGACCACACGCAACTGTTCGTCGTTCAAAACTTTAGACTTCACGGCTTTGAGAGTGCTCGGCGTCATGGCGCCCCGTCTCTCTCCTCCCGGCAACGCTCTATGCAGGTGCGTAGCTCGCGTACGCTCCGCGCACGTGTTCAACACTGCTTCGTGAAACAAATCGAACACTTCAGTGTTTAAAGTGAAGCGCACGTGCACGTTCATCCCCTCGCCCGCGTACGCGGCGTTGAGGACGATGAAAATTGTAGAAAGTCGAGTGCTCACGTGCCGAACGACGACGCCGTACTCCAACGCGATGTTTGCCGCCGGACGAATGAATATCACGTCGCCCGCGAGCACGAGCGGTCGATTTTCCGCCAGTCCGGGGACTTCTATCGCATACATCGCATCGTCATCGTGTAGATTGCCAAAATGTAGCGCTTTGTCCGCTTTGTCCACCATCTTCGCGCGGCAGTTGAACATGTCGAGCTTTTCTAAGGAATCTTGCTGCGCGATTTGCTCGAGCCGCAACAAACGCACCCAGCGCGCGAGCTCGTTCGCGCCGAACGCATTGCCAGACTCGCGGAACGCCCGCACGGCGTGCGCCTCGCGCTTCGGGTCCATGCCCCGGAGCCCGAAACGCCGCGCCTTCCAAGCGCTGTGCTGCGGATACGAAAACTCGCTCGAATTAAACAGCTCTCGCAGCCGTTGCGGCACGAACAGCGCCGCCTCCACGTCCAACACGCGCTCGACCAAACTCTTCGTGTGCACCATCACCGTCACGCGCGTCGCCAGCACGACGCACTCCGCCGCCAACGCGTCCGCCGCCTTCTCCGCGCCCTCGACCTTCGCTCTCGCCTCCGCCTCTCGCGCCGCCCGCTCGGGCGCCATCACGCACACCACCCACGTCGCGTGCGCCCCATCCTCCGCGCACTTCTCTAAATCAAACTCCACTCGTATCGTCACCGCCTCCGTCGCCGTCGTCGTCGTCGCCGCGTCTCCCGACCGCGCGCGCCGCCGCGCCGCCGCGACGGCGCGATGCGTCCCTCGTCCCGGCGCCTTCGCCAGCGCGAAGTACGCTCGACTCGGCGTCGTCGTCGCTCGAACGCACGCGTAATCTGCGTCCACGGACGCGTTGTCGACGCGCGCGCACCGCGCGTACAGCGTCGCGCCGTCGCCGCGCTTCATTCGTCCAAAGTCTAAATTCGCCGGCGTCATCTCGAGCGCGCCGCGCGTCGCGCGCGGCCGCTCGAGCGCGTCGGCGACGCGAGCGCGCAGCGCGGCGCACGCGTCGAGGGCGTCGTGCAGCGCGTCGCTCAGCGGACGCGCGAGCGCGACGGCGTCGGTCGACATGACGACTTTGACGTCACGACGCCATCGTGTGACGCGCGGCGCCGCGACGCGCGGCATGGCGCGCGCGACGACGCGCGCGACGACGCGCGCGACGACGCGCGTCGTCGCGCGGGACGGCGCGGCGCGGCGCGGACGCGCGCGAGGCGTCGGACGCGACGCGGCGGCGCGACGACGACGGGCGGCGACGACGCGCGCGAACGGCGACGACGACGACGCGACGGACGCGGCGCGCGACGACGACGACGCGACGGACAAAGCGTCGCTCGCGACGGAGGACGTGCTGCAGTTTCGCGAGGTGTGCGCGCAGGCGCGGGCGTTCGCGGCGACGACGCGCGGACGACGCGCGGCGAGCGGGACGACGCTCGCGGCGACGGCGGACGAGGCGCGGGCGCGGTTGGCGCGCACGCGCGCGTGCTTCGGACGGGGGAAGAATCTCGACGACGACGCGTTCGATGGGGCGCGGGACGTGCGGTTGGTGGTGGAGGGAGCGAGGCGAGGGACGACGCTGGCGGCGAGCTCGCTGGGGGACGTCGGGGCGACGTGCGGGACGCAGAGGAGGTTAGGGGCGGCGTTGCGCGAGAGAGGGGACGAGGCGATGCGCGAAATCGAGGAAGCGTTGATGCGAACGCCGTTGGAGGTCGTGGAGGCGATCGAGCGGTGCGTGAGCGTGCCGGGGGGGGAGGTGCTGGACGCCGCGAGCGAGACGCTGAGGGCGATTCGCGTCGAGCAACGGCGGATTCGAGAGGAGTTACGAACGATGCTGAACGCGACGAGCAAGGAGATGGCGAGGAAGAATTTTGCGGAGCGCGCGCAAATCGTCACCAGACTTGGCAGACAGTGCATACCGATGAAACTCGGGAGCGCGGGCGAGCTCCCGGGAGTCGTGCTCGACGTCTCCGGCACCGGGAACACGGTGTTCAAAGAGCCGCAAATCGCGGTGCCATTGAATAATGCTCTGGCCACGCTTTCCGCGAGCGAAGATGCGGAAATAGAACGAATTCTAGTCGAGCTCACCTCAATCGTGCAAACGCACGCGGATGTTCTGCTCGACGCGAACGAGGCGTTGACAGAGTTGGACGTGGCGAACGCGCGCGCCCGGCACGCGGAGTGGTTCGACGGCGCGGAGCCGACGATCGTGGACGCCAATCAAGGCATGTGCGTGCGTGAGCTGCAGCATCCGTTGTTGTTAGAGCGGCATCTGACGCCGTTGCCCAAAAAAGCCGCCATTGGAGAAGAGGAACAGGTATCGGCGTTCGGCGAGAACGACGCCTCCGAAGACGATTCGGCGCATTCGCAGCGACACGTCAATCGTCGAGATGTGCGCGATGTGGTCGTCCCGATTGATTTCAACGTCGATTCGTCTATCAAATGCGTCACTATCACCGGTCCGAATACGGGCGGTAAAACCGCGTCGTTGAAAGCGATCGGCGTCGCGTGTTTGATGGCGCGCGCTGGTTTATATCTGCCATGCGAATCCGGTTGCGAGATTCCATTCTTTCGTCACGTCATCGCCGATTTAGGAGATTCGCAAACCCTCGAGCTCGACGGCGGCTTGTCCACCTTTGGCGCGCACCTCAAAGGTCTGCAACGCATTTTGGACGCCGCGACCGACGATACATTGGTCTTGCTGGACGAGCCCGGGAGCGGCACCGACCCGGCGGAGGGCGCGTCTCTCGCCGTCGCCGTCCTGAACAAACTCTCACGCACGTCTCGTTTGACGATCGCGACGTCGCACTACGAAGAAGTCAAGGAAGCCACACTCGCATCCGACACAGCTCAAGTCGCGGCGGTGGAGTTCGATCTTCAGTCGCTGCAGCCGACGTATCGGTTGCTGTGGGGCGAAACCGGCAAGAGCAACGCGTTGCACATCGCAGCGGGGCTCGGATTAGAACCGTGGATACTCGCCGAGGCGCGCATCGCGCTAGCCAAGGCGGATGCCAACGCAGAGGTAGACGCCAGTGGCGCGATCGCGCGGGAAAATCGCGCGAAGTTGGCCAGCGCACTTGATGAAGAATGCGACGTGCAGCTCGCCCGCCGAGCCGCGGCGGCGGCGACGCTCGAAGAGACGCGCGCGCTGTTCGACGAAGTCAGGAGTAAATCTGCGCACTTGGATCTGAGGAAACAAATCATCAGGGATGACGCCAACAATGAGATCGAGCGAAAGATTGAAGAAGCTCGCGAGTTATTGGCGGCGTGCGACACGCGAGAGGACATCGACGATGTCGTCGGCGCGTCGCTTCCCGCCGGATGGGTCGTCGACGCGAGCGGCGAAGCCGTCCCGGGCGACAGCCTTGACAGCGCGTCCTCGCGATGGATTCCCAAAATTGGCACGCTCGTCGTCGTCCGTCAGCTAGGGAGCGCAGAGGCAGAAGTCATCGAAGTCCACCCAGATGCGAACGAAATCACCGTCAAGCTCGGTCGGATCAGTACTCGGGTTTCGCTCGCCAGCGGTGTGAGTAAGGTTGACGTGAGCAAAACGAGTTGGCGACGATAGCTGTACTGTAGTAGAAGTATATTTTACATTCATTGCAAACACACAACGCTGCGACAGTGAAGCGGTCGCGGTTAGTCGGATAGTCGGCGCGAACGGAAAGCCAACAGCGCGCCACGGATTCCTCAGTCGAGTTGTCATGAATCATCTTCATGAGGATGGTCAGCAAAGATTAAGCTATTTGAAACATCATCGGAAACCACGAGGGCGAGAACAGGTTCGATCATCGCGTGTACGCACCTAGCACTAAAACGTCGGCGCGATAGTGGACTCTTCCGTGAACACGCCCTGCTCTACTGCGACGTCCAATTCTCGAAACGCCAACACGCGTCTGGAAGACTCCTTCAACGTGCGCGCGACCCAGTCGTCCTTGTCTTCCCTCAGATCGAACATAATTTTTTCATGAAGCTTTAAGAGCAAATACACGTCTAGCGCGGCATACCGTCGAACGTCATCTGTTAACGGACGATCCGCCCAAAGCGTCGATTCCTCGACGGCGTACAACTTCTTCACGCGAACCTTCAAGTCATCAGCCACCGCGGTCTCCGCGCTCGTCAGATGCGTTCCCGCGCACTTCACGATCCCCGCGACGCGATCGATCATCTTCCCGAGAGCCCGACGCGCGGCGACGTCGAGCACCTGCACGTCCATCACGTTTTCCAATCGCACGTCGAATTGATGAAACAACGCGTCCGAATCCATGCGACAATCAAACATGAGCTTCATCGGCGCCTCACTCGACTCCAGGACATCCCGCAACCCTCCCGCGTTTCTGTCTCCGAACGCTCGTCCCCCGAGCGACTGCACGTCGATCAAGTAAATCGCGTCGCGCGTCGCGCACTGCACCACCGTCACCGGACCCGTGCGCGACATTCGCACTCCCTCGCAATCAACCGCGACGACGCTCGACGCCTTGATCGTCTCCACGCATGCCGGCATTTTGATTTCATAATTCGTCGCGTCGATGATTTCGCACCGTTGATCCAGCGTGTTCACGATCTCGAGGCACATCGGATCCGACTTCGCGTTCGTCGGCGCCGCCGGCTTTTTCCGTCGCTTCTTCTTCTTCTTCGCCGCGCCGCCGGACCCACCGGCTTCCGCGCGCTTACCGCCGCCCTCGAGCGCGCCGCGTTCGAGGCCAGACGAATCATCGCCGTTCGCGCGCTTGAATCCGAGCACGACGCCGCCGTACGCGTCGTCGTCGTCGTCGAGCGTTTCGCCCTTCGCCGAGGCGGCGGCTCGGCACGGCTTACAAAACCGCGTCGACTGCGCGGTCTGACGCTTGAACGTCGACGCGCACTTGGCGCACACGAGCCTGGGTTTGTTGCCCATCCGCGCGACGCCGCGCGCGCGCGCGAGCGCGAGAACGCGCGCGGGCGGGCGCGCGCGCGAGAGCGCGGCGCGCGACCGGGACGCGACCGCGACCGCGACCGACGACGCGCGACCGCGCGCGGACGCAGAGGACGACGCGCGCGCTGAAACGCGCGCGGGGATGAGCATACACCGAAACGACGCGCGATCGGCGCGCGAGCGCCGGTGCGCGCGACGGTGTGACGCCGCGACTCGCGCCGACGCGCGTTCGGCGTCAACCGACGCCGGCGCCGAGCGGCGCGCGACATCGCGTCGACGTCAAGTCGCAACCGGGATACGCGCGGCGCGCGTCGGAGACACCCAAATCGCCGTAGCACGCGCATCGACTGCTCGCGCGCCCTTCGGCGTCCGTCGTGGTTTCGTTGCGCGGGTATCGCGGTCCCGAGTCGTCCTCGCGGCAGCGCACGTCGACGAAGTCGCCGTCCGACGTGGAATCGCAATCCGGGAACATGCGCGCGCGCTGTTCGCGCGCCGCCGCACCCGCGTCGTACCGCTCCAACCGCGCTCGAATCTCGAGCGTCAACGCCGTCGCCGCCCCCGTCTCGGCGTCGTAAAACTCGCCGTTCGCCAAGACGCCCGCGGCGCGATACTTGTCGCGCATGAAATCCCTCCACCCTCGGATCGCCGCCAACTCCCCGTCCGTCAGCCCCGAGACGTCGCTCACGCACCCACTCTCGCTGAAGTCTCCCGTCGCGAACGCGCGGCTCGCGTCGCGTCCCGCGAAGCACGTCGCGTAGTCGCCGTCGCCCGCGTAAAACCGTCGCCCCGCCGACACGTCGAAGCACTCGCCCAGCACCGCCAGCCACACGCGCGGCCGTCGTCGCAGCGCCGCGCGCGCGCGCGTCCACGTCGACGCGTCGCTTCGCCGCGCGCGATCGACCCTGCGCGCGAGCGCGTCGGGCGCGACCATCGCGACGCGCGCGTTCGCGTTCGCGTTCGCGTTCGCGTCGCGCCGACGCGCGACGACCGCGACGACCGCGACGACGACGGCGAGCGCGACGCGCGCGAGTCGCGCGCGCGCGTCGTCTCGCGCCATCGCGCGCGCCGTCGCGGCCGCCGGCGCCGTCTGGCGTCGCGCGTCTGGCGCCGCGCGTCCGACCGACCGCGTCCGACCGACCGCGTGTATGCGTAAACAGTGAGACGTACGATACCACGACATTCGGCATCGAATTCAAACGACCGCCCCGTTCGCCGCGGCGCGCGACACCGCGACGCGCGCGCGACGTCCGACGCGGTCGTCATGCTCCGACTGAAATCGCGAAGCGTTCTGTGCACGCCGTCCAGCGGGCTGTCCAGAGCGCTGCGCACGCTGAACGTCGCGACGCCGAACGCGCGCGCGAACGACGACGACGACGACGACGACGACGACGGACGACGCGACGACGACGCGATGGACGACGACGACGACGCGATGGACGGGGAGAGACGCGCGCGGGACGACGACGACGCGCGAGACGCGCGGTCGGGCGGGACGCGCGCGAGCGCGAGCGCGGACGAGGATGGGACGAATAAATCGTTTGATTTCGCGGGGTGCAGTCAATCGCAGCGGGACGAACGACGAGGCGCGACGCGAGGGACGGCGCGGTCGCAGGGGAACGGAGAGAGTCAGGAATTCGGAGGACCGGATTTTATAACGCCCGCGGACGCGCAGTTCGACGCGTACGGGGGGTACGAGGATAAGGAAAACTTTCGAGGCGCGCGGTCGCCGTGCGCGCTGTCGCCGGCGAGGAATAAACGGCCGCGGTTCGGGTTGGATTTAGGCGCGTCGCAGGGGACGCAGGAGTTTGCGAGTCAGCCGCTGGACGCGACGCAGCCGTCGCAGTCGCAAGGGGAGTTCGGGGGCGGGTTCCGCGTGCCGAGGAATCGGGAACCGACGCGAGGGGTGGGGTCGAGGTCGGGGTTGCCGCGCGCGGCGACGTCGCCGCCGTGCGCGAGAAACGCCTTCTTGCCGGATGATGAGCAGCCTCCGGAGACGAGCGCGCACGCGCGGAGGGCGAATTGTACGAGCGCGGCGCAGTTGGCCACCATGTCGAGGTTTCGCGCGGATTTCGTCGACCTAGGGTGCATCGCGCGCGGCGGATTTTCCAAAGTGCACAAAGTCATCGGGCGCTTGGACGGGTGTCGGTACGCGCTCAAGCGCACGGATAAAAAGCTCCAGACCGAGCGCGAGAGAGCGGAGGCGCTGCGCGAGGTGCAAGTTTTGGCGAGTTTGACGCAGTGCGCGGAGATCGTGCGCTACCAAAGCGCGTGGTGGGAGAACGACCATCTGTACATTCAAATGGAACTGTGCGACGGGAGCGCGTCCAAGATGGTGGATTCGCAGAGCGGCGAACGCGCGAGCGAGGCTGCGTTGATGCGATGCCTCCTCGACGTCTCCGCCGCCTTATCCTACGCGCACGCCCGAGGTTTGGCGCACATGGACATCAAGCCCGATAACATCTTCATTCACAACCAAGGATACAAGCTCGGCGACTGGGGCCGCGTCGCGCTCCTCAACGGCGACCGCCGCGACGCCGCCGTCGACGAGGGCGACGCTCGATACCTCTCCTCCGAGGTTTTGAACGACGACTTTTCCGCCCTCGACCGCGCCGACATATTTTCATTGGGCGCATCCATCTACGAGCTCGCCTTGGGCGCCTCCCTCCCCTCGCACGGCGCCGAGTACCAGTCGCTTCGCCGCGGCGTCGTCCCGCGCGTCGACGTCCCCGCGCGCGTCCACGCGTTCGTCCTCGACGCCATGTCCCCGACGCCTTCCGCGCGTCCCACCGCCGGCCGTCTCCACGCCCGCGTCCGCGCCGCGCTCGACGAATTCGCGTGATGTGATCCATCGTCATCGCGATCGCGCGCGCGTCATCATTCGCTTCGCCGCGCGCGCCTCGCGATCCCCGCGCCCCGGCGCCGCGTCATCCGCAGCCCAACAGGGGGCCTCGTCGTCGACGTCGATCATCGCCATCGCGCGTCATCGTTCGATCGTTCGGCCGCGTCGCGCCGCACACGCCCTCGCGCGCACGTCGACGCGTCCGTCGTCGTTCGTCGCGCGCACACGCGCCCTTTCGTCGCGCGTCGCGCCTTCGCGTCGTCGTCGTCGTCGCGAATCGTCGTCGACCGGGACACTTTTCGGGACACTTTTGGAAGCGTCACCGCGTCGTCGCGATGCGCGCGGCGCTGCGACGATGCGCGAAGCGCGCGACGCGCGCGGCGACGCGACCGCACGCGGCGCCGCGCGCGACGGCGGCGCCGGCGCGCGCGTACGCGGACATCGCGAGCCTGAAGCGGACGCCGCTGTACGACTTGCACGCGAGGCGCGGCGGGAAGCTCGTCGACTTCGCGGGGTACGCGCTGCCGATACAGTACGAAGATTCCATCATGGAGGCGACGCAGCACTGCCGGAGCGAAGCGTCGTTGTTCGACGTGAGTCACATGCTCGGGAGCAGCGTCAGGGGGAAGGACGCGACGGCGTTTTTGGAGTCGCTCGTCGTGGCGGATTTGAAGGGGCTCAAGGACGGCACGGGGACGCTGAGCGTGATGACGAACGAAAAGGGTGGTATCATCGACGATACCGTCATCACGAAGGTTAATTCTAATGATTTTTACGTCGTCTTGAACGCTGGTTGCGCGGAGAAGGATCAAGCGCACATCAACGCGGCGCTGGCGAAGGCCAAGGCGAAGGGGATGGACGTCGAATTCGTCGTGCACTCGGATCGCTCGCTGTTGGCGTTCCAAGGACCGAAGACCATGTCCGTGCTTCAACGCCTGACCGATTTCGACCTGAGCAAGCTGTATTTCGGGATGTTTACGTCGATGAAGATCAACGGCGCCGATTGCTGGGTCACGCGCACCGGTTACACGGGCGAGGACGGGTTCGAGATCTCCGTCCCGAACGCCGACGCGATGAAGCTCGCCGAGCGCTTGGAGTCTGAGAAGGAAGTGCGCATGGCTGCCCTCGGCCCGCGCGATTCTTTGCGCCTCGAAGCCGGATTGTGCCTGTACGGTAACGATTTGAACGAAGACATCACTCCGCCCGAGGCTGGTTTGGCGTGGACCATCGGCAAGGCTCGCCGCGAGCTCTGCGACTTCACCGGCGGCGAAATCATCAAAAAGCAGCTCGAAGACCCGAAGGCGATTCCCCAGCGTCGCGTCGGTTTGACCTTCACCGGCAAGGGTGCCCCCGCGAGACAGCACTCTCTGATCCTCGACACGGACGGCAACCAAATCGGCGAAGTCACCTCCGGCGGCTTCTCTCCGGTGTTGCAAAAGAACATCGCCATGGGCTACGTCGCCAAAGCCTTCGCCAAAGCCGGCACCGAGCTCTTGGTCGAGACGCGCGGCAAGCGCACGCCCGCCGTGACGACCAAGATGCCTTTCGTCAACACGACGTACTACAAGCCCGCGGAATAGATCGCGTTCGCGCGCTCCTTCCGTTCGCTCGCTCTTCGATGTAACGACGTCCGTTCGCGCCGCGACCGACCCAGCCGCCCGCGGAATAGATCGTTTTCGCGCCTTTTTCCTTGTTTGATTTGAATCAATCATCGCTCGATCGCGCCATCACGCGACGCCTTGAGTGCATGCTCCGGCGAACGCTCGTCCGTCTCGCGCGCGCACCGACACACGAAGCACTCACGATGCGCGGCGCGATGCGAACGACGCCGGCGACGCTCGCGACGACGACGACGACGACGACGACGCGCGGCGACGAACGACGACGCGCGATCTCCACGCAGCGCCACGCGGTGCGAGCGCGAGCGGCGCGAAGCGGAAGCACGCGAAGCGAAGACGCGAAAGCGATGAAGGGCGACGGGAGCGCGGAGGCGAAAAAGAAGGCGCTCGCGCGCGTGCTCGATGAGATCGACAGTAACTTTGGCGCCGGGGCGATCATGCGCCTGGGCGAGGCGGGAAAGGCGAAAGTGGCGACGTTTCCGAGCGGAGCGATGACGCTGGACATCGCGCTCGGCGGTGGATTGCCGCGCGGGAGAATCGTTGAGATATACGGCCCGGAATCGTCGGGGAAGACGACGCTGGCGCTGCACGCGATGGCGGAGATGCAAAAACTCGGCGGTACGGTCGCGATGATCGACGCGGAACACGCGTTTGATCCGGAATACAGCCAAAGACTCGGGTTGAACGTCGACGATGTGATCGTGTGCCAGCCGGAAACGGGTGAGATGGCGCTCGAGGTCGTGGATACGCTCGTGCGATCGTCGGCGGTTGATTTGATTTGCGTCGACTCGGTCGCCGCGCTGGTGCCGCGAAGCGAGATCGAAGGTGAGATCGGTATGGTGCAAGTCGGCGCGCACGCGCGTTTGATGTCCCAGGCGCTGCGTAAGATTAACGTCAACGCCGCCAAGGCGGGGACGACGATCATCTTTTTGAACCAGTTGCGCTCCAAAGTCGGCGTCATTTACGGCTCGCCCGAGGTCACCACGGGCGGTAACGCGCTCAAGTACTACTCGAGCGTCCGCCTCGACATTCGCCGCAAGGAAGTGATCAAGGGTAAGGCTGGCGAAGACGACACCGGCGTTCGATGCAAGGTCAAGGTGGCGAAGAACAAGGTGGCTCCGCCGTACAAGATTGCCGAATTCGACATGCTGTTCGGTCGCGGTGTCTCTCGCGATGGCTGCATGCTCGACGCGGGCGAACAAGTCGGCACGATCGAACGCAAGGGCGCCTACTACTACTTCAACGGCGAAAAACTCGGTCAAGGTCGCGAAAAGACGCTGTCGTTCTTGGACGAGAACCCCGAGATGAAAGCGACGATTGAGACGGACGTGCGCGCGCGTCTCGCCGAAAAAATGGGCCTCTTGAACGGTACCATCGCGCCCAAGGCGACCGAGGCTGAGGATGACGACGAAGAGTTCTTCGACGACGACGAAGACGTCATCGCCGAAGCTCGCTAATCAGTGTAGTGTCGCGCGACTCGTCGTTTACTCCCACGCAGCACATCTTCTTTTGTAACACACATTATTACCGTTTCATCGCGCGGCGTCTACTACAGCTAATCAGTGTCGCACGAATCTATCGTTATCCGCACCCTCGTCGAAGACGTTGTCACCGAGCATGACGCGAGAATCGAGCGCCTTATCCGCTCGGCGTTTCCTTCTCCCCTCGAATTCGCTCCACCCGTCGCGTTCGCGCAACGCCTCTACGAGAATCGGGTTCTCGCGTAAGTTCAACTCGACGAGCGCTTTCGCGTGCTTCAACAGCTCCACGGGAATGCCTTCGAGTTCAATGCGGTTGCCCACGAGATTCAGCGAGCGCAAACACGCGAGCGCGCCGTACGAGGCTGGAATCGACACGACGGCGTTGCGACTTGCGTCGACGACTTCGAGCAGTCCGTTCGTCTCGAACGCGGGTAAACGCTCGAGTCTGTTGGCGACGAGCGACACGTGCTTGAGCCTGGGAAGTCCCCGGAAGAAATCATCGCAAACTTCTCCCGCGATGTCGCACCGAGCGAGCGAGAGCGTCTCGAGCGACGCGCACGTCGGCGTCGCGGTCGCGACGTCGTTCCCCAACGCCGCGTTTCCGCTCAAATCCAAATGCGTCAAGCGCGTCAAAGAGGCGATGGCGGACCACGGCATCGATCTCAACGCGTTATCTCGCAAAACGATGCGCGCGACGTTGCTCAACTCGCTGATCCGAGGCGAAACCGTTTCGAGGCGATTCGCGCCGTAATCGAGCACGCGCACTTTGCCTCCTAAATCGAACGCGCGAGACGCCACCTCCCTCCGCGCGCATCCGCGCATGCCGACGATCCCCGTCGCCGCCCACGCGGCGAAACGTTCGTTCGTCTCGTCGGACGCACCGTCGCGCGAGCGCGCCGCGTCCGCGTCCGCGTCCGCGTCCGCCTTCGCCTTCGCGTCGGCTTCCTTCTTCAACCGCGTCGCCCGCAACGCCTCCGCGCCTCGAGACGTCCCTCCCGCCCCCGCGCCCTCCGCGCCGCTCGCCACCACCATAATTTTCAAAACCTTCCCCGTCCTTTCGTGTTTCGCGAGCACTCGACCGCGCAAATCAAACCCTCGATCGTCGCCTCGAATCCTCGCGCCGCCTCTCGCGAGCAGCGTCAACCGCCCCGCGGCGACCCCTCGCAGGCCCTCGAACGCGCCTCGCGCGCGCTCCACCAGCGCGCCCACGTCGCCGTCGCTCGGAAACGTCCCCCCGCACCGCTCGACGCCGTATCTCAGCTCGATCGCGACGCTCATCGCGCGCGCCGCGCCGTCGCCGCGAGTTTTCGCGCCTTGAACTCGACGCACGGCTCGCACGTCTTCGCGTCGCGCGCCGCGGTCTCGCACCCGCACCGCGCGCCGCACTCGCACGCGTCGCACTCACACGCGTCGTTCGCGCACGGCTCGAGGCCTCGTTCGCTCGCGAACGCGCGCTTCGCCGCCGCGACGTCGGACATGGACGGCGCGTCGGCACACACTGACGACGCGCGACATGGGCGCGAGCGCGAGCTCCATGAGCGCCGACGACGTCGCGGCGATGGCGAAACAACCCGTGGCGTACGACCCGCCGCTCGGACCGGCGAGAGAGGTGCGCGCGCGAGCGCGAGGCGAAGCGCGCGGACGGATGCGATCGCGCTGACGTGGCGATGACGACGCGAACGTCGACGCGCGCGCGAGCGATGACTGACGACGAGGCGACGCGAACGGAACGCAGGATACGCCCAAGGTGTACTTTGACATGCAGATCGGACGCGGGGCGCGGGCGACGAAACTCGGGCGAATCGTGTTCGAGCTGCGGTCGGACGCGACGCCGAAGACGGCGGAAAATTTCAAGGTTTTGTGCGAAAAGCCCGAGGGCGAGGGATACGTCGGCTCGCGGTTTCATCGCGTGATTCCGTCCTTCATGTGCCAGGGCGGGGACTTCACCGCGGATAACGGCACGGGCGGACGGTCGATTTACGGAAGAAATTTCCCGGATGAAAACTTTACGCTCAAGCACGAGGGACCGGGGATTTTGTCGATGGCGAACGCTGGACCGAACACGAATGGGTCGCAATTTTTCATCTGCACCGTGGCGACGCCGTTTTTAAACGGCAAGCACACGGTGTTTGGCCAAGTGATCGAGGGAATGAGCGTGGTGAAGGCGATCGAATCCGTCGGCTCGCGCGGCGGCGAGACGGCGGCGGACGTCATCATCGGCGATTGCGGCGTCCAAGCCTCGTCGGGTTTCGGCGGTGCGACCAAGAGAAAGACCACCAGTGGTACCGCGCATAACGCGCGCCGGTTTGATCGTCAACACTCTACGTTGAGTTTCCGCGCCGCCAACGTCGCGAGCGCGGCGCTGTGCGCGCGTCGCGGCGGCGCTCGCGTCGCGCGCCGCGCGTTCGTTTCCTCCATTCGCGGCGTCTGTTTCGCGTGCGCGTAAAGTTCGCAGCGAGCATCGCGATCGAATGTCACAGCGCGTACGACGCCGTCGCGCGTCGGCGCTCCGCGAGATCCATGGTTGTCCCTCGCGTCCCGCCTCGACGAAAAGAAAGATTATTCAAGCAACTCGACGTGTCGTTTGCCGATTAATAGGACGTGTCAAAAACGTGACAAACGTGTCAAAAACGGCCCCTTTCTAAAACTCGATTTTTGCTAGGGTTTAGCGAACTCCGTCCGGTTTTCCGACGGAGGAAATGCGTGCGGGCAGATCGCGTCGTCGTCGTCCTCACTCCACGCTGAATGGTGCGATGTCGGGTCGTGAAGGTGTGCTTGGTGAGCCACCACTCATAGAGACGCTTGATGAGCCTCCCATTGGAAATGAAGCGTGCCCGCAGACATCTGCCAACCCCGACGCCGTGGTCCTCGGTGGCATCCCGCTCGACGACGAGACGCCCGCGCCGGGCGAACGGGCGAAGACGGGGACGCCCTCGGCGTCTTCAACGCACGGTCGCAACGTCATGCATGAGGATAAGACGCCCTTCCTGAACTCGAACGAGCAGCTGTCGAGCGCGCCCATGACGCAAACCATGAGCGCGGAACGCGAAGAACTCACAATGGATCCTATTTATGCCTTCTACACCACAGGGGACTCCATTTATAGTTGTTGTTTTGCTGGGTGTTCGCACGGGGATACGGTCGTCGCGCACGATCTCTTACGAGAGTCGCCGGCTTCGTTCGACACACCCGCCGGGCAGGAATTTCAGAAAACGAATGACATTACGTGTATACGCGGATGTTGGAAGCCCGCTCTCAAAATAACTGCATTTCCACTCGTTGCACAAATAGTTCATCAAGTGTATCCTCTCACGGCAACGAGTTCACTGGCGTGCATTAACTTTCACACTGCACTCTCTTGCCTTTCAATTGCAAGCGTCGCCTACCTCGGCGGCTCGCATCGCAAGCGAATGATCGAAGCACACGGCCTCCGTGAACCTCCTTGTAATCTCGGGTGCTGTGCACTATCGCCCCCGTTCAACCCGTACTGCTGCTGGTTCTGGTGTGTCCCTTGTGCGGCCGCTCAAGAACACAAAGCGATGAAGCGCATGCTTAGGCATCGCGCCATCGACGTAACGCACGATCGACTGTAAAGATGTAAAAATGTATTCGGCTATGCCATCATGGTTATTATTCTCAAGCAGGCTTGGACCCGTTATAGATTTCTGCAGGGTTTGGCAATCTCCGTTTTTCCGGCGGAGACGGCGGCAGTCCGCGACGCATGCGTCCCCGCCGTTCGGCGCGTGTGCACGACCGTGCACCCAACAATGAGCGGCAAACACAGCGCGCGTGGAGGGAGACGATGATTGTTCTCGTCGTGTACGTAGCACTCGTCGCTTTGGGCGCGCACGCGTCCGGAAAAGGTTCGTTCGCGATCGCCGTTAAGAGAAAACCAAGGGCTACCGCGGGGGCGGGGCGGCGTCTGTTGTCCAAAGCGGACGCGATCCCGCTCCACTCGTACGGTGCGGACCTCATAGGTTTGTACTCATCGGGCCACGAGTTCTTCTTGACGGTGGAGCTTGCGGGCAAGCAAAAGTTTGACCTTGAAGTGGACACCGGGAGTCCGCTGACTTACTTCCCGTGTAAGGGATGTCCACTTGAAGTGTGTGGGATTCACGAACATCCATACTACGATTACGACATGTCTAAGACATTTCGAAAACTCAACTGTACAACAAGCACTGAGGATGCGGCGTACTGCAATGCGCAACCGAATGTCCTTCTGTGTGATACAAACATATCGTACACAAACACATGTTTGTTTGGAATCGGCTACGTGGATGGATCAGTGGGCCGTGGATACATGGCGGAGGATACGTTTACACTGGGTGATGAGTTGGCTCCTGCGAAGATCACTTTCGGCTGCGGTGGCATGTATTACCCCGATGGGAGCAATCTCCGCCAAGATGGTATGGCTGGGTTCAGTCGGGGCAACACTGCATTTCACACACAGTTGGCAAAGGCGGGTGTCATCGACGCGCACGTATTCGGATTCTGTAGCGAAGGTATGGAAACATCGACCGCGATGCTTACACTGGGTCGTTACAACTTTGGAAGGCGCGTCCCGGAGCTTGCGTGGACTCGCATGCTCGGGGAAGACGACTTAGCCGTTCGCACGATGTCTTGGAAACTTGGTGACAAAACGATCGCTAGCTCATCGAACGTGTACACAGTTCTCGACAGTGGAACGACGCTGACAGTGTTACCGAGCGCAATGCACCACGATTTCATGACACATCTCAATGAAACGGCGCGCAGTGCCGGCCTAAGTGTGGTTGTGAGAGGAACACATTGCTTTTACGAGAACCAAAGGCAATCGTCACTGACTCAGTACACACTCACGCGATGGTTCCCAAGTCTTACAATCACGTACGATCCGGACGTCACTCTGGTCCTACGTCCCGAGAATTACTTGTTTGCAGACACTGTCAACTTGCATGCGTTTTGTGCAGGGATAATGTCGGCGAGCGATGCTGCACTAGCAAATGGTGAACAGATCATACTGGGTCAGCAAACGCTGAGAAACACGTTTGTCGAGTATGACCTCGAGAATTCCCGTGTGGGTATGGCGACCGTGCAATGCGAAAAGCTCCGTGAAAAGTTTGCGCCTGATACTCCTCATAATCCATGGAAGTTTGTCGCCACAGTGTTCATTTTGCTGTTCACGGCGTGTGTCATTGGCGGTGTATCGCTCTGTTTGTACGTCAAGTTTTGGTCACGAAAGCCGTTCAAGTACCAAGTGTTTGCCGATGAAACACTTGACAAAGAAATAGAAATGGGTGATTTGGCTGACACATAGAAGCGACATGACGAATGAAAAGTGTAACAATTTAAGTTTCCACCGCCTCCAGTCTCGAGACGATGTCACTGAGCTCTCCACGAGTTCGTCGATCTGCTGATCTCTCGAGGCAACGGCGGCCTCTAAATCGGCGATTTGAGCGTCGTGTTGCTGTTGAATTTCGAGTGCCCTCTCTAGATGAACGATTCGTTCGTGCAGCTCCTGGTTTGACTTGACGAGCACCGGTATGAGCTGAGAGTATGACACGGATGATGACAACGTGTCAGGTTCCCAAAGCTGCTCCACTCACTATTCTTGAATTCGTTCTTGATAATGTTACTCAATCTAAGAATTTGTAGAGCGTCTCTTTCTCTTGCCCATGAGATGCGGTTTAGACAATGTTTGAGAACCATCGAAGAGCTTTCCGCGAAACATCTCCGAACTGGTAGCCTCCCTCAAAGGGCACCCGCTGAGGCAGCGTTGAGTTTGACTTCGGATCAAGTGACATACTCATAGCGCGCATAGCTTGTGAGACAGCGTTGACTTGTTCAACCGGGGATGCATCAACAAGCTGTGCTTGCAGCTGTTGGTACATTTGTGATAGTACTTCTTGTTGCGCTTTCATGGCCTTTTCCAACGCTTCACGTCGTTGCTGCTCTTCCGACAAAGCCATATTTAACTCGTCTATCGCACTCTTCGTCCCAGAGCGCCAAACGAGGAATTTCTCTCGGAAGGTTTCTTTCACTTCATCGAGTCGCTTATGTAATCGTCCAACGTAAGCTTGCTCCTGAAAGCGACGAGCACGCTCGTAAGAAAGCTGTGTTTCAGTGGACGCCGCAACCTCCGCATGTGCTTCTAAAATTTGGACTAGCCATGCATTGGTTTCTGCTAGGATTTCTGCGTCGATCTGATGGCTAATCGAGAATTGAACTGCTTCTTCCATGTTGAGAACGTACGTCCCAATGTGTTCAGACCATTCCAAGCGCAATGCAATGTGTGGAATACGCACTTTTGGTACACCACCCGAAACCAGACACAGTTGAAAGGTGTATACATCCCCAAAGAAATCGGTCACCACGCGTCCCGTCAGGCTACTTTTGAGCTTCTTAATAATCTTCATGTTGCCTTGTAATCCGTTGAACAAGACCTTCACGCGGGTCAGTTGAGGCACAGGAAGAAGTGTGCCATCCTCAAAAGGAAGGTCCCAAGGCCCAGAGCAGTCTACGGAAGCACTATCCGAAGGCGACACGGCTCGATCTGTATATGCTTCGAAGCCCTCAAACGTTAGTAACTTATGTAAGATACCTCCAGCATAGTCAGCGCTAGTCGTTATGGTAGCCATCGGCGACCAATGTTCATTGGTTGTGGTATATTTGACAGTATCAAGCTTGAATATCAAACTCCCGGCAAGGTTGATGGAGTGAAGAGTGACTGTGGCATTACGCAGGATCAGTTGAAGATTCTCTACCGCTCTGTGAAGGGGAAGCCATTCTTCCATTTTCGTTGGTCTTGAAGACCCTTCCGACGAGCAATCAAATTGAGAGTTCACCTCTGTGCGAACATCGCACTCAGCACGTGCACCACAGCCTATGTTCAGTCGAAAATGGTCCACTTCAATACGCCACGGCTTTGTGAAGAGCTCCATGTCCATGTTCAGACCGAGAGAGATGCAGAAGCGAATTTTCCCAAACGTGCAGCCGCCCTCCCCCAAGTGCAAGCCGAAGGTGAGGAGCAGCGCCTCCAGCTCTGATTTCTTCAATATGACGTCCTTGACGACGACAGACAGGTCATTTTGCTCGCTCTCTTCGTCCCAGGCATACGATTCGCAGTACACATCCAGCATCGAGCGGACCGCGCGCTTCCACGATCGCCGCGTGAGTGCTTTCGCCGCACTCGTCATAGTCGACGCGAGTGCGCTCGATGCGAGCCACGTAACGATAGCAGCCATTTGACGTACACGCGGGATCACGCACTACCCAAAGAGATCACACACATGCCACGTCGCGAGTGGCATGGTGTGACGGCGCGGTTGAGGCGGTGTGACGCGGGCGAGCGACGCGGTGGGGTTGTCCCCGTCAGTTTTCACTAAACCCTAATGGATTCAGTTGGGATCTCATTGTCAACTCCACTGGTCGCAGCATTCATGCGCTCTACCTTGAGCCTTCGGTGACACTAACGGCGTGAATGACTCACTGATATATGGGTTTAATGCGCTCGCGATAAGTTTTACGTCGGTATCTACAAACTCAGTACGACTCCGATGCGAAGCTCACTGAAGCCAGTATGGAAACCAGCCACTCTTCACGACTTAACGAGAAACTCTTCAGCTTTTCGACAGTTTCTATATTCCACTCTTAATGCGCTCTATCTTAGTGATGAAGGGTCCTTAGCTGAAAAAATTGGAAAATTCTAAAACTCGATTTTTGATAGGGTTTAGCGTCTCCGGTTTTCCGAGGATGCGGGCAGATCGCGTCGTCGTCGCCACTTGTCGCCGCGGCGATGCTCTTTACGCTGAACTTGACAAGTGGCTCCTTTACGCCGGACTTTCGTCGAGGACATCAGCGTAAGCAAGCGGCACCGTCGCGCGCGCGTTCAGAGTGATGGAGCGCGTTCAAGAGACCGCGGAATCGCTGTCGGCGAATCTGAATTCAACCACGATCTCGACTCTATTTCACGATATATTTGACCAGGGCGAGGAAAAGGTTGGCCCCTGTGAACTGGGGATTACCCATAGAGTGCCCTGGGATGGCATACGTCTGTCAATAGACGAGCGTTTTCAACCAAAGTGGTTGAACGGTGTGGAGCTGAAATTGCTAGAACAGGCATCAAACTCAAAAGTAATCGAACTACTGAAAAGCAAATCATTTGATGCTACTGATGCTTTCAAAGAGCACTGCGGCGGATGTAGCGACCTGAATATACGTGTGGTAACTGCGTTTAAACGTGCTCTGACCGCCACACACACATCTGCACTTGCTGAAATCGACAAACAAATTCAAGAGGTCAAGTCTGGACTAGAAGTTGATACGACGCCCTCCATGGCCCCGCGCATTGCTTCCAATCCATCTACGTCACCTATTCACTTGGCGCGCGCAAAGTTGGACACTTGGTCGGCCGCTCGTTCTGCTGAGGAAAACGCATTTTCAAGTACGATTAACGAGATAGACGAGTTCATCAGCGAAGTAAAGGAACTTCAACACGAGCTGGACGCAAATGCACACGAGATTAATGAAAAAGTGAGTGAGCATGAACGAAAAGTCGCAACGTCGATTGAGTATAACATTGAGCTTTTGGACGAAGTTGTGAATGCTTTCAGTACTTGGCATCATCAGCACGGCCTTCCGCCTGAATACGTTACACGCGGTGGAGGCTGGTTGTCACGTGAACAGGTAGTTCACCACCCACAACACTGCATCGGCTGTGACGGTTCGGAATTAACTTCAGGGACCTTTGTTGAACACACGCGCGATATAGGGCAAGAACTGAGGCTTGAAGAAGATTTGGATGAAAGTGTAGACGCAGCTCGACCGACTAGCACTAGAGTTCGAGTAAAAGACTTTAGGTGCAAGTGCGAAGCATTTCAGATTTGGTTCAAGTCGGATCCAAATCAGCTCATTAACGCCGCAATTCGAGGAATAGCATCCACACTCATGACTGTACAAAATGAGAAAGGTGAGGCTGGCGCAGCATCGCACAATGTCCAACAACCACAAAACGTCCAGGAAGAGTTACAAGGTATACTAGAGACGTTGCGTGCTCTGTATACTTGAGAGACTCGAAGATCTGGATACAGAAATAGAGATAGGTGACGTGACACAGTCGCGCGATATAGAATAACGATAACTAGCCGCTCTCCACAAACGTGCCAAAACGTGCCTTTTCTAGAACGTCGACCGCGTCGCGCGCCACTCGCGCGCGCATGCCCGCGTCGGTGGCGCGCGCCGCGGACGCGCCGCGCGAGGCGCGCGCGAGCGACGCGAACGCGCTCGACGTCGCGTCCGAGCCGCGCGCGACGCTCGACGCGCGGCGCGACGCGAGCGACGAGGAAAAGATGCGCGTCGCGACGACCGCGTCGGCGTTCCGACGCGCGACGGCGCGGCTGTCCGCGACCGCCGGCGCGCGACGGCGACGCGCGATGACGGCGGCGAAGGACGTGTTTCGAGCGATGTGCGTCGCGAGGCGCGCGCCGCGACGGCGCGAGCGAGAGCGCGCGGAGGGGGAGAGCGACGCGGAGGCGGCGGCGGCGAGCGCGGAGCGCGCGAACGCGCGGGACGGGAAGGTGCGAGGACCGGCGAGGGCGACGAGAGCGCCGCGAGACGCGGGGGGGGTGACGAGGTTTGATTTTAAGCGCGAGGTGGTGCCGGTGTGCGAAGACGGGGGGGAGCTGGAGATGAGCACGACGAATCTGGGCGCGGACGCGCGAGGACGACGGGGACGGGCGGACGCGCCGGCGCGCGCGCCGCGTCCGTTGATCGTTTGGGCGCACGGCATGCGCGGGGATCTTTCGAACGATGATCAAGAGGGGCTGTGGAACTTTTGGAGTCGAGAGGATTTGGGGACGTGCGCGGTGGCGAGGTACAACGCGCGAGGGTACGGAAGGTCGAGCGACGTGCGGCGCTCGAGAGAGGCGCGATGGGACGCGCGGGCGAGCGACATGCTCGAGGTGGCGCAGCGAATCAGAAACGACGACGGCGGTGCCGTGGTTTTCGCCGGCGCGTCGCTCGGTGGGGCGACTGCGATATGGGCGACGGTGTTGGCGCACGAGAGCGGGCGAGACGCGCCGAAAGCCGTCGTCGTCGTCACGCCGCCCACGTTTTACGACGAGCGCGAGTCCCGCAAGAAAAAGTTGCGCAAGCGCGTGGCCACGGGCGACGTCACGGCGCCCGCGAACAGCACGACCCCCAGACGAGTGTTTCAAGCGTCCAAGCGACCGATCGATCCGCCGCCGCCGCCCTTGGCGAATCCCAACGATTCGTGCGCGGTGGAAGTCTTGATCGGCTCGGCGCAGAGCAACCTTCCCGAGCCAGAGCGCGTGCGAGAGGCGTTGGAAAACGTCCCCGTGCTCGTCCTCGCGTGGGACTGCGGCGACACGACGCATCCGGTGTCGAGCGCGATGACCCTCAAGGATCTCGCGCCGCACGCCGAAGTCGTCGTGGCGTCGACGCGCGGCGAAGCCGGCGACGAGGATTACGACATCGTCCATCACGTGCGAGAGCACTGGAGCGCGTGCATCATGGAATTCATCCAGCGATCGCTGCGCCGGGGCGGCGCGGACGACGAAGCGCTGGCGTAGACTATTGATTATTTTGTTTGTATTGTACAGTACCGTCCGCCTATCGCCTCCACGGCGCGCTATCGAGGGCTTCCGCGAATTCCGCCGTCTTCACGCGCGCGCTCGGCGTGTAAAGCGCCTTGACGATGACCCGCGAGCCGTGCGTGCTCGGCAGCACCCTGTGCCGATCGCCTCCCGCGCGCACGATCAACGCCGACGCCTCGGTCGTGCGCGCCGATTCCACCGACGACGACGCCGCGTCCATCCACTCCGTGCGCGAGTCGCCGTCGTTCGACACGGTAAAAATCACCTCCCACTGCGGCGGGTCGTACAATTCGACGTCCACGTGCCAATCCATCGCCGCCCCGACGCCGTACTCCCGAAGTTCGACCGGGAAGTCGCCCAGGACGAGCGTCGGGTCCTTCGTCGCCTCGCGAAGCGTCGCCAGCACGCGCCCGCTCGCGCTTCCGAGCGCGACGCACGCCGCGGACGTCGGCGACAGCGCGCAGCACCGTCGTCCGACCGCGAACGACGCCCGCTCGCGCTTCAGGCGCTTCTTCGCGCGCGCCTCATCCGCGCACTCGCGCAGCAGCGCCAGGACGTCGTCGGGGACGACGCGCTCGACGTAAAACGTCGACGCGCGCGGCGCGGGAGGGACGGCGCGGCGCGACGCGCGGCGCGGTGACGCGCGCGCCGGCGGCGCGGTGACGCGCGCGGACGCCATGCGCGAGCGACGCGCGGCGCGGTGACGCGCGCGGCGGCGTAACCGTGACAAAAAAAAACGAACCGAAACGTCAGCGCGCGAAAACAAAAAGAAAAGTCGATGGAGCTGCCAAGTTTCGCTGTGTGGGAGAACGTGTGCCTCGGTCAGTGGGTTGTTCCACGCCACGGTGATTCGCGTCTCGCGTCGTCTGAGAATCGCAGTCGAACATACGTACATCTCGGTACCTCGCGCATGCGAAGCGCGCGCTGATGATTCGTCAAGCACAGAGCGACCCCGGTCAGTCTCAGCACGTCTTCGCGCGCGGTGCGCCGCGACCCGATCGATGACGATGGACACGATGGACGCGGTCGATGACGATGGACTCACCTCTACCAATTGAGCTACAGCCCCATATTAAACGACGCATGCCGCTTATATACAACGAACACGCGACATCGGCGGTCGCCCCGAAAAAGTAAATGCGTTCGGTCGATGTTACGGGTTGTTTTCCAGCCTCGCGCGCGCTTTCGTCCCCCGCGCCTAAATCCGCGTCACGCGTCGACGCGCCGATGACCGTCGCGACGAGCGTCGCGCGCGCGTTCGCGTCGCGTCGCCTCATCCGCGCGTCGTCGTCGTCGTCGTCGTCGTCGTCGTCGTCGCCACCGCCGCAACCACCGAACCATTGGAGCGAAAAGTTGCGAAACCCGCGGGCCGACACGCGCGATGCGTCGCGGTACATGACGCGCGATGGAATCGCATCGTCCGATTCAAAAATCGCCCTCTCCTCCGTGTACCGCGACGGCGATAACGTCGCGCTGACGTCGCCCGACGCGTTGGTTTTGAGCTTCGTCGCCGACGCGGCGTTCGACGGCGACGAGGACGCGGCGCGCGCCGCGGTCGAGCGCGTCGAAATGCTGATTCCGTCGCTTCGGGCGGCGGGAAGGAAAGCGTCGACGGGCGCGCCGACGCTGGCGCGGTGGGCGAGGGATGTGGACGCGTTGTGCGCGGCGTTGGTGTCGCTGCGGCGCGCGCTTCCGAGCTGCGACGTCGCCGACTTCGTGCTGAAGACGCCGCGGTTGCTGTTCGACTGCGATCACGACGAGTTAAAGAAGACGCTCGATGAACTTCGAGAGCTGTTCCCGAACGCGGGCAAGGATGGGAAGCCCGACGTGGACCGCATGGCGCAGGCGGTGCCGCAAATCCTCGACGTCGAGTTTACGCGCGCCGGGTTGCGCGCGCTGCGAGATTCCGGCGCGTTCGGCGACGCCGATCCCGCCGAGCTCGTCCACGCCGTGCCGTCGCGAATTCTCATGGTGGAGTCCGCGCATCTGCGAAGCTCGTTTTCACCGAATTTCGACCAAACTCACGTGCGCGCGGGCAAGGTGGCGCGAGTCGGGCGCCGCGAGTCGTACTACGACGACCACGGGATCGTCGCGCGCGATCCCGAGCAGCCACACTGGTGATGCGAGCGAGCGTCGCGTTCATCGTCGGCGTCGCGTTCGTAGCCTTAGATCGTTAGCCATTCATTCATGCACGCATTCATTCATTCGCGGCGTCTTCGTCGATTTGATATCTGAGCTGTCGGTTGGATAACGACATGACTCGGCCTCAGCGCACCTTCCGCACAGTCGGCCTCAGCGCGCCTCGCACGCCCCTCGGCACACTCGAAAAGTCAACGACGCGATCATGTTCGCCATCGCGCCCACGAGCGCGCCGCTCGCGCGGCGTTTCACCGCGTCCGCGTCGATCCGATCGAAGAAATCCGCGCGCGGGTCCGTCGCGTTTAACCGCCGTGGCGTCGTCGTGCGCGCGGAAGGGTCGTCGCCGGACGTGAAGAAGATCGTCGAACAACTCATGGTGCCGCCGGACGCGTCGAAGCCCGCGCCGGGGTGGTTGCAACCGCTCATCGGCTTGGCGGAGCCGGCGGGAGAATCGGCGACGATCGTCGGGTACTCGCTCGCCATCGTCACGGCGTTGCTCGTGACTATCGTCCTCGCGGTGTTGCACTTTCCGGGATTGTTTGACGTTATGGTGTTTTTCGGGACGTCGGCGTACGCGTGCTGGCAGTTGGGACCGTACTTGGATAAAATCGTCGCCGACGTGGAGGCGCAATACAACGACAAGTACGGCGGCGACGAGTGAGCGGCTTTTCATCAAAGCGAAATGATATAACAAGACCCCCCCACGACAGAGTATATACTAATAACACGCAGCAACCAACATTTCCACACGTTCTATCCATCATCGCGCGACCGGGATCGATCGCTCTTCCTCCGCCTCCTCGACGACGGCGGGTGACTTTTTCGCGCGCGCCAACATGGTGCTCTTGATCAAATCCTTGAAATGCGGCGAGCACGTGCTGCACTCGCAACCGCGGTTGTGATCGCCACCTTTTTCCTTGAACAGCGTCGAATCTACGAAATCGATGTACGCGCTCGGTCCGTCGTTGGACAAACCGATTTTCGCCGTACCCTCCATGACGATGTCGTCCTCAGAGTGCGAAAACGGGTACGTGCGAAACATTTGCGCGAAACCCCACAGAAAGAATGACGTCGCGCCCAAGCTCAAAGCGCTGAAAAAGTCACCGTACACCGAACCGTCGACGGCGCTCGCTAACTCGAACACGTCGAGCGACGACGACGCGTCGTCGCCGCTGCCGAGCAACGCCGCGGTGAAGACGACACTCGCGCCGACCCAAAACAACTTCGCCCCCGCGATCGCGCCCGTAGCCCACATCCCGATCTCCGTGTTGCGAAGCGCGCCTTGGCAGTGCGTGCAGTACTTGGTGTGCATCTCGTACGTGTCGAAGAGCTTGCTCGAATCGCGCTCGATGGGCGGCATTTGCTCCGTCCCGGGCGCCCACGGAATCGGGCCATTCTTCTCGAACCACTTGTAAAAGAAGATGGTCATCTTATCCGCCGTGCTCGGCGTGAAGACTTGATCCTTCCACTTTTGCGCCATCGCCTGTCCGTCGCCCTGAGCGATGATTTTTTCTTGTTGGTGCAACAACACCATGTCTTGATGCAAAAACGTCGGCCCCAACACGTGCGTCAGCCACGCGGGCGACGTGAGCGTGAACAGGTTTAGCTTGAACCATCGGTGCTCGCGAATTTTGTTCCCCATTTCGGGTCGTCGCTGCGCGATGGTGACGACGAAGTGGCGGCACCACCCCGGACGCGTCGGCACGCAGTAGTGCGACGTCAAAAATCGCCCCCCCTCGTGTCGCCAGTCAATCTTCAACAGCGCGGGCGGCTGGAAGTCGTAAGACGTCTCCGCGTCGTATTTCCCGATCGAGTTGAACGGTGGCACCGCCGGGTCGATGGCGCATCGGAACCCACCGGCGTCGGTCACCGGACGCTCGACGACGCACTGAAACCCGGCTGGGTCGTCGTATCGCGAACCGACCAACGTGTGGTGACTCACGACGGCGTGCGCGGGATCTATGGCGTTTTCGAAGAACGCGTTCCAACCGTACGGTAAATCGCGCACTTGCCAGTGATTTCTGAACCCACCGCAGCTCGCGCGACCACTCTTACCGATGCCCTCTATTTCAGGCACGAACAACGGCGGCGTCATCGCGGCTTCCATCTCCGCATCCTTCCCGCCTTCGCCCCACGCCCACACCAACCCTTGCGCCACCATGCTCGGTCGCTTGAACGCGCACGATCGCACGTTCGCCTTGATTCTTTCTTCTTCCTCCGCGCTCGACGCTTGCGGCATCGACGTACACTTTCCGTCGCCGTCGAATCGCCACGCGTGATACGCGCACAGCAGCGTCCCGTCGCTCTCCACCCGTCCCTCGCTCAGCGGCGCCAACCTGTGCGGACACTTATCCTCGAACACGCTCCACGACCCATCACCATTTTTCCAAACCACCAAATCTATCCCGAGCAGCGTCGTCGGGTGCGGTTTCGTCTCGTCCAGCACGTCCACCACCGCCACCGGGTACCACTGCTTCGTCCACGAGTACGCGTCGGGGTCGGCGTTCACCACGGCGGCGCGATCGGGGTTCAGCCCGATCGGATCGAGCGGCGCGGAGGACGATTCGACGACGTCCGACGCCGCGCGCGCGCGCGTCGGCGCGCGCGGCGACGCGGCGTCGAGACGTAATCCCGGTGACGTCGTAATGGATAAGCGTCGGCGGCGGGGCGAGGACGACGACGGAAGCGCGCGCGCGCGCGCCGGGACGCGTCGGGTCGATGCGCGTTCGCGCGTCGACGCGGTGCGGAGCGTCGACGCGGCGGTCATCGCGCGCGGCATCGTGCGCGCGGTGAAGAGTGAGGCTCGCGGTTGCGGCGCACGAGACATTTGGCGTTGACATTCGCGACGACGTTTCGCGCAATCAACGGCGCTTCTTCTTACCGCCCTTGGACATGGATTTCGCCGCCCCGGGTGGTAAGCTAATCTTACACCCCGCGGGGAGCGCGACGGCGGCGTCGACGTCGGCGACGGCTTTGACGCACGCGAGCTCGCGAGGCGTGGCGAAGGGCGCGCGGGAAAGGATTTCCATCGCGAGTTTCGCGGCTTTACCTTTCTTCTGCGAGCCAGGGGTGACTTTCATGCGGTATTTGAGCGCGTTGGTGGCGGTGATCGGGGCGCACACGGGAAGGCAGTACTCGATGTCGTCGTCTTTGAACGGCGCAGAGACGATTCGGTTGACGATTTCGAGACGTTCGGCGTCGAGCTTTAGGCGCTCTTCGATGGACGCTTCGTCTGGGACGAGAGACGCCTTTGACTCGTCGTCGTCCTCGTCGTCCTGATATTTTGCCGGAAAATCGTCGTCAGCGGCCGCCTTGCGCGCGAACGCGGCCGCCGCGGCTTCGCGACGCTTGACGAACGGCGCAGGTGCCGGTTCGGGCGCGCTCGGCGCCGTCGGTTTCTCCTGTTTGCGCTCTTCAAACTTTTCCGCCGCCTTGGCCGCTTTCTTGGACGCGCCCGTGACTTTCTTCCCGCCGCTGCCACCGCTCGCACCGAGAAATTCCATCGCAAGCGCCCGATCCTCCTCGTCTTGATCCGCGTACTTGGCCTTGGCGCGCTTGAGTTTCGCCGCTTTGCCGCGAGGTGCCTTCTTCGTCTCGATCGGCACGGTTTTCGACGATGATTTCTTCTTCATCTCGGCTAATGGGTCGATGAAATCGTCGTCGCCGTCGCCGTCCGAATCATTCCCTCCCTTGCCGCCCTTCTTCTTCTTCAGCGTCTTGCGCTCCTTGGCCGACATGCGCGGAGTCGCCGGCTTCGCGGGCGACGGCGCGGCGGCGACGGTGTCGCCGTCGTCATCGTCGTTCTCGTCGCCGTCGTCTACGCTCGATCGCTCATCTTCTCCTGCGAAACCCACGGCACCATCTAAGAACGCCGCGAGTTTGTTGACTTCTCCTCTAATCTCGGCGCCGCCATTCGCGTCGTCTCGCTCGTCTTCTTGCTCGTCGTCCTCGTCGAACGTCTCGTCGCCCTCTTCTTCTAAAATGTTGAAATCGCTTCGCACCAATCGTTCGTTTTTGTGCGCTTCCGCGTTCTTCTCACTCACGACGAACATTAATCCGAACCCCATGACGAGTTGCGCGTGCGGCAGGAATTGCTTGTCCGCGTGCGCGACGTGCGTGACGCCTGGCGGAAGCGCGTCGCCGGCGACCGGGGAAATCTTGCTCACGCGCTCAGAGCTCGTCCACCACGCCGATTTAACCGCGCGTGAATTCCAAGCGCTGCTACGACACATCACCGCTGCGCCCGCCTGTACGAGCGAATACGCCGGCACCGCTCGCACGTCGACGCCAGGCGGCGGTTTCACCAAGGTGACGGGCGCCTGCGGTACCTCTGCGTGCACGAACGCGTCGCCTGGGAGCATGTACCGTGTGATGAGCATCTCCGCCTGCGTCGCGTCTTTCGCCTGAAGCACCAAACAATTTTCGCTCGTGATGAACCAGTTGAACTTTTCAAACCAAAGCGGTTGTCTGGCGCGCGCGATGGACGATCCGTTCGCAGCCTTTTCCATCGCCGCCTTCGCCTTGGCTTCAGCCGCGGCCACGGCTTTGGACTGCGCATCCACTGTCTTGCTAAACTTTTCCGCGTGTTTCTTCTTCGCTGCGAAGCGCATGGACGCGTTGGCGTGCGCGCTCAATCCCAAATCCACGCCCACGGCGACTCGTTTGCGCTTACCGCTCGCCGCGTCGACTTCGTCGACTTCGTCGAGATGATTCGCGAGCGTGATAGTGATTTGATTATTCGCCAGATCGAGTGACTTGATCATCCCCGCCACCGGATTCCCGAGCCGGCGCTCTTCGTTGATCATGGCCTCGAGCTCGGGCCAGGACATTCCGCTCGCCAACGCCGAATTCACGGCGTCAATCGCCGTGTCCACGGCTTCGTGATTGTACTCGATGAGAACCGCGCGTTGCTCCTCTTTCTCGCGCTCGCGTTCGAGCTGCTCGACGCGACTTTTCTGATCCTTGAGTGATTTTTCTAATTTAGCCAACGCTTGCGCCTCAGCTTTACGTCGCGCTAAGATTTGCGACTGCGCCTCGAGAGCGATGAAGTACTCGTCGACTGCGTGGTCGAACGCACACACCGGGTCTAACCCCTTGGGAAGCTCGAACTTCCTCGTCGGTCGGCCTTCATTTTGTTTCAACGAGAACGGGGAGAAATCATCGAAGATCTCGATCTCGTCCGTGCCGTCGGCGTTGGCGTCCATCTTCGTGCACACGTTGGGCACGGCGACGACGTCGCCCGTCGTGACGCCCTCGAACCAACTCTCTAAATCTCGCACAGCCGCCGTCAGCCGATCGACGCACGCCTCACTCAGCGGTAGCGATGCGTTCGAGCCGTGCTCGATCGACGCCGTCAACGCCACGTGATCCGCGATGGCGGGTGAGTACCCGAACGCTCGACACAACGCCTCGCGAAGCGTCGCCGGCGCCCGCCGCGCGTCCCCACCCATCGTCTCCTCCTCTGTCGCCAACACCCCGCGCGCCAACGCGCTCACCACGTCCTCCCGGGTGTACCCACCGAGCTGAAATCCCTTCAGCCGCTCCAACGGGTACTGATGATTCGGCAAAATGTTGACGTCGCCGCCGTCTCGATACGATCGCAACAGCGCCACCACGGTGTAATTCCCATCGCACAAAATCACGTTCCCTTGCGAGTACAACTCCACGATCAGATGACACTCATTCTCCCCTCCCCCCCCGAACGTGAAATCGATCGCTCGATCCCTTCCCAGCTGCCTCGCGTCCGTCAAGCGTTTCCCCTTCGCGCGCGCTCGCAGCTTCGCCGTGAACGCCGTCGGCGCCGTCGTCTTTCCTCGCTCGTACCTCGTCGTGTGCACCCGCGTCCCCGACTCGATGAACACCAGTATTTTCTCGCTCTCCGCCGTCGTCGCGTCCGCGCGCGCGTCTCGCGCCACCGCGCCGGACGGTTTATTCAGCTTTAACAGAAACTTTTTGTTTCCCGACGTCGCGTCGACGTCGTACGCGTTCGCGAGCCAGCACCCGAGCGCGGCGCGGCGCAGCGCGGCGACGACGGCGGCGACGTCGAACGCGGTGTACTTTTGCTTGGGCATGGCGCGCGCCGCGCGCGACGCGACGCGACGCGATTCCGCGCGACGCGGTGTGCGACCTTCGGCACAGCGCGACGCGCGCGCCATGAGGTGCGATCGGCGACGCGCGCGACGCGACGCGACGCGACGCGACGCGCGCGCGAACGATGGACGCGACGCGACGCGACGCGACGGCGACGCGACGACGACGGACGCGACGCGACGGGCGATCGACTGGATGCGCCGAATGGATGCGATCGACCGACGCGCGACGCACCGCGCGCGACGACGCCGCGACGCGATGACTGACGACGCGACCGCGCGAACGCGCGCGCTTTCTCCGCGCAGCGGTTTCTTCGGCGCGCCCGCGGACGAGTCGCTGATCGGGGAGCTGGGCGGCGAGCTCGAGGACGATCTGTCGCGGCTGCGCGTGGACGCGAGCGAGCCGGAGGTGCACATCGAATCGACGCGGGATGAACTCGCGCGCACGGGGCTGCTGACGCCGGCGGATTTGATGAATCCAGCGATGCTGGGACGAGCGCCGCCGCGAGGGGCGGCGAGGACGCAGATGGACATCGAAAGGGAGGCGATGGCGGGGGCGATCGCGCCGCCGCCGCAGCAGAGACGGACGCCGCCGGGAATGATGATGATGCCGCCGGGAACGCCGCCGATGCCGGGAATGGGGACGCCGCCGATGCCGGGAATGGGGATGCCGCCGATGCCGGGAATGGGGATGCCGCCGATGCCGCCGCCGCCGAGCGGTGGGCCGCAAAAGTATCGCGGGGAGGCGCTGCCGGAGTGGGCCGACGGCCCGACGGCGTTGGCGGCGTCGATGGACGTGCCGGGCATGCCCGGAGTGCGAGCGGCGCCGACGCCGATGATGCCCTCGGGGCCGATGCCGACGAATCAACCCCGGCAGTTTCAGCAGCGCGAGCGGCAGCAAGGTCGTCGGCCGAGGGAACAACGACCGCGCGGACGTCCGCACTACAACGGCTTGTACATGGCGAACGACGAAATCGAAGGGATTCTGCGCATTCAGTGGAGCGCGACGCATCCGCACGATCGTCCAGCGTACGAACACGACTACTTCTACCAGTCGTGGTTGCGTAGGAACAATCCGTCGAAGCTCAAAGAACCGTTTTGCCCGGAAAGTCTTCGCGAGCTCGCGTCGCACGAGAAGGAGGCGCGAGGACCGGTGACTTTCGTCCCGGGCTTGGCTGGGCTGGGCAAGGTGCCTTTCGGGAATATTCGCTCGCCTAAACCGCTGTTGGACGTGTCGTCGAGCAACGCGCCCAAGACGGACGGTGACGACGACGCGGGCGAGGAAGGGACACAGCGCAGGTTGGAACAAGAGCCGCTCTTGGCGGCGCGCATCATGATCGAAGACTCCATGTGCCTGTTGCTCGACGTGGACGACATCGATCGTCAGCTCGAAGAGGGTCGACCGAGTGAGAGCGACGAAGACTTGAAAAAGCGACGCATGTTCTTGCTCGATGGTCTAGTGAGTACACTGCGCCTGCCATCTGTACCCGTGCTCGCCGTCGGCGGCGCGGAACACGATGGGGTTTTCCAGCGCATCGTCACCTTACCGAAAGGTCGCACCTTGCTCGCCTCTGCGCTACCGAGATTTCCTCTCGGCTCCGCCGCGGCTGCGACGCTCGTTTGGGCGATTTTGCGTAACGTCGGGATGCTTCTCGGAGGCAAGAACGCGACGAACAACCCGAGCGCGGAGGCGCTCTTCCGCGCCGCCGCGGATTCCGTGCAACTAATGAACGCCGTCGCCGTCGAGGGCACCTTGGGCGCGGTTGCGACTGGTATGAACATCGCCGATGCCAAACAACAGTTGGCACCGTTAGTGTCACGAAACTCGACGACCGGTGCCCTCGTCGCCGCGCTGTCGGCTGCTCTGGAACGTGCGCACTTGCTCGAAATCTCGCCCTCAACGCACAAGGCGTTCGGCGCGGCGTTCGGCATCGTGTTCAGTATCTTCGATCGACACGCGACGAATGCCGCGCAACGAGGTGGCAGTGACAGTGCCCTCCCTCGTGACTTACTTCGGGCGTTGATGCATCACTGCAACGACGCTCAGAAGCAGCGATTGAAGAGCCACATCTCGGCGCTCGGCTGAGGGCGGCGAACTCTCGCACAGCTCAGTGGAACTCGGAACGCATAACGCGGTTTTTTATAGCGTGTGTGTTCGTGCAAACGAGCCCCGGCTGCATGGTGTCTGTTAGAGACCCACATCAGATAGAAAGCGAATTGTAAGAGAAATTCGATGCGTAAAAACAACTGAGTGGTGATGTTACAATTCAATATTCGCGCGAAACGCGCTGCCGCCGCCCTAACTAAGGTAACGGCTCTGCCATGTTGCCGAGTCGGTTGAGGTGCAGATACGCATCCGTGCCGTAGTTCTCCATCGAAAGCACTTGAAGATCGCCTCCGAAGTATCTCGCATAGAGCCTTGAAAGCGGTAAGCCGTATCCGTACCCTGCCAAGACGACGGGACCCGCTGAGTCAGCGTCCATGTCCTTCAAAGGACTGCGCGCCGTGCTGTACAGGTAGGTCCAGATTTTCGCCAAACCGCTTCGACGAATCCCACCACCTTCGTCTGATACCTTGATCGTGACGTCTTCCGCGCCTTCGGCGATGACGATGCGTATGGGCGGCGGCGTCACGTCGCTATCCGCGTACTTGTCGCTCACCGCCCGAAGCGAGTTCTTCACAAGCTCGAATAACATTTGATGCAAGTGACCTGGAACGTACGCGAACGTGAAACCCTCCTCGCCGAATAGTTCGACTTCCGGTGCGTCGCCGTATTCGCGCATGCAGATCGCCCTCGCGTCTGCAATGGCGTCTCGAGCCACCTCGAGTGGGCTCAGGGACGTGCAAATCAGCCCAATGTACCCGTCTTTAGGGGGGTCGTGCAAAGCTACGTGCTGACCGATAAGCATCCGCATTCCGATGCGACTCATGTAAAACCCATCCAGGAATTGGTGCACTTCGGGAAACTCGTTCAAATCCGTCGTGGCGTACGTTCCTCCTCGTCTCGCCGTCGCCGGTCGCTGGGACTCCTTCGGCCGTTGCGCCTCGAGTTGTTCCTTCAGCTCCAAAACCGCTCGCGCGATCATGGGCACGACATTTTCGTGCCTGTACATGATTCTCTTCAAGATGTTCGTAAACTTTTCCTCGTCCTCCATGTTCTCAATCGGAGGAAAGCTACGAAGCTCTCGAAACGACTCCACGTACCAGTCCCGCACGTCGAGCACCTGCGCCATATCGCTCAACCCGAACGGCAAGTTCTCCAACTCCGCCACGCGATGCGCTAATCGCACCGGAAGTTCGTTGTGCAAAAATTGCGCGCTCACCATCAACTGCCGATGAATCGGCTGCGCCCCGAAATCTAACATATACTTCAGGCTCACCCCGGTTTGGCTTCGAAAGCTCCCGCGATAGATGTCGTCCACGACATCCTTTGAAAATTTCTCCCCGAGCTTACGTCCCGACGACGCGCTTTTTGTTCCCGTCTTCGCCGCGCTCGTCGCATCAACGGGCGCTCGCGCGCCCTCATCCCTCGTCGCGCTCGAGTTCGCGTTCGCCGACTCGTCCAGTCGCCTCGCGTTCGCCGCCGCGCCGTTTGAGTCCCCCCTCGACGTCGCCACCCGCTCGCTCGCCGCGCTCGCATCGGCGTACAACGTCCTAGCTGTCATGGTCCACGCGTTGCGATCGCTCGATCGCGCCAGACGCGTCGCGATGCGCGTCAGCGGCGTCGACATCGCTCAAAAACGCGTTCGACAGGTTAACGAGCCAATTACGTCGCGTTTACGAGGCGCGCGCGCGCGCGAGGGCGTGCGAACGGTCCGCGCCGGATCCAACGCGTCCTCGCGAGCGTGTTGGATCGTCCGTGCGCTTCGGCGGACGTCGGCGTCGCCGTGCGCGCTCGTCTGAGGGGGTGCCCGAGGCGCGCGGTCTGTTTGTTGCCTTGGGCTTCGTTCGGGCTTCGGGACTCGCTCAGACGGGACGGCTTTGAAATCGCTCGAACGAGCGTGGAAGAGTTCGATTTACAAACGCTTGAATAATTATCGCGGGCTATTTGCGCGCGTCGCCGCGATCTTGGGTTGGGGCGCGGCGGCGAGTCGGTCGACGAGGCCCGTGCACCGACGGTCCTTGCCGGCGGTGTCGATGGCGGCGGCGAGCGCCGTGCGGGGAGCGACGATGACGAGAAGCTCCTTGGCGCGCGTCACGCCCGTGTATAGGAGCTCACGGCGGAGTAATGGCTTATGCGCGTTCGTCATCACGAGAACGACGGCGCGATACTCGCTGCCTTGGGCTTTGTGAATCGTCATGGCGTACGCCGGTATCAAGTCTCTGAGCTCGCCTTTGGTGTACGAAACTTCCTTGAAATCAGCGCCGAAGCTCACGATGGCGGTGCCAGCTTTGGTGTCGATTCTTTGAATCACGCCCAAGTCGCCGTTAAATACTTCTTTGTCGTAATCGTTGCGCTGTTGCAGCACGCGGTCGCCCTCGCGAAACGTAACGTCGCCGGAAAATCCACCGACGGCGACCTCCTTCTTGCTCTCACAGCTCGGATTGAGCGACGTTTGGAGCCAGTTGTTGAGCGATCCAGTGCTCGCGACGCCGCGGCGCATTGGAGATAAGACTTGAAGATCTTTTGGGGAGAATCCACGAGCGGGTAAGATGTCGCTGAGAATGTGGTCAAGCACCGCCTCTACGCTCGCGTTCGTTTCGCTGGGCAAGCTCACCCAAAGACAGTCGGGCTTGAGATCGGGATCGATCGGCGGCAAATCGACGTCTTGCGCGTCAGCGACGATGCGAAGCTCATTCATGTCCACATCGTGGCGCTGCTCTCTGATGTCCAACGGTAGGAACGCTCCAGAGTTGATCGCGTGCGCGGCGCGAACGATGCCGCTCGCCGCCGCTTGGCGGAAGATGTCCGTCAACGCGATGCTCGGAACGTTGCGCGCGGCGAGCAAATCTCGCAATAGACTACCAGGTCCGACAGACGGAAGCTGATCGGCGTCACCCACAAATACGACTTGCGCTGAGGGAGGCACGGCGGCGAGGAGCGCGGCAGCCAGCGGCAAGTCGAGCATGGAGCTTTCGTCCACGACGACAACGTCCGCTTGGATGGGATTCTTCGCGTCTCGCGAGAATCTACCCTTGTATGAAAGCGCTTGCATCGGCCCGTCATCTTCCATGCCTTCGAGCGCATCCGCAGCCTTGAACTCCAACAATCGATGAATCGTCGAGCTCGTCACCGGATTGGCGATGTCTCTACCGGCGGTGGTGATTTCCATCAGACGCTGCGCGGCGCGACCTGTGGGCGCGCACATTACCACACTCTTGCCCATGGCGCGCCACAGACGGACGATCACGTGCGTGGCAAACGTCTTCCCAGTCCCCGGGCCACCCGTGAGAATAGAAACTGGCGATTCAAGCGCTAATCGAACAAAGTCTTTTTGCGTTTCGCTCAGCGTGCGCCACCCTTCCTTTTGCGCGGCGGCTTCGAGCCAACGCTCCACGCGTGCCGAGTCAACCTTGATCTTCGGTCTTCTAATGCGATTGATGACGTCGGATGCCACGGCCACTTCAGCACTGTGCATGGCGCTCGTGTAAAGCGCCGCAGTGCTCCAATCGCCTTCGAAAACCTCAATCGATCCCGCCGCCGTGCTTGCTGTCGGCAGGCGCTGCACACGAATTTCACCCTTGGTTCGCATCGCGTCCGCGGCGGCTTGCATGCTCAACTCGTCCGTAATCGTCGATTGTCCGAGCAGAGCACGTACACCGTCGACGATTTTGCTCCACGGCAAGTACGCATGCCCGCTGCTCACCGCTGCCGCGCTCAAAACTTCGATGATGGCGGCGCCGAGACGCGCCGGATCGTTCGGCGCCTTGCCTAGTCGAGACGCCAAGGCGTCGACGCGATGGAACGTCGCCCCTCGCACCGCCCCTAACGCCTCGAATGGGTTGTCGCGAATCAAATCCTCCGTCATGGGACCGTATTGTGCCGCTGCGCGTTGCGCGAGCGCCAACGGCACGCCGTGTTTTTCTAAAAACACTGCGGCGTCTCGCTTGCCGCGCGACTCGTCCCAATTCGTCTTCAACTTGATCGCCGTCTTCGGCCCGATCCCATCGCACGCGCACAACTTTTTCGCCGCGTCGGGCGAGTTCAAGACGTCCATCAGGTCCACGCCAAAGTGATCGACGAGGCGCTGAGCGGTGACTTTGCCGCAGCCCGGCAACGCGCCGCCGCTCAAGTATCGCAACATCCCGTCCTCGCTCGATGGTTTCAGTTCCGTGGGCGCACCGGTGATGAGGAACTCGACACCATACTTTGTGTTTTCCTTCCACTGTCCGATAAGCTCGAGCATTTGTCCTTCGCTCGCTCCCGGAAGCGTGCCGACGACGGTCACCGTCGGCGTCGGCGCCGCGCCCTTCCTTCGCCGCTTCGGCGTCGCGAGCGCGCCTGGAGGAAGCTCACACGAGCTGTCAACCTCCATGCGCGCCACGGTGTACCCATTTTCTCTCGAATGAAACGTCACGCGCTTGATCTCACCTCGAATCCTCGGCGCGCTCGACGCGAGCGCCTCCTCCTCGTACGCCGGCGACGCCTGCGACGCGAACGTCCGCGCGCCGTTTCGACTCGGCGCCCCCCCACCGGCGACCGATAGTCTGGACAACCCCCGCGCGAATCGCTCGACGTCATCGTCCGCGTATCCCTTCGCCAAGCGCTCGTTGAACTCGTCGTCGGCGTCGTACGACGCCGACGACGCGTACGACGTCGACGCGCGTCCCTCGCCCGCCTCCCCCCCGTCCTCCCTCGCGCTCGCTCGCGTCCCGCGCGCGCCCGCTCGCATCACCGCTCGCGCGTCCGCGCCACCGATCGACACCGATCCGCGCCATCGTCGCCGCAGTTCGCGCGCGAGCATCCCTCGATCGCCGCGCCCCGCGTCGAAATTCCTCGTCGAGCCTCCCGCGCGCGCGCGTCTCGCGCGCGACCGCGCGTCGGCGCGCGCCGACGCGCGCGCGCTCCCGGCCGCTCGCGGCGCCGCGAGCGTCGCCGCGACCGTCGTCGAGGGTCGCATTCTGTCGTCGTCGCGCGCCCATCGCGCGCTGACAATCCGTTTTGGCGGGAACGGCGATCGGAGTCCCTCGCGCTCGGTTCACGAACCGTCGTCGGTCGAACGTCGCGCGTCGCGCGCGACGCGCGCGGCACTCTTCGACGACGACGACGAACATGTTCGCGACGAGCGCGCGAGCGACGGCGAAAACCGCGCGAGCGGCGCGGTGCGTGGACCGCGGACGAACGCGCGCGAGAAAAGCGCGCGAAGACGCGCGAAGGGACGCGCGCGACGGGACCGATCGCGATTGAAGTTTGAAATCCAAATTGAGCGACTGACGAAGACGATGCGATCGCGCGCAGAACGTACGCCACGGGACTGAATAAGACGACGCTGATCGATCACGTGGCGAAAGAAACCGGAGAAACCAAGGCGAGCGTGGGTCGGGTGTTGAACGCGACGCTGGACGCCATCAGCGCGACGGTGCGCGCGGGCGACAAGGTGGCCCTGTCGAAGTTCGGGACGTTCGCGCGAAAGCAGCGAAAGGCGCGCGATGGACGCAATCCGTTGACGGGCGCGGCGTTGAAGATCCCGGCGGCAAATTATCCGTCGTTCAGCGCGTCGAGCACGTTTAAGGACTTGGTCAAGGGGAAGAAGTAAATGGAATAAGTTTGTACACGACCGCCGTCGAGCGCGTTTGTTTGTTTTAATGAAGAGAGCAGAAATGTTGCGTACTGCGTGCGCGCTATCGCGAAGACTCGTCGAGCGATTCTATCGCGTCGTCTAGCTTGCCGTGGAAGTCTAACGCGGCGGCGAGCAAGCCTAGGAAATTGACGAGGCGTTCGTTCGGGATTTCGAACCCGGCGACGTCGACGGCGTCCTCAAACGACAAGACGCCGTCGGCGACGTCTTGACAAATCGCCAGCACAGCCTTGCGCTTCGCCTTCTCCGCCTCGTTCACGTCTGCCGTCAAACTAATAACGACGTCTTCGTCATCTCCACGCTCGAGCGCGCTCGCTTTAGCCGTCTCGACGTCCCTCAATCGCGCTCTCGCCGCTCTCGCCGCGGCGTCCGCCTCGAGCCAGTCCTCGCGCGAACACGCGATTGAAAACGCGTACGACGCAACCTCCGCCCGCGCGCTCCAGCGCACCAACCGTTCAAGCGTCGATCGTCGTCGCATCGCCACCCCCGCCTTGCTCAACCACACGCCCTGTTCGATGAAGTAGTACGCGCCCTCGAGCGCCGCGCACGCCGCCGCCGCCGTGAGCCATCGCGCGCGGCCGCGCTTGCCCGCGCCCTCGTTCTCCCGCACCTCATCGCGAAAGTCCCGAACGTTACCCAAAAATTTTCCCAGCCTGTACGCGCGCCTCGCGTCGCCGATCGAGCGCTCCAGCGCCGTCGTCGCGCGCACGAACTCGCTCGACTCGGCGCTCGGCCTCGCGCGCGCTTTCGCTTCGCCGAGCGCGAACAGCGCGGCGTAGCGCGCGAGTTTCAGCGTCTTATCGATGCCCTCGCGCTTCTTCAGCAGCGTCACGGCGACATCGAGGGCGTCGTACGCGCGCGGCGAGGCGTCGCGAGGCATGGTTTGACGCCGGCCGCCTAACCGTCTCGGGACGCGCGGGACGCGCGGACGAAGGACGGACGACTGGTTCTATCGTCTCACTACAACAACACCGGCTCGCGACGCGCGCTCGAATCGACTCCGTGACGACGGAAACGCCGACCCTCACAGCTCGTCCACGGACTTGCCGTCGAGGAATTCGACGACGCGCGGCACGACGTCGCGCAGCGCGTCCGCCGCCGACGATAAATTTCGCAAAAACTCCTCCTCCGTCGCCTGCGGCCCGTCCACGATGTCCGTGATCGTCTTCACCGCGATCACGGGCACGTTAAATAGGTGCGCGACGTGCGCGATCGCCGCCGCCTCCATCTCCTTCACGCTGCACTCGAACTCGTCCAGCAGCGCTCGGCACGTCTCCGTGGCGTCCAGAGAGTTCCCCGTGCACACCACCCCGGTCTTGCATCCCAGCGCCTCGATCAACCGCGGCGTCGGCCACGCATCGTACTCACCGACGCCGTATTTATCGTATCCAGGGATCGGTATTCGTCGATCGTGATTCTTAAACTTCGTCGCCACGTAGACGTCGCCGACCTCGCCGCCGCGCTTCGCGAACCCTCCCGCCGTGCCCGCGTTCACGATCACGTCCGGTCGCAGCGTCGCGCACGTCTCGTACGTCGACAGCGCCGCGCCGACCGTGCCGACGTTGCACACGTTGTGCCTCGCGCACGACCCCGCGCAGACGACGTCGACGCGCGCGCCCGACTTCAGCGTTCCCGAGTACACGCGCATGGGGACGTCGCCGCCGACGCGCGCGAACGCGTCGGCGTCGAGCGTCAGCCCGAGGGCGTCGATCAGCGGTCGCGCCTCGGCGTCCATGGCGAACAGCACGGCGACGCGCGCGATCGGCGCCATGGCGTCGTCGTCGAGCGCGGAAGACGACGAGTGCGGACGCGCGACGCGACGCGACGGCGCACCGCGACGCGCGCGCGCGACGGCGACGCGCGGCGATGGGCGCGACGACGCGCGATCGCGACGCGACGACGCGATAGCGCGAGATGGCGGCGCGCGCGCGCGCGAGCGACGCGAACGCGGACGCGGACGCGAACGGCGAGGCCGTTTGGCTCGAGCGCGTCGTCGCGCGCGGCGTGCGACGCGCGCGCGACGCGAGCGGACGCGCGCGCGAGCCGAGACTGCGGGACGTGTGCGCGGCGGTGGACGAGGAGGTCAGGCGGGCGCGAGGGGCGGACGCGGCGGCGCGAGGGCGCGCGAGGGCGATGGCGTTCGCGCTCGGGCTGGACGTCGAGACGACGTGGGAGGAAAAGGCGGCGGCGTTGGAGCGCGGCGCGGCGCGGGGGGAGGCGAGGGGGGCGGGCGAATCGGCGACGACGCGCGAGATGAGCTCGATCGAGGCGCTGGTGGCGGTGGACGACGAGGCGTATTTGGAGACGACGGTGGGCGACGGCGCGCGAGTCGCGACGCCGACGGGAGCGGATTCGGAAGGCGCCACGCTCGACGACGACGAGAGCGAGCTCATCGCTCGAGCGTTGTGCGAAATGAACGCCATTAAGCGCGCGTTCGCGGCGTGGAGACGCGAGGCGGTGAAGGAAAAGTATCGGCGAGCGAGAGAACGCGAAATCGAGTCGTTGTGCGCTTTCTCCACCGGCCGCCGCGCGCGCAAGATGGCTCTGGCGGCGATTGGCGCGTGGCGCACGAATGCGCGCAAACGTGTGCGATTGCGCGCGTTCGCGGCGAAGCGCGCTCGACGCGAGCTCGCGACCACGGGCCGAGCGGTCGCTCGCGCGTGGGCGCGAATCGCGCGAGACGACGCGGCGAGACGACTCGAAGCCTTCAGGCAGACTCAAACGCGACGAAACCGTCGAGCGATGCTCGCGGCGTTTAACGCGTGGCGTTCGCGCGCGAGAGCGCGCGTTGCGCGCGAGAGCGCGGACGTGTGGCGACGAATCAAACTCGAGTCGACGGCGCTGGATACTTGGTCTGCGGTCGCGCGGGCGTGGAAATCTGAGCGACGCGCGATCGATGCCGCACGTCTCGCTCGCCAGCGCTACGTCAAACGGTCGGTCACGCGTGTGTGGCGTGTAAGAGTCATTCACGCCGAACGTCGCGCCGAACGTGCCGTCGTCGCGGTAAAATTTTCGCGTTGGCGTCGACGAGTGCGAGACGAGAGACGAGAGCGCGAGCGCATGCGATTCGCTTCAAGCTACGACGACGCGCGTGTCACGGTCGGCGCCTTTGCGCGGTGGTGTGCGGTCGTCTGGGCCGCGAAAGAGCACCGAGCCGAGCTGGCGCGTGCGGCAAAATTTCATCGCCTGTCGCTCGCGGCGAGCGCGTTTTACGCCTGGCGAGCGGCGACGAGTCAAGCGAAACGAGAGAACAGGTCACTAAAAACACGCGTATTCGCGCATTGGAGATCAATGAAGGAACACGCGTCACAACTGAACGCGCGCGCGACGTTTTACCGCGATTCACAAGCGATCACGTTCAGCGACAAGTATCTGGACGCGAATTGCTTTGCGATGTGGCGCTCCTTCGTCTTCGCGCAGCGACGACGATACGCCGCAATGGAACTCGCAGATACGTGGCGCGTGAAACGCGCATTCGCGCCGTGGCGCGCTCGCATCGGCGCGGCGCATTTCAGCGACGACGTCGAAAACACCGCGCCCCCCGTCGCCGTCGGCGAAATCGAGTGGCAACGTTTTTAACCTTCTCGCTCTCGCAGCCTCTAGTCGGCCTTAAGCCGTAGCGTATCACCTAGTCAGTAGCGCATCATCATTACAACCCAACCCTAGCCCATGGTCGACGGATCGTTCATCCCGAGCATGGTTTCGATCGTAAACTTAAAGAACACGTACCCTCCCGCGCCCACCGCGACCACCGCCGCCGCCGTCTGCGGCTTCTTCAGCAGCGCCGCCACCGGCCTTCCGAACATGTACGCGAATCCGACCATGATGCTGATCGAAAATCGCGCGTACTTGACCATGTTCGCCCAAAACGGCACCTCCCCGCCCGCGAGCGCGAACAATTCGTTCGGCGTCGTCGTCGCCGCCGCCGAGTTATCCGCGCCGTCCGCCATCGTCCCCGCCATCGCCGCGATCGCGTCCGCGCCGTCCGCGCATCCGCTCGCGATGACGCACGCCGCGAGCGCCGTGAGCGCCAGCGTTCGATCGCGTCGCGCGTCGTCGCTCTCCCGCGTCGTCGCCGTCGCGTTCGATCTCTCGTCGCGCCGCATCGTCGTCGTCTCGCGCGTCGTCGCGCCGCGGCGCGTCGCCGTCGCGCGCGCGCGCGTCGCGGACGACGGCGCGCGCGCGAGCGTCATCGCGCGCGCCATCGGCGTCGCGCGCGCGAGCGTCGGCATCGCGTGCGCGCGCGTGTGCGGCGTTCCGCGTCGTCGACGTCGCGCGCCGTCGCGGCGCCGCACAGCGCGACGACGGCGCGCGGTCGGCCGCGCGAGCGGTCGCGCGCGCGTCGACGCGTCGTCGGCGTCGCGCCGCGCCGACGACGCGATCGGACGCGCGCGCGGCGTCGATCGCTTCGAGCGCGATGCCGCGCGCGCCGGCGACGAAAAAGATGAAAACGGACGCGACGCCGGACGCGCGCGGCGCGCGCGATGGACGCGGTGCGGGACGCGGGCGCGGTGCGCGCGGTGGACGCGGCGCGCGCGGCGCGAGGAACGGCGCGCGTGGGACGGCGAAGGAGGCGAAGGGACGCGACGCGCGAGGGTCGTCGACGGCGTCGACGCGAAACATGGGGAAAGAGATGCGCGAACGCGTCGTGGCGCTGCGAAGCGAACACAAGTTTTACGCCTTGCAGAGCTTTTGTGAGACGTTCGAGGCGATGTGGATGCCGAGGAAGGATGGGGAGGCGTGGGAACGCGCGCTGTGCGAACCGCGCGAGCACGCGTGGATTTTAGATTTTTTCTTGCGCGTGTGGGCGCCGGCGCCGAGCGCGTTGGGACACGGCGAGACGCTGCTCGTGCCGAGAAGTTGGGAAATTAGATCGCGAAGGAAAATTCGTGAGATATTGGGCGACGGCGTGGACGATGAGGCGGGATTTTTCGACATCGACGCGCTGGCGCGATTAGAAGTGTTGTACCGGTTGTGCGAGGATTTGGTCGAGTCTCGCTCGTTTTCTAACGTCGCGGAACAGTGCTCGGATGAGTTTGACAAGGCGCGACGGCGAAATAAAGTCGAACAGCTTCAGATGTGTAAGCGCGGCGTGCACGGCGAGCCGATCGGATACGACGCTAAGGGTCGCGCGTACTACGTCTCGGCGTTGGACGCTCGGATTTGCCGAGCTGAAAAGGTGGCGGCGGACGCAGGCCCGAGAGCGCGCGCGGATCCACTTTGGTCGACGCCGTTCGTGACTCTGTTGGAAGTCATCGCGTTGAAGAACACGTTGCAGAACACGACGAACAAGAAAGAGTTGGCACTGCTCGAGTATTTGTCGAAGGATCACGTCCCGTACCATCAGGAGCGCATGAAGCAGCAGCTGGCAGAGCTGGAGCGCGTCCAAGCCAGAAGCGATGCCAGAGCGCGTGCGGAACAAGAACGGATTGCGTGGGAAAGCACGGCGAGGAAGAAGTCGAGTCGTCTGGAGGTGAAAAAGGCGCTTGAGAATTCGCGACGAGAGCGCAAAGTCGAAACCATTTCGAGCGATGAACTCGAAACGGTTCTCGACGACTTGCGACGTTGGGTACTGTTGCCTGAATCCATGCGTGCCACCGCGCACCCACCACACGGGGTGCGGGTTTCCACGCTGTACGGCGAACACGTCGGCGGGCTGAACACGAAACCCGTCGTCGTCAAGCCAAAAGGGCGTCGTTGGGTGGGGTACTTCGTCAGCGTACTTTGGGAAGACGACAACCCATCGAGCGAAGCCAGCTGGTCGGATGGTTACTGCGTTTCGTACGATTCAGATACGTCCAAGCACTTGGTGATATACCCAGCTACGGCGACGGTCGAGCGCGTCAACCTCGAAACCGTCTCGCTGCGCCTGGGTTCCCACGGCCGAAAGTACGATGTCCGCGTCGATAAGAAGGGCCGCGTGCTCGGCGATCACGCCGCGCTCTACGCCGCGCTGAAGCCCGAGCTCGACGCCGCGCGCGCATCTGAGACGTATTTTAGCGGATGCTGGCGCGACGACGTCGTCGGAAACGGCATCCCCGTGGACCCCTCGCGCGTCGGCGAGTGCGGCGCCGTGCTCCTCGACGCCGCCGAAGCGCCGGCCGAAGAAGCGCGAGACGCCGTCGCCGACGACCCCCAGCGCGCCGATTCCACCGACGACACCACCACCACGATCGACGATTACTCTCCTTAGCGCTCGCGACGCACGGCGCGTAGCTTTCATTTCATCCCCGATGACTCAACTCACGCGACTCGCTCTCCTCGGCGCTCGCGGCGGTTGCCGACGCCGCCGCGCGCGCCGCCCTCGCCGCCTCACACCACGGCGCATGCGCGCCCGCGCGCCCTTCGCGCCCTCCCGAATCGCTCACCGCGCGCACACCGCGCGCGCACACCGCGTTCGTTCGCGTCGAGCCTCCTCCGCGCGCGTGCGCATGTCCACGACGCATCACGACGACCGATGGCGCGGCGCGTCGACGCTGAAAACGATCGAAACGAACGACGATTGCGACGCCGCGCGGCGCACGAACGACGCGAAATGGGTCGTCGTCGGCGCGAAAGATGCGCTGCTCGAGAACGGCGCGTTCGCGCGGCGCGCGTTCGGGACGAACGAGCGCGCAGCGCGGACGTTCGAGCGATTGGTCGAGAGCCTCGACGCGAACGCGACGCGGAGCACGGTGCTCGAGACGGCGAGCGAGGACGACGAGGGACTGTTGGAGCTCGTCGTGTGCGTGATGCCGGAGAAATCGAAGATGTCGAGACATAATTCGCCGATCGCCGCGCACGCGATGACGGCGGCGGCGAAAGCGGCGATAGGGGATCGGAAGAAGAGAAGAGCGGTGGTGCTCGCGGCGGTGGACGAGGAGGCGCACCGCGTCGGGGCGTTGGCGGCGTTGGCGAGGATTAGTGCGCCGTATACGAATAAGTTTCGAGCGGCGGACGCGGTTGTGGACGGGGAAGTGTACGTGGGCGTCGTGTGCGGAGGGGAGATTTGGAACGGGGCGGAGACGCGGTCGTTGCCAAAGGCGGTGCGCAGATGCCAGGCGCTCGTCGACATGGCGCCAAACGAGCTGTCGCCGGACGCGTTTGTGGACGAGGCGAAGGTCGTCGCGGGCGAGCTCGGCGCGAGCGTTAAGGTTGTCGAGATTAAACGTTACGCGCAACTCGTCGAGGAGGGCTACGGATGTCTGGCGGGCGTCGGAAGCGCTTCGAGTCGCGACGGTCGTGATCCCGCGCTCGTGCACTTGCGATTTACGCCGAAAGGTTGCGTCGACCCGGACGCGCCGTCCATCGCGTTCGTGGGCAAGGGTATCACGTTCGACACCGGTGGGCTTTCGCTGAAATCTAAAGACGGCATGTGCGGTATGAAGACGGACATGGGCGGTGCCGCGGGTATGCTGTGCGCGTTTGAGTCCATCGCTCGCGAGGACGCCGAATCGAATTTCAAGACGCCACTCGACCTCGTGCTGTGCATCGCCGAAAACGCAATTGGCTCGGGCGCGATTCGCCCGGATGACATTCTCGTCGGCAAGAGCGGAAAGACAGTGGAAATCAACAACACCGACGCCGAAGGGCGCCTCGTGCTCGCGGACGGCGTCGCGTATTGCTCCGATCCCGCGAACGCCGCGTGCAAGCCGCGCATCATCGTCGACATGGCCACGCTCACCGGAGCGCAAATGATCGCCACCGGGCGTAAACACGCCGGACTTGTGACCGATAGCGAAGACATGGAGCACACCATCGTGCGATTGGGCAGAATCACCGGAGATCTGGCGCACGCCCTGCCCTACGCTCCGGAAATGTTCAAGAGTGAGTTCAGTTCCAAAGTCGCCGACATGAAAAACTCCGTCGCCGACCGCGCCAACGCGCAATCGAGCTGCGCCGGTCAATTCATCGCCAATCACTTACACCCAGACTGGGTCGCTCGCGATGACACGGCTTGGATTCACCTCGACATGGCTGGTCCTGGTAACTTTAAAGACGGTTTAGGTTCTGGCTATGGAGTGGCTCTGCTCAACGCGCTCTACAAAGAAATCGACAGTCGACCGCAATGATGCCGTCACGACGCGCTACATTTAATGACATTGAATAAAACACGATCGCTAACTACCGCGCCTTCTTCGTCTCGACTCCACCCGAAGCGAGACCGCCCGCGCGCTTCCCCGCGCCGCCGAACTTGCCGAACTTGCCGAACTTGACCATGGCGAGCGCCGCCGTCTCGCACAAAATCGTCCCCGCCCAGTTCACAAAATACACCTCCTCCCCATCCTCCACGCACAACCTCAGCGCGACGTACCACGTCATCGCAATCCCGAACGCGCGCCAATCTCCCTCTCCCGTCCTCGTCGTCGCGAATCCCGCGCACAGCGCCGCCATTCGTCCCGCGCTTCGCCGTCCCGTAATCGCGCCGACGGCGCTCGCGCACGCGCCGCTCACCATGTACGCCGTCCCTCGCCGCGTCATCCCCCCTCGTCGCGCCATCGCGATCACATACATCGCGTTCGACGGCGCGAGCGTCCACGCGACGTGCGCCGCCGTTCCCGGCGCCCGCGCTTTCGCCGCGGCGCCTTCTCCGCGCGCCAAAATCCAATAGCTCACTGTGAACACACACAGCACCCCTCCCGCGACCCACGCGCGCGCCTCTCGCGCCCGCGGCGTCGCGTCGCGCGCGTCGCGCGCGAGCGCGTCGCGAAACGTTCGCGCGCTCATCACGCACGCGAGCGCGACGCACAGCAGCGCGTGCGCGCCCTCGGCCGAGGGCGTCCCCGCGTGCATCGGCAAAGAGCGACGCGTCGACGAATGGCGACGCTGCGCCTCGCGCCGTGCGCGCCGCGACGCCGCGACGCCGGGAGACGACGCGCGCGAACGCGCGCGACGTCGCCGTGGGCGGTCGGACGCGCGGAGCGCGCGTGCGGGGACGTCCAGGGCGTCGCGGTGATCGATGCGAACGGCGCGCGCGGGACGATCGCGACGGGCGCGCCGTTCCTGGATCACATGATCGATCAGCTCACCGCGCACGCGCAGTTGGGCGTGCACTGCGTGCTGACGCGACGCGGGGTGACGTGCGAGGAGGCGCGCGACGCGGGAGGGGTGAGCGACGAGGAGGCGTTTCGGTGCGCGGGCGCGGCGCTGGGCGCGGCGCTGCGAGAGACGCTGGGAGACGGGAGAGGCGCCGGGGAGCGGGCGAAGGCGCGGTTCGCGGCGCCGTTGGACGAGGCGTACGCGACGTGTGGGATCGAGCTGTACGGCGAGCGAGGGCTGGAGACGTTCGCGCTGGCGCCGTATGGGAAGCCGGGGACGGCGGGACGCGCGAGCATCGGGACGTATCCGACGGCGCTCACGGAGACGTTTTGGCGAGCGTTAGCGGAGGAAGCGGGGGTGAGCGTGCGGTTGGTGAAAGAGCGCGGGGATAACGCGCATCATATCGTCGAATCGACGTTCAAGGCGTTCGCGCGGGGGGTTCGCGCGGCGATGGACGCGGCGGAAGGGATCGACGTGTACGCGGGCGCCGCCGCGAGCGAGGAGACGCGGCGAAGCGCGATTCAACGCTCGACGAAGGAGACGTCCATCGACGTGAAGCTGGATTTAGACGCCAGTCGCGATGACGTCGAGGGATCGAAGATCAGCACCGGTATCGTCGCCCTCGATGGATTGTTCACCGCGATTCAACGCGAAGCCGGGGTGGCGCTGAACATCGCCGCCACGGGAGACTTGTGGATAGACGACCACCACACGGCGGAAGACGTGTCCATCGCCGTCGGCCAAGCGCTGAACAAGGCGCTGGGGACTAAGAAAGGGTGTAATCGCATGGGGAGCGCGATGTCCACCGAGGGTGAGGCCACGGTGGAGTGCGTCATGGATCTTAGCAATCGCCCGTACTTGGGGTACGGACTCGAGCTCGAGAGCGACAAAGTGGGCGACCTCAGCGTGGAGATGGTCGAGCACATGTTCATGAGTTTGACGTTCAACGGGCAAATGACGGTGCACTTGGTCGAGCACGCGCGCGGCGCGGACGAAGCCGAAGTTGCCACAGCCGCGGCGAAGGCTTTCGGTAAGTGCTTGCGACAGTGCGCGGCGATTGATCCGCGACGCGCGGGCTCCGTGGCGTCGAGCAAAGGTACGCTCTCTGTGTAGTGTCATCTAATCGTATCGTATTGTTTACACATCAATCGGCTACTTGCTTTTCAGTAATCGAGCCATCAAAGCCTTCGCGTGATCCTTGAGCGCGTCCATCGCTCCTCTCGCCTCGACGGAGTCGCGAACGTCGACGTCGAGCTTCAGCGGCGCCTCGCGCTTCGTCGTCGCGTCCGACGCCACTTGCTCCACCACCTTCTTCGCTGCCTCTCGCAGAACTTTTTCATCCACAATTTCGCGCACTAAGCTCGCATCAATCGCCCCGAGCGTCTCGTTCACTTCCACTAATTCCAGCAAGCTCGCCTCGCTGCCCTCTCGCGCCAAGTCGTCGGCAAACTCCGTCAACGGCGTACTCTTCAGCTTTTTCGGCATCGACCGCCACTTGGCGTTAAACTCCGCCAAGAGCGCGTCGCATTCCGCTTCCCCAACCTCCACGATCGTCGCGCACTCTCGTTCCACTGCGCGCGACGCGATTCGTCGTCAGTCGTTCGCGTTCGTCGCGGCGGGGGAACCATCGCGGCGACGTCAACAGTCACCACCCTCGCGTCTTCTCGACATCGCTTCGATCCACGCACCCGCGTCCTCGAACGCTCGCACCAACGCGTGCATTTCATCCTCTCGCACCCGTTTCCTCGCGCTCGCCGTCGTCGACGCGTCGTTCGCGTCTTCGCGCGTTGGTCGTTCGTCGTCATCGCGAAGCCGCGTCGACTTCGTGACGGATTTACGCGCGCTCGCGCTCGCGGTCGCCGCTTTCGCGCGCTCCCGCTCGCGCGTGGGCGTGTTCGCCACGTCTCGAAGCGCGCCCGCGGGCATCGGATCGCGTCGCGCGCGTGCGAATGACGATCAGAAGCTTTTGCTACGCTACAACCGCCAGAGCCGCCGAGCGCGCGCGAACGAACGCGCCCTGGCCTGCTCGCATCGCTAACCTAGGAAAATACACCGCGCGCGAGCGTCGCGAAAAAAAACGCGCGCGCGCGCGCGCGAATTGCGCGCTCGCCAATCACGCGTCCTCGGCCGCGGGGCCGCCCAATTTGACGCGTTCCACGAGCGCGTCGTGCTCGCCCACCAACCGCGCGATCAACTTCTTCGACGTCTCCTGCAGATGCCCCGCGATGAACACCTCGTCCAACACGTAGTGCGCCTTGTGAAAGTTGAACACTAAATCCAATTCGCACACGTTCCCGAAGTACTTGTCCAAGATCTCGACGTAGTGTTGAATCATCTCCAGCGTCGCGAGCTCGTTCGCGCCTCGGTCCACCGCCAGACAAAAGTACAGGCTCGCGTACTTCCTGTACACCAGCTTCACGTCCCGGTACTCGACGACGTTGCACAGCTTGTTCGCGCGCGGTATGATTCGCGACGTGACGTCGCGCTCGATCCTCTTCCGCTCCTTTTGGTTCGTCAGGACGTAGTACTTGCTCAGGCGAATCTTCGCTTGTTTGCTGAATAACAGCGCGAATCGAATCATCGTCGGCGATCGCGGCGTCGACGATCGCGGCGCGACGCGCGCTCGGCCGCGCGCGCGCGTCGTTCGCCGCGCCGCGGCGCGCACTGCGCCGTCGCGCCGTCGCGCCGTCGAGTCGTGTGTCTGTTCCGTGTTACATCCAGGGTTTGGAATCGAGTATTTATCGTCTGCGAATTCAATCGACGTCGGCGCGATCTTTCGCATTTAATGATGTTTAAACGCATACGAATCGACGTCTTATCTTCGCGCGTCGGAGGATACGGCGCGCGCGCGCGCGCCGCACACGCGCGCGCGCGGCCGAGCGACGGACGACGCGACGCGCGACGCGACGCGGAAAGCATGCCCGCCGTCGCGACGTGCGACGCGCGCGCGCTCACGACGCGCAGACGCGCGCGCGCGCGACAAGATGTCGCCGTGACGTCGGCGACGATTCGACGGCGACCGCGCGCGAGGACGACGACGACGACGACGCGGATCGACGCGATCTCGGACGCGATGGGACACGAGAGCGCGGACGACGCGACGGCGACGGCGACGGCGGCGGGCGACGATGGGAAGGCGAAGAAGCCGTGGGGGTTCCTGAGCCCGTTCGGCGCGAGCGCGGCGGTGCTGGAACAGGCGGCGGAAGCGAACGAGAAGCAGAGCGGGCGCCGGCGACGGACGGAGGAAGTGAAGCTGAAGGTCGATGGACAGTGGTACGATGCGACGGGGTGGGCGCTGGCGCATCCCGGTGGGGCGGGGTTCGTGCGGTTGTTGAACGGACAAGACGCGACGGATGTGTTTTACGCGCTGCACTCGTACGGGCCGAACGGGAGCGACGAGGCGTTGAAACGCTTGCGCGCGTTGCCGAAGTGCGATGCACCGTATGATACGGAAGAGTACGAAACGCAAAGGCTGACGACGGCGAACGCCGAGTTCGGGGAGTTGCGAGGGAAGTTGGAGGCGGAGGGCTGGTTTAAACGCAACGCGCTCTCCGAACTCTCGGTGTTGGCGCAAGTTTTGGGATGCTACGTCGTCGGACAAGCCATCGCGGCGACGCACCCGATCTTAGCCGCGATCTCGATCGGGATAGGGATGCAACAAGCCGGATGGCTCGCGCACGACTACGTTCACGGCCGCGGGAAGTGGTGCTCGATGATGCGCTGCTTTGGCGCGTTGACGAATGGGTTTTCCGCCGAATGGTGGTCGCACAAGCACAACATGCACCACTCGTTCACGAACGTCGACGGTAAGGACGGCGACATCAAACTCGAGCCTCTGTATTACTTGTCGCCGCCGGAGACCAGTGGGCGCCCGGATAGCTGGTTGCGCAAGTACCAGCACATCTACGGCTATCCGCTCTACGCGATGACGTACGTGCTCTGGCGCCGACACAGCGTCGCGAGTGCGTGGGCGCGCAAGGATAAGACTGAGCTCGCTTTGCTCGTCGGCCACTACGCGTGGTTGTTCGGCACGCTTCCTTTGGGTGTCGCCATCGGCTCCATGCTCATCGGTGGGTTTTTGGTAGGCTCTCTCGTCACCGCTACGCACCAGAGCGAGGAAATCATGTATGAAGACGGTTCCTTCGTCGATATTCAGTTTAGAAGCACTCGCGAAGCGGACGTGAAGAATCCACTCGAGCGTTGGTTGTGGGGTGGTATGGACACGCAGCTCATTCACCACTTATTCCCCACCATGCCGCGTTACAAGCTTCACAAGCTTCGTCCCATCATGCAGGAATGGGCCCAGAAACACGGATACGATTTTAGAATCTCCGATTCGCGCGACATCCTGAAGAAGAACTACAAACATCTTGAGGGTATCGCCGCATTGGAGACGATTTAACTTAGGTGCGCTACTTTACGTTGTTTGTACTTTGTTATCAAAATGATTTTTGAAAGCTTTTACACCGTCGTGTTCAGAAAAATTGCGGCGTCAACTCGTCTAATGCGTGATTCATTTCTTCATCATCGCTCGGAACACGACGATGCTATTCGCCAAGAGCGCCACGCTCGACGCAACTTGTTGCAATACACCGGGTTTAAACAACCCTTCGCGCTTGGGAAGCGGTAGTCGCTTGTGCGTGAACTCCACGCCCTTGTCCTTGTTGCAAATTTGCCCCTTGCCTCGCAACAAGCAGCGCGTCGTCAACAATCCTTCGACGCCCACGGGCCCGCGGGCATGGATTCGCGAAGTAGATATACCAACCTCAGCGCCGAGACCAAATCTAAATCCATCGCTGAAGCGCGTGGAGGCGTTATGAAACACGCACGCACTGTCGACGCGAGCGATGAATTCATCCGCCGTCTTTTGGTTCGACGTGATGATGCAATCAGTATGCGCCGAACCGTTGGCGTGGATGTAATCGATGGCGTTATCCATAGAGCTCACGAGTTCCACCGAGCATTGCATGCCACCGTATTCGTGTCGGAGCGCCGGTGCCGCTGGTAGGTTGAGTTCCTTTGTCCCGCGCGGTCCGCCAAAGAGTTCGACGCCCGCCGCGCGCAACGCCGTCATGAGTTCCGCCGCGCCTCCATTCGCGACAAGATCGTCGTGAATGAGCAAAGTCTCCAACGCGTTACACGCCGCGGGATAATCAATCTTCGAATCTATCGCACACTTCGCCGCCATGTCAACATTCGCGTCCTTGTCGACGTACACGTGCACCACGCCGTCCGCGTGCCCGAGCACGGGAATCTTCGTATTATTCTGAATGTACGTCACCAACGAGTTCGAACCGCGCGGAATCACCAAATCGATCACGTCATCCAGCTTCAGCAGATCTGCCACCGCTTCTCGACCCTCGATCAGGCACACGCATTCCTTCGGTACGCCGAACGCCTCAAATTCGTCCACGATGACCTCCCGCAGTTTCGCGTTCGAGCTCGCCGCTTCCTTCCCACCCTTGAGCAGCAGTCCATTCCCCGTCCGCAGCGCCAACGACGCGATCTGCGGCAGCGCGTCCGGCCGGCTTTCAAATATGATCAAAAGCACCCCCAACGGCGCCGTCACCTTCGTCAGCGTCAAACCCTTCGCCAACTCCATCGCGCTCAGCGGCTTCCCGATCGGCTCTTCCATGTTCGCGATCGCCCGCGCGCCGTCCGCCAGCTGCTTCACCTTTCCAGGTTTCAGTTTCAACCGCTGCAGCAGCGCTTCTTCGACGTCATCGGACGATTCAGCGCGTCGCAAATCTTCGTCGTTCGCGGCTTGGATTTCGCTCTCGCGACGTTCGAGCGCGTTCGCGACGGCGCGCAGCAGCGCGGCGCGCTCGCGCGAGGGGAGCTGTTGCAGTTTACGACTCGCATCGCGCGCTTTGCGGGCCAGCGTGGCGGGATCGTCGGGCATGACGACGGGAAGTGTCGTTGGGGTTGCGACGACGCGCGCGCCAGTGTCCGGCGGCGCGCGTCGCGCGTCGCCATGCGCGGCGCGTGCGAGGCGATGTGCCCCGACGCCGAGGCGCGCGCGCGCGCGACGCGCGGCGACGCGCACGCGCTCGAGCGCGGCGGCGCGAACGGCGCGGGCGACGCCGACGCGTCGAGGATGGTGAAACGGTTCGCGCGCACCGTCGTCGCGGGAACGGAGGACGCGGCGCGCGTGCGAACGCTGGACGCGTGCGAACGCACGGTGGACCATTTATTCCGCGCGCTCGACGACGCGCGTCGCGCGTCGACGCGCGCGTCGGCGTCGGCGTCGGCGAACGCGCTCGCGAGCGCGCACGCGTTCTGCGAGGACCGACTGCGCGCGGTGCGACAAGATTTAGCGATGCAAGGGTTGTTCGCGGACGATCCGGTGGCGTGCGGAAGGTGCTGCGCGTTGCTCGAGCGCATGATCGTGCGCGCGGTGACGAGCGAGGCGGAGCGCGAGGCGGACGCGAGCGACGACGATTTCGGCGCGGCGGCGCTGCGCGAGCGACAGCTCGGAAAGACGTTTGGAATGTTGCTGAGCGCGTACGCGGAGTTGGGATTCGACGACGACCTGCACGTCGAACGCGTTGGAAGGTTTGTGTCGATGCTGCTGTGCGTGCGCCTGCGCGACGGGACGAGCGAGTTGGCGGGGGACTTGAGACGCGTCGGAGTACGGACGTTGGCGACGAAGGACGCGAGATTCGCGATGACGTGTCGAGCAGCCTTCGCGACGGGAAACTGGCGTCGTTTTTTCGCCATCGTCGACGAGGCGTCGTACGAACACGCGTGCTGCCTCGAGCGGCACTTCGCCGTCGCGCGCATCGATGCGCTGCGATCGCTCAACTGCGCGCTGAACTCGACGCCGATGAAGCTCGACGAGTTGGCGCGCGTCCTGCGCCTCGACTACGCCAGCGACGCCGAGACTTACGTAAAAGCGTGTGGATTGACGGTAAACGTGGACGAGTCCGCGGAACCGACGGTGCAGTTCCGAACATCGCCGTTCACGCCTCCGAATCTGTCGCGTCCCGACGTCGCCGCCGCATTACGCGCGGCGAACCGTGGATTCAAATCGAGTTCACCCGCCGCGCCCGCCATCGATCGCGACGTCGCGAGCGTCGACGTAGACGTTCATTTAGCATCCTTATCGCTCGCCCGCTGACGACGTTGTAGCTCATTCATTTAGTTTCGTCGCGCCGTCGCCGCACTCGCAGACGCGTTCGCGATGCTCGACCACGGCACCTTGCTCGTCCGCGGCGCCGCCGACGCCGCCGACGACCCCACGCGTTCGGTCATCCAGCCCATATACCCATCGACGACGTACGCGCGCGACGACGCGCACGAACTTCCGCGTTTTCGCGACCGAACGCTGTGCTACGCTCGGCCGGATAATCCATCCGTGCGCGCGTGCGAGCGCACGCTGCGCGATCTCGAGCGCGGGAGCGATTGCGCTTTGTTCTCGTCCGGCATGGCGGCCGTGAACGCCGTGCTCGAGGGCGCGGTGCGCGGGACGTCGGACGCGAGTTCGTTCGCGTGCTCGCCGAGCCGCGGGTACTTCGCGGTGCGCGCGCGAATTCGAGAGTGGTGCGCCGCGCGAGGCGTGGAGGTCGTGGAATACGACCCCGATGTGCCGTATGTGATATGTGACGTCGATGGACACACGCTGGCGAGGCGAGACGAGGACGCGAAGGGGACGGCGCATCACGCGGGACGGTCGTTGAAGCGCGCGTTGGAGGAAGAGGCGGCGAGAGGGCGAAAAGCGGCGTTGGTGTGGGTGGAATCCCCGGCGAATCCCACGTGGGACGTGATGGATTTAGAACAGGTCGTGGCCGTGGCGAGGGCGTGCGATGCGGGGTGCGTGTGTGTGGATTCGACGGTATTGACGCCGATTTGTACCAAGCCGTTGTCGTTCGGCGTCGACGTCGTGATGCACTCTGCGACCAAATATTTGAACGGACACGGGGACGTCGTCGCGGGAGCTTTGGTGACGCGCGAATGCGATGATCGATGGCAGCGGATCTTGCATGAGCGTAAGCTCGGCGGGGCGACGATGGGGTCGATGGACGCGTACTTGCTCTCGCGAGGCATGCGTACGCTAGAGCTGCGCGTGCGCAGACAAAGCGAAAGCGCAATGTGGATCGCGCACGAGTTCGAACAGTACTTGCGCAGTCGAATTCCTCACGGCGCTATCGTTCTATACCCGGGGCTTCAAACCGATACAACGGTGGAGTCGAAGAACGCGCATTACGACATCGTAAATCGCATGTGTCCAAACGGCGTGTACGGCGGCATGCTTTCGCTCGTATTCTTTGACTTCCTTCCGCATCTTTATCCCGAACACACTGGATCAAACTTGTCGCGAGTCGTCAAGTTTTGTAAAACTATGGCCGTTAGTTGCGACTATTGGACGTGCGCCACGTCGCTCGGCGGTTTCGAGTCGCTCATCGAACACAGGTATTCGGTCGAGTGCGCGCCGGGCGAAAAGGAGCCGCACGTGCCGGGTGGTCTGTTGCGTCTGTCCGTGGGGTTAGAAACGAAGGAAGATTTGCTCGCGGGTTTAAAGCGCGGATTTGATATCGCGCTCATGGACGTCGTAGGCGCTAGTGTGGCGACGTAGCAGTAGATTTTAGGTTAGTTTTACACTACAATCACTTCTTGACTTTGGATTTCCTCTTGAGCGACGCCATCATGTTCTGCAGTTCAGACGACCCGATTTCCTTCGCCTGCGACTCAAGCGCGCTGACAGTCTTGCTAGATTTCTTTTCCGCTTTCTTCTGGCGCCGCTTGTCTCTTTCACTAATAATGAGCGTCTTATTCTGCACGTCTTTGTAACGTGGATCCGTGGGGTCGAGACTGAAGTGATGCGACTCGTACAATCCGGCAAAGCGATCGTCCGCCGTGTCCAACTTGTTCACTTCGCCGTCGTCGTCGTCATCACTCTCAGCACGCCGTGCGGCTTTGCCGCGGAGACGGCGTTTCTCGGCGAGACGCTCTTTTCGCGACTTCTTCTTGGTCGGCTCTCCGCCGTCGGCAGGCTTAATAGCAGCGCGACGAGCGGAGACGCCGTCGGATTTGCCGAGAATTTCCTTCTCGTCCATCATCAACAGCTCCAAATCGGCTTGAGCTTGTTCATCTACTTCACCGCGCTTAGCAGCTTTCTTCGCCTTTTTCAAGTTCGTCTTGCTCGGCGCGTCGTCGTCGTCCGTAAACTTACTTTTCGCCTTCTTCTTGGCCTTCGGGGCGCCGTCTTCAGAATCGTACTCGGCGTCAAAGTCGACGTCACCACCATCGTCCATGAAGAACGGGTCGTCAAACGTCGCTGGCTCGCCGTCGGCGCCACCCGCAACGTCGTCGGACTCTTTTTCATTGACTTCTCCTTTATCCTTATTCGCTAATCGTTTCGCTTCGCGCTTTTCCTTGCGCAGGCGCTCTTGCCGTTCGTAAACCGTCTCCTGCGCGCCGAGCTTTCCGTCTTTCTGTTTCTTCTTAATGCGCGCACCGAACTCTTCGAGACCGGCGTGAAATGTCACTTCCATGTCACCTGCGTTGCTTTTCGAGCCGTAGCGCTGTTTATCGCGTTTCGTTTTAAACGCCTTCGTGGACGCCTTGGCGGTGTCCTCGCCGTCGTCGTCGTCGTCGTCAGATACAAAAAAGTCATCCTTCTCCGCACCGGCATCGGCATCAACGTCGGCGTCACCACTCCCGCCGAGAAGTTTAGCCAAGTACGCTTTTTTCGCTGCCTTGGCGTCTGCTTCATTTTCTTCATCCTCGGATTGCTCGGATTCGTCCTCGTCGTCGGAGTCAGACGCGAGATAGGCGGCGAAATCTTCATCCTTGAGATTGTCCTCGGTGATTTTACGTCGAAACGTTTTACGCCGAGTCGGGTCATCATCGTCCCACGATAACTTGACGTTCGAGTGCTGCAGCGCCTTGACTTGAAACTCGGGAGCTTCGTAATCGGGAGGAATATCCGTGGCGGTATCGCGAACCTCGCGTTCCTCAAACGATTGGTCGTCCGGGACGTAACGCAAATCGAGTTTAAAACTCGATCGCTCGTACTCGATCCCATCGCACTCGTGATATACCCCCATTGCGGTCTTCACTGTATCGAATTCTGCGATAGCGTAGTAATAGCGCAATCTATCACGCTCGTACTGTCGCATTTGTTCGTTATCCGCCGCGTCAGCGTCGTCGCTTTCGTTCCCCGACGCCTTTCTCTTCGTCGTCGCCGCGTTCAACGTTGACTTCTTTTTCGACTCATCTTTTTGAAACGCGCTTAAAGGACCGTATTTATTCTCCACCGCCATGCGCTCTAACCCGAAATCGCTCGGGTACACCGTCACGCGCTCCAATGACCCGCCCTTTGGCGCAAAGGATCGCAACACCGCGTACAAATCGCACGCCCGAATATGTTGCCATTCACAATTCACGATCGCCAGCCGACGCGTTGCGTCGATGGTGGGTATATCTTTATCCGCCTCTCCGACGAGCATCGTCGGCAGCACCCCCTCATCCTCTTCATCGACGCCTTCCTCGTCCTCGCTTTCGTCGCTCTCCTCCTCGCTTGACGATTCCAAACCGACCCCGCGCATTCGATCCATCGACTTCTCCATGCGCTCTTCCAACCCCTCATCGCCGTCGGAATCATCATCTTCATCGTCCATTTTGTAATACGCTCGCATCTCCTTCCTTTGCTTTGCGCGTGCGTCCAGTTTCGCTCCTCTTTCATCCTCCGCGCGTCTCCCGCGCTTGTCCGTCCCGCTCGTGCCTCCTCCGCTCGCGAAATTCGGATCATCGAACACTCCCGCGAACCTCGAGTCGATCTGCACCGCGCCTGTCTTCTTCGGCATCGCCATGAACCGCGGGTCGCGGTGCATGGCGCTGAAACGGGCGTCCGTGACGACGTCATTTTGATTCAGCGCGCCGCCGCCGCCACCAAACTTTGGTTTCTTCGTCTTGGTCGATTTCTTCGTCGCATCGTCGTCGTCGCGCGACATGGCGCGCGCGCCGACGCTCGAAAAGCGTTCTTTCGTTTCGCTTCCTCGCGTCGCGTCGCGGCGGCGCGGGTGCGTTCGCGTTGTCGCGCGCGCGAGCGTGTGCTGATGTGCTGGGCGGTCGTGCGCGCTACAAATGGCTTGGATTTGGCTACGGCGCGCGAGGGGAAGATTGAGCCGTTCTGCGGGCGTAAAACCGCTCGAGGACGCTCTGCGCGTAATCCATAGGTGCGTCGGAGAAATGATAGTCGGCGATGGCGTCGCTCGCGGCGTCGCGCGAGGAACGGCGAGGCGAATGTGTGGACGCTTCGACGTCGACGCCGTGCCGGCGACGAAGGTCGGCGTTGAGCGATTCCACGCGGAGCACGCGGCGAGCGTGCTCCAAGGTTCTCGTGAGCTCTTTTATGGCGTGCTCGCTTGAGACGCACATTTTGCGCAGCGCCGATGCGCGGGCGTCGCGCATGGCGGTGACGCCGGATTTCACGTCGTCGTATCGACGAAGGAGTTGGTCTCGCTCGGCGACGCGGCGAGCGTGCGAGGCGTTCCATTCAGAAGTTCGCGAGTGCGTCTTCTCGCGCCAATGATCGACTTTGGATTGGAGTTTCTGGATCTGGCGCTTTGTGTTCGCCAGGCGTTTCGCGTCCGCGTCGTCACGCGCGCGAATGAGCTCGTACGCTCGTTCGTGGTCGAGCTCTTCTTCGGCGTCCCAGTGATTGTCGGCGCATCCTAATTCTCCCTTCGTGACGCTCGGCGCGGTCACTCGCGCGAGCTCGCTCTCGAGCTCTTTGATTTTGTTTTCATACATAATTTTCATCGTCGACACGTCCTCGCCGTGCTGATTCCGAATCTCCTCTCGTTTGTCTTCAAAACTCGCGCGCCTCGCGTCTTGTTCTCGCTCAAACGCTGTGCGTCCCGCCTCCGCGCGCTCCAACGCCTCTTGAACGTCTTCTCGCCACCGTTCGTCCGCGCGCGCGTCCTCACTTTCAAATGTCTCGCGGAGCGCGCGCAACCGTCCAGTCGCGCGCGCATCGATCGTCGCCGTCTCCGCGTCCGCGCGCGTCGACGCCTCCTCCAACCGTCTCGCCTGCGCCTCCGCCTCGACCCTGTGCGTGCGTTCGCTCTCGTCCATCGCCGCGTCCAAGTTCGCGAGCGCACGCTCGCGATCATCCAACGCATCATCGTGCGCCTTCGCCGCGCTCTCGATCTCCTCGCGCGTCGCGCGTCGACGCCGCGCGCGCATGACTTCGCGCCAACGCTGGTGCACTTTATGCTCATTCGCGCGCGACGACGCGTGTCGCGCGTCGTCCAGCGCGTCCACCGCCGAGACGGCGACGGCGGACATCGGCTCTTCGCGCGCGATCGCCTCGCGCGCGCGGCGAGCGTCGCGCGCGACTATAAATAGCGCGTCGCCGCGTTCGCCGCGTCGTCGTTGACTCAGTCTTTGACCGAAAATGCCAAAAAAGGCGTTCCGTATTTACACCAACCGTCACGCGAGCGCGCGCACGAGAGAACGCGACGCGCCGCGACGCGCGCCGCGCGAGCCGCGCGTGTCGATCGAATCGTCGCGTCGACGTGAATCTACGCGCGTCGACGCGAATCGACGCGCGCGGGGGAGGCGCGAGGCCGACGTGACGCGGACCGAGATGCGTGATGTCGAGACGGATGCGATGGCGCGCGTGCGCGCGGCGCAAACCTCGCTTCGCGCGCAGCTCGAAGCGAGGCTACATGAGTTGAATGAAAAGTCAGTCGACGCCGACCGCGCGCTGCGCGCGGCAAAGCGCGAGCGCGAGGACGTCGGCGTGGAGTTGTACGCGCTGCAAGGCGAGCTCGCGAGGTCGCGCGCGGAGTGGGTGTCGACGGACGAGACGCGACGACGCTGTCGGGAAGCGCGGGAAACGGCCGAGCGTGATACTGAAGCGTTTGAGCGCGACGCTGAGGGTGCGGCGCGCGCGCTCGAGGAAGCGCGTGGACGCGCGATGAAACGTCGAGTGGAGTTGGAAGATTTGGCGCTCGCCACGCGTGAGGACGGCGCCGTGGCGAGAGATCGCGAAGGCGTCACGGCCGTGATTCAACGCATTGCGAGCGTCACTTCGGATATGGTTGACACGGCCGAGCGTGAGCGGTTAAATCGTGAGATTCGTATCAAATACGTGAAGGAGTGCGTGGAGCGCGCCAGAGCGGCGGCGCTCGAAAACGTCAAAGCCGCCGAAGACGCTGAGCGAGACGCGGCGGCGATTCAGGCGCAAATCGAAACGTGCGACTATGCAATTTCGAGCATCAACACGAGTATGGACGCGTCGTGCAAGAGGTGGAAGTTTGTGCTTCAGCAAGTCGGTAAAGAGGACGAGATGCTAGAGCGGAGTAGAACAGAAGTACGCGAACTGGAGGAATCGTGTCGCCTTCTCGACGCTGAACGCGACGGCGTGAAAGAAGGCCTCGTTGACGCGTACGCGACGCAAAGCACGCACGTTGAAGTGCTGAGCAGACTAGACAAAGATATTGAAGTCGCGGATGCGCTCATCGTTTCCTTAAGGGCGGCTATCGACGACAAGAAGTCTCAAAGTGATGCCGTACAACTGGGCGCAAGAAACCACGACGAGATCGCGCGCGGCGAGGAGCGCCGCGCGAACGAAATCGACGTCGAGATCGAACGTGTCGATCAATCTTACGTGGTGCACACGCACGCGCTTTTCGAGCTCCAAGAGCGCGCGTTATTGCACGTCGCAGAAAAGATGACGACGAACAAACTCGCACAAAAACTAATGCAATCCACGCGAGAGTTCAGAGAGCGCGCACGTGTCGCGAGAAATGAATCAACAGTGGTGAAGCACAAAGTTGCAAAAACCAAGATTGAGATGTTGCGCAGCTCGGGAGAAGAGTCAACAATTCGGGAAAGATTGGCTGACGTGGAGAAGAACGTTGCGGAGAGGCGTGTCGCCATCGACGCGTGCGAAAGAGAAATCGCACGTAACGTCGAGGCAATCGAAAATAACACTTCAAAGATGGACGCACTTAACAAGACACTCGAAAAGTTGCGGGATGTCTCGCCCGAGCACGTTGGCCCGCTCGAGGCACAAATTGCGCATTTACGAAACGAGATTAAGTCGAACGAACAAAACTGTCGGCGGCTTCGTGAGATTTGGCTCAGAGCACAAAAAGTCATTGTATCCCATGAGGAACGATGTCGAGATGCGATCGAACAGTTCGACCGGCATGTGCAAGACAACAACGTACTGACGAAGAAGCGGGATCGACATGAGAGAAATTCGCGTCGTTACGCCGAAGAATGCGAATCCATGAACAAAACAATCGAGCGTCAACGACGCAAGCTTTGCGCAATCGATGAGAAAATCGCGCAAACAGAATCCAGTGCGCGCGAAAATGCGATTCGATCGCTCGAAGTCGAGAACGCGCGCGCAGGTGAGATCGACGCGCTCAGCGGAGAGAATTTGAAGTTGCGCGTGGAAATTTCCAATCGCGAGGAAGCCGTGCGAACTGCGCATCTGGACGCCGATCGCATCAACCGAGCCATCGCAGATCTCGAAAGACGAATTGAGTTTGAACGTCACGCCCAAATCATGCTCGATCCGACGAAAGGAAACAGCGAGGTGGCGAGCGCCAAGCAGGAAAACGCCAAGCTCGCCGTCGTTTTGCACAAACTCGAATCGACTCGAAGCAACATCGCGGCGAAGGTAGAGTCTTGCGTCAAGCGTCGAGAGATAATCGTCGCAAAAGGCGATGTGATTCAATCCAAAATCGACGCCGACGGCGAAGAAGCTCGAGAGGCTGAAATGGTGGCGACTGCGAAGCGCGCTCGGAGCGACGTGCGAAGACGGTTAGCGGAGGCGCAGAAAGCGACGGCGGACCTAAAACCAAAGCTCGACGCACTGGAGAAAGAGTATCTGGAAACGCAAGACGCGCACGGTAAAATCGCGGCGATAATGTCCGACTTGAGCGATCGACGTGATTATCTTCGCGTCGACGCCACCACGCGTTTAAACGAAAAGTACGAACGCGCGCTCCTCGGCACGAGCAGTTTGCAAAAGATGGCGCAACGATTTGAAAAACTTGGTAAAGGCGGAGAAGGCACGGATGAAAACGTCGAGCGATCGAATGACGAGCGTGAACGGTACGCACACTTAATCTCGCGGTTGGAGTCAAAGCGCGACAATCTGAGCGCGGCGATTCGCTATGAAATCAACCAGCATCCGCACCTCACGCAGTCGCTCAGACGTGCGCAGGCGTATCTTAGCGTGTGTTAGCCATTCTAAGCTATTGATACTACGTACACAGCCACCTAAAGCCTTACTTTGCAATATATCAGGAACTCATCGCAATGCCTTCTCGAAATGCTCGCACGACGTTCTCGTGAACGCTTTTCGCCGCACAAATCACGCCGCCGCCGCCCGGCGAGAAACGCCGTCTGTCGCCGTCGCGACCGAGAAACCCGAGCGAGCGTCCGTGTAAATCCGTCACGACACAACCAGCCTCTTCGGCGCATAAAACACCCGCGGCGTGATCCCAAGAATTGACGCACGCGTCGTCGCCGCCCTCCTTTGCGTGTTGAATAAAAATCGACGACGAGCCAGCGACGACGTCGACGTATTTGCACAGACTCCCGCAACACAATCGGCGCACCCGCGCCGGCGACACGCCCGCCCGGCCGAGCGGCAAAGACTCGAACGATTCGTGCGCCGAAATGACGACGTTCGCGTCCGACAACGCTTTCGGCTGCGCGCACGAAACGCGCCGAAACGCGCTCGTCTCGTCGTCGCGCGAGCGAGCGAAACACCCGCGACCGCGCGCGGCGACCACCTCCAATCCTCCGCCCGGCCACTTCGGCGCTATCATCACCGCGATCTCCGGCGTCCCGACGTCGCTCATGAGCGCCAATCCGAGCACGTATTGTTTATCCGCGTCGTCGCTCGCCGCGAACGCCTTCGTGCCGTCCAGAGGATCGCACACCCAGTACCGCCCGATCCCCCCCGACGTCTCCCTCAGCCGTTCCCTCGCCTCCGTTTCGTCCACTCCCGCCCCACACGCCGTCAAAATCGCCGTCACGACGTCGGCGTCACCGTCCAGCGCTCGCGTCGTCTCCTCGCCCACGAAATCTTCGCCCTCGCCGCCGCGCAGCGCCCTCGCGCACGCCACCTGCGCGGCGACGTCCGCCACCGTCGCGATCGTCGAATCGCGCTTGCGTTCCGCGACGGCGTTCCGTCCGCGCGCGCGCATCGCGACGGCGATCGCCGCGCGCGCCGCGTCGAGCGCGCGCGCCGCGTCGTCAACCTCTCGCAAGACGGTTGGAAGTTCATTCGCCGCGCGCGCGCCGTTCGAGCGCGCCTCGGCGTCCGCGCGCGGTCGCGGTCGCGCGCGACGATCGCGCGGCGTCGCGCGCGCGACGCCGACGCGCGCTCGAGCGGCGCGCGCGCGCATCGCGTCGCGATGTCCCGACCGACCGATGGGCGCGCGAACCGAACCGTCTCGCCCGCACACGCGCGCGCGCGCGACGCCGCGCGACGCTCGCGACGCGATGGCGCGCGCCGCGACGCGCACGCTCGGCGACGCGCTCGTCGCGCTCGCGTGGACGTCGCACGTCGCGTGCGGGACGCTGATTCTCTTCGTGCTCGCGCTCGCGCTCGCGTCGGCGCTTCGCGTCGACGTCGCGGTGTGCCTCGCGCCGTGCGCGGGCGTGTTCTGGTCGCTGCTCGTCCCGAGCGACGCGCTGGGGCGGATGCGCGCGCGCGGTTGGCGGTGGCGCGACGTCGCAGCGGCGGCGGCGACGCGAAGCGGCGGCGGGAACGCGGCGGCGTTTTGGAGCGCGCGCGGCGACGCGCGCGCGCGGCGAGACGAGACGGCGAGCGACGCCGTCGGGCGCGAATCGTTCGGGAGGACGACGGCGGCGACGCGGGGACGATGCGCGCTGCCGCCGGCGACGACGTGGCCGCACCGACCGATTTTCGTGCGCGCGAGCCCGCGGACGAAGACGACGGCGCTCGACGGATGGGCGTCCGAACGCGGACCGGTGCTGAAGAGCGAACGCGGTCGAGGGGTGAAGGCGCCGAGCGCGATCGACGCCAACGCGCCGGTGAACACGGAGAGCGCGATGGAATTCGAGACGGAGTTGTTCCGCGGGAAGATTGTGTGTCGATTTAAAGGCGTGGAGGACGCGCACACGAAGACGTCGAGCGAGTTTTATCGGGTGAAAAAGTGCACGTTTCAAGTGTTGGTCCAGGGAAAGTTTAAGGAAAAAGTCAAGGTGAGCGACATGCTCACGGGCGGAGAATTCGATCGCGCGTTTGAGAACATCCCGCCGCGCACTTTGGTGTTCGCGGGCGAGCAATTCTTCAAGCTTCTCACGCCCGGGCTTTCGGTGGACATGCTGTGCGATGTGCCGTACTACTACGCACCGCTAGGTTCGACGCTGAGCGTGTTAGCGGCTCACGCAGAAGAAGACGCGCCGGAGCCGACGGCGGAGATCGGCGAAGACACGCGCCGATTCGGCGGTCGGTTCGCGACGCCGAAGACGATTGACGAGCGGTGCGCGATATTTTCTGACCCGAGCGAAAATGAGGAGTATTACTTCAACACCGAAGACGTCTACACAATGGACTATTTCCAGAACGTCCTTCTCTTCGACGAGTACGTGTTGGACGTCAAAGTCACGCAGCTACCCCTCGCGCGATGTCTCAACGGCCAGCCAATCAGTTTCTTCGGCAAACATCGCGATGGGCGCTACGCGTATTCGTTTGAGATTTGGCACGAGTGTCTCCTTCCGAAAGCCCCCGAACGAACGCCCATAGGAACCCCGTGGCCGCAGAGCGATCACCGCGAACGACCTAGCCCTCAGCAGTAGCGATCGTAGTGCAGAGCGATTAGCGGTTTTGTTTGTATATTAAACGGCCTCGTAAAACCGGTCGAGAAAATTCGCCTCGAGCTCACGGCGCCGGCAGCCCGTACGCCTGCGCGTACGTCATGATCCCCCCCTCGACGTTCACCAAATCGTCGTATCCGCACTGCGCCAGCGCCGCGCACGCCTTTTCGCTTCGCACGCCTCCCTTGCACATGACGACCAACTTTTTATCCCTCGGCAGCGTCTCCAACCACTCCCCCGCCGCGCTCAGCGGCTTGAGCTCGAATCGCGGCAATCGCGCGGCGTCCCACTCGTCGCGCTCGCGCACGTCCACGAACATCGTGTCGTCGTCGCTCGCGCTGTCGAGCATGTCCTTGAGCGCGCTGACGTCGATGTTCGCCCACGGCGCGCCGGCGGCGAAGGCGCGCGCGCGGGGCGTCGCGCGCGCGACGACGGCGTGACGGGCGCACGCGGACGCCGACGGCGCGCGCGCGGTGCGCGCGCACGCGCGCGTGAGCGCGGCGAGCGATCGAGCGGTGATCATGGCGGGCGGACGCGCGGAAAAGTGCGGGACCCGCGGTGCCGACCCGCGGTGCCGACCGAGGGTGGACGCGAGACGAGACGCGCGCGCGATTCGACGACGCCGGGGCGCGCGCGCGATGCGTCGCGACGACGCGAGCGGGTAAAGCGGTGGTTTTTGAATTAAGTACCATTACGCTCGTGAACGCGAAGGAAACGCGCGACGAATCGATGGCGGCGCGGCGCTCGCGAAGCGAGATTTCCGCCCGCGCTTCCCGCGCTCTTTCCCGCGCTCTTTCCCGCGCCTACGCGCGCGCTAACTCCGATTCCGCCGCCCTGTCGTTGATCATTTTCACCCAATTCTTCACGATCAACAGCCCGTTCTCGGTGATGATGGACTCGGGATGAAACTGCACGCCCTGAATCCAAGGATACGCCTTGTGCTTCACCGCCATGACGGTCCCGTCCTCCGTCCACGCCGTCACCTCGAGCGCATCCTCGGGAAAATTATCCCGCGATATCACCAACGAGTGATACCGCGCCGCCTGAAACGGGCTCGGCAGTCCGCTCAGCACCGTGTCCAAATCCGTTCGATGCGTCACCGGCGACGACTTGCCGTGCATCAACCCCGTCGGCGCGCGCACGATGTCCCCCCCGAACACCTGTCCGATGCACTGATGTCCCATGCACACCCCGAACACGCCGAATTCCGGTCCAAGCTCTCGCACGACGTCCAGCGAGATCCCCGAGTCCTCCGGTCGTCCCGGTCCCGGCGACACCATCACGCCGCGCGGCCGCATCGCGCGCACCTCCTCCACCGTCACCTCGTCGTTCTTATACACCGCGTGCGCGCACCCGCAATCCCCGAGGTACTGCGACAGATTATACGTAAAGCTATCGTAGTTGTCTATGATCACCACCGGTCGCGCCGCGTCCTCGCGCGTCGCGCGCGCCGCCGCGCCCGCGCGTCGTCGTCGTCCCGTCCATCGCGTCGTCGTCGTCGTCGTCGTCGTCCGCGTCGCCGTCGTCGCTCCGCGCGTCGTCGGCGTCGCCGCGCGAACCGTCGCCATCGTCCGCGCGCGTCCTCGCGTCGCGTCCTTCGGCGGCGTCGCCGCGTGGCGCGCGCGCGCGTCGCGACGGCGCGACGGCGCGAGGTTTGGATAATGGTCCGCGTCGTGCGTATGCGCAAACAGTTAGAATCGCGGTCGGTCGGTCGCGTGTCGTATGCGCACGCAGTCAGAATCGCGGTCGGTCGGTCGCGTGTCGTATGCGCACACAGTCAGACTCGCGGTCGGTCGGTCGCGTGTCGTATGCGCAAACAGTCAGAATCGCGGTCGGTCGGTCGCGTGTCGTATGCGCGAACAGTCAGAATCGCGGTCGGTCGGCGCGCGCGCGATTCGAATCCGTCGCGACAGCCGCGCGACTGCGCGACGCGATGCGCGACGTCGCGGACGACCTCGGATGGGGCGACGCGTTCGAGGACTCGGACGCGAGCGACGCCGGCGCGGAGAGCGACGCGAGCGCGAGCGACGACGACGGACGAACCGCGACGGCGACGACGACGACGACGCGCGACGCGGCGGCGTCGCGAATCGCGAGCGCGTCGGCGACGACGGCGACGACGACGCGCGAGGGCGCGCGCGTCGGGACGATCGGACCCGAACTCGCGGCGCTGCGCGCGGCGCAGGGCGAGACGAGGGAACACTACACGATGTCGCACTACGATCGGTTGTACGGGTGCGAGCGACGGTGGCGACGAGACGCGCGCGGGAGTAAGACGTGGTGCAAGGACGTGCACGACGCGGGGTGTCGAGAGTGCACGACGTGCCACTTTTGTAGACAAAAGACGACGGACGCGAAGACGACGTGCGTGTGCGGAACGTGGCGGAGAGCGCCGGAGGGAGGACGGGGGCGAGGGACGTGGTGCGGGTGGTGCCTGGAGATGCGCGTGGGGGAAAATTTGGACGAGGCGATGGCGGATGCGGAGTGGCGGTGTCCGGTGTGTCGGGATATATGCAATTGTAGCGGGGCGAATTGCTTGCGGGCGAAGCGGAATTTGTTCCCGACGCAACAGTTGACGGGCGAGGCTTTGGCGTACGGGTGGCCGTCGGTGGCGCATTACTTGATCACGACCGCCATCGTGAGTGGGCGAGACGCACCGCCGATGTTGGACTTGCCCGCGGCGTACACGGAACGGCAGCGAAGACAGCGTGATCCCGCCGCGGCGGGTGGCGGCGGCGGAAGCGGTCGCGGCACCATTCCGGGACTCTTCGGCGCGCGCTCGAACAAAGAGGCGCAAGCCATCGCCTTGCGCGCAAAAGTCGCGGCGAGTGTGCGCGCGGCGTTCGGTGATCTCGTTACCGATGGGGATCGAGGCGCCGATGGTGACGACGAAGGCGATCAATCCGACGGCGCCGCCGAAGCCGCCGAAACCGGCTCGAACGCGCGGCGACGCGGCGGTCGATCTAGGGCGCGCGGTACTCGCGGTGCCCGCGTCGGCGCGCAGCAACTAGATGGCTATGGAAGTTCAGATGGTTCTGAGTTGAATTCTTCCGACAGCGAGGGTGATGTCGAAACTGCCACCACGCCGGACGTCGTCGCGCGCGATGCCGAGCCGGTCGACGTCGCGATGGTCGCAGCGCCGCCGCGTTCGGATCACGTCACCGGGCACGTTCGATCCTACGCGGCGACGTCGACGGCGCGCGAAGGGTCGGTCGCGCAACGTGTGCCAAAACAGAAGCGCGCGCGGACGGATTATGGACCCGCTCCTGATCGCCGCGAGGACGAAGAGTGGCGTTCCGACGACGAAGGCGCGTCTGGCGCAGACTTTGTTCACGTACCTCGGGAACAACGTCACGTCGTTGATGCCGTGCACGAAGACGACGGAGATCGGATTGAACGCAGAACGCGCGAGCCATCGACGTCGCGTCCTGGCGTGGCGACGCACACGACAGAGTACGGCGAGACAGTCGTCGTTCGACAGGGCGACGTCGCGCCGCCGACGGCGCGTCGTCGTCGTCGTCGACGAGTTCCCAGACCGACTGAAGCGGAACAGTTTGCGACAGTCAATCCGGAAGTCGTTGAGGCTGCACAGAGCCGCGCCGTACACGCCGCCGCGCAAGAAGAGGACGAGGAAACTCGCGCCGCGCAGGGTGAAGGCGCGTGCGCGCAAATTTTGCGTGACCTTCGAGACGGGGCGCGAGATGAGTTTCAGTTCAGGGACGCGTTGGTGTGCTCCAACCAAGCCCTTCGCGGCGCAATGGTCGAGACAGACTCTGGTATTGTGGTCGACGAGAGCGAGCTGCGAGCGTTTTGCGCCCTCGTCGTGCGCATCGCTCGCGTTGCGCCGAGGACGCCCGCAGGTTTACAAATAATTTCCGACGCGCGAGAGACGCTCGCAGATCCAGAAACGTTTCGCGCGCATCAAAGTACTGCGCGCGCCGTCGTGCTCAGGGCGCTACTGCGCTGTAGTGATCACGCGGCGTATCAGGGTGTCCACGTCGGCGAGTCGCTCATTCAGTTGCTCACGCTCTTGGCTGAGCTCGGTCAGGAGTATTGCATGATTCGCGAATACATACAAGCCAAGTCGGGCGAAACGCCACCGGAATTACCGACGTATATTCAAGCATCGATCCACGAACTTGCAGCTGTCGATGCCGAGGGCGAAAATCAGACGACTAAAGAAGACCAAGTCGCCCTGCTTTTGCTGGAAAGACTCGAAGCGGCGCACGTTTTGCTGTACGCATCCATGGCTGCGCTTCGTCGATCTGTGCGAGGACCACCTTTGGCGGGCCGCGAAGAGCTCTTCTGCCCGACGCTCGCTGCGTTTCTCGACCCGAGCTATCCGTTCAAAGTTAAATTGAGGAAGCAAGCGCTACGTTTGATCGCCGCCGCCGTCACCGCGGCCACGCGTGATTGGGGAGATCCAAAATCACCCGAGACGTTGGCTTTGGCTAAGAATGCGAGCGAACACATATGGCCGGCGCTTTCGAATTTACTCGCTCTAGATTTCCCGGCGCGCTCGAACTCGCCAGTGACAACTGTTGGTGGTTCTGGAGTCACGCGAGCGGCTATCGAAGGCTCGGCTCGGCTCATCGCCCTGCTGCTTCGGTCTGGCGTTTGGACGTGGAGCCAAGCGGAGACAGCCGTCGTGGCTCCGCACACGCCGGCAACTTTTTGGCGGTTGGCAGGCGCGCCGTATCGAGCGTTCGCGTATCGACTTTATTCACGATTACTCGACGTCACGCCGATTTATTACGGCGGTATCGGTGCCCCACTTCTAAAGTTGTGGGTCCTTGCGACGATGGATCCCGCCGCCGGGGAATCTGGCGCGACCGGCATCAGTCGAGCCCGCGCGAGAATCACCAGAGCCGCGAAACGACATCCCATTTTGTTCCCCGCTTTCCCTGCGAGCGAAAAGCTGGAAGGGTGCGACAAGTCGGACAACGCATCGTTACACAAGCGCGCGCGTTGGGTGGCGGAAGTGCTGCACCAGGCGGCGACGACGGCGGTTTCGCCCAAGGTTCGAGTATCAGCCGTCGCCGCGTCGAACGCCTTCTGGGATGCGCTCCCGTGTCGCGAAGCCGAAGTTCGGGGAAAGCACAGTGAAAGTGCATTCATGGGTGCGAGTGCTTTGATTCTCACGACGGCGGTGTCTCATCTGTCGGACGCTTTCTTGGCGCCACCGCCGCCAAAACTCGTGCCCATGCTTTGCAAGACGGTGGAGTTGAGCTCGACGAGAGGTGGGCGTCAATCGGAAGCTCGCGCTGAAACATTGGCGCACGCTATGCTGACGGTCGCCTTGAAGTTTGATCCCCGCGACGTCACAATGCTGACGACGCTTGTCGCGATATTGCACGAGACGATGGAACGACCGCGAGCGACGGATGCCGACGACGCCATCGGCGCCATTTGGGCGGCGCTCGACGCCACCGATTCTTTGCACGTGAGTTTAGGAATTGCCAGCGAAAAGGTCGTCGCGCTTCGCGAGTTCGTCATCACCTCGTGCGCAAAACGATCGATAGAGCGCGCGAGATACACGGCGTCGAGCAAAGCTGGCACGCAAGCCGCGAAGGGATGGGCGCTCGCGCTCGCGCTTTTGACGAAGAAGAGTTCTGAAGCCACGTGGCTGCGAGCGCTTATGCCGTCGATTTTGGACGCGCTTCAGCCACCTGCGGTCGCCATCGGTAAAAGTGCGGCACCGCCACCGATTTCAACATCGGATACGAGTATTCGTGCAGCGCTCTATCGCTTACTCATCGACGCAGTGACGCACCATCCAGATCTCACGGCGCGCGTCGACGGCGATGTGGTGGCATCTACGGAGCCCGAAAACGTCTTCTTCATCGCGATAATGCGAGCGGCGATCGGTGAAATCGCATACGCGCTCGGTGGCGCAGAGCAAAGCAAGGGCTTCATGCCACTCAGCGAGATGGATCGCAACGCCGCCGGTCGCCGGCTGCGAGGCGTGTTGGGCGCGACGCCGTCTGCGACGACGCACGCTTTGGAGGAAGTTTACCGCTCGTTCAAGCCACCGGTGGAAACTTTGGCCGATGCGCGAGAAACTGACGTCGAGCAAGCGTCGCCGACGGCCACGGCTGTGGCCGCGCTCAAGTTTATATCAGCCTTCGCGATTTCGACACCCGCGGCGACGCGGCTCGTAAAGACGCACGTCTTGTCGCCCATCAAAGCGGCCATGAAGAGGAAAGAATCGCACGCCAGACGCGCGCTCGTTTCTCACGTGAACGATCTTTGGGCGGGCGTCGGGCTCATTCAGCACAGTTCAAAAGAGAACACCGTACCGTTGTCGGCGCCGCCGACGCCCGCCGCGAAGCGTTTGGAAATTCCCCAAGCGGCGTGGCCCGCAGGGGCGGCGGAACCGTGCGCGTTTGCCTCGATCGCAAGCAAGCCGCCGGGGACGTCGATAAACGTCATCGGGCAACTCATCAAGCGCGAGCCCGCGAACGGAGTGGCTGTGAAAGAGAATCCAAAGACTGGGAAGAAGTTTGACATGTTGTTCGTGACGCTCTGCGATCACGCCGGCGACGAGCTTCGCGTGCAGTTGATCGGCGCGAGCGCGAAGAAGTGCGCGGCCGCGCTCGACGTGGACGGTATGCCGAGTGACATCCCTCTCGGATTCGTGGGCTTGAAGGCGAAGGGCGCGATGGCGTGGGACCCGAAAGAAACCGCTTCGCTGGTTGTGAATCCCGCGACAGCGTGAGATGAAACGATACCAGAGAGAAACGATGCCAGAGAGAAACGAGACGCGTAGATCTTCATTGCAACGCCGCGCTACGCGAAAAATCGTCCATGGAAGGAATTAAGGCGTAAAAATGGTAGTACAGTAGAATTTGACTAAGTCTCTTCGAACACCTCCGTCTTGCACGTCGGACACGACTTGTTCTCCTTCAACCACGGCTCGACGCACTCACCGTGATACACGTGCCCGCACCTCGGCAACTCGCACGCGTCCTCACCGGCGTCGAATTCCATGCAACACACCGCACACTTCGTCCCCGCCACGCTCGCATCGATCGTCCTTTGCGGCAACGACGCGATTTGCGCATCGGTGAGCCCACACGTCACCTTCCCCACGACGTCCCCGAGCTCGCACAACTCCTCGTACGTCATCGCGTCCGTATCGATCCCCTCCGCCTCAGAATCCTCCTCCGCATCGGGATCGATCCCAGCCATGGCCAACATCCGATTCCTATACTCTTGTTCCTCCTGTTCCTGCAGTTGCCTCGCGAGCGCCAACGATTCATCCTCTTCCTCCTCCTCGAACGCCGCGTCCTCGTCCGCGAACGCCGTCTCGCCTCGCGCGTTCCCGTCGAAGCGCATCATGAAGTACGCGCGCTCTTGCTCCTGCAACAACCGCGCCAACGACGCCGAATCATCCTTCATCGCGCGCGTGAACGCGCATCGTCAGTCTCGGCGCTCGACCACGACGCCAGCGTCCCTCGCGTCTCGTCGCGCGTCCCGAGGGGAAAGACTTCGCTCGAGAAACGGTTGCGCCGGAATCGCTCGAATCGCCGTCTCGTTCGCGTCGCTCGCGCCCGTTCGCCCGTCGCGCGCGCGCGATCGACGCTCGCATCGCGCACCGTCTCTCCCAGCGCCCGTCGTCGTCGATCGACGCTCTGCTGTTCGAACAGTCGCAGCGTGCGCGACGGATCGGTCGTCGGCGGTTGCGCCGTCGTCGACGGTTCCGCGAGCTTGCGCTCGCGGTGCACGGGCGTCGAGCGCCCGGAGTTGCTCAGCGAGCGGTCGTTCTCGATGTCGTCCATCGCGGCGCGCGCTCGAGCGCGGCGCGGCGGCGCGCGCGGCGACGGCGTCGCGGATTGCGGCAGAGCGCGACGGATGCGCCGCGACGGCGACGGCGACGGCGCGCGCGACGTCGCGCGACCGGCGTACGAGGACGCGTACGAGGACGCCGTCGGCGCGCTCGAGCGCGCGATGGCGCGTCGCGCGCGCGCGGCGCTCGAAGGCGACGACGGCGGGACGACGGCGCGCGAGTGGACGCCCGAGGACGGCGCGGAAGCCGCGGCGCGCGTGCTCGAGACGTGCGGCGCGCACTACACCGCGTGGGCGTTTCGCATGCGGTGCGTCGAGGACGCGGTCGACGCGCGCGAGGCGGAGGCGGGGACGGCGACGCTGCGCGACGAGCTCGCGTTCGCCGAGGCGCAGACGACGAAAAATCCAAAGAATTATCAAGTGTGGAATCACGCGAGAATGGTGCTCGAACGCGCGGATGCCGCGGGTGCGTTTGAAGGATTACGAGACGGGGCGTTCGCGCACGCGAACGCGGCGCTGATGCTGGATGGGAAGAACATACACGCGTGGTCGCATCGCGCGTGGCTCGTCGAGCGATGCGACGCGTGGGAGGAAGAGATGGCGTTCACGGAGGAGATGCTGGCGGAAGATTGGATGAATAACAGCGCTTGGAACGCGCGGTTTCAGTGCGTGATGGTGTGCTTGGAGCGAGGAGACGTGGGGGTGTTGGAGCGGGAGGCGGCGTTCGCGACGACGGCGCCGCGCGTCGACGACGACAACGAGAGCGCGTGGAATTATCTTCGCGGTCTGTGCGCGATCGCGGAGCGAGATGGGAGCGCGATACCGCGCGACGTCGCGAACCGCGTCGTCGCGCTCGCGATCGACGCCGCGCGAACCGCCGCGGCGCCCGCGCCGTCGCGCGTGCCGTCGCGTCACGCCGCGCTCCTGCTCGCCGACCGCGTCGCCGCCGAAGCCGTTCGCGACGCCGACATCGGTCGCGCCGCGAGCGCGGAGTCGATGTTTAGAAACTTAGCCACACTCGACCCTTTGCGCGGGAACTATTATCGCACCCGCATCGACCGCTTACGAGCGGCGTTGGCCTAGCTTTGCGTTGTAGCTCGCGTCGTCGCGCCCGCGCTCGCGCCGCCCTCACAATCAGCCTCCGCTCGCGCCCGACCGACGCCATGGTCGCCGTGCGCGACTTCATCGTCGACGCCGGTCTCGACGAGCACTACGCCGCGCGTTTCGTCGAGCAAGGCGTCGATACCGTCGACGATTTGCGTTACGAGAGAGACTTGGACGCGCTGCTCGAAGACGTCGGCGTGCGCGACGACGACGCGGCGACGTTCCGCGAAGCGCTGAAACGCGCGCTGGCGGGTGAAAAGAAGCGAGCACCGTCGGGCGATGACTTGGCGGAGGCGGTGAAGGCGTCGATGGCGAGTTCGCGGGCGCGACAAGGACTGGACGGGGACGGCGCCGGCGGCTCGGGACGCGTCACGGGCGGCGCGGTGCGCATGGGAGGCGCCAAGGTGGAGGACTACGCGCCGAAACTGACGTTAGATGATGCGGTGACGGAGGACGTGAACGCGCGCCTGGGCGTGGCGACGGCGAAGGAGATTGAAGACATACTCGCGGCGCACCGGGACAAGGATTTTTTGCGTTTGTTAAAGTTGCGCGAGGTGCCCATCGATTCGCTCGGTAAGGTTGAATGGAGCGGACACGAGGCGGTGAAAACAAACGAAATCGCGATGCGATGCAAACTGTTGAGTTTACGTTTGGATAAATCGAGGAACGCGCACGCGAAGGCGCCCGCGGCGCAGCGCGCGGTGAAAAACGTGCTCGATTTGTTGAGTCACAAAGACACGAGAAAGGAGTACTTGACGCTCGCGGTGCGGAGGAAAGTGGAGGAACTACGCGCGGAAGGGAAAATTCAAGGCGGCGGACACGTCTCCTTCACCGGCGTGCACTACGGCTCCGGTGCGGCGGCGACGCGCGCGGCGGAGGAGAATTACGTGTCCAAGGACATGCTCAACGAAATGCCGACGTACGACGAGACGATTCATTTAGATATGAGCGATGAAAACGCGCGCGCCGCGTTCGCGGCGCGCGGTGCGGAGCCCAAGAAGTCGTCCGCGCCCAAGGTGGACGTCTCGAGCATTCGCGCCAAGCTCGCGAGCAAAACGAAAAAGCCTCGATTTATGTAACGTCCGAGAAGCGCAAACGCGTCGCGTTACAACTACGCTAAGCCTCTAGTCTGGTGTGATTCGCGATACAATTACCGTTCGCGACCGCGCGTTCGTGGAACCACCGTCGCGCGCGATAGACGTCCTCGACGCACAACTCGTGCCCCATGTTTTCGCGCAGCGTCACCATCCCCCCCGTCAACCGCCCCGCCTCCAACGACCACTCCACGGGCACCAAAGGATCGGCCCCACCCGCTAGTATTAAAGTGTCGGGCTTCAGTTCTGAGAACTCTCTCGAGCGATTCGGCAGGTACCCGCGCACCGCGAGCACGCCGCCGACGTCGCTCAACTCGCTCTTCGCGCACGCCAACGCCAAGCACGCCCCCTGCGAGAACCCGCCCAAGACGACGTCTTTGCGCTGAATCCCGTACTTTCGCACCGCATCGTCCACGATCGTCACCGCGCGCACCACCGCGTCCTCGATCCCATCGCACGTCCACTCGCGCTCGTCTTTCCTTCGCACGCGCAGTCGCGGCTTGAACCACGCGCGCGGAAACCGCCCGTTCCCCGCGTCCATCCGCATCGCGTCCGGCGTCGCGATCGCCGTCCGCCCGCTCGCGCTCCCGCGCGCCCTCGCCACGACCTCACAAAACTCTCGCCACGCCCCCCCGTCGACGTCGCCGTACCCGTGAAACCACACCAACAACCGCGCCGCGCCCGCGTCGCGCGTCGCCTCGCGCGTCGCGCCCCGTCGTCCCCCCTCCCCCTCGACGTCCCTCGGCCCCGTCGCGTCGCTCCCGAACGCCCCCACCGCGCTCGATATCCTTCGATTCACCCTGCGCACGACTCGCTCGACGTCGCGCGCGTCGCTCGTCGCGTCGTCACGCGTCGACGCGCGCGCGTCGAATCCCATCCGCTTCGGTCGCGCGCCCGTCGCGTCTCGCGTCGACGCGCTGGAACGCGTCACCGCGCGCGCGGCGTCGCGCGCGCGCGTCGCGACCGCGCGCATTCGCGTTTTTGCGCGCGTCGCGCGATGCCGCGACGGCCGCGCATTCATGCATTCATGCATCGCATCATTGAATCAATCAATCAATCAATCATCCGCGTCGGTCGCGACGCCCACGCGCGTCGTCGTCGCGACGATTCGAGTCGTCGCGACGCCGCGTCGTCGTCGACCGCGACGCGCGCGTTCGCGACGACGGCGCGCGACGGTTCAAAAATAGAAACCGGACGTGTCGGTCGCGGTTATCGACCGTTACGCGCTCGAGCGCGACTCGACGACGCGGTCGCGCGCGCATGCGATGAACGCGCACGGTTACGGGTTCTTCGACGTTCGAATCGATCGATCGATCGATCGATCGTCCGCCGGCGTCCGCAGTCGACGACGCCGCGATGGACGCGGCGAAGGTGCGCGCGTCGACGCGACGCGAACGTAACCGCGTGCGAGCGCTCGAGCGCGATGGGCGTCGCGCGTCGCGATGGGCGTCGACCGACGCGTCGACCATCGCGCCGTCGCGCGTCTTTGTTCCCCTGGCGATGACGCACGAACGAACGAACGAATCGACGACGACGATCGCGCGAACGAACGCGACGATGGACTGACGAAGGCGCGTTCGTCGCGCGCGGGCAACGATAGGCGTCGAGCGCGGCGGCGGCGTGGGCGGCGAAACGAAAAGAAGCCATCGCGCGGGCCAAGGCGCGACGCGCGACCGCGGACGACGAGGACGCGCGCGTCGCGAGACGCGAGGCGAAGGCGCGGGAAGAGGCGCGGTTGCGAGCGAAGACGGACAGGGCGAAGCGCGAAGAGAACGAACGCGCGGCGAAGAGGGAGGCGGAGGCGCTGGCGGCGAAGATTCGCGAGGAGGTGGAGCGGGAGTTGGCGAGGGAACGCGCGGAGGCGGACGCGCGCGCGGAGCGAGCGTGCGCGGAGGAGGACGCGCGAGCGAAGACGACGACGGTGCACTCGAAGGTGGTGCCCGATGGAACGGCGTTGGAGTTGAGCGGTGACGTCGAACTCGCGCCGGAACCGGAGCGGAAGAAGGTGCCGACGGCGACGCCGCAAAAGTCGCCGACCAAGCCGGAGAAGCCGCCCGCGGAGACGAAGACGGCGTCCGCGGAGAAGCCGGCGAAAGAGGAGGAAGAGGAAAAACCGCGCGCGGTGACGAAGGCGCCGGAACCGGCGAAGAAATCGGCGCCGAAACCGTACAAGGCGGAGTGGTCGCCGCCGAACGCGAAAAAGCCAGAGGGGAAGCGGTCGCGATCGCCGCTCGCGACGAATCGAGCGACGAGCGACGCGTCCAAGGAGAAGACTCGACCGCGCGAGCGCAAGGTGACGTCGACGACGACGCGACCGGTTGGGCGAGTGAGCGCGCCTGGTAAACCGTCCACGGCGGCGCGCCCCGTCGGCGGCGTGAGCGAACCATCCTCGACGAGACCGACGGGCGCGCCGGCGGCGAAAAAGCGGCCGACTGGCATGAGCGAAGACAAGGTGCATCGTCAAATGTTCGATAAGCGCGAGAGCAGGCGAATGAATCGAGTCCCTTTCGCGGCGTCGGTGAAGCGTTGGCGTGACAAGAATCTCACGAATTCGTCGGACGCCGAGACGGGCGCCGAGACGAGCGCGCCCGGAGCGATTAACGTGTACGCGCGAAAGCGTCCACTTTTCGATCCCGAGAAGAAGCGCGGCGAGTACGACGTCGTGAGCGTGAAGAGTGGATCAACCGCTGTCGTGCACAACTGCCAGATGCACGCCGATTTGAAGAGGATGTTTGTCAAGCACTGCGCGTACACGCTTTCGGGCGGCGTCTTTGACGAAGACGCGCAAGAGCACGATGTGTACGATCGCAGCGCGGCGCCTCTCGTGGCGGGTACGCTTAAAGGTGGCGTCGGCGCTTTATTCATGTACGGCCAAACGGGAAGCGGGAAGACGCACACGATGGAGAACATTGAGAAACACGCCATCGAGGCGCTATTCGTCGGCGACGGCGCCGCGGCGGGGGCGAAATCCATCAAGGTGTCGTATTTCGAAATCGCCGGTAAGGCGTGCGTGGACTTGCTGCAACCTGGTCGAGTGGAGATTCGACTGAAAGAATTGTTCGAAGAGCAGGGCGACGCGCTCACGGGGCAGATGGAAGTCGAACTCATGGGCGCGAAGGAACCCGTCGTGACGAGCGCGAGCGACTTGAAAAAGGTCATCGACGAGGGCAAATCTCGTCGACAAACGAGTGCGACGCAGTGTAACGCGTCGTCGTCTCGATCGCACGCAGTCATGCGTCTCACCGTTACTTTGTCCGATGGATCGATGGGTCGTCTGACGTTGGTGGATTGTGCAGGAAGCGAACGCAAAGAGGACAATACGCATCACAACGAGAAGCAGCGAAAGGAAACGGCGGAAATTAATGCGAGCTTGTACGCGCTGAAAGAGTGCGTGCGCTTCCGACGACTGAAATTTTCGGGCGCTAGAAACTCAAACGTGCACGTGCCGTACCGGAACAGCCCGCTCACTCGCGTCCTGGCGGAGTGCTTCGTGCGCGAAGACGCTGGCGTCGCCGTCATCGGCACCATGTCACCGGCGTCTATCGACACCGAGCACTCTCTCGCGACTTTGAAAACGATCAACGCCATCGGGGGCAACGAAGACAGCGAGGGATACGCCGAAGAAAAAGAGGACGTCGCCGCGACGCTTCGCGTGGACGCAAAGACTGGTCAAGTCACCGAGGTCGCGGCGGAGCGTCTTATCGCCCCCGTGAAATGGAGCCGCGAAGAAGTGACGCAGTGGCTATCGAGCGCGGCGAGAGGGGCGTTTCAGTCTGTCAAGGTACCGACCACGCTCACGGGAAGCCAGTTCGTCCGCATGTCGCCGCTAGTATTGAAAAATATGTGCGGTGGCGACGAAGCGCTCGCGACGAAGCTTCACAAATGCCTCCGCGCGGAGGTGACGCGATGCTCGGTGCAGCAGCGATGAAAAAACGCCTTGTAATTTGAGAATGATGTTGATTTACACGTCGCGAGCGGGCTGGTCGACTTTCACCTGTACGCCTCCACGCGCTTGAGCTCGAACTCGAACGGACCCGGGGCGTAGCCGGCGTTCTTCTCCTCCATGCCGTACGCGAATTTACTCAGCATGAACTGCATGGCGACGATTTTCCCACCGTTCGTCTTTCGGTACTCCGCGTCGTTCGTCGCCACGCCTCGACCGCGCTTCACGGGGACGAAATCGCTAAACTTGAGCTTCACCTCGGTGACGTCCCTCGGCGCGACGAACGTTTGATGAAACGCCACGTTAAACGAGTCGTTCGTGTCGTACAAAATGCACTTGTACGTTTTCCCGTCGCCGCGAACCGTCAACTTCAACCCCTCGTACGCGCTCAAATCCAACGCCCGATCAAAGTCTCGCGATTTCACCGACGCGAACCCACCTCGCACGTCTTCCGTCTCCCCCGCCAACCGCGCGAATCCATCCTTCGTCAGCGTCGCCGCCGCGTCGCTCGCCCCCCCCATGACGACGTCGTTCAGCGCGTTAAACGTCGCCGCGAACGCCTCCGCCGACATCTCCCCGAAATCGAACACCACGTCCCCTCGCACCTCGGGCGCTCGAACCGTCGGTTTCTCGCGTCCCGGCACGATCCTCGCCAGCATCCCTCCCGGCCCGTCGAAGTACTCCATCTCTCGCCGCGCCTCGTTCACCTCGCGCGGCAAAAACGTCGCCAAGAAATCATCCACCAGATTCGCCCGCGTCGGTCGTCCCGCGCGCGCGCGCGCGCGTCTCCCGCGCGCGCGCGCGGTCGTCGCGCGCGGTCGTCGCGCCGTCGATTCGCGCGCCGCGAGCGCGCCGCGCATCGCGTCGCCTCGCGTTCGCGACGGTCGTCGTTCGACGGCGTCACCGAGTGACGTCGCCCCGTCGCGCGTCGCGTCTCCGCGACGCCGCGCGACCCGCGCGCGCGTCGCGACCGCGGCGTCGCTCGATCGCGACCGCGCCGTCGGTTCGATTTTTTTTCGCGTCGCGCGCGTCGCGCGCTCCCCCGTCGTTCCCTCGTCCCGGCGATCGGGGGAACGACGGAGGGGAACGTCAATCGTCACAGTTCGTCGCGACCGTCGCGCGCGCGCGTGCCGACGACGCGCGCGCGATGCTCGACCGACGCGCGGCGATTCGACGCGCGATGGAAGCGCACGCGCACCTGAACCGCGACGGCGCGGGACGCGAGCGCGCGCGAGGGACGGTCGCGGTCGCGATCGCGTCGCCGACGATGGCGACGACGGCGGGACGACGACCGACGCTCGCGAAGCTGGGGACGACGGAACTGCGCTCGCCGCTGGCGGTGCTGGATAAAAATTCTCCGGAGAGGTTCGCGGCGAACGGAGGGGGCGCGCGGACGCCGGGAGAGGCGCGGAGGCGCGGGAAGTCGAGACTGGCGCGCGCGAGGAGCGCGAGCGAGGAGACGCTCGGGCGCGCGGCGACGGAACGCGAGGATGGGTTCGAAGCGGTGGAGGCGTTCGAGGAGGTGTTGGGGCGAATCGGGGCGAACGCGGTGCTGAGTGCGACGCAGCGGAGGGCGTTGGAGGAGATTTACGAGGAATCGCTCGAGGCGAGGTCGCTGCGGGTGGTGCTGGAAAACGTCAAGGATTCCGAGCTCGCGTTGGCGCACGCGGAGGCGACGGCGAGGAACGCGTGGGCGAAGTCGTTGGAGGAAGCGAGCGAAGAGAAATGGGCGACGCGAGTGGAGGAGACGGAGAAGGAGAACGCGAAGTTGAGGCTCGACGCGCACAAGCGTGACGTAGAGCTCGTCGCGGCGAAAGCCGAGGCGAAGCGATTGCGCGAGACGCGGGCGGAGAAGCCGAAGCTCGTCAACGCGGTTGTGCAGACGGAGACCGAAGTCGAGGAATCTGCGGTGCACAAACGAGAGATCACGGCGAAGGATGCGGAAATACTGGCGTTACGTCGCGAACTTGACATCGCCAAGACGCAAATGGAACGCGAGACGCGAGCGCACGCCGAAGAATTCGACGCGCTTCAGGACGAGCTCGCAAAGACAAAGGAAGCGTCGGAACGACGACGCGAACGCGAACTCGCTCAGATTAAAGATCGCGCGGCATTTTTCGAGCGGTGCAGCCACACCGCGGACGAGCGCGCGAATGGTGCAGAGGCCACGGCTCACGCGTTGCGCGAGGAGTTTTTGATGATTGAATCCGAAGTGAAAAAACTCAAGGAGCAAATGGCGCGCAACGCCGAGCACGCCGCGGAAGAAAAAGAGTCCATCATGTCTGCGTTGGCTGCCGCGCAGGCGCGAGCGAGTGAGTCCGAAAACGCCCCGCTCGCGCAACGCTTGAGCTTGCCGGAGGCTTTAATATCAGGCGAAATGCCGTGCAAGTGCGGTAGTGTTGCGACGGCGCAGCGTCTGAGCGCCGCGCTCGCCGATTCCACGACCAGAAACACCGAGTTGCAAGCGAAGGTGACGATGTTAGAGAACAAGCTCGAAATGCGATCGATTGGTGACGTCTTGGACAAGGAGCAAGTTGAAGCGTTGGAAGAGCGCGCGCGCGCGGCGGAGCGCCGCGTCTCCGTCGCGCGGACGGCGATGACGAGATACGTGAGCGAAAGTCAAAAGTGCTCGCCGGCGCCCTTTGTTTACTCCACGGTCGACGATTTGACGCCGATGAAACGAGCCGTAGAAAACTGGATGGAGTTCTCCGAGGCGAAACACGCGAACGAGGAAGATGAAAAACGAGAGGAAGATGAAAAAGAAGAAGAGGACAAAGATTCAGACGACGAGTTTGACTCGCCGGGGCGACATCGAGGCATGTTACCGACGCCACGACTTCGCGCGCGCGTCGCCATCCGCCTCACGCACGGACCCGCGCCGAAACTTCCTCCCGGGGCGTACAAACCAACCTCCGACGAAGAGCTTCGCCGCCGCGCGAAAGTCATGGGACTCAGCGTCAGCCCATTCGGGCGCCGATGAATAGCCGCGGCGCGTCGCGCGCGTCTTTGTCACAATGTACTGTATCTTCTGTGTCTACAACGCGCGCGATTCTAATGCATTCAATCAATACTCCGTCGGCGGCCGCGGCCCGAACGCGAACAACGCGATGGCTGACAACGTCAACAGAAATCCGCCGAGCACGAAGCTCGTTTCGTTCGTGCTCGCGTCCAGCGCGTCGTCGATTCTGCCGCCCATGCCGTACTTCCCCCCGTCCAACTTCCCCGCGGGCGTCGGCGCGTCGTCGGCGTCGTCGTCGGCGTCGTCGTCACCGCCGGCGCGCGCGAAGACGCGCGTTCGCCGCGTCGCCGGGACGCCTCGACCGCGTCGCGCGCGCGGTGCGATGGCTCGAGGCGCGGTCGTCGCCGCGACCGCGGCCGCGCGGAGCATCGGACCGGGCGACGTCGCGCGCGCGCGGCGTGCGGCGCGCGTCGGCGTCTGGGGACGTTTCAGTCGCGAGGCGGTTGTACAACAAAAGTTTTGGTCACTACAACTCGAACTCCCGTCGACGACGGCGCGTTCGATCACTTCGAGTTCGTCAGGGTCGTCGTGGCCGCTTCCGCGGTGGAGTTCGGCGACGCGTCGTCGACGTCGACGTCGAAGAGGGAAACTTGCTTGCCCGACGGCGTCGGCGGTTGCTTTTGGGCGCTTCTTCCGCGCGCGAGCGGCGTGCGCGCCGCGCGCTCGTCGACCTCGAGCTTGGCGTGGCGCTCGATGTACACCGCGTCGGATACGTCCTCATCGGATGATTCGCCGTCCGTCGCGATTTGCGCGGGCGAGACGTACGTGCTCGCCGCGCGAACCTTGGGCGTAGCGATGGTTTCGTGAATAGCGCGTTCGACATACTTTGCCGGTCCTTGCGCCGAGATGACGTTGTTGATGTCGTACGCTTCAGCCTTTCGGCTCGTTCCACGTTTGCCAGAGCTCCCCGGAGTCTTTTCCGCCGCGTGCTTGTCGCCTCTACTCTTCGACGCCGGAGTCTTAAATTTGCTCTCCGAGTTCTTTTGCGACAACTTGGGCGCGGTTTGGCTCAGTCGTTGCTTGAGCGAAGCCACGCGCTTTTGGGCGGCGTCGATTTGCTCGTACAAAGCGGTGGTGGAAATGTCGCTGTCTGAGTTCGTCTCTTTCGGTACGATGGCCTCCATGACTTTGCGCTTCTTCTCCTCGGACGACTTAGGGTTGTCTTCAGAACTCTCTCGCTTGCCCGACCCCAACGCCTTGGACCCGCTCAACTCCGCCGTGGTCGTCGTTGACGGCTCCTGCGGAGCCGGCATCGTCTTCTTCTTCGCCGCCCGACCACCTTTCGAGCCAGAGTTTTCCAAAGCGGCGAACATGGGATGTCCCAATATCACCGGCGCGCGCGGCGTCGCCTTCCCGCGGCGCAACCTCTTGCGCGGTAAATCCCCGCGCGTCCCATCATTTTTGAAGTCTTCCGACTCCTCCTCCTTCGCGTCTCGCCCGCTCGTCTCCCCTCGCGCCTTCATCGTCTCCAACCGACTCTCGTATCGTTCGATGTGCCTACCGATCTCTCGCACGCGCAATTCGATCCACAAGCACTGCCATTCCAAATCCCTCCGTTCGCTTCGCCATCCCGCGTCTAATCCTAATTTCGTCCCCCAATCTTCTCTCGACGCGCCCGTTTTCGCGCCTTCGGCGCCATCACCCTCACCGTGGCCCTTCGTCGCCTCTGTCGGATCGTTCGCGCGTCTCGCGCCCTCGCGCGCGTCCTCCCTTTCGCCTCGTCGCGTCGTTTTCTCTCCCTCCGCGCCCTCGCGCGCGTCCTCTCCGCTGCTGCGATCGCTCGCGCACGCGCGCTTCGCTCTCAGATCCTCCTCCGACGCGGTGTTGACGAGCGCGGACGTCGCGCGGTCGTCGATTGTCGAGCCGCCGACGTCGCGCGCGAAATCGACGGCGCAGCGCTCGTCGTCGGTGTCGTCGTAATCGCTCCACGTGTCGACGCCGGCGGTGAGAATGTCGTGCCACGGCATGGCGCGCGTCGCGAGCGCGCGAGGCGCGACGACCGGACGACGCGGCGAGGCGAATTCTGAGGGACGGCGCGGCGCGGAGGAGGGGACGACGAGACGCGAAGCGACTCGAAGCGGCGCGAAGCGGCGAACGACGACGATTGACGCGAAAATGCGAGGTTGAGGTTACAAGAGATGCGATCACTCGTCCCGACCGACGAAGGAGAAACGAATTTTCAAATCCGGGTTGCCTTTGTTGTACAGTTTCACCTTGCGCCGCTTCGTGTCCGCGGGCTTGGCGGCGAGGGGAAGACCGAATAAACCGAGACGGATGGATTCTTTCTCCATGAACGACCAACACCGGGTGGACATTTTCTTTTCCTTTTGCTTGTAGTGACGAAGCTCGAGGACGACGGCGGAACCTTCGGGCCACTCGGCGGGGAGGGAGTTCAACGTGACGCCGCCTTGGACGCGCATGACGTCGTCGGGACCGACTTGGACGCCGATGGGAGTGTTCTGCGACGGTTCGATGGGCGTGCCTTCGCCGTCGACGAGCGTGACGCCGAAGTGCGCGGAGGACATTTTACTCGCCTCCTTGACGTTGGCGACGGACTCGATGAAAATTCTCAGACGGTCGCCCGAGGCGTTTTGCGGCGCCGAAGCGGCGTTTGACGTCGACGCTTCGTTGAATGATGTTTGATACGTCGACGGCGCGGGCATTTGATCCGAATCTTCAACCGTCTCTGCATAAATTGTCGGTGGTGACGGTGGTTGTTCGATCATCTCTGGAGCGCCCAAAAAGTACGCTCGACGCTCGGCGTCGACTTCGTACGGGAGCTCGCCGCCGTTGACACGATGCTTCAAAAAGTGCATGAAAAGCGCAAAATCGTGCATGCTCAACTCGCTCGCGCCGGGGGTGCACGAAATGTTCCATATAACGGCCAAGTCGGAATTATCTAAGCCCGTCTTCGTCGCGAGAGAGACGATTTGTTCGCCCGTCACGCCCGGCGCGTTGGCGTCGCCTCGAAGCTTTTCCCAAGCGGCGTTGCTGCGAGACAAGTCTTCGGGAGGAATCGGGTACAATTCGTGGGGTTCCTCTTCCATTTCGTCTCGCGCATCCGTGTAGTCTTCCGCAGGCGTCGGTGGTGCCGCCGAACTTTCGTCCAAGGAAGAGAATCCACCTTCATTCCCACCTTGAAACGCCAGAGCGCTCGGCGTCGCAAACACGGATTCGTTCGCTTCAAAGCCGCTATCAAACGTCGCGCTCGGTTTCTGAGCAGTCGCGAACGCATCATCTGTAGATTCGTCCGGGTTCCAAGATGATTCTTCCCGCGGTGGCGAGGAGGCGAAATCGTCCTGCCATTGTTGGTCATCGTTTGAGGTGAACGCTTGGTTATCGAAAGTTGTAAACGCCGGCGCGCTCTCCTCCGTCGGCGAGCTCACGGCGAATGGATCTTCCGACGGAGAACGCGCTTCATCGCTCATGGGCTCGAAAGTGTCTGCACCGGTAAACTCTAAACTCTTAGCAGACGGCTCAAATGGACTATCTGCACCGGTTGCTTCGGGCTGAAATTCTTCAAACGCGCCGAAGGATTCGATCGGCTCTTCGGCAGCCGTAAAGTCGTCCGCTGGAGGCACCTCGGGTTCACTCTTAGCAGACGGCTCAAATGGACTATCTGCACCGGTTGCTTCGGGCTGAAATTCTTCAAACGCGCCGAAGGATTCGATCGGCTCTTCGGCAGCCGCAAAGTCGTCCGCTGGAGGCACCTCGGGTTCCGGTTCATCCAGAGAGAAAGATCTAAACTGGCTTTCCGACGTTGGTGCCATGGTGAACGACACGTCATCGAAATCAGTCGCATTGGAAGTCGCGAAAACGTCCGTCGCGGGCGGCGCAGCGAAGACGTCGCCGCCGCCAGCCGCGAAGATGTCGTCGGGCTCTCCGAACGCATCCGACGCACCAAACGGCTCACCAAAGTCTGCGTCAAGCGTCGGCGTTTTCGTTTCCATCACCGGGGAAACTTCGAAATCGACGAAAGAGGGAAGTCGTTCGTGCCCAGGACCTTCCGCGGGTTGGAAACTGTTTGAATCAAAAGTCACAGCACCTGCGCTTGCGAGCGCGGCTTGTGCGTCGGCGAATAGGGGTTCGCCGGCATCGGCTGCGTTCTCCGCCTCTTGCATCGCGATATTCTCGAGTCGTCGCAATACTTCCTCGTAAGACGTCATCGCTTTTTCCGCGGTGTCTTCGGCTTCCATGCGGTACAACTCTGTGGTTTCCTTGGAAGAACGAAGTGCTTCAATCTGCGCGAGCACCGCGGCGGATTTGGGAAGTGTCTCTCGCAACTTTTGCAGAGCGTTGCTCAACGCCGATCGTTCCGCATCCAGCGCCGCGTTCGCAGTCGCGAACTCGGTCTGCGCTTCAGACACCTCGCGTTCGATTCGCGACGACTCGGTAGAAATTTCTTGTTTGAGCTCTTCCACTTCCGCGCGCTTGGACGCAACGAGCACTTGGTTTTGAACCTTGTCCTTGGCGTTTTGTTCGTCTTTTTCCTTTGCCACGCGCAGCTTCTCTGTCAACTCGTCGCTTTCTTGCCCCAACCGCGCCATTCCAAGCTCCATCTCTTGTTGCTGCTCTTCGAATTTCAACTCCGCGGCATCGATGCGCGCCTCGATTTGACTGAGAGCTTGCTGAGACATGAGATACTTGTCCTCCATCTGCGCTCGCATCGCGTCAATCTTTGAGTTGAGGTTCGCGAGCACGCCCTCCTTCGTAGACATCTCTTTTTGGTGCGACTGCTCCTGTGCGTCGAAAGCCGCTTCTTCTGCCTTGAGCGCAGATTCAGCTTCGATTATTTTGTCGTCGAGGACGGACATTTCCATGGCTTGATTCTCCGCCAACGCGCGGCGCTTCTCCAGGGCCTGTCTAACGGCCTCGGAAACCTCTTCGTGCGACGTCCTCTTCTCTTCGAGCTTGAGCTTGTGAGTGGCCAAATCGCTGTCCATGACAGATTTCGCGGCTTCAAGTTCAGCTTTCGCGAGCGAAACCTTCGCTTCGAGATCAGAACGCTCCTTGTCGCACGCAGCGATCGTACTTTCCGTTTTTTCTTTTTCCTTCACCGCGTCTTCTCTGCACTTTTGAATCTTCGCGCTGAGATCTTCCATCACCGCGGGATGCGACGCCGTTTTGGCTTCACGTTTCGCGATGAGCGCTTCGGTTTCTGCTTGTAGCGCTTCCAACTGCTTCTGACTTCGACTAGTCTCCATTTCGAGCTTGGCATCCACGGCTTGCATTTCTCGCATCGCTGCGGCTTTCGCGCGCTCCGCCTTGGCGACTTCGACCGCTCGCTTCATGAGCGCTTGCGAAGCGTCAGCGGCGGCTTTATCAGTTTGCGTTTTAAGCGAGCGCGTTTCGGCTTCAATCTTCGACAGCTTGTCTTGCATCGCTTTCACTGGTAAAGCCGCAACAGCAGAAGCGTTGGCAACTTGGGCCCTCAAGCGCTCGTACTCCGCCAAGGTTGACTGGTACTGCGCCTTTTTCGCCGCGATGAGCTGTTGCGCGTCTGCCTTCACCCGGCTCTCCTTTTGAACGAGCTCCGCGTGCTGCTGCCGCGCATTGTCGAGGCGCGCTGTTGCGTCGCGCTTCATTCGCTCTGCCTCAGCTTCCGCGGCCTCGACGGCGGCGCGCGCAGCGTTGACGTCCTCGTCCGCTGCGTCGATGGCTCGTTGCGCGCGAGCGATGCGAGCCTCGGCGGCTGCCCGCTTCGCATCGGCGGCTTGTACTTCGCGTTTTGCCTTCTCCGCTCGCGCCTGAGACTCGCGTTCTAGTCGTTCGATTTCGCCGCTATCATTAAGCGAATCCAGCGACATGGCACTCGTCGCCTCGAGCGCACTCGCGCCGAGCGTCGGCGCGCCCGCGCTCGCAAAAAAGTTGTCCTCCAGTTTGGAAACGCTCGCGTCCGATACCGACGGTACGGGTGCGCTCGGCGCCACGCTCGCGCTTGGTGTCATCATCGGCGTCACCGGTGTGTTACCTTGCGCGCGAATGAGCGCGTACACATCGTGCATAGCCGCCGCGAACGCCTCTCGATCCACCGTCGACGCCCCGCGCGAGGCCCTCGCCACGCACAACTGCACCGAAAGCATCGGCAGCGCCGCCTTAGATAAAAACTTCACCGCTCCATCCACGCTCACCGCGCCCTTTCCCTCCACATCGAGCGTTCGAAAGTGTCCAAAGTACTTCCTTCGCTCCGCATCCGTCATGGGCGCCGCCTTCACCGTCGTCGCGCTCGCGCTCGCCGGCGTCCTCGGCGATTCCACGATCCCGCCTCCCACGCTCTTTCCCTCCCCTCCCGCCCCTGGCGTCACAAACGCCGCGTTCGGCGCCTCCATCTCCCGCGCCACGAGTTCCAAGCACTCTCCCAGCTCCTTCGCCGACGCCAGCCGTCCCGTGCCTCGCGTCGCCGCCTTCCAGATCTTGCTCAACGCGCCGTCGCTCAACCCGCTCGGTCGTAAGAACGCCACCGCGTGCTCGCCTCGAATCGTCCCGTGTCCGCTCGCGCTCGCGCGCGTCCAGTGCGCGCTCAGCGCGTCCGCATCGCGAATCGTCGCGCGTAAACTCTCGGGCGTCCAGCGCAGCGACGACATTCGCGCCGCGACGAATGCGTCGCGCGTCGCGTCGCGCGCGCGCGTTCGGGTCGCGCGAGGCGCGAGGCGCGCGCGCGAGGGTGTTTTCTTTCGTTCGCGCGATCCGCGGTCGAATTCTGACGCGCGCTCGATTGTGACGACGGACGCGCGTCGCTCGGTGGATTGCAGAGCAATGCAGCGCGAACCGCGACGCGCGACGGCGGCGACGACGACGGTTGACCGGCGAACGCGGCGTCGTCGACGACGCGCGCGATGGGACCGAAGCGCGGCGCGAGGGCGGAATCGTGGGATGCGATACAAAGTCGACGACGACGGGAAGGGCTAGGCGACGAAGACGTGGGGAAAACGGTCCGGACGCGCGAGCGCGGCGACGGCGGCGGCGACGCGCTCGCGAGGTCGCTCGGAACCAAAGGCGAAGACGCGAAGGACGGAATCGTCGTCCGAGTCGACGTCGCGCGCGAGAAACCCGGACGCACACAGTGCGGCGGGTTTGTGCGCGCGAGGGGCGACGATGAGGCGCGGAATGTCGCTCGGACGGCGTCGGGGGCACTGGCAGTCGATCTCTCGACGCACGGCTTCGCTCCACGCGCGAAGGGTTTCGCCGACGCTGTACACGCGAATTTCGCGCAACGGCGTCGCGGAAAACTGGCCCTCGAGCGCGGCGGCGACGAGGAAGTACGCCTTGCATCGACGAAGCTGCTCGAGCGAGCACCGCGAGTGTGTGCGCGTGGATTGAGCGTCGTACTGTCGCCAGTAATACAGCGCGCGCGGCACCTTGCCGACGGTGAAACCGTGGTGAAACCAGCGGTGCCAAAAGTCGGAATCCACCGGCCACCATCGATGCGGACGCGCGTCCGGCGCCGGCGTTCCTCTGGCGCACGTCGCGAAATCCGACACCGCGCCGTCGTCCGTGCGCCACAAGTCTCTGTACAACGCCCCCTCGGGCGTCTTGGCGCGCAACTCTTCGAGCTTGGCTCGCCGAAAGAGCGCCGACGCGCGAAGCGCGGGAATCTCAATAAATCGACCTCGCGCCAGCTCGCGCGGTTCGAGCAAGCCATTTTGCCACCGTTCGAACCTTTTCATCCCCTCGCGCTCCGTCCCACACAGCTCGATGCGCGACGTCGCCGCGTCCCACTCCGCGTTCGCCTCGAGCGCGTCGGCGAGCGATCGAAACGCGTCCGGCGGCCGCAAATCATCCGACTCCATCTCCCCCACCAACGCTCCTCGCGACGCCTCGAAGCACGCGTTCAGCGCCAACCCTTGTCCACTCGGACTCTTCCCCTCCCGGTCGCGATCGAGCAACAGCACGCGCATCTCGCACGTCCTCGACGCCGCTCTCGCGACGTCCTCCGCGCCTCGCCTCCGCGCCCGCGTCGCGTCCCCCGTCAGCGCGTCCTCCGCGAACCCATCGCTCGCGCGCGTCCCCGCGTCGCTCGACGCGTTCGAGTCTCGCGCTTCGAGCGCGCGCTCGAGCGTCAGCAGCCACTCGCGCGTGCCGTCGTCGCTGCCGTCGTCGCCGACGACGAGCTCGAGCGCGACGTCGCGCTGCGTCAGCACGCTCTCCACGCACGCCGCGAGCCAGGGCATGGCGTTGCGCGCGGGCATCAGCACGCTGATCTCCGGCGTCGCGCCCGCGCCCGCGCGCGTCCTCGAGCGCTTCGCGCGCGGCGCCGCGCGCGCGTCGTCGTCGTCGCGCGGCATTGCGCGGCGGCGAATGCGCGCTCGAGCGGCGTCTCGCGTCGGCGGGCTCGCGCGCGCGTCGACGCGCGCGGCGCGAGCGTCGACGACGAATCGCGCGGCGCGCGCGGACGCGACGCGCGCGACGCGCGCGACGCGCGGGACGACGACGATGGCGACGGGAGGACGTAACGAACTCTCGCGCGCGCGCGACGACGACGACGCGCGCGCGACGCGCGAGATCGAGCTCGCGACGCTCGCGCGCGACGACGACGACGACGGCGACGGCGGCGGCGACGCGCCGGCGCGCGATCGGCGCGAGGCGGACGCGGGACGAGCCTGGCTCGGGACGACGGCGGCGTGCGCGTTCGCGGTGGCGACGTGCTACGCGGACCGCTCAAACATTTCGACCGCGATCGTCGCGATGAAGGATGGGTTCGGGTGGGATAAATTCGAGGAAGGGTTGGTGCTGAGCGCGTTTTTTTACGGATACGGGGCGACGCAGATCGTGGGAGGACGGTGGGCGGATCGAGCGGGCGGGAAGACGACGCTGGGTTGGGGCGTCGCGGCGTGGTCGGCGGCGACGGCGCTGACGCCGGCGGCGGCGCGCGCGGGGATCGCGCCGTTGATCGCGATGCGGGTGATTTTGGGCATGGGTGAGGGTTTGGCGTTTCCGGCGTGTCACGCGCTCATCGCGAGAGAGGTGCCGAGGGAGAAGCGGTCGACGGCGGTGGCGGCGGTGACTGCGGCTTCCTACGCGGGCGCGGCGTTCGCGTTCGCGGTGACGCCGGGATTAGTGAGCGAGTTCGGATGGCCGAGTGCGTTTTATAGCTTTGGCGCGATCGCGCTGTTGTGGGCACCGTTTTGGTTCGCACTTCCGGACCATCGCGAGCCGCGCGGCGTAGACGATGAAATCGAAGACGCGGAGACGAGACGATTCATCGCGGAATCGAGCGCCACGGCGACGAAGCCGCCGGCGTCGTTCGCGATTTGGACGGAGCTGATACGTCGCAAGGAAGTGCGCGCGATTTGCGTCGCGCAATTCACGCAGAGCTGGGGCATGTACGGCCTTCTGAGTTGGCTGCCGACGTACTTTAACGAGGCGCAAGGCGTCGATTTGGCCGACCTCCCAGCCTTCACGTTCGCGCCGTACATTCTTCAAGGCGTCCTCGGATTCGGCGTCGGTATCATCGCAGACGACCTCATTCACAACAAAAACGTGCGGGTGAAAACGGTGAGACGCGCGGCGCAGTGCGCCGGCACGCTCGGCCCCGCGCTGTGCCTCCTCGTCGCCGCGTCGCCGCTCGCCGAAGGCAACGCCACGCTCGCCGCCGTCGCCGTAGACCTCGGTCTCGCGCTCTCCGCCCTGACACTCGCGGGCGTGAGCGTCTCGCATCTAGACATCGCGCCTCGACACGCCGGCATGGTCTTCGCCACCGGCAACACCGCCGCCACGCTCGCCGGCGCGCTCGCCGTGCCCGTCAGCGGCGCCATCCTCGACGCCTCCGATTCCTGGTCCTTAGTCTTCGCCGTCATCGCCTTCGTGTACGTTTCTGGCGCTATTTATTGGTACGTCAACCTCGGCGATCGCGAGTTGACGTTGGACGCGGACGCCCGCGACGCGCTATACCCGTAGCGATAGCCGTAGTCTAGTCGTGTTGGTGCCAAACGCCCGGCTGTTGCCGCATAATCGCGCGCGCATGCCCGACCCGATTCCGTGCGCGCGCGCGCGCGAACAGCGCGAACGCTCGAAAGACGTGTGCGATGACATCACGAACGCGGTGCGTCGCCCGCGAGCGCTCGAACGCGCGACGCGACGCGCGCGACGGTTTGAAAATTTCAAATTCGTCGTGGTTCCCCTCGCGACGCGAAATGCGCGACGCGACGCGCGAATGAGGACTGACGACGCGACGTGACGACGCGAATAGGTGGAACATTACGCCGCCGAAGGGTTCGACGCGCTCGAGTCGTGCTTGAACGAGGAGACGGACCCGGATGAGCGCACGAAGGCGGCGTTTAAGCACGGTTTGGACGCGCTGTACGCGAAGCTGCAGTTGAAGATTGGCGACAACTTTAATCGGTTCTGTTCGCACGCCAAAGCGGCGTGCTTCGCGATTCCGAGCGAAGTGATTGAGTATGAGTCGCGCGTGGAAGAGATTGACGCGCTGCCGAGCGTGAGTGAAGAGGAGGAAAGCGCGTTGGACGGGGAGTTGCGCTCGCTGCGAGCGCGAATCTCTCGAGCGAGGGCGTTGAAGACGACGAGTGAAAAGGAGTGTAAGGCGTTGGACAAGGAGTTAGAATCGCACGTTGAAGTTGTTGGTAGAATTCAAGCCATCACGGCGGCGGTTGGTAAGGAAAACGCGCGAGTGAAGGAGGGACTGAACGCGGCGGGGGCAATCGTGCACACGGCGAAGCAGTTGCAACCGTTGTTGGCGCAAGCCGAAGCCATGCAGCGTACCGGCGGTTTCATGCCTGAGCGCTCGACGAGTATCGATCCGGTGGTGATGGCGAATAACGCGGTGAAGCAGCACTTCATTCAAGGGAGCTCTTTGAGCGTGTTGCGTTCGCTCAACGCCAAGCTGAGTTCGCAAGTGACGGCGTAGCGTGCGTGTACGGCGCATCGTGTAACAAAAACCTTAGTCCCTCATTTCTGGCGCCGAGCGATGATAGAATAAATTCGATTGCAATGTCGTTGGTCGTTCAAATCACGCGCGCGCGCGTCTCGCTGATCTTACCATCCCTTCTGATGGGTATCGCGATACGTTCCCGGGATGCCGCCTTTGGGCATGAAGCGTTCGCTGAGTCGCGTCCAGTACAACTTGAGCGTATCTAACAGCATCAACAACGCGTTCCTCGTCTTTTTGCCGCCACCTCTATTGGGGTCGTATCCACCGAGGTTGCCGCTACTCGGCGCCCCCGGCACTGTGGCTCCGCCCGGCAAAACGCTCTCGTTCGCGGCGATGCTAATGAAGAACCCAAACGGCACGAACCAGACGATCATGAAGAAAAAGCCGAGCACGTACTCGGTGCTGTGATAAGTGCTGTGAAAGTGTCGCACCCACACCCAGTGCGTCGCGCCCATCGCCGCGAGCGAACCCAAAAACTCTCCGCTCGTAAAGTCTATGAACGGAAACCGCTTCAACATCCGCGAGTACGCGAACTGCGCCAAACAACTCACCGCGCACGCGAAGAACGGCATGCGATCGACGATGAACAGCAGCGCGTGAAACCCGTACGACGCCTTGATCGACCAATCGAGCACCTTCTTCGTCAACCGCGTGTACTCTTCGACCATCTCCGCGAGGTAGTACAACCCTGCGCGCGTCGCGCGTTCGCCGCGTCGTCCGTCAGTCCTCGCGCTCGCGCGCGCCTCACCGCGCCTCGCGTCTCATCGCCGCGATCCACGCCTCGCGCGCGCGCCACCGCGCCCCCCGTCGCCGCGCCATCGTCACCCAACGAATCGGATCATCGCGTCGCGTCGTCGGCGCGTTCGCGCGTCGCACGCACCGGTGGCGAGGCACACCGCCATGAACACCAAGAACACATACCCCCCGACGTACACCAGGGCGTTGGCGACGATCTCCATCGTCGCGGCGCGCCGTCGAGTGTCGCGATTCTCGTCGCCCGCGGTCGAATTCGATCGTCGACGCCCGATCGCCGCACTCGTCGCCGCGCGCGGCGCAGAACGCGCGCGTTCGACCGCGCGTCGTCGCGGCGCGGAACGCGCGCGCGTCGCGCGACGCGCGCGCGCGCTCGATGTCGCACCCGAGCGAAGAGACGCCGAGCGAAAACGACGCGCTCGATCGGGTCGTGCTGCGCTACCTGCAGCGCCGAGGGTACAGGAACGCCGCGGGCGTCCTGCGCACGGAGAGCGGACTGGCGAAGCGATTGGCGGAGGCGGACGCGGCGAGCGGGATGAGCGTCGCGAGCGCGATGGGCGCGGACGCGGCGATCAGCGATCACTTGCTGTACCACGCGGAGACGGAGACGGATCCGCGAGGCGCGGCGAGCGGATACGCGACGCTGCGAGAGTGGGCGCAAAATTCGTTGGATATGTACAAGAGTGAACTGTGTAGGGTGCTGTTCCCGATGTTCGCGCACGTGTTGCTGGATTTGGTGAAGAAGGGATACGCGGAGGACGCGCGAGAGTTTTACGCGACGCACCACGCGGACCACATGCGGCTGTACGGGGAGGATTTGGCGGCGTTGAGCGCGCTGAGCGATCCCGAGCACGTGCTCACGGACCCGGTCGCGAGGAAGTTTTTGGATAACAAGGTGAGCCTGAAAATGACGCAGTATTCGTTTGAGTTGCTGGTCAAGTTTTTACACGCGCAAAATCTCATCTCGATGTTGGCGGTGTTGAACGCGCACCTGTGCGTGGAAGTGTTGAAGGGCGAACCGAGTCCGTACGAGGACGAGAAAGAGGGTTCTGTGGTCATCACCGGACGCGCGCCTGAGGCGCAACGCAAATTTAACAGCATCAAGGGCCGATGGGGATTAGTGGACTCGTGCTTGGAAATCGAGAGGGTGAAGCAGTTTAGAAAGGAATCAAAGGAAAAGGAAAAAGAAGCGGCGGCGAAGGCGCGCGAAGAGGCGAAGAAGTCGAAGAAGCAGAAGAAGGAAGAAGCCGCCGCCGCTGAAGAACGAGACGCCGCGGGTGGGGATGAGGAGATGGAGGACGCGCCCGAGAAGAAAACGGAAGCCGAGTATCCGGTGGCCATGCTCGAAGATCCGCCGAACGTGATCAAAGGCAAGGTACCGGTGCCACAGCTCGATTACGACGCATTCGAAGAGGCTTTGGAGGATTTGCGGTGGCGAATAAGGCTTTCGAAGGATGTCCTACCCACGGTGGCGTTCTTCACATTCACGCACGCGCACGGATTGTTAATCTGCGCCGACGCCACGGGCGACGTCAAGCACGTGGCTGGTGGCTTTTCGGACTCTGTCGTGCGCGTTTGGCATTTAGAAGAAGAAGATGAAGACGACAAGGACAAAGAGATTCCGGTTGATCGCGACGCAAAGACGCCGCGATCGATTCCGATGACTGAGTTCGTCGGCCACAGCGCGCCCGTGCAACAAGTCGCGTTTAGCCCGTGTGGAAAGTTTTTGTTATCGGTGTCGCGAGACTGCCACGTGCGCGTGTGGAGCATGGAGCTGAAGATATGTCTGTGCGCGTACGAAGGTCACCTGCATCCGATTTGGGACGTGCAGTGGAGTCCCTTCGGGCACTACTTCGCCACCGCGTGTCACGACCGCGTGGCGCGCGTGTACGCGATGGACGCGCCTTTCCCGCGTCGTATGTTCGTGGGTCATCTTTCGAACGTCGATTGCGTGGCGTGGCATCCGAACTGTAATTACGTCGCCACCGGCTCCGCCGATCGCACCGTGCGTCTGTGGGACATGTTCGATGGCGAATGCGTTCGCGTTTTCGCCGGTCACGCCGCTGGTGTGCGCGCCATAGTATTCGCGCCCGACGGTCGAACCATCGCCAGCGCCTCGGATGACGGTCGCATTTGCATGTGGGATCTCAGGCGCGCCTCGTGCGTGATCTCGTACAAAGGTCACGTTGGTCCGGTGTATTCCATGGACTTTGCCGGCGGCGGCAATTTACTCGTCTCCGGTGGTGCGGACGACACCGTGCGCGTCTGGGACGCAACCGTCCCCGCCGACGAGGTAGAAAAGCTAAAAGAAGTCCCCGCGGACGCGGACGCCGCGACGCTCGCCGCCGCCGCGGCTGCGGCCGCCGCCGCGAAAGCCGCCGCCGACGCCGCCGCGGCCAGACGCGAAGTCATCCGCCGCGTCCCGCTCGAGACGTTCCCGACCAAGAACACCCCGGTGTTCCGCGTCAAGTTTTCAAGGCGTAACTTGTGCTTAGCCATGGGCGCCCGCAGATCGACCAAGGAATAATCACACTTAAGAAATCGTAGTCTCCTCGCTCGCCCGTTCTGTTACGGCGGCTCGACCGCCGTCGTCGTCCGCATTCGGCCGCGCCCCATGCCCCTCCGCGCGCCGTCCATCGCGCCGCGCGCGCCGTCGGCGGCGCTCGCGCGTCGCGCGTCGCGCGTCTCGCGCGCGCGTCGGCGCGCGGCGCGACCAGCCGCCGCGAACGACGACGCGCTCGGCGCTTTCCTTCCGCGACGGCGACCGCGACGACGCGCCGACGACGACGCGAAGCGCGCCGACGACGACGCGAACGAACGCCGCGCGACCGATGACTCGGCGACGTCGACGTCGACGTCCATCGCGGCGTCGACGTTCGTTCGCGCGTACGACGACGACGACGCGCCGCGGGACGCGCGGCGCGAGACGCGGCGGAAAGAACGCGACGCGTACGTCGCGCGAAAGCGCGCGAGGGAGGCGAGAAAACACGCGTGTGAATACGTCGTCGTCGTCGAGGGCGGCGCGGACGTTCGAGCGGTGCGAAACAAGGCGGGATTTACGAGCGAACGAGCGAAAGTCGTCGCGGTGCGACATCGAGGCGCGTTTCGCAGGCGACCGAACGGCGAGATGGAGGTGAAGCGCGAGAGAATGGATGAGATCGAGGAATTAAGCGTAAAGTATGACGCACCGATCGTCGTGTTGTTCGATTGCGACACCGCGGGGCGGCAGCTGAGGAATGCGTTTTTGCGACGTTTTCCCGACGCCGCGCACGCGTTTATGGGCACGCGCGTGAGCTCGGCGAAAGAGGACGGAAAGTGGCACGCGCGAGGGAACGTGGGCGTCGAGCACGGCGAGGGCGAGGACATCGCGCGCGCGATCGCCGACGCTCGCCGCGCCGACCGAGATCGCGCGGTGTTCACGCGCGAGGCGCTCGCCGAGTGGGGGCTCGTCGCCGACGCCGACGCCGACGCCGACGTCTGGGCCGACTTCGGCGGCGTCGTGCAGCGCAGACGATTGGTGGGCGAGTACCTCGGCGTGGGCGATTGCGACGGTCGACAATTACTTCGCCAGATGAACCTGTTCTTCACCGAGGACGAGGCGCGCGAGGCGATCGAAGCGCTTCCCAAACGCGGCGAGCCCGTCCCGCCGAAAATGACCGACGGTCGCGCCGATCGCGCCCGCGCCGGCGCGCGCGACCTCGACGATTTCACCGCGTTAGGTTTCGATCCCACGGCGTACGTTCCGCCCGGTCGCGCGCCCAGAGGATTCGAGTAGGATTTTTATTTTCAAACGACCCTCGCGCGTTCGTCTCGTCGCGTCGCGCGCGCGCCTCCCGCGTCTCTCCCTCGTCTAGTACCCCGTCAGCTTCCCTCCCCGTCCCACGATCTCCCCCACGCAAAACCACGCGTACACCTCCGCCGCGAACACCACCGCCGTCCCGATCGTCGCCACGTCCGCCTCGCCCGCTCGCGCTCGCGCCGCCGTCGCCCTCGCCGCCGCCGCCTCCGCCGTCGCCGCCTCGATCGCCCGCGGCAGCCGCGCCAGGTTCGTGTACACGAACTCGCGTCCCAGTCGCTTCGCCCGCGCCGGGTCTCGCACGACGTACTCGGCGTTCGCCGCCATGGTTTTCTCGTACCGCGCGATCACCTCGGGCGCGATCGCGTCGTACGTCGCGCTCGCGGCGCGCGACGCGGCGGCGCGCGCGCGGCGCGCGGCGTCGAGCGTCCGATTCGCGAGCGTCATGCGTCGAGGCGCGCGACGACGCGCGCGCGCGTGTGCGGACGCGCGAAGATCGACGAGACGACGACGACGACAGATCGACGCGCGCGGCGACGCGCGTCGCGACGCGCGCGCGACGCGCGGACCGGGCGCGGGAGACGACGCGCCGCGAGACTCGCGCGGCGGCGCGAACCAGCGTCGCGACGGCGCGGCGCGGCGGCGCGGCGGCGATTCGCGCGATGCGGTCGGTGCGAATCGCGCGCGCGGACGCGACGCGCGCGCGCGAGGCGCGACGCGCGACGTTCGGACGGCGCGCGATCGCGTGGGCGCTCGCGATCGCGCTGGGCGCGTGCGCGGGGGCGTGCGCGGGGGCGGCGACGCGGATGGAGGGATCGGACGCGCGCGCGAGGGCGAGGGGCGACGCGCGCGACGAACCGTACGTCGGCGGAAGCCTGCTGGCGAACGTGCTGCGAGGGGACGGCGGCGTCGGAAGCGGTGATTTTGTAGACGCGCTGTGGGCGACGGCGAAGGCGCTGGCGTGCGCGAGCGCGGCGTGCGCGGTGGCGGCGATGACGGCGGAGCGAGGGGCGACGAACGGCGAGGGGAAGCGCGCGAGGGGCGAGGGAGAGAGAATCGACGGCGCGAGCGATGGCGGGCGAAGCGGTGATGGATCGCCGCGAACGCCCGAATCGCGATCGCCGAGAGGGACGCCGCGGAGTTTAGAAGAGATCGCTCGAGCGAAGGAGGCGGCGAAGGAGCGTAAACGTCGGCTTCGCGAAGAGCAAGAGCTTTTAGCGAAACGAGAGGAGCTAGAGCGCGCCGAGATCGCGCAGTTGGTCGAGGCGGAGCGCGCCAAGCGCGAGGCGGAGCGAGTCGCGGCCGAGGAGGAGAGATTAGCCATGAAGAAGCGAGAAGAGGAGGAGGCTCGCGTCGCCGAGGCGGCGGCGGCGGCCGAGCTAGAAAAACAGCGAGAGCAAGAGGTTGAGGCTCTGAAGACGAACAAACAGCAGCAACCGACGGAGAAGTCGTCCGAAACGATGACGTCGATCAAGGTGACCGCCGGTGGCGCGGAGTCGAAGAAAATACCACTCCCCGCGTCGCCTCGCAAGCAAGCGCCGGCGCCGCGGCCCAGTGGTTTGACGCTTCGAAAGATCCCAACGCCGCGCATGGCGAACGCGCCGAAACAGATCGGCGCGATCGGCGTTCGACCGCCGGTTCCGTCACCGCTGCCGCGAGATCCACCGCCGCTACCGAAAGGTCCGCCGCCCGAGTACGCGCGTCCGCCGAGCGAAATCAATCCGCCGTTGCCCCCCGTGGCGCCTCTCGGCGAAGTCCGACGCATGTCGTCGCACGCTATCGATGCGCTGCCGGCGTCGCCGAATCACTCATCCGTGCGCGTGCCGCCTGGATTTGAATCAGCGATGCCATCGACGCCCCTGTCGTCGACGTCTTTCGACGCCGCGTACGACCAGTGGGGCCTCGCCGACGGAGCTATTCAGTCCTTCTTGGCCAGCACCACGGGCACGGACGACGACCCGTTCACGTCTGCATTGAGAGTTGGAAGCGACGGCGCCAACGGCGGACGCAGCGGTTACGAAGACATCTTCGCCCCGACCACGAGCGCGCCGGCGGCGACCGCCGCCGCGCCGCCGTTGCCGCCGACGCCGCATCCAGAAATTTTGGCCGGCATGCTCGGTGACGACGCGTGAGCGACGTCGAGGAAAGAATCGAGTTGCACGCAATCACTCAAACATCCATCCATCCATCCATCCATCCATCCATCATTCGTTCACGACGAGCTACATAGAGCGCGTCCTCGTTCTGTAATGGAAACGTCACACGTCGACGCGCGACGCCCCTCGACGATCCACCATGCTCGCGTCCGCGACGACGAACGCGCCCGTCGCTCGCCCGCGAACGCGCGTCCTGCGCGCGCGCACCGCGTCGTCCGGTGTCGCGCACCGCGCGCGCGTCGGCGTCGCGCGCGCGTCAACCTCTCGCGACGACGAACGCGACGACGAACGCGCGAGCGCGAGCGCGCGCGCGACGACCTCCGCGCGACGACGCGAGATGACGCTCGCGTCGCTCGCGCTCGCGATGGCGGCGGCGGCGAGCGCGACGACGACGAACGCGGCGCGCGCGGCGTCGGACGCCGGCGACTGGAGCTCGCCGGGCTTGGCGTCGAGCGGACCCGCGGCGAAGTACGTGAAAACGCCGAGCGGTTTGGTGTACGAGGACGTCAACGAGGGCATCGGTGAACCGGCGCGCGCGGGTGACGTGGCGGTTTTTGAATACGTCATGCGCCGCGCGAATGGATATTTCATCTACGGCACCGTCGACTGCGGCATCGGATGCGGAAACGGCGACCCGTTCGAGGCAAAGTTAGGCCCGGATGGGAACTTGATCGCGGGTTTGGACGAGCTCTTGACGGGCATGAAACCGGGAGCGAAGCGCAAGGCGCTCATCAAGGCCGATTTGGGGTATAAGGACGATCCAAAGTTATCTCGATTCGCGCCGCGGCCACCCGAGTTTGGCCAACAGCGTCAGATTATTCGTCTGAGCGCGAACGACGAACCGATGGTGTTCGAGGTGAAATTGGTCAAGACGCGAGCGAACTCGCGATAGTGAGTGCTGCGGTTAAGCGTTCGTCGCGTCGCGGTGTCGTGTGCGCGGCGATCATTCGTCGCCGCGCGACGCCGCGCGAGCGGATAAGGCGTCGAAATCGCAGCGAAGAAATTGAATAACAAATCTTATTTAGTGTCGTGCCCGTCCTCGCGATCGCTCGCTCGAGCGACGCGTTTCGCCTAAAACCCATTGCGCTTTTGCATGTCGAACAACTCCGCCTCCGCTTTATCTAAAATCGAAAGCAAATAATCCTTGTTATACGCCGTGTGCTCCGAATCGTACGGCACCCCGTTCTCTCGGTTCACCGCGATTTGCACCCCAACCTTCGCCTGCGCGTTCCACGCGTTCGCGTACCCATAAAACGACTTTCCGTGATGGTACTGATACTTCGCGAACCACGCGCGGCGTTTCGTTTGAAATTCATCGATGAACGCCTCGTCCGTCTTTTCGCCTCGCAGCAGCGCGCGCGTCATGTCGATCACCTCCATCGTCTCCTCCACGAACTCCGGCGCGACGACCGCGCGCGCCCGCGGCGTGTTCACCGCCACCGGCATCGCGAGCAGCGCCGCGCCGACGCTCAGGACCGCCGCGCGTCGGCTCTTCGCCGTCGCGATCGTTTCGTCGCGTTCGTCAACCATCGATCGTCCCGCGCGCGCGACGACGCGTCGCGCGCGCGTCCTTCGCCGCGCGTCGACGCGCGTCGTCGTCGTCGTCGTCGTCGTCGTCGCGCGCGCGAGCGTCGTCATCCCGTCGTCGTCGGCACGCGTCGGTTCGCGCGCGGGTGTGTCGACGCGACACAGCGCGTCGCGTCGCGTCGCGCGAGCGCGCGCCATGGGCAAGGCCAAGGCGCGCGCCGTCGCGCGGTCGTCCGCCGCGTCGTCCGCGCCGGCGACCAAGCCGAGGCGCGGCGTCGGGTTCACGAGCGGGCCGACGAAGCATCGCACCGGGAAGACGCTCGGCGGCGGCGTGGAGTTCGCGAAGAAACGCCTGAAAGTCGGTCGAAAGGTGGCGAAACACGCGAACGAGACGGACAGCGCGGTGCGGAGCAAGCGCATACGGCTCGCGGCGCAGAATTTGCAGAGCGCGGGGGCGGGGACGAGCGGTGAGGGGACGCGGGACGAGGACGCGGCGAGCGCGCGAGGGACGCCGCTGAACGAACTGTTGAATCAGTGCGGACACTACGCGGCGAAGACGCGATGCGATGGGTTGAATGGGTTGTTGGAGGTGTGCGAGAGGTATCCGGGCGCGGTGCGAGCGAGGGCGGGGGACGCGATCGAACGCGTGGGCGAACGGTTGGCGGACGAAGCGAGAGAGGCGAGACGAGCGGCGAGGGAGTGCCTGGGGCGAGGCGTGGTGCCGGCGTTAGGGGTGGAGGGGCTGGCGCCGTTTGCGAAAACGTTGATTTTGTACGCGGGGGCGGCGCTGACGCACGTGGCGGACGATGTACGGAGGGACGCGCCCGCGGCGCTGGACGCGCTGTTGGAGGCGGCGCCGACGCTCGTGGCGGCGCACGCGCCGGCGAGCACGCTGGGGCACTTGGGCGAGCTCTTGCGGCGCGGAGACGACGGTGGCGTCGGTTCGGGGTCGTCCGTGCAGCGTGGCGTCGGATCGCAAAAGCCCGCGACGCGATTGGCGCTATTGCGAAGTTGTAGGCGCTTTTTGGAGACGCTCGCAGAGGGCGTAGGCACGACGGACGGCGATCGCGGTGGTCTTTCGTCGACCTCGTCGATGACGACGACGTTCGTTTGGGGAGAAGAGGCGCGCCGCGGCGCCGCCACGCGCTCTATCGGATCGATGTATGCGGAAAGATCGCGCCAAGCGCCGCCGAGCGTGCTCGCGGCGACGACGGCGTCCAACGACGAATCTGAAGATTCCGGGGGACGAATCACCGGTGAAAGTCGTGCTGCGGTGCGCGTGAACGCCAAACGCCTTGTAGAGTTGGCGATGTGCGTCTGGGACGACGCAGCGCAGACGTTTACGGATGAGAGAGGCGTCGACGTTGATCGCGTTCGAGTAATGGCGCAATCCATGGCGTGCGCTCGGTTAGCGCTCAGCCTCGCCGACGGTGCGGAAGAATCGGAGATGCTCGAAAACACTGATAGTGCATCGACTGCGGTGAGTGTCGTTCCGGAAATCGCGCGGCGTACTCTCGGCATGTTCCCATCGACGTCGCCGGCGAGCGTGGCGGAGAAGCAAGACATCTCGCGAACGCGCGAGGCGATGGTGGATTTGAATTTCGAGACGTGTCGGTTCTTGCTCGACGCGTCCTCATCGGTTGCTCACGAAGCACTCGCGCAGCATTTAGCGCCAGGAGTGATGGATGCGCTTCCGCACGTTCTCGCGCGCGCTTTGCAATACGTCACGTCGACGCTGCGGGGCGTCGCCCTCGACGGCGGCGCCATGGGCGAAGACGTGCCGACGCCGGATGACGCGTACGGGGACGTCTTGGCGCTCGCGCGTGACGCACTTACTTTACCGGCGTGGTGTTTCAGTGCGAGCATCACGGGTAGCGCGTGTGCAGATCTTCTCGTCGCCGTGACGGAGACTTGGGAGCGCGCCGTGGCGGATGAAGACATCGAACGCATCACGCAATGCGTCGCTTTGTTGACGGAAACTTTGCCTGAAGAAGCGCGACAAGGGTACTTTCGCGTGCCGATCGAAACCGCTGCGGGATGGGTGCGTCACATTCCTCGCGTACTGTGGGCGTTCAAGCATGAAAACCCCTCTGCGACGCAAAAGTTGCTGTCGTTGCTACACGACGTCGCGGCGAGAAATCCTCCGGGATCGCCGTTGGCTGACGTCTTATCGACGTGCGAGGCAGAAATGGCGGTGCTTTTCTTCATGGTTCCACCCGCGGGGTCACCCGAAGGCGCGAAATCGAGACCCGGTCCGTTCGCCCGCCTTCCGTTCCCGTCGCAGTGTGCGGCGGTGCGTCTCGTAGGCGTCTTGCCGACGCTCACGCCGCCGATGATTCGGGCGTTGGCCAAGATGTGTCTGGACGTTGACCGCGTGAATGAAGAACTTTGCGTCATCGCTATCGAGGCCATGCAAGCCAACGCGCTGGCGGCGCCTTTAGAGTTAACGATGTCGTTCTACGCCACTCTACTCGTCGGCGCCGCCGGGGTGAAATTTCTCGACAAGTCGAGCAAGCGCGACGTCGCGACGGTGGAACAGAAATCCTGGCTCATCGCTCGTCGAGCGATTCCGAGCGCGGCGGCCGCTTTAGTAGCGCTTAGTGATGCCGACGCGCCGTGGACCGGGGCATCTCTCGCCAGTGTGACGCTCAAGCACATGTGGAGCAGTCGAGTGGAAAAGGGCGACGTCGACGGCGCCACGCGAACGGCGAGCGGGTTCGTCGCGCTCATCGCGAGCACGGCTGAATTCGCAAGATCGGTGTCGGGTCAATCGGGTCAATCGATCGATGACGATAACGTTTCCGGCGCCATTCCAGAGATGTTCGCTTGGTTCATCTTGCGCGCTGAAGACGGCGATGGCGTTGACGTCGACGTCGCGTGGCGAGCGTTGCGCGCCGCGCCTTCGACGACGCCTGGTCCCGTCGCGAGCGCGGTCGTCGCGTCTTCCGAATCTTCCGCCGCGCTCACCGATCGCGCGTTGGCTTTCGTGAGCAAGTTGATCACGGAAACCGCCGCCGGTTCGATTGAAATTTCCAAAGACGAGTTGCGCGACGTCGTCCGATCGATTCAAAACAAAGCGTCGGCGCTCGAGGCGAACGAGTCGACGAAACGCGCGCGGGCGCTCGACGTTCATTGGAACGTCGCGTTCGGAGAGGCGATATAGCATACTATACTAGATGCGCGTGTGTGTGTAATATATTCGTGTGTATATTCCAGTGTTCGTCCGCGTTCATCGTCGGCGAGCGGCGCGATCACATGAAATCGTAATCGTCGTCCGGACTCGCGACGTCGTACTTGTAATCGTCCAAGCCCGAGTCCCCGCCCTTGGACCCGGCGTTCAAGAATTTGCCCTTACCCTTCTTCGACCCACTCGCGAGTTTTTTCGCCGCCTCGGCGTCGGACTTCTCCTTCTTCACCTTTTCCGTGCGCGTCGCCACCACCTGCGTCTCCACGTCCTTCGCCTCCGCCGCCGTCAAGTCCCGCATCGCCACTCTCAACAGCGCCTTCAACCCCGCGGTGTAAAACCCACTCTCACTCCTCGACGTCAAGTATTTATACGCGATCGCGCTCCCAAACTTCTCAAACTCCCCCTTACTCTTCGGTTCGAACTCGTCCAACTTCACCTCCGCGTCGCCGAAGAGCTCGCGCGCCGCCCTCAAATCCGCCTCCTCCACCAACCGCTGTCGTCGCGCCTTCTCCGCCACCGGATCGTCCAGCGCGTCGTCGTCGTACGCCACGCGCGTCTTCACCGCCGCCTTCGCCTTCGTCCGCGCGCTCTGCGCCGCGCGCGCCTGGGCGTCCGCCCTCGCCTTCGCCTCGCGCGCCGCGACCTCCTCCGCCGTCTCCGCGTCCTCGTCCGCGAACTTGTCCTCGGTCGCGGCTGCTCTGATTCCGACGCGCGTCAGGTCGGGGACCTCGTAGTCGTCGTCGTCCCACCCGGCGTCGTCGTCGCTCATCGTCGCGTCGTCGCCGCGACGCGCAATCGAGGGCGTCGCGCGGCGTCGCCCGAACCCTAGGGATGATTTCGGCTCTGAGCGCGCGTGATTTCGCGAAACTTACGGGTCGCGCGATGGATGCGAATCGCGAATGAATCATCAATCGTCGACGCGGCGGCGACCGCGCGGACGACGGCGTCGCGACGCGGACGCGGGACGACGCGGGACGACGCGGGACGTCGAACGGGGCGCGCGGCGACGTCGTCGGGACGACGGTGACGCGACGGAGACGGGATTCATCGACGACGCGCGGGGATTCGCGGGCGGGCGCGGGGCGGCGCGATGGCGCGCGGCGCGGTGATGGGGAGAGGCGCGACGGTCGCGAGACGGCGCGCGCGCGGTGGTGAAACGCGGGCGCGCGGGAGGGGGGGGAGATGCGCGCGGGGACGGGCGTCGGTGGTGGATACGCGGAACGACGGCGACGCGGCGGCGACGGAGACGGAGACGGAGACGGAGACGGAGACGCGCGAGGGACGCGGCGAGAGGCGAGTCGCGGTGCGAGTGAACGATTTCGAGGCGCGCGCGGATTCGGCGCCAAAGGTGGTGGTGTTTTCGGGAGGGACGGCGATGAACGTGATCGCGGTGGAGCTGAGCGAGTTGACGCAAAAGGTGACGCACGTGATACCCGTGAGCGATAACGGTGGGTCCACGAGCGAGATCGTGCGCGTGTTGGGTGGGCCCGCGGTGGGTGATCTGCGATCGCGGTGTCTGAGGGTGACGGATGAGTCCACGCCCGAGGCGGTGGCGGTCAAGGCGCTGCTCGGGCACCGTCTGCATCCGACGGATAGCGCGCTCGCTCGAGACGAGTGGTACAAGATTCAAGAGGGCGATCACGAGCTGTGGGAAGGCATCGGACAGGACTACGCGAACATCATTCGCCGGTTCTTGGTGCACTTTCATCAAGAAGTGACGTCCAAGCCGATCAAGGAGAGGTTTGATTTCGTCAACGGGTCAATCGGAAACTTCTTCTTCGCCGGCGCGCGACTATTCTTTCGCTCGATGGATGCGGCCATTTTCTTGTACTCTCGCGTCAGTCGCATTCCAGACGACACGCACATCGTGCCGTGCCTTTTGCACAAGGAAAACGAGCGCGTAAATCTCGCGGCTGAGCTCATGAACGGGACGATTCTCCGCGGGCAGAATGAAATTTCACACCCGTCCATCGACAGCAAAAAGTTTTCAAAGGAAGTCTCCATGTCATCGTCATCCGCGCGCAAGAGCCCGGACGTCGTGAGCAAAGAATTTTGGACGAAAGTTCTGGAATTGGGCGAAGTGCCGAAGACGGAGGCGCACGAGATGTGGGGCGGGTTGCAACAAAGTTCGGGAGGTTTCAAGAGCGTGCGCTCGGCGCTCGCGAGCGGCAGCCTCATCGACGCCGGCGAACTGTTGAAGTCGCGCTTCGTCGACATCGCCGACACGCCTTTAAGTGTTTGGGACGTCGATAAAGTCGTCACCGCGTATGATCCGTTGGAGTCGCCCATCAAGCGCGTCTTTTACGCCTCGAGTCTCGATCCGGCGGACGACAACTTTGAGGTGCAGCCAAAACCGAACCCCACGGTGCTGGAAAACATCACGGATTGCGACGCCATCTTGTACGGTATGGGCTCGCTCTATACCTCAATCATCCCCAACGTCGGCCTGAAAGGCATGGCGCAATGCATCGCGAGCTCCACATCCAAAAAACTTCTCATGCTCAACGGTTCGCTCGATCGCGAGACTGGCACGATGACAGCCAGCGAAATCGTTCGCGCCGTCGTCGATGCCGTCAACATGCGTTACACCGCCGCTGAAACCAACTTTGACGTCAAAGAACTGATCACCGACGTCGTATACCCCAAGAACGGAGGCATCACCGTCGACGTCGACGCGCTCGCCGCGATGGGCGTCGCCGTTCACGAGTGCGATTCCATCCCCGTCCCATCCCCCAGCGGCGCCAAAGTCGCGCATTACGACACCCGCGCTTTCGTCAACTTCCTCGCGTCCGAGCTTCTCGCTCCGTGACGTCTCACACCAGCACTTGATTCTTATTCTTCTTGTAACATCGTCGAGCCGCGCGTCGCGCCAAGGCTTCAAAAAACCCTTCATTCTCGATCGCGCCGCACTCGACGGCGCGCTGCCCCGCGCGCGCGCTCGAACGATGTCACGCAGCGCCGTGAAAACGTTCGCGACTTCCCTCGCCGCGCGCGCGCGCGCGGCGACCGCGTGCGCGTCGTCGTCGGCAACCTTTGCGACGGCGTCGCTCGAAGCCGGGAGAACGATGCCGGCCACGACGACGCGCGCGCGGACGATCGGCGTCGGCGCGGACGCGCGAACGCGTGATCACAACCGTCGTGACGCGTTCGCGGGCGCGCGACGGGGATTCGCGGCGTCGAGCGACGCGGGTGCGAGCTCGAGCTCGAGCTCAGGCGGTCGGGACGGCGACGAAGACGAAGACGAGGCGCTGCGGCGACAGTACGAGGCGCTGTTCGAACGATTCGAAAACGCGCCGAATAAACGAAAGCGATTCTTACTGAATTTAGCGCTGAAAGGACGCGTGGACGCGGACGTTGGTGGAGATGGTGGGGACGAAAACGAGGGCGGACGCCAGCGGCGAGCGCTCCAGACGCGCGTCATCGACGTCAACAGGACGACAAAGGTAACCAAGGGAGGCGATTTGACGAATTTCACCGCCATGGTGGTCGTGGGGAACGGTGATGGCGTCATCGGGTTCGCCACGGGTAAAGGCGCGGATGTGGGGATGGCGATCGATAAGGCGTATCGCAAGGCGGCGAGGTCGTTGACGTACGTGCAACGCTTCGAGGATCACACGATTTATCACGAGGTGAGGGGAAAATACTGTAAGACGATTTGCGTGATGTTACCCGCGCCGAGCGGAGACGGGATCGTGGCGAACGACACCGTGGAGGCGATTTGCACGCTGGCGGGTATTAAAAACATCAAAGCGAAGATTCACGGCAGTCACCATCCGCACAACACCGTGCGTGCCGTGTTTGCGGCTTTAGAAGCGGTGGAATCTCCCGAAGACGTCGCCAGGCGCACGGGTTCGATGATCTACAGAGTTCAATAGATTGAATAAAAATGACTACATTTCAGCAGCGAGGACTCGCTCGAACCGCTCTAAAAACACCCCCGCGTGCGCCGAAGTAAACAAGAGCCCCGGACGCGCGCGAATGGTCGCCGAGCCGCACCCGCCGATGTCGACACCTTTTTGCAAGAGTGCGTGCAACAGCGCGTCCCTGCGCGCGGATGTATCGCAATCGATGGCGACAAGCGTGCCCACGCCCCGCGCATTGGCGAGAATGCTCGGATATTTCTCCTGTAACTCGCGCAACCCATTCAAGAGCGTCTCGCCGGCGGATTTCACGACGTCCAATAAATGATGCTCTTCTATGCAATCGAGGACAACCTCGAGCTGAATGAGCTTTGCTGGATCACCCATCCACGTGTTGAAGATGCGGTACGGGAGCTCGGGCGCGAGATCCGCGGCCGCGTAGAATCCCGCGATTTGCATTTTTTTGCTAAACGTCACAATGTCCGGCGGATGTTCTAATCCCCAAGCTTCGTGCGCCCAAAACGTCCCACTCGATCCACACCCAGTCTGCACCTCATCGACGATCATGCGGACGTTTTCTCTCTTCGTCAAAGCGCGAAGCTTTCGGAAAAAATCCGCGCTCGCGTGATTATCGCCGCCCTCCGCTTGCATGGGCTCGACGATCACCGCGACGACGTCTCGATCTCGCGTCAACGCCTTCTCGACTTCAGCGAGACACCGCGCCTCCTCTTCGGCGTTTTCTCGCTCAAATTTATCCAGTGGGTACTTTAATTTCGGAAACGGGCACGACGGCCAGTCAAACGTCGGGAAATCAAGCTTGTGAATCCACTTTGTGTGCGTCAGCGACAGACACGCCGCCGTCCGTCCGTGAAACGCACCATCGAACGACAAAACTTTAAATCCCGGCGACCCGGGCGCTTGATTCGTCAGACAGCTCACCTTTTCTTCCTCGCTTATCTCGCGTCCGCCCCGCCGCGCGTTCGCCGCGCTTATGAATACCGCCTTCATCGCGTGTTCGTTCGCGCACGCCCCGCACGCCATCGTCGTCGCGCGCGTCAACCCTTTCGGCGCCACTCGCATGAGCGTTCGCGCCACTCTGTCGTCCCATCCGATCGGTGGGTTATTCCCCAGCGCCGGTCGGTGCGCGAGAATCCCCACGTTCGCTTCGTCTCGCATCGCCGCGAGCATCTTTTCGTGGTTGTATCCCACCGGCAGCGACGCGATGTGCGCGTACAGGTCCAGCACCGCGTTCCCATCCGCGTCGACGACGTAATTCCCGCGCGAAGCGTCGACGTCGACGAAGTATCGTATCGACCCCACGTCCGCGTGCGCGCTGAGCGCTTCCACGGCGCGTCGCGACGCCGGTCCCGGGATGGGCGTCCGCACCACCGGGGCGGCTGGTTCACCGTTCGACGTCCCCGCGCGCGACGACGACGACGACGCGCGCGTCGACGCGCGCGCGTCGCGCGACGCGCGCGAAATCGCCTCGCGCGCGCGTCGTCGCGCGCATCGCTCGAGCGCGCGCGCGAGCATCGCGGCCGACAGTGCGGCGGTGCGCTTTTTCACTTTTTCGCGAAAAGTGTCCCGACACTCGCGCGCGCGCGACGATGGCCGCGCCGCCGCCGGGACGATGCGGACGGGTGGAACAATTTATTAATAACGCGTGGGTGCGCGCGCCGCAGGCTGCGGCGCAGGCGCAGGCGCTCGGCGGTGCCGCGAGGACGCTGCCGGTGGTGAACCCGCACGACAATAAAAACATCGGTGCCGTCGGTGCGGGCGATCGCGCGATGATCGACGACGCGGTGCGGGCGGCGCGCAAGGGATATAAGGTGTGGAGCGCCACGCCGGGGCGCGAAAGGTCGCGGGTGCTGCGGGGGATTGCGAGAGGGATCGAACGGCGGAAACGCGCGCTCGCCGAGCTGGAGACGCTGGACGCGGGGAAGCCGATCGAGGAGAGCGAGTGGGATATCGATGATGTCAGCGCGTGCTTTGATTATTACGCCGATCGGTGCGATGAAGTGTTCGGGGATAAGGCGTACGCGGAGGAGGATGTGAAGTTACCCATGGACGAGTTCGCGGGACGGTTGCGACGCGAGGCGCTGGGGGTGATCGGTTTGATCACGCCTTGGAACTATCCGTTGCTCATGGCGACGTGGAAAGTCGCGCCCGCGCTCGCGAGTGGATGTGCGGTGGTGCTGAAACCGAGTGAGCTCGCGAGCTTGACGTGTCAGGTGTTGGGGGACGTGTGCGTCGAAGCAGGGTTGCCGCCGGGGGCGTTCAACGTAGTCACGGGGCGAGGCGACGAGGCTGGCGCTGCGCTGTGCGCACACAAGGGTGTGGATAAAATATCGTTCACTGGCTCGTTGCAAACCGGCCGCATCATCATGAGCGCGTGCGCGAAAGATGTCAAGCCCGTATCGTTGGAATTGGGCGGCAAGAGCGCGTTGGTCATTTTCGACGACTGCGATTTGGAAAAGGCGGTGGAGTGGGCTCTGTTTGGGTGTTTCTGGACGAATGGTCAGATCTGCAGCGCGACGTCGCGCGTCTTCATTCACGAGCGCATTCGAGAGAAGTTCTTAGCGCGTCTCAAGGAGGCTGCGGAAGCCATTCCGTACGGCAACCCACTCGTCAAGGGGTGTCGCCTCGGCCCGCTCGTGAGCGAAGGGCAGTACAAAAAGGTGATGAAAATGGTCGAACGCGCGAAGCGCAAGGGATACACGCTTTTGACGGGCGGCAAGAAACCGAGCGATCCGGACTGTCGAGAGGGGTTCTATCTCGAACCCACGGTATTCGTCGACGTCCCTATGGATGCGGAAGTGTGGCGAGAAGAAATTTTTGGCCCGGTGATGTGCGTCAAGACGTTCGCCTCTGAAACGGAAGTCGTGGCGATGGCGAACGATTCCGATTACGCCTTAGCCGCGGCGGTGATCACAGACGACTTAGCGCGACGCGAGCGTATGACTGCCGCGTTTGACACCGGGATCGTGTGGGTGAATTGCTCGCAACCCTGCTTCGCTCAGCTCCCGTGGGGCGGTCGCAAGCGAAGCGGATTCGGTCGCGACCTCGGCGCGAACGGCATGGACAAGTACTTGCACCAAAAGCAAGTCGTCACCTACGTGTCCGAAGACCCGTTCGCGTGGTACCCCATGTTCGACGCCAAGCCGAACAGCAAGCTGTAGCGCGTGTACTATCGTCGTCGATGAGTGAATGAATAAATATGTATTTCAAGATTTCAACGCGAGCGTCGAGCGCTCCTTCGCCCTCCGGCGACTCAACTCGTTCGTCTCGACGCCTCACGGCGGCAACGCCGCGGTAATTTGCACCTCAACCAACAATTCAGGTCGCGCCAACTCGCTCTGCACGCACGCCCGCGTGGGTTTATTATCCGGATCGATCCACGCGTTGTACACGGCGTTGAACTCGGGCGCGTCTTTGATGTCCCGCAGCCAGCACATCGAGGTCAATATTCGCGACTTATCCGTCCCCGCCATCGCGAGCAGTTTGTCAAACTTTTCCAGCGTTTCGATCGTTTGTTCTCGCACCGTGGTCGTGGTCAATCCAACCTGTCCGCTGCAGTAGACGATGCCGTTGTGCACGACCACCTGACTCATGCGAGGGTCATCGGTGCCCAAGCGTTGGATGTCCGAGGCGTGCATGCGCGTCGTCCGTCGAGCCGCGGGCTCGGAATCGGTGCGTCGCGATGCCTTGCGTCCGACGACGACGCGAGGGCGCGAGAGCGCGCGCGAGACGGTCGCGAGAGACATTGTGAGGCGAGAAGCGCGAGTCGCGGGGCGAGGGGCGACGGCGCGAGCGAGCGACGTCGGCTCGTTACATACGTCGACCGACTTTAATCCTCGAAACGACCCGGGTCGCGCTTCATCAACGCCTCGACCTCGTCGTCCACGACGAGGAGCTTATCTAATCGCTCGAGCGCGGCTTCGCGCGCGTGCGCCTCGTCGTCGTCTTCAAGGAATTCGTCGTCGTCGTCGTCGTCGTCGAATCGCTCGGCGTCGGGATCCGGGTTCAATAACGACCCCTCGCTCATCGCGCGATAGATCTCCTCCAGCGTCGTCGCGTCTTTCGGGACGAAGCGCACGTGCGCCGTCACCGGGTCGTCCTCGTCGTAGGGCTCGTCGTCGTTCGCGTCGTCGGCGTTCGTCGTCGTCGACGCGCTCGGCGCGTCGGCGCCGCCGTCAATCTGACAATACACGCACCCGCCGCTTCCGTAGCGATCGTCCTCGCGCGAGATCGCGTGCAGCGCGAGACAGCGATACTCGCACGCGTACGCCGACGTCGACGTCGGGTCTCGCGGGACGAAGGCGACGCGCGCGTCGGTGATGTATAATTCACCCGGAATCGCGCTCGACGCCGGGTCGTCGTCGCCGATCGTCATCGCGGCGTCGCAGGACAAGACGCATCGCTCGTCGTCGTGTAAACGCAGCGCGCGTCGATCGTCGAGCGCGTTCGCGCGCGCGCGCAAACCTTCGGGAGGGGCGCGGAACATGTCGCGCGAGTCGCGATGTGCGGCGTCGACGACGTCGACGGACGCCGCGACGCGAACGTCGCGCGCGGTGGCTACGATTCGATGGTACATCGTGATTACAAAGAATGCGCGCGTCGCGCGCTCGACCCACGGTTCACGACCGCCGACCGCCGGTGAAGAAGAGCGAGTACGCGCCGTCGCCGATGAACTTCGCGTGTCGCCGCATGTTGGCTGAAATTTTCCCCGCGCTCCTGTTGAACCGCTCCAACGCCGCGCTCGCGCCGAGCTCGCGTTCGCGCGTCTCCCTGATCTCCCGCGCGCCGACGCGCTTTCGCATCGCCGCGTCCGTCGCGTCGTCTTCGCTCGCGTCGCCGTCGCCGCGCCGCGCCGCGCGTTCGTCCACTCTCTCCGCGACGAGCACCTCCAGCCCTTGGCACACCGGGAACTCCGTCCCGCGCTTGCGCTCCTCCAGCGTGGGCGCGCGTCGTCCCTCGGCGTAGAAGGGCACCGCGCGCGCGCTTCGTCCCAGGCACGCGTACCGATACCGTCCGACGACGTCCCCCGTGCGCAGCGTCCGCCGCTCTTCGCGCAGCGCCGCGTCTCGCCGGCGCGTGAATCCGTAGCACGTCTGCGGGCGTCGGCGCGCTCGTCAGTCGCGCGCGTCGGTCGATTCGCCGTCGATTCGCGTCGACGGAAGATTCGCGGATTCGGAAGATTCGCGTCGCGCGTCGCGCACCGGCGTCGCGCGTCGACTCTCGCGCGCGTCGTCGAACGTCGTCACCCCCACGCACGTGCGCGTCGATGACCCGCCGCCGTCGTCGCGCGCGCGCGCTCCGGTGGTCGACATGGAGTGCCGCGCGCGAGGGCGTCGCCGCACATCGCGACGCGATCGATCGCGCGCGATGAGCGAGGACGCCGCGAACGAGGTGCGCGAACGGACGCTCGCGACGCGCGACGACCGCGCGACGACCCGGTGACGCGCGCGCGCGACGACGCGCGACGAGGGACTGACGAAGGCGCGATCTGAATGCATGTCGACAGACGGCGCCGCCGACGACGACGCCGATCTTCGGCGCGGCGTTCGCGCAGGGAGGGTTCGGCGCCGCGGCCGCGGGCGGAGGTTTCGATCCGTCGAAGTTCGCGTCGAAGGAGGCGCCGAAGGCGGAGGAAAAGACCGGGAACGATGACGAGGAGGGGGACGACGACGTCGAGGCGGAGTGCAAGGCGGAGTTTAAACCCGTGGTGAAGCTGGAGATCGTGGAGGGCGCGGAGGCGACGACCACGGGGGAGGAGGACGAAGATATTTTGTTCGAAGCGTACGTGCGAGACGAAGCGAACGGACGCGAGGCGTGGGATGGAGAGATGGGACGCGCGACGCGAGGATGGAGGACTGACGACGAGAACGACGACGCGCGACGCAGCAAGGTGAAATCGTACCGGTTCACCGACGGCGAATGGAAGGAACGAGGACTCGGTCCGATTAAACTTCTCGAGCACAAGACGTCTAAAAAGATTCGCGTGCTCATGCGCCGGGATAAAACGCTGAAGATTTGCGCCAACTTTTACGTGCAACAAGAATCCAAGGTGGCGGAGCACGCGGCGAGCGAAAAGGCGTGCGTGTTCACCACGGTGGATTGCTCGGACGGCGACGAACGCCCGGAGCTTTACAACATGTGCATCAAGTTCGGAAGCGCGGAAAAGTGCGAACTCTTCACGGCGGCGTTCAATGACGCCCAAAAGAAGATGGCGGCGCTTCCGGCGGAAGAGGGCGAAGCCGAGGCCGCCGAGGAAAAGGCGCAAGTCGCCGAAGAAGCGGACGCGCTCGCGGACGCTTTGACCGCGACCAAGGTCGAGGAAAAGAAAGATGAAGAGTAAACACCGACGTTGATTAGCTTATGATGTCGAATATCAAACACACAACATCCGATTTAAATCATACACGGTTTTATTTTTCTCAACGCCCCGTCGCGAGGGCTTTGTCTACTCGTCTACGAAGAAAGCAAGCGGCGGCCGAACGTGTCGAAAGCGGCGGCGAGTTCCTCGGCGTTCGCGCGAATAACCTCATTCGGACACTGCATTCGTCGGCTTTCCGAGGCGTAGCTCACGCACAAGTCGCCGATCGCCGCGCGCACGTGGCCTCCGGTGGCGTACGCTCTCGGTTCGCCGTACGCCGTCGCCTTGGGCACGAGCGACTGGTCCCAAAGCTGGAGCACAAAGTACACCGATCTGAGCAAGCGGAGGCGCAAACGCGGGGTTTGTAACGCATCCACTTTCGACAGACGCTTATCGTGCATGCGTTGGGCCGGGGTCGCGAGCAAGCGGTCGTACGCTCGTTGCACGGGCTCTGCGAGTCCTTTGCACGCGACGACGAGCGCGTCCGCGACTTCGCTCGTGTCATACTCATCGTCGACGTGCGCTTCGACTGCGACATCGGGAACACCCCACAGTCCTGCCGCCATGAGCTCCAAACGCAAAGCCACGTGAATGACCGGAAACGCGACGTCCGATGGGAACAACTTCACGCCCAACGCGCGAACCACGAGGCAGGCTTCCCGCAGGCACGTCGCGGCGCTCGGCGCGCGAGACGCGGCTTGTAAGAGGAGCTTATCCCATAAGTCACACACAATCTCGCCATCCGGATCGTGGTATTGCGAGAAGTGCACCATTTCGAGGCAGATGTCCCACAACTCACACGGCTTGGCGAAGTCGTTGTACAAGTCGCTCAGTTGCTTCAACTCGCGCTCCAATTCGTACACAAACGCCTCCTCCGGAGCGTTCGACGATCCGGTGGCGCGTGCTTGACGGGAGCGCTCTATGCACACGCCCAGCACTCGCCGCTGCATGTCGAGCAATTTGATTTTGCTGTCGACGTTTTCGCAAAACGACGTGTCCAAACCATTGGTCAATCCCCCGTCGACCGACTTTCTGGCGTGCATGAGCGCGCGCTCAAACAAAGCCATGCGCTGGTCCAAACTGAACGTTTCGTCGTTCGCGCATCGACGCTCCGCTAACGAGCAATCGACCTGTGCCGCCAATCCAAACAGACTTCGGGCGGCGTACAACTGCGCCAAGAGATCGAGATGTCTCGCCTCATCCGGCGTGAGCGCGCCGCCTTGTTGCGCAGACGTCAACGCGCTCTTGTTCACCAAGTACGGTTCCAACATAGCCGCGGGTAGCGATAAAAGCATGGCGTCGCGTCTCACTGCAATCAGCTCCGCAAATACGCGGTGCATGAAATCTTGTGAGTCAGCTCCAGACACTCGTTGAAGCTGCTCTAGAATCTTCACGAGACCTCGTTCACGAATGTCCTCGGGAAGTTCTTCCGCCGCGACGCGACTCAGCGAACCTGGTTCAGCGTCCGCATCAGCCCTTCCAGTCGCAAGCGCCCGAATCGTGGTACACGTGACTTCAAAGCACGATTGGAGATCCTATAATGCGGTAAAAATTTGTCGTCAGTAAGAGATTTTCGCGATCCCGTCGTGACTCGAGCCGAGAATGATTCGCCGTCGCTCAGGCTTAGATGTTCTGTAGTTTTTAATCATCACGGCACGCCCGGCGGTAAGCCGAACGTTCACGTATCAGATTCGTCTTCATCGCAACGAAGTTCTTTCGAGATTTGAGGTCAAGATAAACTTACCACCATGTCCACATTCGGTTGCGAATGCATCGTAAAACGAGCTTCCTCTGCGCGCGCCTCGAGCGCCGCCGCCGCCGCGAGGGGCACAGCGGTGACGCCATGAAACGCGCGAAGATCGACAAGTTCAGCACAAACGGCCGATAAGTCTCCAGAAGTCGGCACCTTCATGAATAAAGCGATCGCATCGTTCACGTATTGGTCGCGCAAGACGTTTTCCTTTCTCGCGCGCGCGTCGCGCGCCAACTGCAACAAGTCTCTGGCGTGGTAAAATGTCCTCGAATCTGCGCCGAAAAAGTCTGGGCATCCCTTTTGGAGCTCCGCAGCTAATTCCTCGGCGCTGTGACGAGCGTGAGACATTATGTGAGACATCATCGCTTCGATGAGCGCACCCGCCAAACGCGCCCCGTGCGTCGTCGAAACCAACTTCTTCAAGGTGAGCTGTCGCAGTGTAAAACAAAAAGTCAGTCGAAAGTCTCAGAAGAACACAGCGCGGAAAAGTAAAAGTGGACGCTCAGTGGAAGGGCACCATATGAGTTGTCATCACTGTGAATCAGGGGATTGACAGATTGATATATGGGAAATCATCATCGCGCAGGCAAAAAAGAAAAGACGAGGCGTAGGAGCGCGGAAACGTACCTGTGACAGCTCCTTGCGAATCGCCGAGGGAAGCATGTCGGCCACTCGTGAGAAACGTTCATCAGTGATGATGATTCTAATGAGAGACAAAGCCTGCGCCGTGCGGCTCACCAAGGCGGAGAGGGCCGAGAGACTGCGCTCTTCTTCCTGGAGTGCCGTGAGTTCGCTGCCGGATGAACGCACTCGACGCCGCTTCGTCTGCGACATCGTGGCGCCGCTGCTAATGCGCGGTCTACGCTGCTTCAAGAAAGTCACCAACGGCATCAAGCGATCGTGCAAATTCTTGAGCAACGTCGGATCCAAGGAGCATCTGAGCGCCGGTTCTTCACTCATGTACCGAGCTGCCGCTTGCACCGCGCCGAGCGCTTTGTTCGCGATCTTCATCGCCGGCGATAGCGGTCGCGAGTTGCCGTTCAAATTCGTTTGAACGGGCGCGCGAACGGGCACAATGATCGCTCGTTCCCACGTGCTAGACATTATGCGAGCCGTGAACAAGTACAGTCCACGCTGCGCCGACGAAAAAGTCAGCACCGGTTGCACGATCGCACGCCCCATGTTGAAAGATCCACCATTATTCTCTTGATTTTGCGCGTAGCTATCCTCCACGATGCTCGGCTCGCCGGTGAGACGCGGGTCGTCAAAGGCCCGCTTCGCGGCGAGGATCACGGCGTTGGATTCGGATCCCGAAACAGATAACGCGACGCACATTGCCGCAGCTTCAATCGGTCCGTAACTCTTAAAGAACTCCTCGATTTGTTCCGGAATGTTCTTTTCAAGAACACTTCTCAACGTGTCAATCGGGCGCGCCTTCTCGAATCGAACCAACCCGGCGTTGGTCATCAACACAAACGTTCTTCTCGGGCACATGTATTGCGTGACGAGCTCAGAGAGTAGTCCCGTCGATTTTACACGTGCTTCTGGAAGCGTCCCCGTGGGGTATGGCGGATCGATCGCGTCCTGTACGCTCTTTGGCATAGGAATCTCACCGAGCGATCCGAGACTCGACGCGCAGCGCCCTTCAAGTTGTTCCAAGGTGACGACTTCGCGCAAACCGCGAGTGCCGCTTCCCGAGCTCGGTGGGGGCGTCGGCGGCGGCAACTGCAAGTGTGGGGGTAGCGCCAGGTCGCGGTTTGAAAGTATCAATCGCGCGTCAGAGTCGTTCGGCGTCGCGTCCGACAGTAACAAAACGCCGCTGCTGTAAAACCCGGCTTCAATTTCCAAGGCCCTCGACGTGGTGTTCAAGAGCGCCTGCGCCGTCGTCATACCGCGCTGATTTCCTCCTTGCGGCGGCGGGTCGCGTTGTTCGACCACGGACAGTCGCGAAGGCCCTTGTCGAGAGCTACCCGTACCCGAGGCGACGCCGTACGAGTACCCGCGCGACGGCGGAAGAGCGGTGAGGTAAATGCGTCTTCCATCCGCGCAAATCGCCACCAACGTCACGACGGACGACTCCTCCGGATGCACCAATGCGACGTGCACTAACTTCGCCCCTTTCTTCACCGATGACGTCGCCGATGCAAACAGAGACCCTTGACCGCGAGCCTGCGCGGCGAGTTGCGCGACGTTTTTAACCTCGGCGACTTTTCTCGGCGCGTCCTTCGCCGCGGCGCCGACGTCGTACACAACCACCACGCCTTGTTCGCTGCGCGTGTACAAAATCCCGCGCTTGGCGTCCACGACGACTTGTTTCAAAGCGTCCGAGCCCTTCAATCGCAGCACCGAAGGCAACAGCGAGGACAAGTTTTGACTGTGTCGCACCTTTTTGCATCGCTTGCTGTGCCACGTGTCGCTCTGCGCGTACACGAGTTCATAAAGCGCTTCGTCCGCACCGGCTAAGAAGATCCTACCCTCCGGCGTAGACGTGATGTCGTTCATGATGGTCGCGTCCGTCGGGCACGAGTACTGCAGCGGATGCAGCGTGAGCTCGCGTCCGTCGTCCTCCAAGCACACCCCCACCATGACGAGCTCCACCGTCGTCGCGATGACGAGCACGTACGAGATCGCCTCTAAAAACACCCCACTCTTCGGTTTCACCAACCCCACCGCCACGATCGCTTGCTCTTCGCCGCTGTACTCCACCGGCACGTCGTCCGCGACGTCCAACCTCCACAAAAACAACGCGTTGTCCACGCTCGCCCACGCGCGCGAAATCTCCGGCAGCACCCCGCAAAAGCACACCGACTGCCGCGTGTTGTACCGCTCCAGCACCACCCCCGGCAGTTCCTCCTTCTTCATACCCACCACATCGCTCGGCCATCCCGCGTTTTGAAACGAATACGCCTCCCGAGGCGCCTCTCGAAGCAGTTCCACCAAGTCGGCTTGCTCGGCGTCCGCCGCGAGCTTCGACACCGTCTTCGCCGCCGTCTCCATCGCCTCTCGCGCGTCTGCGTCCCGATCGCGCGTCCGCATCGCGCGCATCGCGTCAGTCTCACCGTTCCTCGCCCTCGCGCCTCGATCGCGCGCGCGTCCTCGACGTTTCGCGCGCGAATCATTTCAAATCGCGCGTCCTCGTCGAATCGTCCCAATCCGTCGCCCTCGCGTCGTCGTCGCGTCCGCGATCGCGCGTCTCCGCGCACCTCCGCTCGTCTCCGCGCGTTGGCTCGCGCCGCGCGGCGACGTCGACATCGCGCGCGAAGGAACGCCGCGCGCGAATCCAATCCAATCCCGCGCGCGGCTCTGCGGCGCCGACCGACGACGGATTCGATCCGCGCCGCGCGCGACGGCCGCGACGTCGCGCGCGCGGTTCCGCGCGCGACGCCGCGCGCGGAAAAAATACGCGCGTCCGTCGCGCGCGCCGCGCGTCGCGTCGCGCGCCGCGCCGCGCGTCGACGGACGCGCGTCCCCCGGAGGCGACCGGCGGCGGCGACGCGACGCCGCGCGACAGAGCGCGACGCGACGGCGCGCGACGGCGCGAGACGCGCGCGCCATGGACGACGACGACGACGACGCGCTGAGCGACGACCGCGAGTGGTCGCTGGGCTTTCTCGAGCGCGCGCGACGGGACGACGACCTCGAGGCGTGGCGGTTTCCGAGCAAGGCGGGCGGCGCGCCGGCGTGGATGGATCCCGTGCGCGTGCCGCGGGCGAGCGCGCTGGAGACGAACGAGGGGGAGCGAATGGCGTTTTTGTGCCAGGTGTACGCGCCGGTGGACGCGGAGGCGAGCGCGTTTCATCGGACGGTGTACGTGTTCGTGAACGGGACGCGAGGGGGCGAGACGCACGCGAGGGGCGGCGCGCGGGCGTTCAGGGGACAGCTTCCGAGGGCGAACGCGTTCTACGGGTGGGATCCGGTGGCGGAGGGAGAAGCGGGGCGCGCGCTGACGGCGGAGGAGACGGCGACGCGGCGCGCGAGGTGCGATTGGTGGGACGCGAGCGCGGCGGCGACGAAGACGTATCCAGAGTACGAGTTGGTGGTGGAGACGGAGGAGCGAGGGGAGGGAGACGCGATGGGGGGAGTGGAGTGCGTGGATGGTGACGTGGGGGGGGACATGACCGCGGAAGAGATCGACGCGATCGAGGCTGCGGTGGTCGATGAGGATATGGAGCAGTTGGCGACGTTTCACGTCATGCTGAAGAACGACCCGGAGCAGGTGTTGAGGTATTGCCCGGAGCCCGGGGCGAAGCCGCTGTGGCCGTCGGTGACGCACGCGCCGAATACGGATAACATTCCGCACTGCGAACGGTGCGGCGCGCCGAGAAAATTTGAGTTTCAGATTTTGCCCACAATCATCAGTCAGCTCGGCGTCGACGCCGAGAGCGACTCCGCGCTCGATTTTGGGTCAATCGCCGTGTACACGTGTTCGAAGTCGTGCGCACCCGTGGCGTGTGATGAGGGAGATGATCGCACGGGGGCGTACGCGGAGGAGTATGTATTGGTGCATCCGCCGCTGAATCAGTGACGCGTAGTAGCTTAGAATGATTAATGTGACATTGCAAATGAATTTGACGGGTGTGGCGGTGCGTGCGAGCTTGTGAGCGAGCGAGCGAGCTGTTTATCCTTGATCGAAAGATTGATAAATGGTACACCGTGCACAATTTGAGCATGTGTGACGAATAATTTATAGGCATTTAAGACGTCGCGCTGACGTCTTTGATGTGTCGCACGGCGAGCTTGACGCCTTGCATGGCGTCTTCCCACTTGCGCGCGGAGACGGATACCATGAAACAGTTGCCTCCAAACCGCTTCAGAATGGCGTGATCCCCGCTTTTTACAGCAAGCGCGATGCTGACGACGCTGCAGTGTCGACGCACGGCGTCGATCAAACCGCTGAGCGTGCCAAGCGCGTCGGCGAGAAGCGCAGACGGCAGCGGGATGGTGGACGCGTACGACGCCACTTCGATGCGGCTGTCGTCGGCGTGAGTTCGGTCTTGCACCAGTTGCTCGTGACTGTTGAGAATTTCGATGAAATCGTGCGCGTTCCCAGGAGCCTTGACGACGATGCAGTCGTGTAATGCCGGGACCAGTTTCGCGTCGACGTAAATGAACGTGTTCGCCGCCATCGAGCCGTCGAGCATATCCACCGATCGCGCTTGAGCACGATTCATCGGCATACCGTCTTGCGTCGATGCGTTTGAGTCGTGCGTTTCTGTATTCACCAGCTTATCCACATTGGGCTTAATCGTCGACTGGCTTTGACTCGGACTGGATGGTCGCGTCGGGCGCCTCATCGAGCTCCCGAGCGAGTCGCTCGCCGTCATCGACTGACTCTTCGAGCGTGGTGTCGTTTCTACACCATCTCGTTGCTGTTTGTCACTGGTTTCTATAACGTATGCACGAAATCTCGACATGTCACCATCCTTGCGCCGCTTCGTTGCGTTCCAGTGATTCTTCACGCTATTTTCGGTTCTGCCCTCGAGAAGCTTGGCGATGTCCGACCATTTGTTTCCGAGCTCGCCGTGCGCCCTGATGAAAGTATCCTCTTCTTCCGTGCTCCACGATCCACGTTTTATATCAGGCGCTAAGTGATTATTCCATCGCTCTCGGCATTGTTTGCCCACGCGGTTTTCGAGCGCACGCGCGATGTGAGACCATCTACGCGTGCCGTACTTGGCGACGAGGTCCGCGAGGCGGCCGTCTTCCTCCGCGCTCCATTGTCCTTTCAGTTTCTCCCCATCGCGCATCTTGAACTTGCCCTCGGGCGTGAATTCCACGTACACGTGTTCATTCAGCGACAGCTCGCCGTCGACGCCGCGCTTGAGGCCGCGTTTACGGGTTTTCAAGTTTGTTGAATTTCTCGCCGGCGCGCTTTTTCGATCTCCCCCAGATCTCGGCGTCATGTCGTACTCGATCGCGAGCGCGTCGTCATCCACAAAGGCGTCGAAATCGATCGAAGCTTCGCACCTACGGTTGATCCATCGCGTACAAACGCGTCAAAGTCAGTCATTTCCGTCATCGTCATCGTCGTTCTAATCGTCAGCGCTCGCCGTTTCCTCGCGCTCGCCGTTCCGCGCGTTCGCCGCCGTCCCGTCGATTTCCCGCGTCGCGTCGCGTCCCTCCGCGTCGTCCACGCACCACTCGTCGAACGCCCCCTCTTCATCGATAAACTCCGCGAGGTGCAATTCTAAATCATCCTCCATCGACATCTCGTCGCGCCTTTTCAATTTCCCGACGCAAAGTAGCGAACGAAGAAGCGTCGCCGCGCCGCCGCGTCCCCGCGCGAGCGAGCGAGATGACCTGCGCGCGCCGCCGACGCTCGAGTCAGTCGACACCGTCCGTCGGGTCGTCCCGCGCGCGGACGTGGACCCTAAGACAAATAGGTACATCCATCGCGTTTCGCGCGCGCGCGATCGTTCGCGCGATCGTTCCGTCGCCGCGCGCGCGCCGTTCGAAAAGATATGAATGTACTTTTCAGCGATTCGTCTACCGCGCGTCATCGCGCGCGTCGCGCGCGCGCACGCACCGCGATGGACGCTCGCGAGGCTCGATCTCGGCGATGTCGTCGCGCGCGCGTCGGCCGCGTCCGACTCGCGCGCGCGTCGCGACTCGGTGTGTCGACGCGCGGCGACGCGTCTCCGCGGACGCGACGCGACGCGTCTCCGCGCGGCCCGCGACGCGAGCGTTACGGCGCGCGCTTTATTTACATGGCGATCGCGTCGTATTTAACGCGAATCGCGCCGCCGCGACGTAACGCTCGCGTCGACGCGACCCCTTTTTTTCGCCGTTTCGTCGATTGGGCTACTCGGACGCGGACGCCCGGGCGCCGGCGCGGGACGCGCGCGGTGCGCGCGATCGAGTCTCGAAACGCTCATGGGGTCGCGGACGCGCGTAATACGCGATGCGATGCGGGCGGGCGTCGATCGCGGCGTCGGTCGTCGGCGCGGCGCGCGGTACGCGCGGACGTCGGTCGGGGGTAGACGAATCGCTTTTTCGCGCTATCCGAAACTCGAGCGGGCGGTCGAGGGGGGACGGGCGACGGGAGGCGGCGCGACGGCGGCGATGGGAGGCGGCGCGACGGCGGCGATGGGAGGAGGTGGGACGCGCGACGCGACGGCGCGCGCGGATACCGACGGATTCGATGCGCGGTTGATGGGTTTCGCGCGAGCGAACGGCCGCGCGGACGATGTCGATCGAGCGATCGTTCGAACGCGCGCTTGAACGATCGACCGATCGCGCGCGGGGTGCGTCGACGCGCGTGGCCAGAGGTGAGATAGTAGTGTGATGTGTCGTTATGAGCTACTGTACTCGCTAGGGTGGTTAAAAAGGTGGATTGAGGTATTAGTAGTACACCGGCGAACGAGGTCGCGCGGCCCGCGCGAGGTCTCGCTGCGCGAGTAGATCGCGCGGTACAATGAGTTGCAGTTATCCGTGTTTACTTTCACGGCGATCGTGCGTCTTCAAACTCCGCGTCGTCAACGTTGTCATCATAGAATGGCGACGCGTCGCCGAACTCGTCGTCGTCGTTGGCGGAGTCGAGCGTGCCTCTATCGGACTCGGTCTCGGCGACCATCAACTGCATGGTTTTCATATTCTTCTTGTCCACTTGCTCAGTCGTCAGCGCGGTGGCGGTGGGATCTATTGTGCCACGCTGACGCGCGTCGTGTTCAGCGCGTTCGTAGGAAGCCAACTTTTGCTTCAAAGCGATCATCTCACCGCGCAGCTTGTCCACGTCGGTGGATTGACGGCCGAGCGCGTCGATGAGAGAAGCGTCGTTTCCACCGTGGCGCACCAGTTCGGCGGCGAGAGCCATACTATCGGCCTCGGGACGAAGCTGAGAGACGTTGGCGTTGGTGGTGCCCGGAATGATTTGCACGACTCGCGGCCAGCCGACGATGGTTTGTCCACCGACGGTAACCCAGACGACGTACGCGCCGGCTTTCGAAAACGTCGCAGAAAACACACCGCGGGACGAGACTGCTTCTTGATCATCAATTTCTGTAAACGTTATGTCTTCGGTACCACTCGCGGTAACGCTGAGTGTTTGCCAGGACTTCCAAGCCGTGGTGTTCCCGAATCTGTCGCGCGGTTGCATGCGCACCGTGACAGTGGTACCCGCTTGCGCGCTGTAGACGCCTTGAGCTTTGAACTCGGCGCCTTGTAACTGCGCCTTGCAGGATGAAGCCGCGGGCTGACTGGGTAGGACTTGAATCTCGCACGGAGAACCCAACACCGGTTCGCGTTTGAAGCCGCTCCACACGTAAAGAGTGTATCGACCGACTGCACGAGCCTCGAATCGAACTTCTGCCGAACCGTCTCCTGCTTCGACGGTTTCGACATCCGCCGGGCCGACGCCAGTGACTTCAACGCGGAATGGCATCAACTCCGCACCAGCGGGAATTAAGTTATCGAAGCGATCGGCGCGTAACACCTTGACGATGCCGCGCGTACCAGCTTCAATCTGTTTGACGTCGCTCGCGTCGATTCGGCAGTATGCTGGGTCCGCTGGTCCGGCAACGCACGTGGCGCTGAGCGTTGCTTGCGAGTTGGGTGAGGACACAACGATGGTGAACGGACCAGCTTTGTTAATCGTGTAGCTGCACACGTACGTACCATCTCCTTGATCAAGTATGGTGGCCTTGACTGATTTCCCCGGGGTCAACGCAGATCGTACGACGGCGCTCAGAGTAGCGCCTCCTCCCATCATGCGGTTGCCTCTGTTGTCTCGTGCCTCAACGATGAACGACGCTCGTTCGCCCGCGACAGCCTTCGTCGAGCCCGCGCCAGTCATCTTACATCCCGGGACGTACACCTGTGCTGCGGCGGTTTGCACAGAGAATGGACATCCAACGACAGTTTCGCCGTTCAAAGCCGCGATGAGCGAATGCGAGCCCACTTCAGGCCACATTATATTGGCGCGGTAACGCGCCTTGTCTTTGGTCAACCTCAAGGGAACAATCGTGGACAAGCCAGAGGGTGCGATTAATCGCAGACAGATAGCCTCATGGCCGTTCACTTCGAGACCTCCGACCTCGTAATCGATGGACTGAATGAAGAATTCAGATTCAGAACCCACCATGTACTCGTCACGCTTGTCGGCTGGAATGAGCATGAGCTGCTTTGACGTCAAGCCGCCTTGGGAAGCGACGAATGAAGTCGCGGGTTTCGGATTCTCCACGCCATTAACCGCTAAGAAGATTCTCCACTCACCAGCCCGTGGGACGACGAACGACAATCGGTACGTACCATCGCCGAAATCAGAAGTATCAGCATCGATAGAACCCGCCGGACCGAGAAGGCGCGCCGTGAGTCTATCACCGCCTTCGAGGCAGACGTTTTGGTACCGATCCGCAGCATTCACGAGAACCTTCGTGACTTCGCCTGCAACGACAGTGTTGAGCGCATCTCCACGAATAGAGCAGAAACGCGGATCCGTTTGAGCGGCAACAACCTGCAAGTTACGGGGGAAACCGTGCACGGGCTTACCGTCCACAGTCACGCGAAGCGAGTAAGTACCTGCTCGCTGGAGTGCACTCGTAAACATTGCTTCTCCGGGCTCTTTCGAGGTAAGGCTAAATACAGAAGTAGCGACACCGACAGCGTCAACACGCAGTCTTTGATTATCAAAGACTGCTTCGTTGTTGAACTTGTCTCTGGCGAAAATGATGATGGCCATTTGTCGACCAGCCAAACCGAGAAGCATGCCACCACCTCGTTCACGAATGCCGCTGAGCTGCACGCTTGAGCGCGAGGCATCTGCGGCGGTGGCCGTCAAAACGATGTCGATCGGTGCACCTTGAATGCAGTCGCGTTGTACACCACCCCACCATTGACGAGCGACGTCTGCCGTAAAAATGCGAAGCGAGTACTTGCCGCACTCCGTCGCGCGGAATTTCGCGAAGGCGCCGACACCCGCTGGGTCGTTGACGACCTCTGCCTCGACGACGCTCGGCCCTTCTCCATCCGCCAGCAAGACGAAATCAACACCAGCATCACCCTGTTTCGGTGGCGCAACATCGTTTCCGAATCGATCTCGACAAAGCACCTTGACTACGAGGACTTCACCCGCCCGCCATGTGGTTCCTTCCTCAACCGGCACCACCGAGCACTGCGTCGGATCAAGTATCGTTGGTTTGCACCTGATTCGCACGACGCGAGTCTGCCCAGCAGACGTAATCATGGCATCATATTCACCGGCTTTATCGAGTTTGTAAGGGAACTCGTACGCACCGTTCATCATGTCTTGCACCTGCACGTGTTTGCCTTCGCCTCGAATGAAATCCACGCTGTTCGTCCCATCTTGCGACTTGAAGGTCAAATGATGGATTGTGCACTGCAATGTCGCGCCACCCTTGTGGATTCGGACACCACCTGGATTGGTGCTTTCGAAGATGAACTTGGTTTCCAGACCGGCGACGCATTCTTCGCATCCAGGACCTGAGATGTGGGATGAGGTCAGGTGCACCACCGTGCGAGACGCCGTCTTCGACTTGAGCTCGGTGCTTGACACCTTCTGCACGGCTTCCTCCGCGAGAGTCGGAGGGAGTGCCGCAAGGACATTCTCCGCTTGATCTACCTTCACGCGATCGAGGAATGTACCAGCCTTGTCACTCGGAAGACCACCACTGGAAATCAAGGCGGCAGCAACCAAAGGAGGCAACGCTGACATTATGCGGACAGCGTGTGCTTCATCCAGACCCGCAACGACGGAACCAGCTTTGAAAGGCTCCATCTTCGAGATGATGTCGTTCGCAATCGACATTGTCGCCGGATCCAACGTTTCATACAGCGTTTTCATCACAGCGAGGATGTTCTCTGTTTCCATGTTCGATGCCGCATCCGCGGCGGGCTGCGGACGCATCTTGATGATCATCGCCGCCCGTTTGGCGTGCGGCATTGACTCCAACAAGAGCGCAGCAGCCTTTGGATCTGGGATGGCACTCGCGAGTGCACCAGCAGTTGCAGGGGTCATTGCTCCGACGGCCGATGCGCTGACATCGGGATCGAGCGCGGTGAGTACTTGCGCTGCTGCTTCAGGCTCAAGCTCGAACATGACCAACAGGACGTCAGCAAGCGGACCTCGCACTTTGGCGCCAGAACGCGGTACGTCAATGCTTGGTGGCCAAACACCGAGGCGTGCCAACGATTCGAGTGCAACTGCGGCAATCGCTGGACTCGTACCCGCAGCTACCGCAGCCACGAGCGAAGATGCGGCATTTTGAGGCCCCAAGAATTGAAGCGCCTTGCCAGCATCCTTTGCGTTCAAGGCACCCAACACAGCTGCGCGAGCGTCTTGGGTGAGTTCGGTCATGATTTTCGCTGTGCTCTTCGGATCTCGTTGCAACATTCCACTGATGTGTAATGTAGTCTTATCTGCGTTGAGCGTGCTCAACAGCTGTAACGCCTTGGATGCACTCACTCGGCCTTCTTCTCTCTCGCACATGTGCGAGAGGATAGGTGCCGCCGTGCTCGGTGGAAGCGTGAGCAAATACGTCGACATTTGATCATCAGGGAGCTCTTGCAAGGCAAGTGCAGCCGCCTTGGCGGGCATCGAGCTTACTGCTTCAATGGCGGCGCTGGCGTCCATGGCTCGAAGCAAGTCCGCGGCTTCGTCTGCCGGTAACATACTCAAGATGGATCCTGCCGCGCCAGCCGGGAGCGCTTCAACAATCGTCACGCGCGCCGCATTCGATGAGCTGCTGATGACGCGTAATGCCTCTTCAGCCTCCATACTTCCGACCGCGCTCGCCATGACATTCTGATCCATAACGGAGATGATACTGGAGATACGTTCAGAGTCCATCGATGCGAGCACCGCGCCCGCTGCACCGGGACGCATGTCGGCGAGCGCTTGAGCAGACACCTTTGGAGCCATACCGGCGAGCGAACGCGCCGCGCGCTCGGATGCAGTCTTACTCGGCTTAAGACCGGTGCCACCCCACTTAAATTTGGCTTGCCTTGTCTTCACGACGGGCGCGGGGATTTCAATCTCGCCCTTTGCTATACTCGTTTCGGCGTTCTTGACGATCACATCACCACCCGGTTGTCTCAACACGGCTGCCTTGATGGCGGCGCCGCCGTCGACGGCGGTCATCTTCGTCATGGCGAGAATATTTTCAACGGCACGAGGATGCGTTCGCGCGGCGCGCTGCATAGCACCGGCTGCAATTTCACAACCTTGAGCGTCAAGTTGCATGTTTCGGACCATCTTAGCGCACTCTTCCGCCGGAGCGGTGGTAAAGATGATACTGACCGTGTCCGGGGACACTTGCAGGCCTCGCCTGATGGCATCCGCCGCCGTCGGCTCATACGCACCAGTGACCAATGCGCACATGGATACCGGGTCGAGTTCGATCAAAATTGCCTTCTGTGCATCAGCTGGGATAAACTGCATCATCTCGGCTGCCTTTGTGGGTTTCATCTTAGCGATGATTGCCGCGGCAACGTCGGGATCAATGAGCTTATTGACGCATAAGGAAGCGGCGCGGGCATCCATACCATTCATCACTTGTGCCGCAGCAGCGGGTGGTAAAGATTCGATGATAGACGCACGTGCGGCCGGTGGCGCGTCGTTGAGCACGCTCAATACGCTTTCCTCCGTCATCATTACCACCGCTGCACTAAGTTCAGTCTGAGACATCATCGCCGCAGCACACGCAGCCTTTTGTGGATTCAAGCGCTGCAAAACCGCCGCGGCAACCTCCGGGCGCATATCAGAGAGCGCATCACCTGCATCCTCGAGCTCGAGCTTGCGGATAATGGCGATGGTCGAATCCACTTGTTGCGGAGGTGGCGGGTTGAGTGCGGTTCCAAATGTGAAGGCATCTTCATCGTCTTCGTCTTCTGCGTCCGGGTCCACGTCTGTCGTGCCGATGCCACTCGCGGCTTGCGCAGCGGCGACGGCCGTCTTGTCGTTGGTGTAGACAAATCCGAAAGAGTTATCCGCGGGAACCATGGTCATCGCCGTCTGCGACTCCTCGCCTTCGATTTCCTCAAATTCTTCATCTGGATCTCGAACACGAACCATGAATGGACAACCCGGAACGACTTCACCAGCAAGATTGACAGTGATGTGATGATCGCCGACTTCAACCCAAAGAAGAGGGCACGAAAATCTTCGCGAATCGGTTTCAAACTTCAGGGGCAAGTTGAAGGACATTTCGCTCGGCA